ATCTCAATGGTCGCAAGCGAGCAGCCAGAAAGGATGTCGTCACTGACGGGCGCCCAGCTGCTGAAAAGGCTCATATGAGAAACCGTGGCGCCTGTCGATCAAAAATGAAGTCCAAGCGAGATGGCAGTGCTCTCCTCGCCAGGTTGAGGCGCGCGTCAGTAAGCTGTGTGCAAGTGAACTATGTTCCTAGCTCGTGGTCTTACTCTTCGCTGTGTTCCATGTTGATGCACAAAGTAGACGGGGTAGTGCACATTGCCCTCTCCCTGTTCTGTTGGTACCCGAGCCAAGTGGTTACGGAGATATCGTAGCTGGTCACCGTGATGTCACCGGAAAACGTCCGGAATTCCAATCGCTTGCAGCAAATATTGAGTAGTTCGGTGGCGTTATTAAACGCCAGCTGGCGGACAGCGCTTGTCTTGAATGGAATCCGGGCTGTCTGAAGCAGACGAGGCGTAACGGGCTTTGGCTATGGCAAAGGCACACGAGAACCGTCGAAGACGCCGTCCACATCAGACCACGACGTGAGGATTTGGACTGCATTAGCCCTTGACGGAAGATGTGATGTAGGGGTTCCCGCTCCCGCTATGTATGCTGCTAAAAAAGTCAATCTGGCGCTCGTGCATTGTCAAGACGCACGTCGAAATAGGGGTTCAAAAGTGTGGTCTAGGCGCCATCTCGAGTCTCTTGCAGCCAGTTCTTGACCAGAAACAACTGGGTGGCCAGTCGGACTTCTGGTGCGGATTCTGGCGATGGGACGGTTGGTCGGTGAAGTTCCAGACTGAGCTGATCCAGATAGGCAATCCAAGTGTGTGTGGCTAAAGCAATCGTGACCGACAATGTGAGGGAGATTCCGATGTCGATACTGGCATTGACCTCGTTCCGATGGGATTGTTAAACAGGTACGTCCCGCCAGGGACGGCTAGGAATCGGAACACCCTTGGCGGCAGGCTACGGTCGAGTCAACCGATTGTACTCGAGGCAGGGCGGTGTGGCTCAGGGCCGAATCAGATTAGCGACCTCCAGAACCACAGTGACGTCGGCGGCTTGGGCATCTCGGCAGGCAGCAGGGAGCCGATATCGTGGTCGCAATGTTTGGCGGAAGAGATAGGATAGGGAGCGGTGGAAAGCTCGGTTGGATTGTCTCGCTTTCTCAGGGCCACCGGTTGACATGAATTCAGCTCCTGTAGGAACGTTTCTGGGGAAAGTGACGCGCGGGGAAATGTGCTGTAGACTCGGGAGGGAGTTGGAGGCCTGTTGGGTTGATCAACATGGTGATAGGGTGCCAGCTGAACGGATTAATATGAAAGGATGAGCGACGCGAGGGTCTTGAAACGGGCGAACGAGGCCATGCGCGACGATCTTAGGACGGCATTTCGGTTTTGTCTTTTCTGACAAGTGGAAACCTTGAAAGTGACCCTGACGATCGGGTGCTTGCTTGCTGAATTCTGATGGCGAGAGCCAAAAAGTGTGGCAGTCTGCAGAGTGTTTGTCGTTGGCGAGTATGGTGTTGGTGGTGGTGGTGGTGGTGCTAGCTCGTCAGAGTCAGAGTAGAAAGCTGCAGCCGAACGGGCGGCCACTCGCCCGGGGTAGCGGTTGGCGGTTGGCGGCGCACGCGCATACGCATTTTCAAGGGAGACAGTCGCAGTCCAGCTTGGTTGCACCGAGAGGCACCTGAGAATCGTAAGGTAAAGAAAAAATAATAAAAAATCAGTGAGTGGCTCCTTTCTTTTTCGTTTGAGTGGAGAGAAAGAGAGGAGGGGGAAGGAATACCTTACCTTAGGTGGGAGAGTGGGATGGGACGACGGGACCGAGACCCGGACCCTGCGCGCTTCCTTCCATTCTTCTCTTTCCCAACTGGACGCTGCAGCAGCAGTCGTCACTCACAGTCCAACCTCACACCCTCAGACTTTCACTTTTCAGGAGCCCACCGCGTGCCTTTGGTGAGGAGGTGACTGTGCAGGAGAGTACGGTCACGTACTGTGCGGCTACATCGCTTCATTCCATTCCTCTTCCATCCATCTGATAGAGCCCCCCGTTTCGCTTCCTTCGCTACGGGTTCGGACAGTCGGACTCTCTTCGAATTTTCTCGGTCTACTCCCGGCTGGCTATCTGTGGAGGAGTAACGAATGCCGCAGGCAAGCAGTCATTCAAACATCATCAGCCAGACGCTGGATGGATGTTCCTTCTTGTTGATTTCCGGCTGACGATCGAAGAAAAAAGATCTCGATCTTCTTCGTCATGTGCAAAAATCTGGAACCTGTTCCCACTGCTTGCAAACAGCTCAGTAGGGAAGGCATGGCTTGGAAGCGCAACCAAACACGGGAAGTCCCTGGTGAGCCATGTGACAGCCCAGCGCAGGACTCGCCTCCCGTCCTGTCTAGAACTCCTTCTGGGGCTCTAAAAGTGCCTCTGGACTCGCCTCTGGACTCGACTCGACGGGACTCGACCTGGAACCTCTGCTGGAGCTCCGAGGAGCAGCACCATTCGTCGCGGCCTGGTTCAGCGCAGCGGTACGGCGGTGCAAGGTGTGGAGACCAAGGGAATGCAACGCAACGCTACGCTGCTGGGAGGTCGATGCTCAATACTCGATGCTGGATGGCCGCAACATGGGACGCTGTACAGTTATTCCGTACCGTTGCCGCAATTCTCTGGATATGGATGGAGAGATGGGGGCCGCCAGGAGCCTCCCGCCGTCACCAGCCTAACAATGCTACCTTGGCTCCCGCTGTCGTTACCAATCGATGGCATTTTTGGAGACGCCGGTCCTCTCTCGGACTTGTCACGCTCCAATGTAACATGGAGAGTCTTGAGGACGAGAACGACGAATCGACTCCCAGAAGCAGTAAACGGCGACGAAACCCCTTTTCATGAAAAATTGCTCTCAAAAGTATCTCCACAGTGAGGAAATGCGTTGGTTTTCCCCACACCAATGCGAGAGAAAACGGTTCCAATCCACAGACTAGGCCGTCTCGGGACGCTCCTGCAAGTGCCCAAGCAGCCACACGGTACACACATCAGCGCATGCGCTGACAGACCGGGATGACAGTACATGCGGTATCACCCCTGCGACGTCGAGGTCGTCTGAGGTATCCGTACCGTTAGCGTTAGTGTGGTCTCTCTCCGAGATGCATTGCCTTAGCTGACCAACCTCAAGGCTCGCATACAAGTACACTCGACTGATGGAAAAAAAAAAAAACGAGCAGGCCCAAGACAAACGACATTGCGGGCAGACGAGCCGGTTCAGTCGGTAGCAACGGCCAATATGTCCCAATGCGTTGGTTGGGGCGGCCTGCTCGCCAGACGGGGAGTAGACTGCTTCAACGGTGTGCGCTAGTCTCTCCGTATTCATTCTTGAGACGAGTCCTTGGGGCCATGGAAAGTCAAGGGAAAAGGGGAAAGGTAAGAAGATTCAGAGGGCAAACAATTGGCAGATGTCGGTTGATAGCATATGATGAGCTGGAACACGACTTGTACTGCACAGTACGAGCGATCAGCCACCGTTCCTCTCGCCTGGATGGAGTGAAGGCTACGAGCATGTATGTATGTACCCTTTGATGATGCTTGCTAAGTGAGTACTCTCAAGTACCTATTCCCAACTTCACGTCGCATCACCAGAAAAATCTCAGGGCAGACTGAGGCTTGGGGGAGGGGCACGACAGCAAAGGATGAGCCAATGTGATACACTGAATCGTCTAGTCGGTTGGGAGAAGTGCACAAGAAACCGCTAACAGCGCCTTCCGGGCGTCGACGCTTGTGCTGCGTTAGGAAAGAAAATTGATCGATCACCATTCGTATTTCCATGTCACGGCGGGTGGGAAGAGAACGAATTGCTGTGCTTTGGAGGCTCCGTGGCTCCTTCTTCCGCCCTTGACGGTGAGCCGTACCCACTCGACCTGACCTCATTCGCTGCGTGTCCTCGGGTCCCGGTCGATTCAGAAAAGTACCCGTTGCCGCACATTCGGCGCGGGCAGGTACGCGCAAGGCTGGACCGAAATGTGTTAGCGTCCTTCTGTCCCATCCGTGACGTTGAATCAGCCAATGACGTTGGGCTTTTGAGACAGGGCCTTTACCGCATGTACCTTTGTATGCGAGTAGGTAGATTCCATGTATCGAGCCTCGGGAAGACGACCCTAACTGAGCCGGAGTTCAAGTACATCCTCTCACACCAATCTCCAGCAGTCCTCTTCAGTCTTCTGTACGGAAGCATGTTTTCGTGCTGCCTCTCTACCCCCCGTGCCTGTCCAATCGACTCCAACCAGCCCAACGCGCCAGAGCCAGCACCGCTGCAACACCTTCACCTGCACCGTCTCTGAGGTTCGCCTCGTCGAACCAATTCTCTCCACCTCCCACAAGCCCCCCCCTTCGCCTGCCCATTCCATCCCACCCCAATCCCTACATCCGCCCTCCTCCATCTGCTGTGGTATTGGATCCGTTAAACCCCCCCTGCTGCGTCTTGTTCCGCCTTATCTCCTCTCTTCTCCAGTGCTGTGGTCCTCCTCTCGCTCTGGCTCTTTGCGACCTCTAGCCTCTAGCAGCAGCTCGTCCTATCCGCCTGACCTTTCTCGGGGCGTGTCTTCTCGCTATTTGCTCGCCTCATTGCTTTTTACCCTCTTTCTTTGCCAGATTTCGACAAACCCACCAACATCACCTCCTTCCCTCCTCTCCTACTCCTCCAGGTTGTCCATCATCCCGCACCTCACCGCAAACACCAGTGTTATCACCTTTTGACGCCTCGGATCGACGAGATTCGGGCGGGTGGAACAGACTCTACCTCCTCCTCACCTTTCACTGTTGTATTTACTTTGGTTCCAGGCCCTGACCAGAGCTAATATGCTGCCGATTGACAACGACTACTCTTCCTAAATCTATACCCGCTCCGTTCCTTTCGTACCGAACCCCTCCACCCTCGACCTTCACCTGTCGACTGCAGACCTCTCTCCCATTGGCAAATCCCTGGGCGAACATCTTTGCTCAGCTTGTCAGCCCGTTGATTAACCAGGATGGTCGACGACTCAGCCTTGGCCGCTGCCGCGGCCATAGTACAATCACTCGCCGCCGATGGTTCGACACCGATGTCCCTACCCCTCAAGGCCGATGCGCGAATCGAGCTCCCCGGTCGTGATACCCCGGCGAAGCGAAGCCTCGAGGCCGAGTTAGCCAAGCTGGCCCAGAGAATCGAGAAGCTCGAGAACAGAGCCCACGCCTCCGTCGCTTTCCCGGAAACACCCAACGAGGTCCACGATTCCCTTTTTGGCGACGACTCCGAGGGCACATCGCCGTCATCATCAAATAGCCGATCCATCCCCAGGCCAAAGTTCCAACGCGAAGGTACCGCCACAGACGACCCAAGCCTCGCAGACAGCCCGCTGACTGACGAAGCTTTGGAAAGCTTGCAAGAGAAGGTGCTTGACCAGGAGAAGGGGATTTCTAGCGCGAGACAGGAAATAAGCAGTGTCAGCGCCCAACTCCTCGAGCAGAAGGAACTGCAGGAGCAGGCCTTCTTCAAGATCGAACAGGAGAGAGTCGCTACCTTGGAACGGGAACTATGGAAACACCAAAAGGCAAACGAGGCTTTCCAAAAGGCCTTGCGCGAAATCGGTGAGATCGTTACAGCTGTCGCGCGTGGAGACCTTTCCAAGAAGGTCCGCATGAACACTGTCGAAATGGACCCGGAAATCACCACCTTCAAACGGACAATCAACACCATGATGGATCAGCTACAGGTATTCTCAAGCGAGGTCTCTCGCGTCGCCCGAGAGGTCGGAACCGAAGGCTTGCTCGGCGGCCAAGCCCGCATCGAAGGTGTCGACGGTACATGGAAAGAACTCACGGACAACGGTATGTTGACTCGTCTCGCGTCGCCCCTGATCAGTCAAACTAACCACGCACCAGTCAACGTAATGGCTCAAAATCTCACGGATCAAGGTAAGTCTTCCCAAGATACAGGCTGGGAATAAGTGATTCTAACCCAATTCAGTGCGCGAAATCGCATCGGTAACCACGGCTGTCGCTCACGGCGACTTGACTAAAAAGATTGAACGCCCTGCCCGAGGAGAAATTCTGCAACTGCAACAAACGATCAACACTATGGTGGACCAACTTCGAACATTCGCATCTGAAGTCACACGCGTCGCCCGCGACGTCGGAACTGAGGGTATACTTGGCGGACAAGCTGACGTCGAAGGTGTGAAGGGCATGTGGAACGAGTTAACGGTCAATGTCAACGCGATGGCAAATAATTTAACGACACAAGTGCGAGATATCATCAAGGTGACGACTGCCGTCGCCAAGGGAGATCTCACACAAAAGGTACAAGCGGATTGCCGGGGCGAGATTTTCGATCTCAAGTCTACCATCAACTCCATGGTCAACCAACTTCAACAGTTTGCCCGGGAGGTCACCAAGATTGCGAGAGAAGTCGGCACTGAGGGCCGACTCGGTGGCCAGGCCACCGTCCACGACGTTGAGGGAACTTGGAGAGACCTTACCGAGAACGTCAACGGTATGGCCATGAATTTGACGACACAAGTGCGCGCCATCGCCAAGGTTACCACCGCCGTCGCCAACGGTGATCTTACGGAGAAAATCAGAGTACCCGTACGCGGTGAGATTCTCGATCTCAAGAACACCATCAACACCATGGTTGACCGTCTCGGAACTTTCGCCTTTGAGGTCAGCAAGGTCGCCAGGGAAGTCGGCACCGACGGAACACTCGGCGGGCAAGCCCAAGTCGACAATGTGGAAGGAAAATGGAAGGATCTCACCGAAAACGTCAATACCATGGCATCGAATCTCACATTACAAGTCCGAAGCATCTCCACTGTCACACAGGCCATTGCGAACGGCGACATGAGTCAGAAGATCGAAGTTGAGGCCCAAGGAGAAATCCGGGTCCTCAAGGAGACCATAAACAACATGGTCGACAGGCTGTCCAACTTCTGCAACGAGGTTCAGAGAGTGGCAAGAGACGTCGGCGTCGACGGCAAGATGGGCGCTCAGGCAGATCCTGCTGGATTGAAGGGCCGCTGGCGTGAGATCACAACGGACGTAAATACCATGGCTAGCAACCTGGTGAGTACAACCACATGACGTAGTGCGGAATATGGCAACTAACCAACCTGCAGACGACCCAAGTGCGCGCCTTCTCGGACATAACCAATTTAGCCACAGACGGGGATTTCACAAAACTCGTCGAAGTCGAAGCATCAGGCGAGATGGACGAGCTCAAACGAAAAATCAACCAGATGGTGTCGAATCTACGGGATAGTATCCAGAGGAACACACAAGCTCGTGAGGCGGCAGAATTGGCCAACAAGACGAAGTCCGAGTTCCTGGCAAATATGTCTCACGAAATCCGCACACCCATGAACGGTATCATCGGCATGACGCAACTCACCCTGGACACAGACTTGACGCAGTACCAGCGAGAAATGTTGAACATCGTCAACAGTCTCGCCAATAGTCTACTGACAATCATCGACGACATCTTAGATTTGTCCAAGATCGAAGCTAGGAGAATGGTCATCGAGGAGATCCCGTATACTTTACGAGGAACCGTCTTCAATGCCCTCAAGACTTTGGCTGTCAAGGCCAACGAGAAATTCCTCGACCTCACGTACCGGGTCGACAGCTCTGTGCCTGATCACGTCATCGGAGATTCTTTCCGTCTTAGGCAGATCATCTTGAACCTGGTTGGCAACGCCATCAAGTTCACCGAGCACGGCGAAGTCAGTCTCACGATCAAGAAGGCCGACCCGGCAGAGTGGAAGTGCAACCCCGACCAATACGCCATCGAATTCATCGTCACCGACACTGGTATCGGCATTGCCGCCGACAAACTCGACCTCATCTTCGACACTTTCCAGCAAGCTGACGGATCAATGACCAGGAAATTCGGCGGTACCGGACTCGGTTTGTCCATTTCGAAGCGCCTAGTGAAGCTCATGGGCGGCGACCTGTGGGTTAAGAGCCAACATGGTCAGGGCTCTGAGTTTCACTTTACGTGTCGCGTTCGTTTGTCTGATCTTGGTGTCGAGTCCATCGAGAAGCAGATCAAGCCGTACAAGGGTCACCAAGTTCTCTTTGTCGACAAAGCGCAGACGTCGTGCGGCCCGCAGATTCGCGAGATGCTCTACAAGATCAGCTTGGTGCCTGTCGTGGTCCAGTCGGAGAAGGATCCGGTGCTTACCGACATCCGCGACGCCCAGGCGATGCCCTACGATGTTATCATCGTCGACTCGATCGATACGGCCAGACGGCTTAGGTCGGTGGATGACTTCAAGTACCTGCCGATCGTTCTCCTGGCACCGGTTGTGCACGTCAACCTCAAGTCTTGCCTGGACCTGGGTATCACGTCCTACATGACGACGCCTTGCACCGCTGTCGACTTGGGTAACGGTATGATCCCTGCTCTTGAAAACAGAGCGACGCCTTCTCTCGCGGACAACACCAGATCTTTCGATATCCTACTCGCCGAAGACAACAGGGTCAACCAGAGGCTCGCCGTCAAGATTCTCGAGAAGTACCACCACGTGGTCACCGTTGTGGGCAACGGTCTTGAAGCTGTCGAGGCAATCAAGCGCAAGAAGTTTGATGTCATTCTCATGGATGTACAGATGCCTATCATGGTAAGTCCCGGAATTTCTATTAAGAGTCTCTCTTGAGTGCGAGCTAACCCCACCCGGTAGGGCGGCTTTGAGGCAACTGGCAAGATTCGTGAGTACGAGCGCAGCCTCGGCACGCATCGTACCCCTATCATTGCCCTGACAGCCCACGCCATGATGGGTGATCGTGAGAAGTGCATCCAGGCCCAGATGGACGAGTACCTGTCCAAGCCTCTGCAGCAGAACCATCTCATCCAGACTATTCTCAAGTGTGCAACCCTCGGCGGTCAGTTACTTGAGAAGAACAGAGAGAGGGATCTGGCTCAGCAGGTCAGGGTCAAGGCCAGCGGCAATGAGCAGCCTCAGTCTCACCTGCGCCCACCCTTGGAGAGCCGGGCCTTCACTTCAAAAGAACCAATGACGGGCCCTAGTCCAGCCAGCCCAGCTGCGGCCACCGCGGACCAGGATGACCCCATAACCAGGGCACGTAACGGCCTTTCCGACTCGCGCAGCCTAACAAGCTAACTTGATTACTTGTTTGTGCGTGTAGCTGCTACTGAGGTCACATAGTTCCTAACTGGGATGTGCAGGGACAGGCTCAGAAAAAACGCAAGTGGCGACCCGAGTAAACCAAACGAGACACATCGTTTTCCGACGAAATACCCAAGAAAGATATAAGAGCAGTAGTGGATGGATGTGGCACACGGACGCCGTCGCTTCCTCATTCTATCCGACATTTCTCTCACTGTTTACACGCGGCACGAGAACTTCAAGCGCCAAGAGGGCATTCCAGGAGAACGATAAATTCTTTTGAGTTTGCCATACATACGGGATGTGCATGTTGTTGAAGCACACGGCAAATGCAACCGGTTTCTTTGTGAGCTGGATGCATTGAATCTCCAGATGGGAGCATGCACACAAGGGGGCAGAGGTCGTTGGGAGTTTCATCTTTCTTGTTGTCTATGAATCAAGGGGCGAGGACAGGCGTCACACTGTCCATCTTCTTCACCTTCTCGTTAACCTTCTATTGTAGTTTTACTTTTTAGTACGCAGGAGTGGAGACAGAAAGGAGAGAACACCTTCTCAGCAGCCAGTGTCGTCGCTTGCTGTCTTTTGGTTCTCTCCTGTACATGGCGATGAATGGTCTGCTGGGCACCAGAGAGGCATCTGCCCCATCTGGTAGTCTGGCAGGGTCTTAGTTGCCATGAGGGATTGGGACAGAGGTTTCCGTTTCTTGAGAACAAGCATGACAGGTGGATAGCGGGGACAGACGGGGTTTTGATTTTTATTTTCCTCCAAACCAGGTTACAGCAACAAGGCGTCAAATATGGGCAGGGTGGGATTGAGACTACTACTACTACATTGATATCAAAGAAGACAAGCCGCCGTATGGCCAGGCCGAATTTCCGAGCTCACCGAGTCCCTTCTTTTCCCACCTTTGACTTTGTCACCTGGACGGATGCTGAGTTACTATTGATGATGACGAGAGTCACCTGCTCCTGACTCACACATACACCACAGGTTTCGCTTGGAGCCGAACTGGAACGAGACATCGTCACTTTTCAAGCCAGGGCCTCTCTCTCGTCCTCGCTGCCCTGCATTCTTTCCTCCACGTTCGTGGGCCGCGCCCGCGCAAGAAGGCTCTCTCTCTCTCTCTCTCTCTCTCTCTCTCTCTCCTTCCTCCCTCCCTCCCGCAAAGTCACATGCGCCGGAGTTCGTCTCCGGATCAATCAAATGGAGTCATGCTCGGCGAACGGCGAAAGACAAGACGAGACAGGAACGAAAAGCCGGATCCGATCGACTCCTGTCTGTCTGTCTTGTCTAGCTTCGGCTGCGATGGATGGCCGCGCCGGATGTGAGTCGGTACCCGCTGAGGGAGGCTACATACATACACATCGCTTGGCCAGAGGAACGCAGAAAGGGGGAGGGGCAAGATGAGGATGGGATTTCCGCCTTTTTGTTCGGTCGGGGTTTGATAATTGTCCATGTTGTTTTGGGCATATGTGTTTTTTGCCACGACAAAACCACAGCCAAGCCCGCAGTTTTCTCAACTGTTTCTGCATCCAACACGTCAAAGATTGTGTGACGTGTTCGGTTCCCTACAATGTCACTCTACCCAGGCAGCGCGGCCGCCCGCCCGCCCTGACGAGCCCGCTGGGAATACAAACACTCCGATCACGATCTCGATACACGGTGTGTCATTGTTATAGGAACCGGATGTCTTGTATTGATGCAGGTCGTAGGTATACCACAAGAAAGCCCCCAAGCGAGTGGCGAACCGAGATATTCGCACGACCCCCTCCTCCTCTTTTTCCCACCTTTTGTCGAATCTAGACCCTCGATGCCCGTCGATTCTGATCCCTCGCCGCCGTCCCCAAAAACCGCAATCTTGCATATTGCTTCCGACGGTGGGAACACGAACGATGGAGAAGCAAGAGTGCGATGTGTGGTCGGCAAGACGAGGCGCGATAGGCCAGGTCGCAGAACGCGGTGCGCCGGCAGGCAAAGTAGGGGTGAGGTTCTCGCCTCTTGATCTTGAATAGAAAAGGATCGTCGGTCGCCCACGCGGGAAAAAAAAACCTCCTCCACCCCTCCAAACATCGCCACCCGGATGTTGTACCGGAAATATGTCAAAACCCCATGTTTTAGTCTCCCTACAGCAGCAATTTCCATTCTTTCGTCGCGGGTAGTTGCAATGGCAAAGCTAAGATCGCGATGATGAGGGTGATCGGCCAAACCGACGAGATTGAGACCGCATTGATCCGCCTTTCGGACGCGAGCCGCCTCGACAGTGCTGGCACTCCTGATATCCGTCTAACGGTCCTTCGACGGCCCAGAAGCAGCGCCATGCCCAGAGCCGTTCTGCTCTTTCTGCCCGTTAGAGGAGTCTCCGTTGTGGGCATCGCCCTTGTTCGGCTTGTCATCCTTGGCGGTTGCGGAACTGTCGCCTTCCTTCTGGGGCTCTTCGGTGGCTTCGAAGGCGGCCAGGAGGGCGTCTAGTCTGTTCTCGAGGTTTGTGAGGTTCGCCTCGAGGGCGCTGGCAGCCTGTTCGCCTCTATTTGCGGTTCCCGGTTAGTCTCATCTCTGAAATCCAGCGTGGAGAAAAAGCGTTTGCAAGAACGCGTCTACATGGGCAAAGGTGAATGGGATTCAGTCTTTTCCGTCCGGCCACTTGGCTGGACCGGACGCAGGAGGGAGGGGTTGGTCGTTTCGGGGCGTTTTGGTAGTCCAGACTGCTGGGCATTGAATTGGGGGAAAATGTTCTCGAGCGATCGCGAGGGCTGTCGGCTGGGACTGGAATGGGAGCTTTAGCCCCGGGCGTGAGTTGTTGAAGGAAGTGTTCGCGCCCGGGATTTGGGCGGATGGTCTGGACCAAAGGCCTAGAACAGCGCCGACGTGGCTTTTGCAGCGGGAGCCGTAGCCGAATGCCATCGTATCGCGGTATCTCGTGACAAGCAAACTCAAGCATTGTCGTGCCACAACTCATCGGCCGACCCTCCCTCTGTGAGATCTGACGACGGAGGCGGGTTTCTCGTGTGAATGCAATGTCCCAGGCGTATCGTCTCGGGCAAAACGGTGAGGGGCGGGCAAGAATTGCGACGGGGTTGATGGATTTCCTCTGTCGGAACAATCCCGTGCATGGTCCAATCCATTTGTTGAAAATGCCATGTCAGATCTAGACCACAGTCTAGACCGGAAACATAGAGCAGCTAAGCACCAACTGACAACCGAGGGTGTCGAGCTGAGTGCACCATGCAGCAGACTAGGGGGAAGAAAAGACGGGATTGCCAATGGTGTCTTAGCCCAGGTACGGGTTAATGCGTGAGGTTTTGCAGCAAAGCGCCAGCGATTTTGGGCGGGCAGGCTTCTGCTGCGCTGTGATGCGCTGTAAGCCGTGGTGTGTCGTACTCGACTGGCCCGGCCCTACGTATTCCTCAGGGGCGGGCTTTCGGAGGCAGCTCCGGCTTGGGCGAAAGGGCAAGCAAGCTATTCTCGACACTGGTTTGTGCTAGGCAGGGGAGGAGGGATGTTTCAGTGGCTCACACCGGGGGCGCGTGTGCATGATGGCGGTGCTGGCATTTGCCTATCCAGACGAGGGACTGGGGAGGAACATAATGGAAAATGCTCGTTGAAGGGGCGTACCGTAGGAGGTCTCTGTAGGCCTAGAACGCGAGCCAAACGTGGTCAGCCCTGGAACATTGTGCGAGGGGTTTCCCATATCGCGCCACCCCCCCGTCTGCCTCGGATGAATTGTCTGTTGATTTCTGCCTCTCTCTCCTCTGGCCTTTCGACCGAGCTGGCTAGCTGCTCCTCAGGTCCTCGGTTGCAACAACACCTGCAATGAGTCGACACCAAATGGCCGCTCGCTGATTCCTGCCCTTTGAACACATTGTCTGTCTTGGAGCCCACCACAACATCCATACGGTACGGTACAGATAAGGGTCCAGACCGCCCCAGTTCCGATGGATGGGAACAATGAGCGAACCAACGAGCGTGCCAGACCATAGGCGGGGGCAAATGATGCCAGATAGCCGGGCGGAGCGCGAACGCGGAATTGAGAAAGCAGAGGAGCCTGAGGAGAAAGCTAGAGCCTGAGGCGCCAGGAGAGAGGGAAACGACAACTGACAAAGCACAGCCAATGGCTGAGAGAAGGGCAAGAGGAACCGGGTTTGCCATGGTTGAAGGCTTGAAGCAGAAGTTCTGCATCAGCATGACCCCCGGCCCCCCTTGCTCCGACGGGGTCGCAAAATAGCATGCAGATACGGACGACATACCTGGGCGATGTTATCCACCGACTCGCCGTCGGGCCTGTTCGTTGTCGGGGAAGCGGGCTCGGGCTCCTGAGACGCTGGGGCCATTTTCGGAGACGGCGACGGAAGCGCGAACGAATCGAAGTCGTCGGAGGGAAGGGAAAAAAGTAGCTGAAAAAAACTGGGAGAATATGGCCTGATTTGGGGGGCTCTTTGATGGAGTGCCGCCCTCTTTTCTTGTATCTGGCGTCTTTCGCCTTTTCTTGCAAGTCTGCCGTAATGTGGGAAATGCGGATACTCGCTCTACTTCTCTCTTGACGGTCGATGCTTGTTCCACGCGCCGTAGCTTCTTTCGAGAAGAGAAAGCGGATTTTGTCGAGCTAGGGCGGAAAGCTGATGAGAATTGGACTCTTGGGGCTCGGTTTTGTTGACGGTGGCCTCAGCTGAACCTCGGTGGCTTCCACTTGAGCGATTCGGTAATGCCGAGCGAAAGGCGAAAATTCGGTGTCGTCTCAAGGGTGTAAAAATGCGGATTTTCCAGGATGGATGAATGGGATTTTGTAGGGGCTTGTTGGTGTTGGGCGGCAGAATTGCGGTCTTGCTCAATCCCCTCACTCGGGTCGTAGTTGTCCCCTCCAGAAGACTGGGACAATGACATCCCTCAGGTCGGTCCCAGTGGAAGGTGGGGGTCCCCTCCAACGGTTGGCGCACGGGCACTGGCATACCGCCCGAAAAAAAAAGGAGAGAAAAAAAAGGAAACGACTGTGACAAATTTGACTCATGCATTGCACCCTTCATATTCTCCAAGTTTTTCCATTCTTCCAATCAGTCGCCCAGATCGTCTAGTTGGTTAGGATGATACGTTGTGGTCTTGTTACGCAGCAGTTCCGTGTTGACGGCGGTTCGAATCCGCCTCTGGGCACATCAATTTTTGCCGTTACCCCAAAATTCTCTTCGATCCCCATCTTGTTAATGCCAGTCTCGACTGCGTCGATTTGACGTCAATTCAAGATCGGGCTCGTTTAGACTTTTTGCTGTTCCTCCAATTCCCTACCCAACTCTCATCGAGATGTCCATGTTGCTTGTAACACCAGGTGAACCTCTAGGCCGCAACTGGAGAAGCCATGCCCGCAATACCGTAAACAACGTCCGCTCTACATCCTTGACATGGAATCGGTTACAACCTGGGCATGGGGATGCAATGGCAAGGGTCCCAAAACTATCGCGGTCTGCTCGGGTTGGTGACAACGCCTGACTCTTGTGGTCGATCGTCATTCGGTAGATGGAAAAGATGGTCTGCTCATCCATGTCGCACGCTGTCAGAAGGTCGAAAAGTCGAAAACTAAGCCCAGGATTACCATCGGTAACCATCAGTGTTGGTCTGATGTTGTCGTACCCTGGAAAGCCGCCGACAGGCCAAGTATCAACTGCAGAGGAGAGTGAACGTCGGCCGGAGTGCACGCCGGAAAGGCAGAAGGAGTGTGTGTCAACCAATCCTATGACGGTATGCCGTCTTGGTGGGAGCTGCAGCGTACGTGCCTCAAGGCGTTCTTGCGAGGTTCTCCAAACTGTCGCTATCCAAATGCTTTCTTCGCCTGTCTTGCAGCCAATTACTGAACATTCATCACACTGTGTAGACACTCACGTAGGCATCGTGAAGTAAAAGTCGCAGGACGAAGTGAAGGCTGACAACAAACCAGAGCGCTTCCTGTACCTCTCCTCCAGTTGAGACCATCGCATCCGATGATCAGTATCGGTACTTTGAAACAAAGCCCCTCTGTACCTCTCACACAGACAAAAACATACACACTGGTGTTGTGCTGGGTCAACCCCACTTGGCGAGCCTATGTACACTGTACCTGGGCACTAGGTAGGTAGGGGGGAAGTTGACAGTTTCCGGTGATCCACTCATCGAGGCGTACTAGGCACACTAGCCTTTCTTGGGATCACTCTGGCTTTTTCGATGCCGCACCGCAAATCAGATGCTGACAACAACCTTCTGTTACTCGGATCTTGATCAAGGCCATGATATCAGATCCCAAACCGAAGCACATGGGATGCTGCCCCTTCTGACGCATTGGCGTCCAATCTTCCCGAGAGCAATTGGTGGCATTTGCTGAATCTCGATGACCTGGAATGGGCGTTCGCGATCGAGATGTTGGGATTTACCGTGTCCCACGACACCCATTTCCGTAACATACGGTTCCTCTCAAACCCGGCATCTTCCATCTTAAGGTACGGCCAACGCGTGCTCTGACAGCGTGGGTGAGTCCCGGTTACATCAGCATCGATCTTTCTCCCACCACCATCCGTACTGCCGCTGCTAAACATCAGCTTCAGCGTCAGCCCTGTTACCGTGCCTGGTCGTGATCTTCTGTGCCGTCCGCGATCGAAAGGTCCCAAGCGTGTAGCTGTTGAGATATCCCTGACACAACGACGTGTTTTCTCACATGGCCCAGAAGCCAAGCGCAAACAACAGTTCTGTGCCAATGGTATGCGTAGTGTCGCAGTAGTGTCCCTTGCAGTGTTTTGTTTCCTCTTCAACTCCTCCCATTTCTCTCACACCAGTGGTCTCCATTCGTGCCGCGCCTGGAGAAGCCGATCCTTAGGCGACGCTGGAAAGCATTTCTTGGCCCATCTAGATGCGCGCTATTTCCCATCTTTGATGAAACTCTGGTCCACGAGCGCCTTGCCGTTACCTACAACTCAACGTCAGCCGGCATGGCCATCGTAAGAGGGCCTTGAGGACCCCAGTGAGTGGTAGGTTTCGCAAGGCGCGCGCCGCATCGAACCTACGTCACGGCGGGAAGCTCAGATCGAAGTAGTCGGGAGGTAGCGTATAAGTGGTTTGCGACGCTAGTTTCTGGACGGTAGCGCGTTCCGCTGTAAACCTCTCAGCAATTGTAGGGTCGATAGATTGACGCCCTCCCTCATCGGTCGGACATACGGATAGGTGGTTGCGTTCAGTTGGATGGCCCAGGCGTTCGCTCCTCAGTGTTCGCTTGAAGAGTCCAGAACATTCACTGATATCTTGACGGTGGCGACGGGATGGATCGTTCTACATATTTTTTTGACAACGGGACGAATTGATGAAGCAAGTGGTCTCGGTCATCGTCGATAATAAATATCTTGCATGCTGGTCCGGCGGGTTCGTTGTCGACTCAGTATCCATGATCCTGGAGTTGAAAGATCGAAGAGCAGGACGTGAGCTGCCTGGCACACCTGGCTAAGACGGATCCCTTGGAAGATTTGATACCTGCAAAAACCGGGTTTGGGTTCATATCTGCAACTCAAGTTGACGAAGCGATTATTGGACGCTCCTTTCCGTGACCTTGGCAACAGAGATACCTGCGCCTGCATCTCTCTGATTTGGCGTCACTTGGTTTGGTCGATGTCTGGCTCGTCCAGTAAGATGGCCCGAGTTCCAGAACGCTCTGATGGATTGTGGAGCCGTGGTGTACATGCCCTCTCAGCCTCACGTTTTGAGAGAGGCCGACAGAAAATACCATCTCCAGCCAGATGCGCAATCTCTAGCTGGCGATGGCCTTTTCTCGCCCCCTTCGCCACAGGACGAATTTCGCGATCGTGCACCGATGGGGTGTGCTGCCAGGCGTGCCGCCGTTGACCTGGCCCGATCATTTCCCAAAGTTTCACCGCATGGTCGTGCCATCAGTAATCGCATTGCGAGAATCCGATTACTCTCGAAAAGAGGAATGCCGTGTGAAGTCGGCGAGAAAAGTGACGAGAGCCTTTCAATCAAGGGGTTCGTCGTATTTCGTGCTTCATGTAGCCCTTAGTTGGAGCTTGGCTGGATTGCATGCTACTCGACCAGTCGTGAATCGCGCGTCTGGTTACTCCCTCCGACACCTGGTCGTTGAACTTGGACGGGCTGGTGTTTCCGTTGAACGCATTTCCCCAAACCGTGAAGACAATAACTGTTGGTCGGCCGTGGAGGTCGACGTATCTGCCTGACGTCCGCCATTCGCCGGCCGCCGTCTCATCCGCGCCGTACCATTCGGAGAAGTAGGCTGTGAGTAGTAGACCGGACTGCGGTGCTACAGTGCTGCGGTACTTCGATACCCGGACGCAGCGTTCCAGTGGGCTCTGCGGTGGCCAGATTCATCCGCGTGAGCGTGCTGCGGCAAGGGTGGTAGGGGATTTCGATGCGCGGCGCAATTTTCGATTTTCAGGTGTCTTCCCAGACTTGGTCTGATGCTCCGTCTCTCCGCATGGAGGGGTGAATGTAACCATGCTGGCTTAGTCTGCTCAGACGCTGACACGTCGAGAAGCGCGACTCTAGCGTGCCTGGGACAGGCGTCTTGAAGTGCACGTCGAAGTCGAAGGTGAGCATCGAGATTCAGGGCCGCGGGCTGGGCTGTGTTTGATTTTTCGACCTTCGTCTAACCCAGGCGTCGATATGTGTTTCTCAAGACCGGCAGGGTCCTTGATGGTGACAATTATGTTCTCCCTCGATTTGCCAGGATGATACCCAGCACATCGAGGTCACTTCGCATCCTCTGCCGCCCATGGTTGTGGTCGCGACCGTGGACTTGACTCCGGGCCGTCTGTCAGAATATCGAGTAACTGTGTTTGATGACGATGGTAGTATTGTAGTGTAGCCAATGCCTTGCAGCGAATTGTGGAACGCGGCGGGCAGTCTGGTGTTTAGTTTGAAAGATTGAAGAATGTTCAGTTCAAAGACAGCTGGAGAGGAATGACGGGCCTGGTCTTGGAGGGCTCGAACATGGCTGCGAAGAAGGTACCTACCTTAGTGAGTGTATTGTTGTTGATCAAGGCACGGATGTATTCGCAGGAGCGGTTGACTGTGCTGCTGCGAGTTTTCGGGCATGGGACGGGAGCAGCCTCCCAAGTGCACCTGGTGGTGGTGATGATGAGGAAGGGGGTGTGGATGTCGATTGGGGGCGTCCCCTGTTCTCTTCTTTCCACTGACAGTTCTGGCCTGAGGTGTGACGGGAAGGAGCAGCTTGCAAGTGCCTGGACTGGTGGTACCTACTTAGGTAAGTGACGGGGAACGGGAAAGAGCACGCAGACATGTACCGGTACGGCTCTGGGGAGCATTTGCGGTACTGAAGGTAGGTAAGGTAGGTACTCCGTAGAAGCCCCCATCTCAAGCGGCCGTTTCCTGTCCCTGACTCGCTGATTATCCTTGTCATCCACGACCCGGGAAAGAATCCCCATTATTTTTGCTGGTGGAATCCCGCTTTTATTTACCATGGGCTTCCAGTGAAAGCTCCTTGTTGATGCTGCTAGATTCCTCTGCGACTTCTCAAAAGTCGGTTTTTGCGATCAGACGCCAGCAAGCTTGTTATTAGGTATTTGGCCTGGGTACCTGGAACTCGCCAAACCGCAGCACCAATACCAACCAGACCTAACAGACTCGTATGTACCCTAACCTCTGCGCCCGGTAGGTAGCTACGAATACATGCCCATGACCCAGGTAGCTCTTGCTGCCTGAGCCGGTTTCCAGAGGCATCACCCCAGATCATATCTTACTTACGAAGGTCTCAGAAGGCTAGAGGTACCTACACTAACTATTCGTACTCTGCGCTACCTACCTTACGTATCTACCTACCTACATCAAGAGACACCCACACCCACCTGACAGATTCCCTTTCGACACCTCTGACCTCACCTTTCCATCCGCGTCGATCACCGCGGGGCTGGCACTGTTCTTCCTGTTATTCTTCGATAAACGGTTCTCTTCCGTCTTCACCTCAGTTCGCTCTACCCGCCCTGTTCTACGAAGACATCCTCCGTCTGCCATAACACCGTCAACGAACCCCCCTGGTGTTTCTTCACCGTTCCCAATTTCCAACTTCCGCAGGGGACAAGAAAAAAAGACTTTTGCTGGCGGGCCTTCATTTTCTTCCCCAAACCCATTGCCAGCCTTTTTCCTTCTTCTCGAACAAGCAACTCTTGGGTCTCGATTCACTCCAGACTTCCACTACATTGGCGCGCCGACTCGTCTTCCCGCCATCCATCCATCCACCCATCCAATTCTTCCCCTCCACTTACTTCCACATACCAAATCTGCCCTTTCCAGGTCCCCGTCGTTCATGCGGCTGTAGACCGCCGAGCAGGCTCTGAAAGACGCAACACTCGCCGCTGTACGTATCCTCTCCAGTCTTCTTGTGTCAATGTACGGAGTACACACATCCCACCTGGATCTTGAAAGCCCCTCTCTGCTTGGCCCATCCCATGTCCCACACCTCAGAGCTCGGTCTCCTTTACCATGTCATCGAGATCCCTCTCGTATATTGCAGCCACCACGTTGGTATATCCACGCCAGACTCGCCGTATGCTTTCGTCCCTGACAACCGTCCGTTAACCTTCTCGACAGATCAGTCTTCCGTCCAGTACACCAAGGGACCTCGACTACTACCACTCTTCCGCCACCGCATCGCTTCCTGCTTCGCCAAACATTCCGAGATAAACTTGTCGCCCACGCATCGCCGTCTCAGTCTATCGTTCGCCGCGTGCCGCCTCTCAGACACGCTTCGTTATCCAGGGGGAAACTCCCAATGATTGTTGGCTGGACTTAGAGCAACAAGAAGTGCTTCGACTTCGAGCTAGGAAATCCGACCGACAACCAGATGGGAACGAATTGACCGACGACAAACGAGTAACAATACGCTGGCACTGAGGCGCTCCTTCATCAAGTTGAGCAGAGAATCGCTGTCGAGGAAATCCGAACACCTCCACAACCCGTCCGACGAGCAGACACGTCCGAAGTCCAAACCCTACCTCATCATGGCGCAAGAACTGGAAAGCATCTTCGCCGAGCTGGGCATTTCTCAGTACCTCGACGCATTTGTCGAACAGGGTTTTGATACTTGGGAGACCATATTAGATATCACCGAGTCCGATCTGTAAGTAGGCGGCCGACCGCGTCGCCTTGCAAACGTGACTGACATTAGTCTCAGGGATGCTCTGCAAGTCAAATTGGGCCATCGACGGGTAGGAACCCAACAACTGTGCGCTTGAAATAAGCATAATCTGACGGAGGAAACAGAAACTGCAAAGACGAATCGCTAATTCCAGAGGTCACGCTCCCGATGCATCGCTGGTCTCGCCGACGAGAGCAAGTGTAGAGGAGCCGAAGCCAGAGGCACAAAGACCAGAGATTCAACGACCTGAAAATAAGGACGGACCCGTTGTAACCAAGCGGAAGTACAGACGTCACCCGAAGGTTCGTATCGACACTCTTGTGATCATGTATAGTGGGTACTAACAATTTATCAGCCTGATGAAAACGCGCCAGAGCGTCCGCCTTCCGCCTACGTGTTATTCTCAAACAGTGAGTCCTAAAACTTTTGAAGACTCCGTTCTCAGTGTTAATTTGGTTTCAGAAATGCGTGACGAGTTGAAAGGTCGCAATTTGACCTTTACAGAAATCGCCAAGCTTGTGGGAGAGCATTGGCAAAACCTCTCTCCTGGGGAAAAGGAGCCATACGAGACATCCGCGTTAAAGGCCAAGGAAAAGTACAACCATGACTTGGCCGAATACAAGAAAACTGCCGAATTCAGGAAGTACACCGCGTACTTGGCTGATTTTAAGGCTAGACAAGCCAGCGCCAATCAAGGTAATGAAGGAAACGCCGTTTAATATTTTGAGACGGCACTGATGCGTACTTAGCAAAAGAGTCTTCCAAACGTCAGAAGCTTGACACGGGAGCAATTCGTCTGCAAAACGGTAGTGCGAGCGCGACGCCAGGAAGTTTAAGCAGTACAGGTAGTGGGAGTGAGAGTCAACCAGGGAGCGAACCACCCCCAAACAGGAAGCAGCGAGTTGGATCCGTGGTGTCTTTGCCCGAGTCGCAGTATTCGACAGCCGTGCCCACGCCCATATTGCAACATCACCAAGCCATCGACGAACCGGTGCACTCGCCTACCAGCACTCAATTCGACCGTGAAAGCCTTCAGTCGACAAGTCCACGCGCATCACACAGCAGAAGCCGACGCCCGACATGGACCGATATCCATCAGGTTCCTCCTGAGGCAGCTCCAACGCATCTACCCCCACTAGCGGATATTGGTGTACCGTTGAACGGGATTTCGAGATCACCGGAGGCAAACGGGTTCGGCGGTTATATTCCCCCAAGGCATCCGCAAGTGCCACCACCGTTGAAACACGAGTATTCGTCAGCAGGAAGCTCTGCGTCATCTGGCTCTCTCCCATCGTATCCCCAAACGCCGAACCTCAATCCGCCCAACAATCATCAACTTCCGATCCGCGACTTGCTTCAACAACCGGACACATTTGCGGCGGTATCGCGAAGTGCGCAAGACCCTAAAGCAGTATTCTCCCCTCAGCTTCAAGGTCCATACGGGGCTAGGAACGGTACTTTCAAACATCCTTAGCATAGCTTTCGGTAGAGGCTAATGAGGTTCCAAGGTTACCACTCGCCGCCGCAGCTGTTGCGGTACCAATCAAGCGCGTCCTCGTCGGGGGCCGAGGGTTCTCTCCCGTCATCGTCGCACGCATCTTCTCATGCATCTTCTCAAACCTCGCTAGGGGTTCAAGAGCGAACCGACTATTTTCCCGATAAGATGAGGGCTCTTATCCAGGCCAGCGAAATGGTAGGCCGCCGTCAATGAGCCGACACGTTTCGTGCAAGACGTCGCTCGAAGAATATGATCGTATTTTGTTATCTGAATCTGCCGCCTTGGGTTTTAAATTGAAATCGGACTCGGGGGGAAAATCGTCGGTGTGTTTTTGTGGATGGACGGCGGGCGTACTGAGCCGTCAAAGGGTCGGTCGATGTTGGTGTGTGTGAGTATCTGAAATACCCTCATGGTTTGGCATCTTGCTGGGCATTGTTTTCCGGGAGTCCTTTACGGCAGTGTGTTTACAAACACCGCCAATGGCGTTTTGGGTTCTGCAGACCTGGCATATTTTCTCTTTCTCGCCCAGTTGGGTTCATGAGTTGTGTGACACGACCAGACGATAGGGTTCATCTTGAAGGGTAGGAATGGGGTGGATATGGCATGACATTTGTGAAGCTCTCTAACAAACCAGAGGGGCCAAAACTTTTATATAAACCAGTTAACAGAGAGAATAAGTTCAATCAACAGGATATAGGGTATGACAGGACGAAATGGTATCAAGTAAGCACTTGCCGACTGATTTGTGAAGGGTGACTGGCCCAACGTGGTAGACTTACCTGAAGTGTATACAGAGAGATAAGATGACGTGAGGTGAACCAACAGACGAAGCGGACGAGACGACCTTTTTACTCATTTTTCATCCTTCACACGCAACAGCCAGCAAATGCCGACGCCCGTTGGGAAACCAGGTAATTAACCAAGGTCGGGTCGGGGTCCGGTCCCGTCTCTGTCTCTCCTGCATACCCTCAGAGCCTCCAACGTCATCATGTGCTCAAAATTTCGGGGTCCCTCACCCTCCTTGTCTTGTTTTTTCTTGCAAGTTGCCGGCCGCGCGCGCGCAGAGGCGGTAGACCGACCAACCAGCCTTGCATTTCGGACCCCACTACTCTTGTACCCCTGGCTTCAATCCCCGCCGATCACTAGACCCTGCTTGTTCGACCGTCATCAGGAGGATGGCCGAGTTTCGAGACGAAAATGTCGAGGTGCGTTGGGTGTTCAGGTGCGTGTAACGTCTTGGGAGCTGAAAAGGAAAACGGAAGATGGAAGAAGGGAATTGATTGCCTACCTGCCTTATTCTTGTCCGATGCGCACAGATGTTCAGATGATATCGCCTACTCGTCATCCTCATCTTCATCCACAAACCACCGCACTCATCAACCCAGGGGAGGCTACCCTTTTTGTTTCCCACGTGCGTTTCTTGTCAATCATACTCGTTCAAGGGACTCAAGCCCCCCTTCCCAACATGCCAGGTTCCTAATACGTCAGTTGCATCGACCAAAGCATGCAGAGCGACCTGGACCACGCGGGTTAGCGCGCAAGGCCCCCAGGCTAAGGCCGAGGCGGGATGACGCGATGCGATGCGTCCCGGAGCGTGTCATCCTTGGAAAAGCATGGCCAATTGCTCTGGTTCGTTCATCCTGACTATTTGGAGCTGGTGTGTGTGTGAGAGAGAGAGAGAGAGATGGTGGGTGTATGTATGTGTGGGTGGTCTTGGCTGAACTAGAGAAGCCGCGTGCGCCTCGCCTCTTCTTCGTCTCTTCTTCAGATGCTTCATCGGATGACATTGTCCCAGAATCCGCGCCTTGCTTTGATGGCATTAGTGTGCCTTTCCTTATGTCTACTACGCAGTAGTCCCGGGTCCAAGGTCTCGGGTAATTCTTGGACATTCGAGCTAGAGGTGAAGTAAGTGCCTAGTGCCACCCGTCATCCCTTCCCGCCTTCGCATGATAGGATGGACTTGCACCAAAGCGCATAGATGCAGACACGACACGGGACAAGCTTAATGCGATCAAAGGTTCAAGAAAATGGAACACCGTGTCAGGGCCGGTTTGGTTTTCTCATTCATTACATAAGACGTCACGCCCAGCAGGACTCCCGGCGCGGGTTTTGGGGTCCCCGAGCGAAAGCAAGGCCTAAGACAAATGGTTTCTTGATAGCCGCCGCCGCCGTCCCAGGTCATTCATTATTGAATCTCGGAAAAACAAAACAGGAAATCAAACATGTCGTCATTACAAGCAGGAGCAGCGCCAGAGGGGGCCGACCCGCCTCTTTTTAAACCTTCCGTCTTCTGCGAACTCGTCTTAATCGCCGCCTGCAGAGATCTCGGCCGTCCAGTCCTTGCGGATCATGAGCTCTGTGAGATCCGGCGTCTTCTCGACAACCAGGCCCTTCTCGTTGGCCAGGTGGAGCAGACTGATGAAGCAGAAACTTGTGGAGATGTCCTCCATCTGCGGCTTGTTGTAGACTGTCTGCAGGTTGTTCATAACGTCGGTGAACTTCAGGGTCGGGTCCTTTGAAGGGTCCTCGGGCGGGCTTGGTGTGGGAGTTGCCTGAGAGAGTATCAGTATCATGTCCGTCTTTCCATGATGGGTTTGTGTTTGACTTACGGTGGCTTCTGGCTCGAGACTCTCGAGACCCATGCCCTTCCAGATTTCTTCCTTTAGTCGCCTGACGTCCACTCTCTTGGCCACACGAGCATATTGCACGTAGTCTGGCCGGAGACGGCGAGTCTGGGTGACTAATGTGGTGCCAAAGGCGCCGGTCAAGGCGTTCGTGACTGCGTCGCTGCCGAGCAGAGCGGTCATACCTGCTGTCTCGGTAGCTCCCGGGTCGCCCTCGGCGCCGGGAGACAGGTGCTCGCGAGCATCGGCAAACTCATCATCCTCGTCCTCGAGACCGCCAGCGAAGGGAAGGGCATCGTCTTGGAAGAAGTTCGCGTCGTAATCTCCCTGGGGCAGTGCCGTTTCCTCCTCGGTGCCGTGCATCGGCTCCTTCTGCTGCGCCCAGAATGCCTCGTCCATCTCGCCCGCTGGAACGTCCATGTCTTGACCTCCATTGCCGAAGGCGCCTCCCTTGTTGCCAAGGACGCGTCTCCTGCTGAGACGAGCCTTGGGCTTGAGGAACAGGTTGAGGAGTGACTTGGAGCTGAAGTGCTTGTCGTCCGGCAGCAGATTCCGCGATTTCGAGATCCAATCCTTTTTGGGCATGGAGATGGCTGAGTTGCTTGAGGCTTTCGTGTACAGGACATCGGCCAAGGTCTGGTCGAGAGGCGCAGCAAAGTCAATTTCGAAGGGCTCCTTTTCCTTGCGCTGCCGAGCAGGGGCCGCGGGCTTGTTGATGTCCTTGATCTTTCTGATTCTCCAGTGTTCGGCGCTGCTCCAGTTCTTCTGCAGAGCGTGATCAAAGTACCCAAGGATATCCTCGTGCATCTTGTCGGCGGTTTGCGCATGGCTCATGGAAATGACAAAGTCGCCGTTATCCTGGTCAAGCATCTCGACATCGCCGCCTTCGCCATTATCGTTGCCAAGGCCGGCATCGTAGACCCGCATTTGCGGTTCGAGAGCTGCTTCCTTGGCCCAAGCCTCACCACCCTCGCCGAATGCGACATCGCCGCCGATATCGAAGCCGCCGAGGCCAAGGTCGTCATCGTCGAAACCTGCAGCGTTGTCGCCGTCGATAAACATGCCGGAGTTATCGCCAAGCGGATCAGCGGTCTTCTCCTTTTCGCCTCTCCAGTCTTCCGGTGCCCTTAGGAAAGGGATGTCCATAGAGCCGGAGGGATTGCCGAGATCGAACGTCTTCAAAGACGGGCAAACGTCCAGCTCATCGACGATGGTCACATCGGGGAAGAATTTCGCACCGAGGGCACCCAGATCGATTTCAACGTCTTCGGTCTGTTCGGGCTCGGGTTCGGGCTCGTCCACCATGGAAGGCTCAGGAGTTCCGTCTTCCTCATCCTCCGCGGTGTCCTTCTTTCTTGTCTTTGAGGTCTTCGCATCGCCAACATCGTCACTGCTGTCGAAGACGATGCGTCCTTGAGAGTCGATCATAAGGTGATTCAGGAGCAAGCCCTTTGCGCCACCCTCATCGAAGTCTGCGGATGTCTTTTTGAACAAGGGGTCGACGGCGAATTCGAGCTCGAACTTCTTGAGTTGGAGAGAGGAGAAGTTTGGTGCGAGAGTCGCTTCTGAGGATCGTTGAGTCTGTTTATGTTAGGGTCATTTTAAGACCGTAAAGCTCTGGGGCGCATACCTTTCGCTTCGACTTCTTCCTCACGTTGCCGTCTTCGTCGACCTCTTCCTCGCTCTCTTCGCCCTCGGCATCATCGCCATCACGGTCCTTCTTCTTGCTGTTATTGTCTGCGAGACCACTAAGAAGCTTGCCGGTCTCTGTTGCGACACTGTCGACTCTGCTGGTGTAGATCTTGACACAGCCATCCAGCGTGCAACTGGCCTTTTGGAAGTTGACGCCATCACCCTCCTTGAGAAGAGACATGTCGTGGAAGTAGTCAATCAGGGCAAAGTTCCAGGAGTTGTTTGCATTGATCTTGTTATCAGTGGCCATCTTCATCCACTCCTCGAAGTTAGCGAGAATCGGGACTCGCTTCATGGGCGTAACAGTGCTTCCGCTAACAACGATATCTTCGTCGTCGTCATCTTCGGCGTGGCGACCGCGGCTGTGTCGAGCGCCGGGTGTCTTGGGTCTGGAACCTCCGGGGGAATTCTCGAGATCTTCTAAGCTTGAGCTCTGCCTCTTCTTGCGCAGCGGTGTCGCGGCAGCAGCTTTCAGTTCGTTCTTCTGTCGCTCTTGCAGCGCATGGCGGGATTGCGCTCGTCGTGCCTTCTCTTCCACATCGTCGTTGAGGGGGATTCTGGGCATTGTTTAGTTTCGTTGCTATGCAAAACATCGGTGAGTCGCCGGCGTCGCAAACATACTTGACAGGAGAATTCTTGAAGGGTGAGGTGTTCATGGACCCGGAGGTCGCTCTGACGCTTCCAGCGCGGGGTACCTGAGCCACTCGAGGCATCTTGTGTTGTTTGCGCTGAGGTTGTCGTCAGGATTTGTTAGTCGGAATTGCTGCGTTTGCGATATGTGTCGGTGCCGGTGCCGGGTGCCCTGTGCCAGTGTTTACTTTCCCCACCGGGACACGCCCCAAGCGACGACGCGAAACAACAATAAAGAGTTTTCTGCCTAAATTGTTAGGTGTCAATTTTACCCTTTTCGGGCCGGACAAGGCGGGGAGCTGAATCACCCCCCAAAAAAGCAGGTACGTTCCGTCGTCCCAACTCCTTATCGATGTGATCAACACGTGACGCAATCATGTCAGTGCCCAGCCCGGATTGGAACCCCTCTCTTACACTTGCCGTTGCAATGCTCCCCCCTCTCTTAAAGTTGCCGCTTCAATCACGCATAGCCACGTTGGAGGGGATTTTCCACGCAAGTCCTCGGCTCGATCAGGGCAGCAGCTTGTGGTCTTGGCCAAGAAACTTGCGACACAACCGTTTCCTAAAGGCGTTGGGCAGGTTTTCCCGGGCTGCCTCCCGCTGTCTCCATGAATCGTACATCAAGACTGAAAAGCGCATGTATTTCGCGGCTCAGTTCGCATCGCTAGTAGCCTTCTTTACTGTACCTTACCGCGACTCGAGACACCCGACCCCGTTCCTCCTCGTGCAGCGGAACGAGCGGCATCACCAAGCACTCGCACGCGACAAGGCTCTTGCCATGGCTTCGACTGAGCCAATTATATCCCGCATTTGACGTCAGCATGCCAACGACCTCCAAGATTAGAGGGAGCGGGCTACGCTTGCGGCCATTCTATGCCACCGTTTTCCTGCTCACCTTGCTGGCTACATGGTCTTACTTTACCAAGGCTACGGAACGCCGTTTCGCCCCGCAGCATGCCGGTCCCGATGCCTCGTCTCCGCTCCTCAAGAGAACCGAGTTGACGGAATGCCGGGATGTCCACCTGGCCGACGATCAGTGTGCCTTTGTGAAGGCTCACTGCGCCGATGATGAGGCCGGCCTCTTATCGTATCTCACCCTCTACTACTGCGACCTTGCTAAAGCCCATACGGTGGCTTTCATTATCTTGGTCTGTTGGCTTGGCCTACTCTTCACCACCATTGGCATCGCCGCGAGCGACTTCTTCAGCGTCAACCTGAACACCATATCCACCATCCTGGGCCTCAGCGAGAGTTTGGCTGGCGTTACCTTCCTCGCCTTTGGAAATGGGTCCCCGGATGTCTTCAGCACCTTTGCGGCCATGGGCTCCAATAGTGCCAGCATGGCGGTTGGGGAACTCATCGGCGCCGCAAGCTTCATTACCGCCGTGGTCGCCGGATCCATGGCCTTGGTTCGCGAGTTTAAAGTGGGGAGAAAGACGTACGTTCGAGACTTGTGCTTCTTCATCGTCGCCGTCTGCTTCACCATGGTGTTCCTGGCAGATGGGCACCTCCATCTATGGGAATGCATAACGATGGTCTGCTACTACATCTTCTACGTGGTCACCGTTGTCACATGGCACTGGTATTCGACAAGGCGGAGCCAGCGGCGGGTCCGGGAAGCAGCCGCACGAGGCCATGTCTACGGAGCTGTGGGGCATCCCAACGATGAGCTGGCCCCGGAGCCATACCGGGATGATCCCGACGACGAGGATCGTCGAGTCACCTCGGCTTCCGCCTCCAACGCTGGAGATCTCAGTGCCTTGGAGGCTGGACCAAGAATCGAAGTCGATGACCAAGACGAAGCCGAAGATGAGGGCGAAGACAGCGACCACGGGAGACATGTGGTGGCTGAGATGGCAAGCAACATGCGCATTCTCCGTCCTCGAGGTCGAAGACGCAACACCCTCACGCCTATCCGTCCCAGTTTGGTTGGTGCCCTCGAGTTTCGATCAGCCCTGGCGCAACTGCAAAGGGAGAGCAACTTGAGGCTTCGGCCAATGCATGGGCGAGCATTCTCGGTCAACAATATCAGGACGAATAGCGAGTCGAATACCGCAATGGGTCCGCCATCTGACTCTGGGCGATACACTATTAGTGGCGGCGAAGGCTTTGGCGGGAGTAGGAATCGAGCCATGTCTTCCGGAGACGTTCCTGGGTCATTAATCAATAGCCGCAACGTCAGCCGTGATCACTCCCCTTGGCGTTTCCCTCCTCAGGGCGTGTATGCGAATCCCATCCAACAAGTCAAGGCAGAAGAGGCTCGGAAACGGAGCCCGTCCCCAGCCTACAAGATTGGCGGCAACCTCGCCCCCCCTCCCATCGACTCGGCACCACATCGGCAGGACACTGGAGGCAGCGAGCCCCTCGACCCTCGTCCCTTCGGCCAGCTCTCGCTACAAATCCCAACAAGCAGACGTACGAGCGTCAGCGACAGGTCTTCACCAGCATCACCTTTTCCCGGCTACACGGAGTCTCCCATGATGTTGACGCCAGCGGCCCAACCTGACCCGCCCGAGTTCATCATGCCTCCAGGCCTAGCTCGAATGGAAGTTCCCTTTGCACCATACGAGATGGCCGACCCCAAGCCTGTGAGATGGTGGCCGTATGCCATCCTCCCTCCTCCCCACATCTTCTGGAGAACGTTATTCCCCACACTTTTGGGTTGGCAACAAAAAAGCTACTGGGACAGGTTTGTCAGTACGATATCAGTGCCCAGCATTTTGTTGCTGGTGCTCACTCTTCCGGTTGTCGAGAGCGAGAGTCCAGATGACTTGTCGGATGAGACCATGGTAGACCCACTGACGGATACCAATGTCGACGGCTCCGTAACGTTACCAGAGGGCGAACCCATCGAGCAAGAGTCGGAATGGCAGCGCTTCAGACGGGCTACGTTAACGCACTCTCGTATGCCCTCTATGGAGCGAACTTACTCACCCAAGGGCTCTCCAGCGTTGATCGCCATCGATGACCCCAGCGGCGCACGCGTCGCTACCGAAGCGCCCACCAGTCATCCACAACCTACGAAGCCAGCAGCGCCATTGCCATCAGAGAGCAGTATTGCCGTTGACGACTCGGGCCAATGGAACAGATGGCTGGTGGCCATTCAGATATTTACCGGCCCGCTGTTTGCTGTGGTCATTCTTTGGGCGAACATGATGGACGACTTCGCGCACCCGTACAGGGTCCTCGTTCGATTCATCCTCTACACTCTTCTGGGATCCGCCATTCTGCTTGGCATCTTACTTATGACGACGAACCCAGACAAGAGACCCAAGTTCCACTTCTTGCTGTGTTTCATGGGATTTATCATTGCCATCGCTTGGATTTCTACCATTGCTGGCGAGGTCGTCGGTGTTTTGAAGGCATTTGGTGTCATTTTGGGAATCTCAGAAGCTCTCCTTGGATTGACCATTTTCGCGGCGGGTAACAGTGTGGGCGACCTGATTGCCGACATCACTGTTGCCCGGCTTGGCTACCCTGTCATGGCATTGTAAGTTGCAACGTAGCTGATACGTCCTCATCGCGTGCTAACACCCGATCAGATCCGCTTGCTTCGGCGGTCCCATGCTCAACATTCTCTTGGGCATCGGCATTGGTGGCGTCTATATGATGGTACAGGCCGCCAACCATCGACACAAGAAACACCCCGACAAACCCTTCAAGTATCACTCCTATCAGATCCAGATCGGAGGCACCTTGATGATATCAGCCATTACGCTGTTAGTCACACTGCTGGGTCTCCTGATTATCGTCCCGATGAACAAGTGGGTGATGTCACGGAAGATCGGCTGGGGACTGATTGCCATCTGGACGGTCAGCACCATCGTCAACGTCGTCATCGAGGTTACGGGGGTATGGACTGACGTGTCCTACTCCTTCGTCGTTTAATTCTTTTTCTTTCCGAGCACATACTCACAGACTGTACCAGTATTCGACCAGTATATTATTACACACACAAATGAGTATACCCTGCATAGCGTGCGATGAGCAACAAACAACATGGCGTGTTTTTCCTATTCTATGGTTGCGAAACAGTCTCTTCCGAGTTCAGACCGAGCAGGTCACGGGGAAATATACATCTACACATATACACTTAGTAGTTCATAAAACATATTACAAGTTCACCCAAACCTTGACAACAAACACTCGTAACGTTGCCATCGGTTATCTTTTCTCGCCATTGGTCGCAGTCGCAATTCCGCGACTGACGAAGACGCGTCTCATTTAGCGAAACCCTCGATCCAACGACGTTCCTGGAGCTCCTGCCAGGCACGGTCCCACGTATCACCATCCGATGTGTACCCCATCCTCCCTCGCACGGAGGCATACGCAGCTCCTGCTTCGTCAAACGGGAGGCAACTGCTAACGACCGCGAAATCGCGTGGTTCGAATTGGACGAACGGTGATCTTGCCCCTTTGCCAAGCCAGGGCTTCATCCGTAGTGACGCGCTTTTCAGCTGGCCGTACGTGCTCTCCTTTGCCAAGGATTCATCCGTTATGTCGTTTTGTTTCTTGTCAGCTTCTTGTGATGCCAAGAAAGCGGGAAGGACGCACGTCACTCAGGCGCCTAAGTGTGTTCGGCGTCGTTCGTGGGAGGCCGCCTTGTCGGGTGCTCACATGGTCGAAAATGGCCGACCAGGAACGGAACCGAGGATTGGGAACCGGAATTTTGAGTATAAAACGACGCTGCCAGACTCGGAGAAATCGTGAATCTGTCTCTCATCTCGAATCATCTCAGACATCACATCTTCACTTACTTTGCAGAACACTTTTTCTTCACAGACTCTGACCATTTCCCGCTCGACAAAATGACCAACATGAACTTCGGCAAATTCACGGACGTCGCCAAGCAACTCTCCGGTCAAAAGGACGCCTCCAAGGACAACCAGAAGGAGGGGGCCTCGTCCCAGACTTCTGACCAACAGGGATGGGACAAGGTCGGCGATGACGCCAAGAAGGCCTTCGCCAACTACCAGGCCGGCCAGGCCCAGGGCAAGGACCCCAACTACACGGAGATCGGGGGCGTCGCACAGGCGGCGTTCTCGGCGTACAACCGCGGCAGCGGTGCTGAGGGAGCCGTCGGCGACGGGCAGGACAAGGAGGACATCGGGAAGAAGGTTGTTGCCGGCCTCGACTCCGCCACCGGGACCGGCGAGGAGGGCCTGAAGACGGACGACGAGGTCAAGCTCTCGCAGGGCGAGGAGGGCACCCAGACGCTCGAGAAGCTACAGGGTTTGGGAGGGGAGGCGGAGACGGAGGGCGAGGGCGGGTTGTACGGGGAGAGCAAGCGGACGACGAGGAGTCAGGGGCTGAAGGGGGAGACGACTTTTTCGGCGGGGTATCCTGAGTTGCAAACGTCTGCCGATGTGCAGAGTTCAGCAGAGATCAAGAGGCGGCTTAGGGAGGCGAGAGGTATGTGGTGCCCTTCCCATCATCGGAATCGACGCGTTGAAGACGTATTACTTACACCGGGTTAGAGCGAGACAGCAAAATCGACTCTACCGGTGAGACGCAGAAGGACACCGATTGCCTCGGTAAGCCCTCGGTAAGAAATCCTTCACGTCTAATTCGAGACTCGCACTAACTTGTCAATCTCAGGACTGTTCTTCGGGTTGCGACAAGACGAACAGCCGGGAGGAGTGAGTCGCTCAGTGAATAGAGGAGAGAAGGGGGAAAAGAGAGACAAAACTGCAGTCGAATTGTTTCGTTTTCGTAGGGCACCAACCAATACAGTCATTACCGATATCTGTCTTAATGGCCGCTCCATAATGTCTCAGTGAAGGTCGTGAGAGCATCCCGGAAGACACACCCAATCGCCGACCCGGAGCCGCGCACGATCCCACCGCCGGCCCCCGGGCCCCTCATCCCTGTCCCCGGGGCCCGCAGGGGTGGCTCACTTCGGCGCAGCGAGCACCCTGGCGTCCTGCAATCATCCACCGTAAAAATGGTGTTGCCCTGCGGTAAACAGCGGCCGCTAACAAGAAGGCTTACAAGTTCGAGGGGTCTTCAGGACACGATTGTCTTGTTGTATTGAACACGTTCCTGGCTCTTTCGTTTCTTATTACCCAGATGCATAGCTACAGAACGGGATAAACACGAACATCGTCATCGAAGCACTGCCACCCGGATTGCGTAGACAGGTTTCAGACAAGGCTCTCCAGCTCATCTCATTTCAATGCCAATCTCGTGTTTTGCTGGGCCAAGGTAGGTAATGAAGCTACCCCGCGAGTCTGTCCAGCGCCAAAGACAGGACAGATCATCATCAAAGGTGAACAACTGTGATCTGTCAACTTCCAGATGCTTTGATTGATCACCAAATGCTGAACTGAGTGAACAGCTTTGCTCCAAGTCTTTGGGAATATAAATCATACAAACACCTGCCTCCATTGAACTCAATTGAAAGCCTTTGATTCTTTGACTCCAAATCTCCAATCACATTCACCACCCAACTGGCAGCGTCCAGACCCTTGAACCCACCCATCCACCCCCTGCCCCGCCATCTCAAAGCAACCCCGCGCCCCCAACTCAACTGCCACATCCCGAAAGGAAGCTCCTCCAAACCGGTCCCTCCTCCGCCTCCACGACTTTCTTCCTCTGACCGCTTCCCTTCTTTTTTTCTACTTTGACGCAGGAAACCCTTGCGACAGATAGCTACGAACGCTCCATACGCCAATTCACCTCACAAACCACATACCGACCGTCACAATGGCCACCTACCCCCCTCTCGAGGACCGTCCTCTCAAGAACACCATCTGCCTCTTCGACGTCGACGAGACCCTCACTCCCGCCCGTCGCGTACGTCCTCCTCCTCCTCCTACAACCTTTTCCCAGACCTCCAAAACACCCACACAGCCGAGATCCCCAATCCCAAGCTAACACCTTTTCTTCTCTCTCCAGCATGCCACCCCTGAGATGCTCGACCTCCTCGCCCGCCTGCGCCAGAAGTGCGCCGTCGGCTACGTCGGCGGCTCCGACTTCTCCAAGCAGCAGGAGCAGCTCGGCGACGCCTCGACGCCCGTCACCACCCTCTTCGACTACTGCTTCTCCGAGAACGGCCTGACGGCCTTCAAGCTGGGCCAGCCGCTGCCCTCCAACAGCTTCATCGAGTACATCGGCGAGGCCAACTATAAGGAGCTCGTCCGCTTCGCCCTCCACCACATCGCCGACCTCGACATCCCCGTCAAGCGCGGCACCTTCGTCGAGTTCCGCAACGGCATGGTCAACATCTCCCCCGTCGGCCGCAACGCCTCCAACGACGAGCGCAAGGCCTTCAACGAGTACGACGACGTCCACCACGTCCGCCGCGACTTCGTCGCCAAGATGCGCGAGAAGTTCGGCCACCTCGGCCTAACCTTCTCCATCGGCGGCATGATCTCCTTCGACGTCTTCCCCACCGGCTGGGACAAGACCTACTGCCTGCGCCACCTCGAGAGCGAGGCCAAGAAGGAGGGCGGCATCACCTACGACACCATCCACTTCTTCGGCGACAAGACGAGCGAGGGCGGCAACGACTACGAGATCTACACCGACGAGCGCACCATCGGACACGCCGTCAACGGCCCCGAGGAGACCATGCGCATCGTCAAGGAGCTTTTCGATTTGTGAAGCGAGGGTGCGGGCTTTGAAAATTGGATGGGACTACATGATTTGAACGGGCGCGCGCGGGCCGTTAAAAAGGGGCGATGATACCAAGACCCAGCCGGTTTTGTAGATGGGATTGCGGCAATTTCTTCTACTTGATTTTAGACGAGCACAAAACATCAACACGAACACTCATGAGCAGATGCTACGGAGCTAACATGTGAAACTTGAAATGTGTAAATTGGGGATATGGATAGTAAATGTGTGATGTCGTCAGGTCGTCAAGCACTCGCTTTATGTCTTGTCGTATCTTCAAGTCGCCTGAAATGGTGTGAAATATTAAAAATATTCAAGAAGACCCCCTTCCCAGACCCCTCCTCTACCGACCAAACTCCAGATGAGGCACAATCACCGGGCCGTACTTCGTCGGCGCCGTGAAAGCGCCGTCACCCTGAACCACAAAGTCCACCGCGAGACTCAGCTTCGTCAGACCCTGTCCGTTTGCTGTGTTGGCGGGGTGCTGCTGGCCAGGGATGGCATCGGGGTCGTAGGCGACCACGGCCACGTAGTTTCTGCGACCCATGAGCTTCTTGAGCTCACGCGCCGACCCGCTGGCGTCCGTGTGGAAGATTTCCATCATGTCCTCCTTGGTATCCGAGACCTCATGGTTCGACTTGTGGCCGTTCTGGGGCACGTAGAGGCTCTTGTTGTTGTGGAGCAGTTTCAGGATGTAGTTGCTAGCTGGCTGCGCGACGATGGGAGACGTGATGATTTGGTACATAGTCTTGTGGTCACTTGGGTGCGTAGGATCATGGACCAGACCAGCTCCGGCACAGTTGACATCTAGATTCGAGTTAGCGACGAATATTAAAGATAGGAAGACTGAGTGAGCTCACCTCCGGACATGAACGTCATACGGATACCCTTCTGCTGCGCGATGCCCTGGAGAGTCCGAATGAGGTATGTTCTCTCCAGATCCTTGGAATCGTGTGTCCACATGTCCTTGAGGACTTCGGCAAGGTCAATCTCTCCGAACTGGTTCAAAACGTTGCCCATAAGGCCAGACTTTCCGACGGCCTTCTTCACCTGAGTGAAACCCTGTGCCACCACCTCCTTGCCGCCGACAACGCCGGCCACTGAGCTGGTGACCTTGCCGAGCAGGTTGTATGACATGTTGACCGCCTTCTTACCAGTAGTAACGGCAGTGGCCAAGCTCTCGACTGCTTCGAGGCGAGGGTAGACGAGAGGGACTGAAACCATCCAGATGCAGTGCTGGACGCTGGGAGGCAGTGTTGCGACCTTGGGGAAGAGACCCTGGTAGGTCGGGCCGGCCATGACTCTACTCTGGTTTCTCTCGGATCGGCAGTCGGGTCCAACAACCACAACGGCAGGGCCAAGGTACTTCACAAAGTGCCAGCCCTGGCCGGTGATCGTGAAAAGGTCTGTGTCATTGCTGACATTGCGAAGGATCTCCACAGTCGTGTGGTGCTGGAAGAGCAAGTACATTTCGATGGCTATACGGCCAACATTCTTGAACATTTGAGAGCCCTGCATGTACTCAGGGTATGAACCAAAGCCGTCAAAACTGCAAGAGTCAGCACTGAAAACACAGCATTCGGACATACACAACTTACATATCATGGTCGTCGACCTGCAAGATGTGTGGGATTTGAGCAAACGCTTCTCTCAGGTAAGGTTGGTCAAAGTGGCTGGTGTAGTAGTGGAAGTAAGCATGCGAGACGTCCTCTTCGTGCCGAGCAGTCCACTGTGCATTTTTCCTGTTGTCCCTGCCGCTCATTGCCAGCCATTGCTTCAGCAAGGGCACTTCTTTCCATAACCTGTCGCCGTAAATCTGGTCGCCGAGGCCGAGTTGGACGTGGAACCCTCCGCAGTCGACGTTTTTCTGCAATACATCTTTCCACATGAAGCCCACGCCTCCGAGCTTTGATCTCTCGTTCTGGGACGTGGACGCAGCGAAATCATTGTTGGAGTGGGCAATAAATCTCCAGCCGTTCTCATGGCGACCAGCAACGACGAATTCATATCTGGTACATCCCAGGTGAGACGTGACCGCGTATGTCCACCTCTCAGTGCCATTCTCGCTCATAGGTAGCTCAATATCATACTTGTAAAACGTCCAGCGCTGGTGAGTGAAGATATTGTGCGGCACCAACTGTCGCGGGTTGGGAGACAAGTCGGCGCTCAAGTGCAGGTGAATAGTCGGGGGCTGAGGCGCATCAGTCACGATCATGATACTGCCCAGCCATGAACCCTTCTCCATGTCCATATTGCAGTACCGCAGGTACGGGCCAAAATACACGCCGTTGGTGGGCTGGATCTTGTACATATCGACGCCAGCACTCGGAGGCGGCCCAGAGAAGCCGGCCGTGGTAGGAGTCTGAGAAACGGCAACGCTCATGATGCTCTCGGCATAACCGGGAGTAGACGGGGGGAACATCGGAGATCCCATACTTTGCTTGCCGAACATCGTGGGAGATGCGAGAGGGTTGCCGTAAGTCGACGCAGTAGGTGACAGGGGAGCTTGCTCATGATGAATCGGGTTGGGGCCCTTAGGAAACTCCCACTGCGTGGCCTGGGAGGCCAGATGAATGTAGTAATACTGTCCAGAGTTCTGGTCGAGATGCGCAATCCAGCCCTCAGGCAACGGAGGCGGAGAGGATGGCCCGGCATTTTGAAAGCTAGCAGGAGCTTGAGCAGTCTGCGTGACCGGAGTTGCCGCAGGTTGTGCTTGTGGCTGCGCCTGTTGCGCAGGTCCTGGAGAACCATTCTGCTGCTCTGGTCGGGGATCGTTGGCGAAGGCCGGGTGACCTTGTAAAGCTGGTGAAGCGAGTCCTGCTGCAGCAGGGCCAGCTGTCGCGGGCTTCTTTGGGGGTGATTGTGCGACGGCCGTAGCCACTGAGGGCTGCGAGTCTGCTCTCTGCTGAGCTGGACGTTGCTTCTCGGCGGGGTAGGACGAGTTGCCTCCGGGGTTGACGCTGGAGTAAGCTGGGGGAGGCTCGTTCATATCCATTCGCTGGAAGTCTTGCTCCAAGACGCTCACTTGCAGAGCAGGCTGGTCACCTTGGTTTACGGGCTGTTGAGGCGGAGGACTGAACGTGGGCTGAGTAGGACTTGCTACGGGGTTCATCCCCTGGTACACAGTTGGAGGTCCATGAGGTTGATTCTCTGGGTTCTCTGTAGGTGTCCAAGGTCGAGCTGGCGGCGGTGCCCCGCCATACTGCGCGAGCCTTTGAGACGCAGCAGAGCTCTGAGCTTGCTGCGCTTGAAGGCTAGTCAATGTCGCCGTGCCCGAGATACCGGAAGCAGCGTAACGAGCCTCAATACCACCACCAGGGATCACGCCCGGTTCCACGATTGGGGTTTCCGGAGGAGGTGGAGATCCTCGGCTGGCACGTGTTGTTGAGGTGGAAGCAGTAGACGCGAACCTATTCACATTACTTTGGCCAGGCATATCGAGATGCTCAGAGCTGTGGGTTTGAGGCTGCGGAGGTGGTCTCTGGACGTGGCTCTGAGCGGGAGGCGTGGAGCTTGCTGATCCTCCAGGAGGAGGATAATACGGCTTCTTGGTGTAAGAGGGGTAGTTCGTTGTTGCGGCGACCGGGCGCTGAGGCTGAGGCTGGCTCAAAGGCTTTGCAAAGAGGTTGCCCTCCTCGCCGGAAGGGCTCGTAGGAGACGTGGCTCCCAGAGGTCTCGGGCCGGCGCCGCGACGTTCAGCAAGGGTCGGACTCTTGGTCTCAACAGGGCTGGTAGCGTTTATACGCGGAGTGGTATCATTGTAGTCGGAGCCAAAACGCTTCGGGGCAGTAATCGCAGGCTTGCTTGGTTTGCTAGGTCGGAGGTCTTCTTCGTCGGGGTAAGGAAGAGGAGCGGCGGAGCTTGAGGCGCCCGGAGGCAGAGGAAAGGTCGGTTTCGAGGTGAAGGACGAGGGGGTGCCGGATGCCGACGGAGGAGCGGGGTACTTGAATCGGTCGGTCGAGGACGACGGCTTGGGGCTCTGAGGCTTGAATATCCTCAGAGGCTCGACAGTCGGGCTGTCGCAGTCCTCCTCAGAAGGCTTGTTCAGAAACAACTCTGCGTCAGGGACGCCGCGACTGCGCTCCATGGCGATGGGTCGGATCTAGACAGACCAGTATCTAGAACGACTTGCGCAGGTACGCGACAGGCTTGGTGCAGTCCGAGTATGCGAATGACGCACGGCGAAAGCTCAAGTCTGCAGGTCAGGGGGAAAAGTTATTTATAGGAGCTATGAAAGCTGGCCGATTGTTGTGTCTGCCGTTGGCTATGGTGCTCTGAGAGGATCGCAGCAGCAGATGGGGGGTTGGTGGGGTTCGAGTCTCACGGGGGAGGTCGCAGAAATGGCCGGCCGCTCGATATGTCCCGATAAATGGTCGAAACAAATGCGATGCGGCACAGAAACGACTGAAGAGTATGTTGGATCTCAAAGCGAAAGAGAGAAGAGAAGAATCGCAGAGTAGACGGAAGGGCGATCTTGAAAAAGAGTAAAACTTGCCAGATAGGACGACAGGAGTCCAGGTTAGGTAGGTAGGGTTTGGGTGCGGCGGGAAGCATTGGGCAAAGTGCAAGTCAAGCGGCATGGGATGGGATGGAACGGGGATCTGGGGGCTTCGTTCTGTCTGCAGCGGCAGCGGCAGCGAAAGCGAAGGAGGGGAAAACGTCCCCTCCCGTCACCACCTGCCTACCTACTGCGTACACACACCTCACATTCACGGCGCCTGCACGGGAGGCCTGGCCGAACTGGCATGGCATTTGCAGGGAATGACCCATCTGGGCCGTTGGCCGTTGGAGACAGCTGCCCGGATGGGAGAGCACAACCGGTTTGCTCAAAGGTGATTCGAGGTCGAGGAGGGCGGCATCAGGAGCCAAAGAGCCTGAAGCACCACAACTATGGAGCCATGCATGGTGGCATCTTGCCTTAACCAAGCTTCGTGATTGGTTGCAAGTCGTGGGCGCTTACCTTGGAGACCGGGCAGCAGCAAATGGCATCTTCACCTTGAAGTTGCAAGCGCCTGCCCATGAAAGCGCATTGCTTGGCTTGAGCCTCCAACAGAGCCTAGAGCATGCCAGAGGTGCCACTCGACTTCGTAATGCGCGCACAGCGAGATGAGAGATGGATTTGTTGAAATTGGGGATGCTGTATCTCTATCCGGTATCCGGTGAGTCGACGGTGCGCCGAAAAAGGGGGAACACCAAGGAGGTGTCCACTCGTCTGCGTCTCTTGGAATGTGAACCATCACTCGATGGAAGCGCCAGCAGAAAATCAATGCAGCATGTGGCACAGAGGGGTGAATGCTTCATAAGTATTTCGTGGGCGAGAGCAATATCTTGCACACTGGAAGACAGCCTGAATGTTGGCGGATAAGTTGGGAAAATCGAAGAAAAATGCCCGAAGAGGATCCGAAGCACAGACGAACGGGACTGGCCGAAAGCTGGTCAAAGCTCCCTCGGTGAATTACCTAATCACACTTAAAATGGCCCAAGCTTCCAGCGTCGTGGACTTCGCCCCCGACGAGACGAAATGTTACTGGCCAACGTCGGACTTGTTGGTTCTCGTCACTTCATAATTCATATGATTCTCCGCTTCGGTATATTGATTGAGAAACTCGGACTTCGTTGCAACGCCATCCCGGCAACTTATCCCGAAAACGACTCATTCTCAGGGGCATTCGAAGCATTTGACTCATACTTCAAGCCTTACGACAAAGTCCACGCACCCAGCTAGACCGACCGCGTAGTGAGGCCTCAACCTGGCGTGCGCGTCCTTTTCCCCGTCGGTGGCGAGCCGCCAGAATGTCACTGTGGCACATGCGCTTCAGCTGCCCCTCAGCGGTGCCGCACTCCGGGACCGAGCAAGCCACATCCCCCACAGCGATGTCCTTGCAACTTTCGGCCCCGAACATTGGCCTTTCCCTAGTCTGAACTTCACATCTGTTCCCGCAGGGACGCGGACTGCGTAATACCTTGAAGACCCGAAACAATGACAACAGGCAAGCAGCACGACGCGGCCTCGACGTCTAGGATGTTCCCTAGAGTCATTGCGGCGCCGTCTCAACTCGGTCTCCGAACGCCACGGTGATTTCCCATGTGGCAGTAGGCCTTTGTGTAGGTCGGAGCTCGGTGAGCATGTCTCCCGCCCTCCGGCTCCGACCAATGGGCTGATCCCCCTCCTCGGGACGCGTGGCGATATCGTGCCTCAATGTACACCATTCGAAACCTTTCTGCTCCCTTCGACAAGGGAATTGCTGGTGTAGTGTACGTACGTCTGACTGGTTCAAGTTGGCGTCGCAAGTGCTTTTGCCTTCTATTATGCCGATATCAGATGGAGGTTTACGCATGCTTCTGCCTCCTAGTAAACCACCGAACGCAATATATAAGATGACTTCCGCCTCGATATGAAGTTTGATTTAATTCCCCATCCACAGCTACACTAGCTTTACGATACTTACACCTCACCCACACTCACCAACAAACCTAACCAATCCGAAAATACCAAGCAAAAGCAACAGCAATCATGTCTTGGGCAGGGCCAAACGGCAACAACAATCCCTTTTCCCGTCCAGGCGGCCCCCAGCCGTTCTGGAACTGGGTTCACTCTCTCGACCCTAACTTCCGCGCCGGAGCAGGTGTCGACCACTCCGCCGGCCCCTGGGCCAACGGCTTCCCCTTCCACGGCGCCGAATTCACCTTTGGCGGTCCCGCCTGGGGAGCCTACGGCGGATGGGGCGAGCCCAGACGCGGAGGACCCGGTGGCCATCGCCGCGGTGGTGGTCGCTGCGGCAGCCGCGGCCATCACGGCCGACACGATCACCGCCACAGCGGTAACGAAGGCGAGGAGACGGCCGAGGACATTATGCGCGACGTCGAGGACGTCGAGATCACCGATAAGGAGAAGGACGACTCTCCCGATACCATGCGCGATAGCCCCGAGGAGGGTGCTCCCGAGCCCGGCAACCCTCACGGCCCAGGCCGTCGCGGTCGCGGGCGCTTCGGCCGCGGCGACCCCTGGCGCCACAGCAGACACCACCACGGACACCGGGGCCCACACCCGCCTCCGCCACCCCCACCTCCGTTCGGCGCCGGTCCGCCTCCGCCTCCACCCTACGGCGGTCAGGGTCCCCCGCCCCCGCCTCCTCCCGGCTTCGACTTCAGCAGCTTCCTGAGCCAATTCGCCAACCACCCTCTCGCCCAGAACATCCGCGACTGGGCATCCCGCTTCGAGGGCCCCGGCGGTGCCCGCGGCGGCGGTCCGGACTTCGGCGCCACCAACAACGACGACTCCTCCTTCACCCCGCCCGTCGACATCTTCGTCACGGAGAAGTCCTACGTCTTGCACTTTGCTCTTCCCGGAGCCAAGAAGGAGGACATCGGTGTCGACTGGGACGCCGACAAGGGCGAGCTCCGCGTCGCGGGCGTCGTCTACCGCCCCGGCGACGAGGACTTCCTCGCCAGCATGGCCTCGAGCGAGCGCAGGGTCGGCATGTTCACCCGCTCCGTGCCTCTGCCGCCCGCGGGCTCGGAGAGGGAGGACATCGACGCTCTCTCCATCACCGCCAAGATGGAGGACGGTGTGCTCATCGTCATCGTCCCCAAGCTTGAGAAGGAGTGGACTGAGATCCACAAGGTCGATATCGAGTAGACCGTCTATTGAAAGACAAACTCGGGATTTTTTTGGTGTGGAACGGTTTCATTGTGTTCTGAAATAATAGGGTTATATCATGAAGGATTTTGAATTTTGGATATTTTGTTTTTAGTAGTTTCGAACTAGGTAGTTATCAATAACCGTTTCATACCACACATTCTGCAATGAGAACAATGCCCGAGGTGAAGTTTGTGATGATGAAAAACGCTGCCTTTGCATTCCTTGTTTAATAGCTTGAAGTCAACTTGCCCAGCTACCCGACAGCACACCCCTCAGCTTGGGTTTAGTTTGCAGTGAAAGTGAAGGTAACCACAGACTGACCGGGGTACGTACCCAAAGCCTCTACTGCAGTGAAGATGCAGCATCTGACCAGGGTACTTGCCTCTCTCGGTATCACCGTAGCTGCTCTTGGGACATCTCTCGACTCGGAACATTTCCTTATCTCTCACTGCCTGATATCACTTCTTTCACTAGGGATATCAGACGTGACCCGTGCATGTCAGGCCTCAATATGGTTCTGGAAAAGTGTTAGCTGAGGTGGTTCAAGAACTTGACAGCGTGCTCTCCGAGGCAATAAAACATGTATGAGCTACCTAGGTAGCGCTTGATGACCTTTAGTGCTTGGTCTAACATCTATCGCCAAAGATCATTGTTCCCTCATCACCTAGACGCCAAATCTTCCACATGCTCGTCGGCCGATGAACTCCGACTACGTGCCCTTCTCGAGGAACACCTAACCCTTCAACGTCGCCCTATCAGCCCCCTGTCACCTTGATTGCCGCCGTGGGTATCGGTCTCCGGGACCAGCCCGGCGTCGCCATGAGGTGCCGGAGTTCTCGTGGACGGGAGCCCGCCGAGCGGAGTATCAGACACCAACCAATCTCCGACGAAGGCCGATGGTCTCAAGCTCCTCCGGTGAAGACTGGACCATCGGACATATTCGGCCTCGTTTTGAAATCGGCCAGCAAGATATAAACCAGAGGAAGCATTCTTTCTTGATATTCCCAAACAGCCTTTTCATGACTTCATGTTGTGTTTGTTAGAACAGTATTTGGGTAGATGTCGTCGTTTTGATCACAATCGCCAGACGTCTATTTCCCCAGTACTCCCATAATCCCACTCATCTCACCACGATCAGCGCATTTATCAAAAAGGAACTATCATTCGACCACGGCCTTTTCGTGGAAAAATGAAGTACCCAAAGGGACCCGTCAACAAGGTTCACCGACTGGAGGACAAACGAGCAGACTACGACCTCGAAACCGTCCACAGCATAATCAACCAATGCATGTCTCTGCATGTGTCCTTCGCACCGGGCGCCGAGAACGAATTCCCGGCCGTCATCCCCATGACCGGCGCCATGGGCAGTTTCGACCGCCCGAGCTCCGACATCGACGAGCCGCTCGACTGCTACATCCACGGCTACGTCTCGGCGCGGATGGCCAACCTCGCCAGGGATAAAATCGCCCAGGGGCTGCCGGGCCTCCTCGTCTGCGTGTCGGCCGCCAAGGTGGACGGCATCGTCCTCGCCCTCAGCTCCTTCGCGCACTCGTGCAACTACCGCTCGGCTTCTCTGTTCGGGTACGCGAGTCTGGTCACGGACGACGAGGAGAAACTGTGGGCGCTGAGGCTCATCACCGACGGCCTCGTTGCGGGACGGTGGGAGCAAGTGCGCCAGCCTCCGTCGTCGAACGAGCTGCTGCAGACGCAGGTTCTGCGTATCCGCGTCAAGAGCGGCAGCGCAAAGGTCCGGATGGGACCGGTTGCGGAGGTCAAGGAAGACTTGCAAAACCCCGAAACGAGAAAGGCCGTGTGGTCGGGGTATATTACTTTGGTCGAGCAGCTGCTTGAACCGGTTCCGTCGAGGCATAACCTGGTGGAGAAAGTTCCTGATCACATCAAGGAGTACAGAGAGGTCTTCAATGGGGATGCAGAGGCATATAACTCCGAGATTGTTCAGCGGGTGCTGGAGGATCCGGGTGCGTTTCAAAATGTTTAGATTTTTGTAGAGAAGATGCCATGTAGGAATAAGCAAACTAAAGAATAAGACTCTCTAGTCATGTAACACCAGGAATCTTCGTATTATCTTCCTGGTATTGGAAGCTAGAAAATCTTCAGTGACACGGAACCCTGCATCGGGCATTGACTCCGTCAAAAGGCAGGGAATCCTGATCACTAATCACAGGACTGTCGTAGATACATGTAACAGCTTATCTTATTTATCTAACTAGGTTGACTCAGTTAGTTAAATCTAGCTCTTCGTACCATCTCCCCACTTAAAGCAGACCTGATATGTTCCGACATCGATGAGGTCCGACGAAGTACTACTCATCTCCACCTTCTTTATTCCTCGTCAACGACAAGACTCGGTTTACCACTAGTAACTGGATGATGCAGCACCTCCGGCAGGGAACACTTGCCGACCCATGATTCGATGGCAAGAATCCGAAAAATGCCAGGTCATCTCGAGCCCTCTGAACCCCGACCGGTTCAAACACCACCAAGCCTGTCAGGGCCGAGGAAGCCAAAAGCGTGTCAGCGGTGCCGGACAAGGAAGCAAAGATGTGAAGGCCCACCAGCCTGCCGGAACTGCGCTTCGGCCAATGAAGGTCAGTCGAGTTCTATCCTCGTCTCTGGTATTGCTTTACAAAGATTCGATATAGCCCGTGGAAAGTAGCCTCGCCAGACCTCTAATTCATGAGAATCGGCCAACCACTTTGAACAACATGTGCTACGCCACTGTCATTTGGCTATAATGAGGCATAACAGTTATGAATTTAACGGCTTTAATTTATAGCGCAGTGTCCAGATCCATCTTCTAGTCACCACTTAGTGAATTGGACTTACACTGACTCCTCGCAGAATGCATTCCCTCCGACCGCGAGCGCATGGCACTGTACTCAGTTCAGTACATCGAGTCACTCGAAGCACGGGTCTCTGATATTCAGCATGAAGCGGCCTTTGTAAATCCGCGAATATCACTTGATCAGCCACATGATGACCCTTCTCGACTCCTCCCTGATTCCCGGATCACCAATGAGTTTTCCAACCCCCAAACCGCTTCTGATCAGCTGGACATGACATTCGTGGCTCCTCTGGACAGCTCAAACAACATGTTCTATGGTCTGGACATGATGCCATCAGAAGGCAACCTCTTTACTTTCAGCGATGTGGCTAACCACGAGACGACTACGAATTCCGTCGCGCATAGCGATCAGGCCATGCCGGTATACCTTTTGGGGCAAGAATCTGCTCCAACACTCGCAGAGGTCTCCATCCACGAGGGTGCTCTATATTTCCAGACCTATTTCGAAGTCATTCACCCGCGGTATCCGTTCCTGGATGTGGAAGAATGCAGCAGAGGGTACCAAGACTGGAAGACGGGCGAACTCTCCAAACCGTCCAGCGATGCCTGGAGATCATGCCTCGTCAAAATGGCATGTGAAGCAGCCTGCTTGTCCTCTTTGCTTTGACAGTCCTCATCTAACAACAAACACCAGATCTTCGCCGTCGGCTCCCTTTTGCGGCAGGCACAACTCGACTGCTCCACGCCTCGGCAGCATCACAATTTGATGCTCCAAGTTCAGGCCGAACATACCATACTGACGGATCACTCGTATAAGCCACTGGTTCGCCTCCAAGCAATGCTTCTGTACGCCATTCACGCGCTGCATGGCGAGAGCACTCCCCGGGTAGTACACATCCTCGGCGTGGCCATGCGTTTCGCAGTGATAAAAAGGTTCCACTGTCTTGTGCCTGACGGGACCGAAGAGACCGCAACGGCCATCAAAGCTTGGTGGTGTATCTACTCGTAAGCCCACCGGATGGCTCCACGCCTCTACGCCAGATTCCCGGCTTGCTATTCTTCTGACAGCACACAAGGCTAGATAAGGTGGTCGCCATTACACTCCGAATCCCTCCCTATCCTCCCGAAGACTGGATCACGACGCCTGTATACGTAACCGGAGTCGAGCCCCAATACATGATGCCTTGGTCGTCAGATGTGCCTGGCGCGAATGCTGGCTCAACGTATAATTTTAACCTGAGCTATTATGCCCACATGTGTCGCGTACGCCAGATTCATTCCAAGATTCTGTCTACCACGCAAACTATCGCCCCCGAAGCTAGAGCGGCGTTCATAGATGAGACTCGAGCTGAGATTGATCAGTGGTCACACGACGGCCAGATGTATGGATACGGATAGGTTTCGATCCTGTGGTAGCAAGGAGAAGAAGCACGCTGACATACATATCCCTAGTCGTGTTAATACCGAAGGATACGCAAGTTCCCTGGGGCTGATGCATGTCGCGGCCATCACGCGGGTGATTCTGTACAGATTGGACCCTGCCGATATCAACTCCCCGTACACCGAGGAATATCTACAGTCTTGCTGCGACCTCGTCGGTATATTCCGCGCGTTGCAGAAGAAGCGCCAGATCCCGAAACACTGGATTGATGTACGTAATGCCTCGAGAGGGGGTTCGCTCGACTACAAGTATACACACCACTGACCTACCATTTTGCCCCCCTACCAGATGCTATTCACATTCCAAGCCGGCGTAACGATGATTTACATCCTCTATCGTCGGGCCGTTCCCGGTCCCAAGAACGTCGACCGTGCCATTCGCGACGTCACCTCGACGTTTGCGATATTCGCCGACCGGTCGGGGATGGCAGATATCTACCGCGACTGCCTGGACGTGTTGGCAAGCTGCGTCTCGAGATCCTGCACGCCTGGGACGATTGATGAGGATTCTCGGAGGGAGATTTCCGGCTTGGCTCAGCAGATCATCGAGAGCGGCACCTCCCCTGACGTTGCTGCGATGTTGTCGGAGATGAGCCAGGACCCGGGTGACGGCTAAATGACACCAGAGTTTATTTTTGCCAAAAGGTCACAGGTTTCTAATATCTGCGTGGGAAAAGTCAAAACTTTGCCCGTGCGGATATTTTATCCTTTTCTTTTCTCGAGCGGCCCATAACAACAACAACACTCATCTATTCTGCTCATCTGGAGCTATCTTCAACTCCAAGACGACCCATCGAAGAGGCGTCCTCCACGTCACTACTCGAACATCTACAATACCCATGCCCGGAAGCTAATACCCAGCCATCCGGATAGAAAACCGAGAACCCAGTCCAGGAATCTAATGTTCTAGTTTTGGAGTTACCCGTTCTGCGTCTAAAGTAAGCTCTCCCAGGCTAAACTTCGACATAAGCTTCGTAAACGACCGCCTATCATCCGCGTATCTGCGAGCAACTAAGTGCAATAACGTTGATTCCCAGTTATTGATATATTGCTCACTATGTACCTATCTGTAGTCTGGCATTTTATATCGGCCTGGCTAAAGATTGTAGCTAGGTCGACAGGTGACATCAGCAAATGCTCCCAACCCACTTCCCCCTTTAAACTCATCTAGCTCACAACTATATTACATATAACAATACCTACCAGAGAACTCAGGATCCCTTGAGTTTGGGCCTCTGGTCGACAGGTTTTAGCCGACTTGATACAACGACGACGGAATGCCGGCCCATGGCCGATGATGTAGACTCGGGCTGCCCTCACTGGCCTTCCGGGGGAGCCCCGGTGTAGCCGTTCCAGCCAACCTCCCACCAGTTGTTCGGCGGACCAACCGGTGCGTGCAACGGGAACGTGTCTGGATTCGGCCGGCACGGCGCGCCGGCCATGGTCGCGTGTGGGCAGGGCTGCTCCTTGGACCGCCAGCACAGACAAGGCGGCACACCGGCGGCAATTTTGGCTGCCTCTCGGGCCTTCCTCTCCGCCTCGGCCGCCCTGATGGCCGGCTGCCCGGCCCACCTCTGGAACGTGTCGTCCCACCCCGTCGGGGGGCGCGATGTCGACTGCAAGATGACGTCCCGGTCGCCGACGAGGTCGACGCCGTCGAATCTCACGGTCGGGTCCACGTACAGCACCTCATCGGGTCGGACGTCGGACTGGCAGTCGCCGTGCATGACGCCGCGACAGGCCAGGATGTTTTCCCTCTCCCGATCGATCAGCGCATGCATGCCCTTAATCCAGTCGCCAATGGTAAGCACCCCTCCGTCGCCCGTTCCGTGGATTGTTGCACGCGGCACATCGGCGGGCGGCCGATCGAGCCCGCAGTAGACGCGCCTGCAGGCCGGCATCTCAAAGTCATCGTCGTCCACGTCCTTGCCCTGCTCCTCCGCCAGGTCCTCGACCATCCACCACTCGTCATCGGTCGGGTTAGGGACGGCCAGGCGCGCGCCAAAAGATTCCAGGCCCTCGTCGTCGTCCAAATCGGCGTGTGTGCCGTGCTCGGCGAGCCAGGCTTCCTCCCACATGTCCTGGGAGGAAATGGAAACGACCATCGTGGACACGGGCTGGAGGGTGAGCGGCTCTGCGGCGATGGGGTGCGTGGCCAGGCCGTAGGACTGCTGGGGGGAGTCGGCATCCGTGGCGTCTTCGAGCACGCGGATGGACTCGATGGGATCCCACGCGCGCCAGCGGAGGCGTAGCAGATGCGGGGAGAGATCCACGCCGCCGTTATGGCGGCGCCACTCGTAGGTGGGAGGGAGATCAGCTGGGATGGATGAGGGGGGAATTTCTGCCATGATGAAGGAGGGGGAGGAGGGAGATGAGCTGTGAGATACTAATGAGTTTTGCTAGCCGGGCAGTGTCTCCACTCTGCGGTCTTTAGCCACCGGCGCAAACGCTGAGCAAGTGCCAAGGCCTATAAGGCTTGCTGCCATACTTAATAATGCTCTTTTTAGTAGCAGCACCCGCTAAATTGGCATCCTTGTTGATGTACTTAAATGAAGACTGACTGCAGCGGATGCTGGCCCTTATACCCGGCCGCCCAGGCCGGGCCTCCACGCCGGGCCTTAATGCCGGCAGCGGGCGCGGGGCCTCAACGTCCGGGCGCCCGGAGGATTAATGTGGGCTTCTGGCGCGCTAGAGATTTATGTCTTCCTATTGGCTGATCTGCCTGGGATAAGTGTTCTATTGGCTGAAAGACCGCAAAGTGGAGACACTGCCCGGCTCGCAAAACTCCACGTCTATTCAAAATAGTCGACGTTCAACATGCCACCAGCACACACGCCTAGGCGTACAGGCATGACGCTCATTTTCCAAGCAAATTGCGTGCCGCCCATGCTGCAAAACACGTGTCTGTGACTACCGGCGCAAATATAACGATACCGACGACCTGCCCAAAACCCCAGTCGTTTGCGCTATAGTGCACTTCTAACCTCTCAAGAGTAGCCGCCTGCACTGAGCGTAAACGAAAGATGCCCCAAAGCAACGGGATCGCCAAAACGGTAGGGAGTGACATAAGGAGCATCCGGACTGCCGAACCGTTTTTCCATGGCCGCTCAACAAAACTTTTCATTCTGAGAAGAAGTACGGTGATGCGCCGCTCTTCACCCAGGGTCTGGTCTTGAGCTATCATTGTTTGAATACCGGCTTCGAGGGCAGACCATACAAAGACGAGAAAGATCGTCATGGAAGAAATCAGCTCCCAAACGGCCAGGAATCTATTTTCTGGCCCAGACAGTCTTTCGGAACCCAAGCATATACTTTCAACACTGTCCCATTCTTCCTCGGATGCAAGCGTCTCGCCGTCGGGGCCTTTCCCTTCCCCTATCCGAGACGGAGCCCAGTTGTGGATACACTGAGATAGGAACGGGTAGAAAAACAGCAACGAGAGCAGCGCAAAAAGTGTGAGGCGAACACTTCCGGGATCGACACGGCTGTTGTCGGCCATCTCAGACGCGTCGTGCCTTTGCGGCTCGGGGTGATGTGATCGGGCCGGCAGCAATGCGATTGCATACAGTAGCGGCAGAATGCAGACGACTGATACGGCCAGGATGATGCGGGCCTCGCTGTCTCCGAGTCCGAGTGTGGAAACGCCGAAGTCTTTGTTGACGAGCATGTAAATCGCGGCCACTTCGAGTGAGATCGCGAAGTACATGGCAGAGCCGAAGAACGCTTCAAACCCCGCTTTGGTTACAAGCTGGTAAAACTCCCACCTAGGCCCTTTACGCTGGCGTACGCTCAGTATGCTGACGGCAAAAAGAAGCCCCAGTGCTACTTCCAGTACGTATCCAATGGAAATCTGCCATACTTCATCAGTCGGTTATTCGTTTTCTCTTCGATAAGTCATGAGAAAGAAGCTTTATCGCACCCCAATACCAGATATGTCGGGATTACTCTCTCCCCAGATTGCGCCACAAATCTGCGTTGAGCAACTTTCTATCAGGACCGGGTCGAATTTGGTTATAAGGCGAACTTCCCGTAGGTAATCATCAAAGCCGTTCAATAGTTCTAGACTTGTGCAATTTGGCCTGGCAAGCGAAGACATGTTGTAAGCGACGTTTCGTCAATTCTTGGTATTAGATGGCGACAAGAAAGAGCGAGCGACAGCTATGAGTAACCTTCAAGGAGGGTATGCAGGAATATATGTAAATGGTAATTGCTCCACACATGCAGCTTCACACCACCTCATACGCTGGCGGCGCAAAGAATGCAAGGTCAGCCGACAGTCTTGGATGCCTCCTATTACCAACGAGAGAGCCGCAACCAAGGTTATGTGTGGCACTGAATTCACGGCTGAAGATGGAGAAGATGTGTGACTGATAGTTGAACCAATTACAGTAGTCGAAATCATGCGAGATAACGAAATATTTGCCTTGCGCCGCCACAGATCGCCGTTTGTGAACTAGTAAGCTGATGTTGTGTAACCTGCAAGATATTTTCAGACAAGGCTGGCTGGAGTATCAGCCTGTGTACTCGTATAGATAGAGCCGTAAAAGCAGCCCCTGGAGTCAGATTCTCCACGTTGTGAATGAATGCTTCGCGTGTTTAATTTCAAAGCTTACCTTTCTCATCCGAGATGGCTTATGCCATCGGCTCCGTCCTCCTAATCTTGAGTAGCTTTGGTGTTCTAAGCAGTCTTGCACATCCGCACTCCACCGTTCCAGTTCATGCTCCTGTACCCTTCATTACCGAGAGTCCTCAGGGCGTGAGGGGCAGCGAAAAGCTTCTCGGACGACAGAACGATGCTCGAGGGGAATGCCCAAGATTCAATGGTACGACCTAAATTACTCTAGATGAAATTGCTTTCCCAAGTGCTAAACACGTATGACAGGTGTCTCTCTCGAATGCCCGGAGGGAAGTTTTTGCAACGCAACCATTTCTCAAAACAAACTATTTCTTGGTTGTTGTTCAAGGGACGACAGCTGCGTCCCTAACACTGGGTGCGTCGGGACTGGGCGCTCTCTAGACGCGTCTGCGTCATTCGTACTCACATGGTAAGGATTATCGAATCGAAGAAAGATTTCGACTGAACTCTCCTCTGACTATACCTACCTAGTGCTGGAAACGCCCCGTTTTGCGCAGAATATGTGTGGAACTCTGGCGTCGCAACATCGTTCTTTTGCGCTGCAACACCAACAACTACATTGGTAAACATCACGGCCACTTCGACGACGAGTTCGCCCACGAGCTCTCGGACTAACGTCCCAGCCGAACCACCAGGTAGTGGTGGTGGCGTGACTCAAGGTGAGCTCAATAAAACCCACCGAGGCTTTACTAGAGCTCAGAAATAAAACAGACTTGGATAAAGGCCAAAGAATCGGCATCGGGGTTGGTTGCGGCAGCGCGGCTGTGTTGACGATCGCCGGCATCACGTGAGTTTCTGGCTCCCCAAACAGATCAGCGAGTTTGGTGTAAAGCTGATCTATCGTGATCTAGATACTGTGCCAGGGTTTCGCGTCGCAGCAGAAAGCGTGCTTCTGAGAAGACGGACAAAGAGCAAAAGAAAACTCAATCCTCCCTGGAGAAGTCCGACAGAGCGGAAAGCGCTGTTAGTCATATTGACACCAACCATAAGCTAGTTTTTCGATCAACAGCTTAATGGGGTTTTGGAATGATAGATAGATTTCAAACTACGGGAGTTTATACTCTTCTAATAGAGTGACATACAAAGCTAATTTTCTTTTCGTAAAAGAGCCTGCTTCAGGAGGCTCTGGGAACTATTGAAATCATCCTGAAGGACTTTTTAGCTAGTTATAACATAGAGGAATGCCCGGTGTTCCATGTCTCTTTGCCCATGTGGACCTTGCCTTGGTTTTTTCTTGGACGGCCCGCAGCAACAACACCCATCTGTCCAGCCTATCTAGAGTGATCGTAAACCCCAAACCGACCCTATCGAAGAGCTCGTTTCTGCGAGCCTCTGACGAAACCCTCCGGCAACGCGTCCGGCTTACGGGGGTCCCAGTCCCAGGTCCGTTCGAACCTAGGCTCGAACGCGTCTCTCTCGATCCCCACACCCCTTTCCAACCTGCGCCCGTCTTCGCAGCGCAAGTAGCGGTCTTCGCAGCGGTCGTAGGGGTTCTCGGCGTCGCCGTAGAGATACTCCTCCACCTCCTCGTCGATCCACACCGCGCGCCCTGCGAGAGAGGAGTCAGACGGCAGCGCGATGCTCACGCGCGGCTTGATGGCTCTCTCGCGCCATCCCAAGTCGTTACGGATGCTGGACAGAAGGCCCTTGTAGTTGCCACTGTTCTCCATGAACTCGAGGAAGCTGAGCTCAACCGAGCGGAGCGTGGACGGTAGAGACCTGAGGAGGTCTAGGAGGTCGTCTTGTTTGACGAGGAAACCCGAGAGCCCGAAGTGCCGCAGGTTGGTCCACGCTTCGACCGGAAAGATGGAGCGCAGAGGGACAAAGTGGTCGGGCTTGCCTGCACTTTCCCAGGCCATGTTCTCGTTCAGATCGGCCTCGAACGTGAAGTGCCGCAAGTCGGCATTAAGAGCCTCACGGAGCCGCCCACTGCGGAACGCGGGCCAGTTCTGCCAGTCCTGGCCTCCCACCATGAGGTTGAGCCTAAGCGTCGTGAAGCCCGGTTTCCGTATCACGCTGACGAGGTTCTCGTACTCTTCACTCGGCTCTGCGGCGGTCTGGAAGATCTCGCAAGTGAGGCCCGTGTTGACCTGGCGGCCGTCGATGATGAATTCAGGGACCTTTGTGCGCTGCTGTCGCGCAAGCGCGCGGGTGACGATGCAGAAACCGCGGTACCTGTCCTTGTCCGCGTCGGTCGCCCAGTCCCCGGCGCCGATGCTGCTTCTTTTGTATGGCGTGGGCCAGCTGCGGGGGAGCGGGTAGTTGAAGCCGTATGGGAACTCCCGGATCATCGGCGTTGGGTACAAGGGGTTGAAGATCATGCCGTGGGCTACTGGCGTGACCGTGATCCGTCTCAGGTTCGGAAATCTGTCGTTGTCCAGAACCCAATCGAACGCGATGCGGTCGGCCTCCGTGGCCAGGACCTCGCTCTGCTGCTGAAGCAGCTTTTGGTAGTAGGTGTGCGCAACTCCGTAGGGGAGCTGCGCGGCGCGCTGTTCCGCGAACTCGACATGCTCCGGGAGGCTCTTCGGGTCTCTGCCCTGTCGTTCCTTTGCCCTCTCTATGTTCTCCCGGCATGCTCGCCAGAAGTCGCGAGGGCATTTTTCCGGAGGCTCCTCGTCGTCGGAAGGTTCGTAGAAATCTTCATCGTGCATCGGCTCATACCCGTTTTCTTCCACGTGTTCACTGAGGGATCTCAACAAGCGCGCGTCGTCCCAAACGATCTCTTGAACCCGATGGCGGAATGATTCGTGTTCTGCGACGGCCCTGAAAACTTCTACGTTGCGAGGATTGGCCGATATGAAGACGCGCTGGATGCGGAAATGGGGCTGGACGAGATCACGGAGCTGCTTGGAGGCCAGGCGCATGCTCTTGATATCGCGGTTGGGGAGGTGTGAGCATATCACCCCGTGAATCTCGGGTGCGAGGCTGGCAAAAGAGTCGAACGTTATTTCCGTTGGGGGTGTTATAAAACAGTCCTGTTGGAGGGGTCGTTTCTCCTCGATGATGAGACCAGGGCGAACGGGTCTCGGCATGATTGCTCTCAGTATTTACTGTCCTCAAGTTAGCATTCAGGCCCGAATCACGTTCTGCGAAACTTACCAATAGTTAAACTTGGAAAATTCAGAACAAAGAAAGATAGGGAGTGAACAGCTACCGGAGCAAATCATGGGAGGAGAGGGGACTTATGTTGGTTGAGTGAGACCACTAGAGCCCAGGCAGCAGTGGCCCATGTTCGAGACCAACTCGTAGACCAGGGGAGAATCAGACCCTGGTGGTCCAAGGGAGGAGAGAACCAACGAGTGCCAAGCACTCATACACCGAGCGACGAGCCAAAAATCATGATAATACAAAAAAAAAACTGCCAAAAATGAAGTTGCTGGACAATCGCGGACGGGAATTGAGCCCGACGTGGGGGTCGAACCCACAACCTTGAGATTAAGAGTCTCACGCTCTACCGATTGAGCTAGCCGGGCGATTGGAACCCAGCTTGTTGGATGACGATTCCGGAGCGTGGAGAGGATCATGATGAGAATTGTTCTGTGGTGGAGGAAGGGCAAGGGTATGAGGAGCCGGTAAACTGGGGCTATCCCTCTCCGACCACACCGGGACTGGCTCGCAATCCCCATAATTCCATCAGTACTGAGAAAGTCTTCAAAAGTCTTGAGTCTCGGCAGAGGAGTACGATGATTCAAAGTAGAGATGATTGTACAATGTTTGTAATTACTGCTATGAGCTACGCTATGTCCAAAGAGCCGGTCCTCATGAGCTGCGGACGAAGTAAACGGACGTAGTCTTTCCCGTCTTGCCTTTCCCAACGCCAGAATGGTATATAGATCGATTTAGGTCGATAAAGAAAATGAGATGTAAAACCCAGCTCAGCTGAAACAAAAAAAAAATTGTAAAAAAGTTCTCCTTTTGGGACGGGTCACATCGTCGCACACGTCAAGCATATCCTTCCAATCTCATACTTCATATCAATTTCTCATCACCTCGCATAACCGAAGGAGTTCTGGTGAGGAGGTGGGCTCTTCACCGGAGCATCGGCGTAGGCTCCGGGGATAGGCACGGCCTCATATACGGGCTCGTCAGCGGCCATCGGTGCGTGCTCTTGCGGCGCCTGCTGTTGCTGCTGTTGCTGTTGCTGCACAGGAGGGAAGTTGGGCGCAGGGCCGGTGGCTGAGGTGGGCGTGAAACCAGTTGGGTTGGTTCTGGGCGTCGCTGACGGGGCCTTGATAGGAGGAGCCTGCAGCTTGAAGGTGGACTTAGGCTTGGCGAAGCTGGATTCTGGCTCAACGAAACGGGTTCCCGGGGTGAAGGGAGAGGCCTCCTCGATGCGGGACATGTTCTCAAAGGTCTTCTCGGGGTGGCGAGGAGACATGGTGTACTGCGAGTAGAGACCAGGGGACTTGAGTCCGGGGGTGTTGGGTGCGGACTGGGAGCGGAGCTGAGCGAGGTAGAGGTCGGAGCGGGCGCGGTCGCGCATGTCCATGGACTTGTGGAGGCGGCGCTTCGTGTAGTAGCGGTAGAAGACGATGCTGTAGAGGAGGACGCAGATGACATCGATGACGATCTCGATGACCATGCAGATGAGGGCCCAGTTCTGGAGGCGGCAGAGAAGGGCATAGTCGACCTTCTCGCTGAAGACCTCGGCGCGCTTGTTCTCCTTGCAACTCCATCCCCACATGTCCTTGCCGTTTCCGTTGTTTCGACTGGATTGGAATATGCCAGCGGCGACGGCCCACATGATCATGGAAAGAATGAACCATCCGATAGCGAAGAGGGTGTAGTAGGTTGCAACTTTCTCGGCTCGCCCGTGTCCGCCACGGCAGTAAGCGACGAAAACACCAATGCAGACTGTGAGGGAAATGGAGGCCACTGTATGTTGGTTAGCACGGAAGTCTTCATCTCCATATGATTTTGTGACTCACTGGTAATAACGAGAATTTGGGGCCACTTGGCAGTGCCTTCAGCCCATGGTGGCAGGCCACTCTGAGCAGGAAGTTTCCTCGTAGCGTTGAAGATCTGGAGGGTCGCAGCGATCATGGTGATGATGATTAGACTGCAGCTGAAGTTGACGCCACGGAGAGCGAACTTGGCCATGCGAACACGAGTCTTGATTTTCTGCAGAGAGTGTTAGTAACAGTCAGGGTTTGAGTGGCTTGATACCACATACCAGATCGCGGGCTTGTTCCACGTCGGTTGCAGCTTCACGCTTCTCCAGTATATCTTCCTCCCGGAAAGTCGGGCTGAGAGGGTTCTCGATCTTGCGAGCCGGGGTGCCAGGCACTCTCATGGCGCTCTTGAGTGGCGATCTAGGTGTCATGGGGACGGCTACAGACTCGCGGTTGTCGTTGTTGCTGATGTAGCCGAAGCCGATGTCTCCAGGTTGAGATTGTGGTACTTCTGACCTCGCCGGAGGGTCGGCGAACGGCGATCGAGAGCCTTCGACGGGGGAGTGAACTGAGGTGGCTTCCGCAAAGCGAGGAGTTCGAGGGGGCTTCAACGACGAGTCCGACGAGGAAGAGTCTGTGGAGGCTGATCGGGTAGGTCCGAGGTTAAGTGCGGCAGGCCGCCTCTTGTCGTCTAAGAAAGATGTAAGTCTGGGTTCTTGTGAGCATTGAAAGTTCTGAATAGACATACCTAGAGGACCCATTGTGTGTGTTGTGCTTCTTCGTCTGTATCTCCAGAGATCACAGAGAACAAGAGAGGTATGTCAAGTATATAGGAAAGGCAACTTAGACTTGGGTCGCCGACAGAAAGGACCAACTCAGGACATGCGACAGATGACGAAGATCAAAGCAGTAATGAAGCACGATAGGAATCAAATTTGGCGAGACCAGCTGTCGAAAAGGAGGAGATCAAGGTCCAGCAGGTCGGATACTCGGGGAAGTTGATGGTTTTGAATAGGCGCTGCCACAGAGTAGGCCGGAAGGCAAGGCCTTTTGGCTGCAGGAGGGAGATCAGCAGTGTAAGTGGGACGAAGCGGAAAGACAATTCCTACCTGCAGCGTGGAAGGGTAGGATAGCGCGAGTTGAGCAGTGATCTGATAGGTGAGCCGCCGAGTTCCAGGCCGGCGATTCGGTCGTGATAGAAATAGACGCCCACGAGAGTGGACGGGGTGGCGCCGAGCTATGGTTGGCCCGAAGGTTGGATTGCAGTCCCGGAAAGTCGCCTGTTCCTAGCTGGCGGGTACTAAATCGAGCGGAGTCGTTTTTGACAGCGACTATTGAGACAACACAACGGCGATTTGCAGCGATATCAGGAGATTGCAGAGACGATCATGAGCAGGCAGTTGCAATCAAGAGAAGATATGAGAAAGAAGAGCGGGAGGGAAAGGCACAACGACACGGAGGAACTTTCAACAGAGCCAAGGTATGCGCAATTTTTCCAACAACGGGACGAATATAGAATATCCAAAGCAACCCCAAATGTCCTTAGAGAGGGGAAAGAGAGGCGTGGAGGAGGAGTGGCATGCACACTTGTCCATCTCTCGCAATAACCGACCTCACTAAGGTGGTCTTGTACGTACTGACTGAAGCAGTGAGCATTCTCGACAAAGCTCACTGGAGCTTGGCAGCACCTGTCGTTGCATCCGCATGGTTCGACGATGCACGTAAGGATGTTGATTGGACATGGCTATTCAAATCGAGAGGAGGCAGGTCAGTGGTAACGGGTAGGACAACGATGTGGTTGGACGGAGGATGGAAGAGCAGGCTTGCGGAACCCTTGCAACTGATTTACAACCGGCGCCAACTCTGCCAAATCGACAACTTGACCCTTGCTGCCGCCCGCCTCCCCTGTCGGCCAACTGCAGTCGTGATAGGCTGAATAGATGCAGCCGCTCTGGATACCACATGCTTGCACGTTGGCGCAAGAACATACGGCCAATCAGAGACCAGAAGTGCGTGATGGACGACCAGCCACATGCAGAGCCGGCGGTAAGCAAAAGATGGGGGGAGGATGGGTGAATGGCAAACAATGGTCACAACGCCTGCCATGGCGTGTCCTTTTTCGTCCCTTTCGACTACTCGCCCACTCGAGGCATCCGAGTCTTGCTGGACTTCCAGCCCGAGTTCTTGGGTTGCAACATTCATTTGAACGGGCGTCGTCGGCTTTGGTGGGGCTTCGAACCATCAATCATGGTCTGCTTGTTCTTGGCTTTCGGTGAAGCTCTGGAGTGGCCAGCTAGGCCGAGTGACTGGTAGTATGCAGGCAGAAGTACAGAGTACGGATACACAGCGACGTGTGTAATAGCCGTGGCAATTGCGACCGTCCACCTTCACCGGCGCCCCCAAATATCACGTTGGCTATGCTGGTATTCTGAGTAACCGATAGTTGGAGACGGAGTCCGGGTATCCGTAGGCATCACATTCAGTTGATGGCGGTATCGCAAGTACAACGAGGATCGCGCAGAGCCTTGCTGTGATGGTCGAGTACCGGCGATCTGTGTGATGGACGAGCAAAGAATAGAAACGCTGGTTATCCTGCTAGGCGAGCTTCCATTCTGAGAAATGAGCTTGATGCCGTCAAGGCTGTCAGCAGTCAGCGTCAGCGATCCCCCTTGTAAGATGTGATGATGGTGGGAGGCGGGTTTTAAGGTAAGACTTGGCCCGTGTTCCGCCGTTGGCCTCGTGCTCCGTCCGAACAAATGGGAACCAAATCTGAAATGGTGTCCGTGCTTGCATATAATTGAACTCGGGCTCTATTTTTATCGGAGGTTGAGGTGCTGGAAGGCACTCGTTTCTCTTCCGTGCCTTGAATGCCGGTTGAAGTGATCGCGGACGAAGCCGGCTCATCTGGGAAGTAGCATTTTTCTTTTCTGGAAGAGGTCCAATGTGACCTGTGGTCTTCAATGATGCGGGCAGACGCTGCTAGCCAAAACCAAGCTAGGCCTGACCCTGAATATGGAACTGCGTTCGCTTGAGTGTGCAAAGCGACATCTTGCTGGTTGCACAGTTGTTCGTCTCTGGAACCAAAGCGATGCTGGATTGCATCATACTCCTTTGTCAAGAAGTGTCAAGAAGCGACGACCGTGCTCGACCCCTCGAGAAACCGAAGAGGCTATGACTGTTGGAATTGAAGGCGGCTTTCGTTTCATATGTCGCGAGACAAAAGTATCCGAGATTCAAAGGCTTCAAGTCCAGTCGCACTCTGGGGTTTCTTCATCAATAGGTAATTCCCTCATGGATTGGCGTTGGAGGAGTCTTGAATGTAAAAGAGCCTCATCGGAGCCGATCAAATTCGTGGTAGTCTGGGCTCTGCCAGTTTTCGAATGTTTCCGTTGATGATGACCGAAATTTGACTGTACTGGTTTGAAGAAATGAATGACTCCCAAGTTCCAGGACCCGGAAGGCTGGGAATTTGCGTGGCGCCAATCGTGATATCTCGAGGATGCTTTGGTAAGAATTGCGACTTCAATGGTAACTTTAGGTCGGGGCGATTCACCAGTGTGTTTTTCCGCCCGGCGGGGCTTATCTTATCAGTACCAAAAGGGCTTAGCGTGCGAGTCACACACTGGGCTGCACTTTTTCGATTCGAGGCTTCAGCGAGGCAAAAATCCACGATCGCCCCAACCCGACGTCACGAAACCCACGAACTAACGCCATCCTCCTCGAAGCTCGTCGAAACCGTCAAGGCAATCGGTGAACCACACGGCGAACTCGAATTTCAAGAAAATTCACGCCCTCCGCCCGTCGCAAAACCCCCTCGACAACCTACCCCGCCATCAAAAACCACAACCAATCGCGACAATGTCTGCCAACGGCGAACCCAAGTACGACGACATCGAGTCGGAGTCTGACTCTGGCGAGTCCGTCGAGGAGCAGACCGAGCTCAACGAGAACGAGGAGAAGCCCATCAAGTCGGCCCTCAAGAAGTCCTCCAACCCCGTCACCGCCGACACCACAGTCCAGCGCCCTCCTCTGCCCCCGCAAACCGATCCCAAAGACCTCGACGTCAAGACCCTCACCCCTCTGACCCCCGAGATTATCGCCCGCCAAGCAACAATCAACATCGGCACCATCGGCCACGTCGCTCACGGAAAGTCCACCGTCGTCAAGGCCATCTCCGGAGTCCAGACCGTTCGTTTCAAGAACGAGCTGATCCGTAACATTACCATCAAGCTTGGTTACGCCAACGCCAAGATCTACCAGTGCGATAACAAGGAGTGCCCTCGCCCGGGATGCTTCAGGAGTTACAAGAGTGAGAAGGAGGTCGACCCTCCCTGCGAGCGCGAGGGATGCAGCGGTACCTACAGATTATTGCGCCACGTCTCGTGAGTCTCCTCCGAAAGAGCTTACCCCGGAATCGTGAATGCAAGGTGGCTAATCATGCTCCACTTAGGTTCGTCGACTGCCCCGGTCACGACATTCTCATGAGCACCATGTTGTCAGGTGCCGCCGTCATGGACGCCGCCCTGCTGCTCATTGCAGGCAACGAAACCTGCCCCCAGCCCCAGACCTCCGAGCACTTGGCTGCTATTGAGATTATGAAGCTGGACAAGATTATCATTCTGCAGAACAAGGTCGATCTGATGCGCGAGGAGGCTGCTCAGCAACACTACCAGTCCATCCTGAAGTTCATCAGAGGTACCGTCGCCGGAAAGTCTCCCGTTATCCCCATCTCTGCCCAGCTCAAGTTCAACATCGACGCCGTCAACGAGGCCATCGTCAACACCATCCCCGTCCCCGTCCGTGACTTCAGCCAGGCCCCCCACATGATCGTCATTCGATCCTTCGACGTCAACAAGCCCGGTGCTGAGATCGACGACCTGAAGGGTGGTGTCGCCGGTGGTTCCATCTTGCACGGTGTCCTGAAGCTCGGCGACGAGATCGAGATCCGCCCCGGTATCGTCACGAGAGACGACAAGGGTGCCCTCAAGTGCACGCCCATCTTCAGCAGAATCGTCTCCCTCAACTCCGAGTTCAACGACCTCAAGTACGCCGTCCCCGGTGGTCTCATCGGTGTCGGTACTCGCATCGACCCCACCCTCTGCAGAGCCGATCGTCTCGTCGGTTTCGTCCTCGGTCTCAAGGGCCAGCTGCCCGAGATCTACAGCGAGATCGAGGTCAACTTCTACCTCCTGCGCCGTCTCCTCGGTGTCAGAACCGCCGACGGCAAGCAGGCCAAGGTCGCCAAGCTCACCAAGAACGAGGTCATCATGGTCAACATCGGTTCTACTTCAACTGGTGCCAAGGTTGCCGCTATCAAGAACGATGCCGCTAAGCTTGTCCTGACCAGCCCTGCCTGCACAAACATTGGCGAGAAGGTTGCTCTGTCCCGTCGTATCGAGAAGCACTGGCGTCTCATTGGATGGGCCACCATCGCTGCGTAAGTTATCCTCCACCCCCCCTGAAGACAGTAACGAAGTACTGACGGTCAACAGCGGTGTCACCCTCGAGCCCAGCACGGCCTAAGTGCAGCCTAGCAAAGAATCAAAAATTCAAAATCTCAAAAGCCTATTCTTCAGCATCACAGGAGTCTAAAAACGAATCAGTCTGGTAGAGCTGGTGGGGAGCGGGAGGGGGTTGATGGCAAATTTTGAGTACCAGGCGGGTAATGAATGCTTATGATAAGACACCACCGCGTTAGACTTGATGTGGCCGGGGAGATTGAGAGCTCTCAACGATTCGAGACGGTGTCACGGATTCACAGGGAAAACGCAAAAGTAACCTTAGACGGTGTATGCTGGCAGATAGGCCCGGAAGACGAATGAGCCCTCTTCTATTATCATTTCCTGACTTTGCGTGCATGCTTGACCAGGTTTTCTATCACGCCTTCGAAGGCTTCCCGATCGCCTATTTTCTCATCCGTCTTCTTGGTCCAGTATTCCAGGACCTCCTTGGCCGTGCCCTCCATCGCTTTCAGTTTGGCGACGTGCGCCTTGAGCTCCTCATCCGTCATGCCGTTGAGCGCCTCCTCCGTCGTCGTGCAAAGCTGCTTGGCGGACACCAGGTCCAGGTCTGGTACAGGTGGCGGTCCCTTCTTCTTGGGTGCTGCGGGCTTCCCCTTGGAATCGACCGATGTCGTGGACGCGTTCGCTTCTTGTCGCACCCTTGATAAGGAGCGCGAGTCTGACGATGTTCGTGGGGAGCCTGAAGAGTTGACTTGTAGCGACGGAAGTACAAGCTTCTTTTGCTTGGAAGCTGGGAGAATTTCGTCTAAGTCAACCGGCACGCCGAGCGAAACGAGGAACAGACGCCTGATGCGGGATCGGATCCAGTCTGGTGGTGCCAGCGGCGGTGGCGCTACCAATTGTGACCATAGTGATGCACTTCGGGGTGTGAGGAAGATTGGATTGTCCTTGGTGATTGGTGGAGGTGACGATACGTCGAGGTCTTCCGGAGGAAAGAGTGTGTTTAGGTATGGGTCGACAGCTTGTAATACGTCTTCACCATCTAGGCCGTCGAAATCGGGTATGGACTGAATTCCGCTGTCAGCTTTATTGGGCAATGGCAATCCCGAGAGGTACTCACAAACGGTAATGAGGGTATTTGCGGAGCAGGCGCAGGAGCAGGAGCAGCAGGGGCCTCGAACTCGGGTTGTTGGAATCCGTCCTCAAAGTCGTCGAAATCACCATCCGCTTCCTCTCCCTCCTCAAAATCGTCAAAGTCGTCACCGAAATCGTCATCATCGCCGTCTCCGTCCTCTCCGTTAGGCGGCGGCGCAAGGCTGGCACTTGAAGGGGCAGAGGACAGAGCGTTCTTGGACGGTTTCCGCCTCATTCGAGGGGAGCTTGGGGGAGCGGAGAGCGCAGGTGATACAGGTGGGATATCTACGGAGGACGCCAGGTCAACGACGATTGCTCTTTGAATTTCAGGGATCTCTACATCGTACCGGTACTGCTGCCGCCCTCCTTGGTGTCGTCCTCCTTCTTCAGGACCAAGTCGGCCGGTGCATCTGCCTTACGCTTCTCCTCATACTCCTCTGAATGCGGCCCTGACGAGCCCGGAACCTCCTCGACGACTGTCTTGGGGATGGGCTGTCCACCCGGCGACGCTGGGGGCACAGGTTCCGAGGAGGTCTCTTCTTCGCTCTTGTTCTCCTGGATCGCAATCTCATCTGGCTCTGCGTCGCCCTCCCTCAACCGGTAGGCCTCCGTGCCAGGGACCTCGCCGTATGACGGTTCGTCGTCGACCTTCTCTACGCGGGTCTTGGGGATGGGGGACGTTCCCGGGCTGAGAGGAGCGGATTGCGCATCGGAGAAGTGATCTTCTGAGTCGGAGGATTCAGCTAGAGAATGTCAGACAACGACTGGGACAGTCATCTAGGGAGAACAGAGTGACTAGGGGGCTTACCCAGGTCGTGGGCACCAGGGTCGCTAATGCTAGACCGCTTGGGAGGCGTAAGGGTATCGTCGTCCTTCATGGTGCTGTTTCGAGTGCAATTGCGAGCTGTGAAGAGGTACTTTTTGGCGATTCGAGGAATTATGCCAACTTGGGAGTTATCGATGATGGAGGAATAGGAGTGGGTGTGGAGGGGGGAACCTGTCGATTAGCGGATACGTAATGCGTGGGCCAAGCAAGAAGCTACGATATCCCCAGATCCAGTATTTGAGCTCCTGCAACTACTCTGGACCAAAAGTTGAGGAAGGCTGGCGGCACCTTTTAAGAAGACCAGAAAGAGCAACCTTTTGGGCACAGAGACAGGCAGGGCACGAAAGCAGGCTCTCGTAGACGCCATCAGCAACCCAAAGGTGCAGCTGTCAGGAGCCAGCAAGCATCACGTGGGTCTAGACCCGGCTAATTCCGCGCTAGTACCAATTCGTGAAGATGTACTGAAATGGTGCAGGCCATCAGCTGAAGGTACCTGAAGGTACCTTGGCTGCACAGTCCCCGGTCGCGTTAGTCGCGTGGAGGCCAAAGGCTGGAGCATCGCAAAAAAAAAGCTGCCAGCCATTGTCAACAGCTACCCTCACCCCAACAACCAGCAAAAATACCCGTCACCAAATCCTTAAGCAGCTCGACCGACGACAACCGACTGCTGTACGACGACGAGAAAATATTTTGAGGTCGATTCGCACCTCAATGCGACGATAAGGAATCGCGCGAGCCCACAGCAGCCGAATCACGAAGCCCCTGTGACTCGCAACCTGCGAGCAGCCATCAACCATCACCCAGACAACTCCCGATCGATTATTCACGAAGCTTCGATACAATGTCTTTCAGCTTTGGAAACCCATCCGGTACGCCGGCTTCGAGCAGCGGCACGAACCCGACGACATCTGCGCCGGCCAGCGGAGGCCTTTTTGGCGGCGCTGCCGCTGGAGGCAGCGGCTTCTCCTTTGGTAACTTGGGCAGCAATACGCCTGGAGGAGCAACCGCTGGTTCAAGCAGCAGCACTCCTGCGGCGGGCGGAGGTCTCTTTGGTGCCAGTACAGGACAGAAGCCGGCGGGCGGTCTCTTCGGCAACGCGACACCGGCAGCGTCGTCCTCAGGAACACCCGCCTCGGCCGGCGGTCTTTTTGGAGCGAAGCCTGCAACTGGCGCATCTTCGACTCCAGCGGCTTCTGGAGGTCTCTTTGGAAACACGAGCTCGAGCACACCAGGCGCGTCTGCGCCTGCCTCAGGAGGTCTATTCGGTGGTGCCGCAGCTAGCAGCACTCCTGCTGCGTCATCTGGCGGTCTTTTTGGAGGTGCTGCCGCGTCAAAGCCGACTACAAACCTCTTCGGTGGTGGAAACACAGGAACATCTACACCATCTGCTGGAGGTCTCTTCGGCCAGAACGCTTCTTCAACACCCTCATCGGCACCTGCACCCTCTGCTGGAGCTGGAGGACTGTTCGGTAACATGAACAAGCCTGCTGCCAGCACGCCAACCGCCTCAGCAACCACAGCTACCCCTGCGAAGCCTGCACTTTCATTCGGAGGATCGACTACTCCGGCTGGAGCCCCCCCTGCTGGCGCAAGTAAGCCTGCCACTGGCGGTCTCTTTGGTGGTGCCGCAGCATCTGGCTCGGCTGCTCCATCTCCATTTGGAGCCGCGGCCGCCGCGAAGCCTGCAGAGAGCAGCGGCGCTGGTGGTCTCTTCGGTGGTGCTGCTCAGTCCAAGGCTGCTTCGACGGCTCAGCCTGCCAGCACAGGAGGTCTTTTCGGTGGTGCGCAGGCACAACAACCTGCTGCTGCTGCCGGCGGCCTATTCGGTGCTCCGAAGCCGGCGGCATCGCCCGCCCCCGCCTCCGGCGGCCTGTTCGGTCAAGCTGCTACTACCAGTGCGGCTCAGCCTGCCTCAACTCCGGCTACCGCTCCTGCTGCCTCCGGTGGCCTCTTTGGCAATGCAGCTTCCACGCCGGCCGCGTCCACAGCACAACCCGCAGCCAGCGCCGGTGGTCTGTTTGGAGCGAAGCCCGCGGCCACTTCCGCCTCTACTCCGACTACCACCGCAGCTCCGTCCTCTCTGTTCGGTGGTGCGACTACTGCTGCTCCGGCGGCTAAGCCTGCCAGCGGCGGTCTCTTCGGAGCCGCTCCGGCAGCCAGCACGTCTCAGCCGGCAGCTGCTGCCACAACCACGGCGCCGGCCGCTACCCCTGCCGCTGCCACAACATCTACAGCCCCCAGTGCGACTCCCGCTGCCGCCGGCGGTCTTTTCGGTGCGAAGCCATCCACCCCTGCAGCTCCGGCGACGACTCAGACCGGCACTGCACCTGCTACTACTACTGCTGCCGCTACTGCCACATCAAACACCCTTGGTGCCTCAACCACTGGCCCAACTTCCCAGCTGCCTCGCCTAAAGAACAAGTCAATGGATGACATTATCACTCGCTGGGCCTCTGATCTGTCCAAGTACCAGAAAGACTTCAAGCACTACGCCAACCAGGTTGCCGACTGGGACTTGGGCCTGGTCGACAACGGCGAGAAGATTCAGAAGCTTTACTTGAACACGTTCGAGGCTGAGAAGGCCAGCCACGAGATTGAGCGTCAGCTTCAGGCCGTCGAAAGCCAGCAGGACGAGCTCGAGGAGTGGTTGAACCGCTACGAGAGTGAGGTCAAGGAGATGTTCTCCAAGCAGATGGGCCAGGGCGAGACACTCGCCGGACCTGACCAGGAGCGCGAGCGCACCTACAAGCTGGCCGAGAAGCTGACTCAAAACCTTGATGAGAAGAGCAGAGACCTGTCCAAGATGGTCAAGGAAATCAACGACATTTCCGGTACTCTGAGCAAGGGCACCAAGCCAGAGGATCCCGTAAGTTGCTCCGTATCCTACTCACATACGCAGTCGCTAATACATTTCCAGTTGAGCCAGATTGTCCGTGTTCTCAACGGCCATCTCTCGCAATTGCAGTGGATCGACACCAGTGCGGCATCTTTGCAAGCCAAGGTGTCTGCCGCTCAAAAGGCGAACAACAACATGGGCAGTCAATATGGAGCCCCGGAGACGGACGCAGCAGAGAGCTTCTACCGGTCTTATATGGGACGGCGTTGAGATGGATTAGGGTAGAGCATTTAATGTTTTCTTTTACGGTAGCACACGAGAGAATTGGGAACCCGCATGAAAACTCCGAAACGGAGAGATGTTAATGGCTCGGTCCAGGACTTTGAACTCGCTCGCATTGAGTGGGATGGGCGGCACGCGGAGTGCATCCCGTACCTTATGTACATGTACACTAGCCTAGAATGTGGTGAATACCAGGCGTTGACAAGACAGTTTTTTTTTCGATTTCTCATGACCTGTTGCAAGCGTCTGCAGCTACCAATATGCGCCGGATCCTGCGGATATCAATCTTCCTCTCGCCTAGGTCGTGCCGGGCCTCTCGCCCATATTACGGCCGGAATTGCAGGTGTGCGTGAATATCGTCGCTTTAGTTGTGCTCACCACCCTGCTCCTTGGTGATCTCGTCACTTTGAGGGGGGGAAAATTGTTAGCGGGAACTCCGAGGGCATCATCGTTTTCTCCGGGGGTGGACGAACATGTGGTCGGACAGCTGCTGGAGGTGGGCCTGCTGCTCGGAAACCTTCTTCCTCAGCTCCAGGAGCTTCTCCTTCTCGCGCTGGCGGATGGCGTAGTCCTCGTTGGCCTTCTCGCGGCGCTGGAAGGCATCGCTGCAGTGCGGGAAAAAATCAATTGGTTAGCTCAGGGAGGTCTTGACACAAGTGGGAGCGAGCGAGCAATCAATCGCAACCATGCGCGGTCGTACGATGGATGGATGCTCTGTAGACAGGCACTTACCCTTGTCCGCCCATCTTCGGGGGAGCTCCAGTGTCTCCCTCGCCCATAGCTCTGGCGGTGGTGGTGAAGGCGGCTCTGGAAGTAAAGGTCAAGGGGCGGGCGGCGGCCTTGGCGACGGTGACGCGAAGCATTTTGACGGTTGTGGTGTTTTTGGAGGAGGAGGAGGTGGTGATGTGCGGTGGTGGTTGTGGTGTGCAATTGCAGGAGTTGGTTTTGTAGGTCGAAGATGGGTTCAACGGGAGAGGGCGATGACGATATGTTGCCGGGACCGTCGCTTTTTGTGATAGGTGGGCGTGTGGAGGTGGGTGGTCGGTGCTGACAGCTGACGGGATGGGGGAAAAGAGGGAGTCTGGCGCGCCGTGGGTTTCTGCTGGCTGCGGCCTGCGGATACTGCCATGATCTGATTCTTGGACGGGGGGCCCGGGGAGCTTCGGTCAGCTTCTCTTTGTTGCGTACCCGAGTACGGGAAGTGATACGTCATTTTGGGCGGCTGGTGAGGTACTTTGCTAACATGGAGACGGCCGGCATTTTTCGGCTCGGTGGAAGTAGGAACAAGGCAATATGTTTTCCTCAGGCCACTGAAGGAGCCACGAGGGAGTCATTTGCTTGCAGAGACGTACGCTCCGCCATGTTCAGCTCGTGCTTGACCGCTATGGTTCAGAGCACCACCCGGAATCCCGCGATAATGGATAGCCGTCCTTGAGGCATCACGATATGGACCATGGCCTGCCGGAAATAACATATAAACCCACTTTGTAAACAGCAGCCTAGGAACTATCGTCCGCGTGACTTGTTCTACCCGGCTGTGACTACTGACCTTGTCATCCTCATTACTGCTATTATTTTGCAGGTGTTCCTCAATGATACTATTGGACGTGCCTGCTTAGTATGAGGATTTATGAGAAGCCTGGTTTACTGCTTGATGGACAATTCAGACGGGTACTGTTGCCGCCGAATCTACAATGCTCACGTTTTGTTGGACAACAGAACAAATAAGAGAAGGATACGACCAATCACTCCCAATCTCACGGACTACCGTCCGAGAGCAGCCGTAAGGTATCGTTATCCCCGGCAAGGCTGAATCTCGGCGACGACTGGGATGTTCCCCGGGCTAGGAAGAGGGATTTCGGGCGATCTGTCTCTTGCCAGATGGTCCGGCCGATGGGGTTTTGCTGCGTGCGAGTGGTGCGACGTTCTGTGTCTTTGTCTCGCAAAGGTAAGAAGTGGAGAGGGAGCCGCCAGACAGGTACTGCGTGGTGTTGGCCGCGTGTGTAAGTGTGCTGCCTCTGACGATAGCGCCAACATTGACATTTCGAGGGAAAGATGTGGCTTCCTTTGGTCTAGAACACAGATAAGTAGGGGACTAAGGTTCGGCAGAGCACCGAAATACGGTTCAGACTGCAGTGACACCGCCACAACCTAACTTCTGGTAAGGCAGCGGGACTGCACGAGTGCCTGAACTCAAAAGACGGTACCAATGAGCACGGTGGAAGATGATTGCATGAAAAGAAGAGATGAAGTGGGATTGAGCACGGGAAGGAGGGGTAAAAATCGGCTTCGGGGTCCCTGACTGATTGAGGCGGCGGACTGCAAAGCTGTAGAAGAGGTCAGGGCCTCGCAAATTAGTCTTGGAAGTTGCAATAGCATCAGAAGCAGAACCGTGACGTGATCCAGTCCAGCAGCCGTCAAGTCAATGGAAGTCGGTTACCCTCCAGCCGGTGCCTTGGATTGGCGCCAGGTGTTGCTTGTCTGGCTGAGGTGCCAGAGTCCACTGCTTCAAGGCCGACGACGCTGCACCGGGGAAGGAGCGCTGTGCTGGGGAAGTCGATCCACGCAAATCACCTTACCTAAGACAATTGGAAGTACCGATTTGTATCTCCGTACTTATCCTCCACTGTCTGTCGCAGAGTCAGGTTCGCGGTAAATGGGAAGCAACGCATGAAGTCGCTGGAGAAGGGCACGCATCGAGCCAACTTTGGGGGCATTGGAAGCACCTTCCCACCATCAGGCCTCAATTAGGTGTTGCAGTCTCAGCCGCAACGCACAGCCGCGATACCTTCTGATACATCACCCCAATCAATTCACGTGAGCCGGCCATTCCAGGGCTAGCACGAACAAAACACAAGGGCACCTGCTACAGTGGATGCGGAAAGGGGATTGGCCAACGTGCTTGCCCATTCAGGCCAACCAGTCAAGTCGGCCCCCCGTTCCCAGTTGGCAGTCCCAGTCGGTCCCAGTCCCAGTGTGCCAGTGTGCCAGCGTCCCAGGCGAAGGCCCGCCGCCGCCCAGTCAGTCGCCGCCTTGTCCTCTGCCCGGGCCATGTATTGTGCAGTCCAGAGCCCCTTCCTCAATTTCCATCCATCACCTTTTCGTCTCATCAACTTTCCCAACTTCAAAACTCTCGCACTCCATTAGCAAACGTCAACACCACCGACTATTTTTCCCTTTCGACACGCTCCCTTCCCCTGCTCCGGATCTTTCGAGTCTTGACACGGGAATTATCCATTGCCTCCTATCCGTCGTTCCACCAGAACATCCCCGCCCTTCTCAAAACATCGCACCAAGGTACGTGGTCCCCTCCCCCCATCCCCCCGTGCCCCCTCTGTCGTCATCGCATCCCTCGCCGCAATCTCCTTCCACCGATCCTCAACAACCGCCGTCGATACGGACCGGGCGACCGCTTCGAGACGATACCGTTCCTGCCTCGTCCTGTCCCCGATTGAACGCCTCAACAAGTCTGCGCGCCCTATCTTGATCGGTCAGGCGCGAAACCCCACCAGGAGCGGGGGGCCGAACCAAGTGATGAAGTCAGCGAGGCGCATACGCTGCGACTCGCCCTATCCGTCCTGAATCACCTCGCCCGTCTCGCCGCCATCAACCCGCGCTCCACGGAACACGCTTTTTCGATTTCATCTTGATTTGTCATTGGGAGCGCAAAATTCACCGTCGTCGCTGGCCACGCGTGCTAATCAATATCAACCAACACAGATCACAACCGTCACAATGGGTCAGGAAGATGCTGTGTACTTGGCCAAGCTTGCTGAGCAGGCTGAGCGCTACGAGGGTACGTCGTCTTCACCGCTCCCCTCCGATGGAATATACTGATGAATGGGCCTCCAGAGATGGTCGAGAACATGAAGATCGTCGCCTCTGAGGACCGTGACCTGACCGTCGAGGAGCGCAACCTTCTGTCCGTTGCCTACAAGAACGTCATTGGCGCCCGCCGTGCCTCCTGGAGAATCGTCACCTCCATTGAGCAGAAGGAGGAGTCTAAGGGCAACTCTTCTCAGGTTGGCCTGATCAAGGAGTACCGTCAGAAGATCGAGGCCGAGCTTGCCAAGATCTGCGATGACATTCTCGACGTCCTCGACAAGCACCTCATCCCATCTGCTAAGTCTGGCGAGTCTAAGGTGTTCTACCACAAGATGTAAGAACGAACGTTGAAATTGGCCAGCAAGGAGAGGTACTGATTACGTGAATAGGAAGGGTGACTACCACCGCTACCTGGCCGAGTTCGCCGTTGGCGACCGCCGCAAGGACTCTGCCGACAAGTCCCTCGAGGCCTACAAGGCTGCCACCGAGGTTGCCCAGACCGAGCTTCCTCCTACTCACCCCATCCGCCTTGGCCTCGCCCTTAACTTCTCCGTCTTCTACTACGAGATCCTGAACGCCCCCGACCAGGCCTGCCACCTGGCCAAGCAGGCTTTCGATGATGCTATTGCCGGTTAGTGTCACTGCCATCTGATTTCAGGTACATTACTGACAACGTGATGCAGAGCTCGACACCCTTAGCGAGGAGTCGTACAAGGACTCTACCCTCATCATGCAGCTGCTCCGTGACAACCTGGTAAGCCCCCCTCTGTTTCTCTTGGAAGACACCAAACGCTGACTTATCGTCTAGACCCTCTGGACCTCTTCTGAGGCTGAGCCCGCGGCGTCAGGCTCTGCCGAGGCCCCTGCTGCCGCTAAGGAGGAGGGTGCTTCTGCTGAGGCGCCGGCTGCCGCCGCCGCGTCTGAGGAGCCCAAGGCTGAGTAAGGGTGTGGTCTGGTAGCATTCTCTGCAAACCTGCGTTTATCGCCGGAATTGGGTGGACTGGTGTCTACGGAGTGTGGACTGGAGATTTCCTTTTTGCGAATCGGCATTGTTTAGGCACTACACACAAGAACTGTGAAGGGGTTGATTTCTCCTTACGGAACTGGCAGGGGGCTAAATAAGAGCATTTTGGAGGTCGATTGCACCCACGTTGCTTTTTTAGACTCTAATGCAAGACCGTCTGGACAACAACAAAAAAAGACTAAAATTGCTTTCAATAGAGCACAACTCTCACTAGTTTCGTCGCTTCTGGCTCCGTTGCGCTGCTGTTCACTCTTTTTTTCCTAATCAACAGTTTCGCTGTAGCCGGTAATGTCGATGAAATCTGCTCACATGAGAAGCAATAGCGTTGAGAATGGCTACAGTGATTCGGCATGTCACGGCTACGTGCCAAACAGCCTATTGAAGTGACAAGTATTTGAAGATGACAGTCAAGGCGTGCATTTGGCCAGACGAGATGCATTAATGACGATGTCCATTTAGTCATCTACTACTGCAAAATGAACCTTCATCCATAAGCTGCAGTCCTGACAGCCGACCAGCAATTCCCCGTTCTCTCCCGCTTCCTCCAAATCGGTCTCCGTAAACAGAAAACCCCGAGGGTTGCCGCACCTGCAGTTACGATACCAGCACTCGGCCCCTTCGTCGAATTCCAGATCGTCGAGATCCACGTTCTCGATGCCCGTCTGGAAGGCCTGCTCGCGCTTGAGACCTTGGTTGTTCGGGGCGAGGTCGAGCGACCGGTCGTACTCGGCCTTGGACCTGGGGTCGGCGAGGACCTTGTACGCCGAGGAGATCTGGTCGACCGTGAAGGTTTCTGATTTTGTTGTTGATCTCGTCGGGTTTGATGTTGACGACGACCCTTGGCTCTTGAGCTGTGGGTACTTGTCCGGGTGGTTCTGGAGGAGGGCCCGGTGGTAGGCCCTCTTGATGACCTGCTGCGCCTGTTCGGGGGCCTGGTCCTGGAGGAGCTTGCGGGTGAGGCCGAGGACTGTGTAGTGGGTGTGACCGCCGGGGGCCGCCGGGGGTGTTGTGCTCATGTTGATGAGGTTGCGGCTGGGCGCCCCGTGAGGTTGTTCGGCGGCGCGGGTTTGCACGTGAAATTTTTGACGAATCGGGAGTTGAGGAGTCTTTGATGGGTCACGTGAGGAGTGGGAAGCGGACGACGCAACTTTGGTCCAGAAATGAAGACACGGAACGAGGCTTTTTTGGGTTTTGATGCGGATTGGTACTGGGAAATTGTTACCGAGATACGTTTAAGTTTTCTTCTGCAGTGTGCAGTTGGAGGATTGTGTGTTGGTTGAAAAAATCCAATGGTTTGAAGTGGTAGCACGAGAACGGGGGCTTCGAGAGTTGTTTGATTCGTTTCTTGTACATGATAATACATGATGTATGTTCCATACACCGTCTATAGTAGTCGACACATCGTATCTCGAAAGTCCAAATGAGTTGCTTATTTGGGGAACTTTGTCCAGTTCTTCTTTCCAACCTGTTCTCATCGTCAGTACACGAACCGCACTGGGGCAAGATACCAAACGAACTCACCTTCTTCCACTCCTTGATAAGCTTGGGCATGGCGAGTATAGCCTCTCTCCTCTTCTCCATCCTGCAGAAAAACTAAGTCAGTTGCCGCCGTCTTCAAGAGCCGCCACAGCACCAAGATGACGAACCTGGGCATCACCATTCTCTCGTGGATCTTTCCCTTGACCTTCTGTCCGACACCGGTACCCTTGACCCTCAGACCGAACTCGACGCGCTTGGCGATGCGGTTCTCGGTGCCCTTGACCGTGGGCGGGAGGAGCTCCTCGACGCCGTGCTCGCGCGCGAGCTTGACGATCTCGGCCTGCCGGCGCAGCGAGTACTTGGGGTCGTGGTACAGGCCCGTCACGGGGTGTTTCGTGGCGGCGAACGGGTTCGGGGCCTGCAGCTGGAAGCCGGTCGGGACGTGGTTCGGCGGCACGATCGAGGGGTGCGGCCACCGGGCCAGGATGCGCTGGAGGCGTCCCGGCAGGGCCTTGGCCAGCTGGATGTGCTGTTGCGCTGACATTTTCGGATCGAGGTCGTATCCTCCTATACTGACAACGCTTTCTCACGGGGCGGACGGGTCGTGGCGATGGGAGTTTTCTCTCCCTCCCGTGGAACTTCGGGGTACCGCGGGTGATCGTTCGGGTTGGGAGGGGGGTTTCGGTCGACGCAAGGCCTCGTCGATTCAAGGTTGGCTCGCGACGATATTGGATGCAGGATAATTTTGGCCAGCCTTATCCACACCCCTGTACATGCGGGAGCTGCAGGGGTGAGAAGCTCGGTGCGAGGGGCAAGAATTGCCGACAGTAACGCTACATGATTGGCTACTTGTAGATTCGAGCTGTGGCGCAAATTGTAGCCTCTTCGTGATTCTCGTCTTCCTTGCCACTACGAGTCTCCCGTCCTTGCTGCAAATGGGGTCCCTAGCTTTCTCCCGTGATCATTTATTACACAATATGAGCACTTAGTGACAAACACGATCACAGATATTAGGCAAAACTCTTGAGGTCTCTAACTAAGGCACCTGGATATTCCAAGCTTCGCGGTACCTGGATCGTTGAAGTGGTCTGTGCACTTACTCACCAGCCCCAAGTACATAAGGCTGCCAGTCGCAAATCGCATCGTTGCTCTGTTGGTGCTACACTTACGGATCCTTCACTTGGTCGACGACGCCGCCTTCGTCTCTCAAATACGCCTCACGAATCAACAGCTTTATTAACCGAAAGACCGCCGGCGAGATGAACAACAACAAAAAGGCACCCCTCGATCTCGAAGAGATCATCCGAAAGAAGAAGGCCGCCGACGCAGCGTCCTCAAAACTTCGATTCATCCCGAAGAAAGAACGAGAGAGGCAGGCGGCAGAACGCGCAAAAGCCGAAGAGGAGGAACGCAAGAAGAAGGCGGAGGAGGATGCGAGGAGAAAGGCCGACCTCGAGAGAAAATGGGCGGCTGAGGCCAGCAACGGCACAAATGGCGTCAACGGATATGGCAACGGCAACGGCAACGGCCACAGCCGGGTGCCTACCGGACCGAAAGCCATGAACAACGGCCAGAATCAGAACGACGACGGACGTCGGGGACGACGAGAAAAAGCTGAGACGAAAGCGACGACAAAGGATGGCAAGGAGAAGAAGTCGGCAGACACAATAGAAGCAGAGCTGTTGCGAAACCGCTACCTGGGGCCCGAGGTGAACAAGGAGTCGAACTTCAGCGTGAAGAAGAAGCGGAAGCGAGCGACGGAGTTCAAGTTCGAGTGGGACGCGGCCGAAGACACCACCCTCGACAACGACCCGATCTACGACTCACGCATGTCACTCAAGTCGTTTACATATGGTAGTCTGGCGGGCGAGTTCAACGAAGAGGCCGAAGAGATCGCGCGGAGGAGGGCCCGGATGATCGAGGAGCGGGATCCCGAGTTCGGGAAGCGGCGCGCACAGGAGTACATGGAGGATTTCTATAACGCACGGGATCGCGCAAAGGAACGCGCAAACCGGACCGGCCTCGGCAAACACTGGTCGAAGAAGGCGCTGGACGAGATGCGCGAGCGAGACTGGAGAATTTTCAAGGAGGACTTTGGTATTGCGACAAAGGGTGGCCTTATTCCCAACCCCATGCGCAGCTGGCAGGAATCCGGCCTGCCCCGGCGCCTGCTTGACATCGTCGACCGAGTCGGCTACACGGAGCCCACACCGATTCAACGGGCGGCCATCCCGATTGCACTGCAAGCCCGAGATCTCATCGGTGTCGCCGTCACCGGTTCCGGTAAAACTGCGGCATTCTTGCTACCGCTGCTCGTCTACATTTCAGACTTACCGCCGCTCACCGAGGTTAACCGCAACGACGGCCCCTACGCCCTCATTCTCGCACCGACGCGTGAGTTGGTCCAGCAAATCGAGACGGAAGCAAAGAAGTTCGCCGAACCGCTTGGCTTTAGAGTCGTCAGTATCGTCGGTGGTCACTCCCTCGAGGAACAAGTGTTTTCGCTGCGCAACGGAGCCGAAATCATCGTCGCGACACCCGGTCGTCTGGTGGACTGTATCGAAAGACGTCTTTTGGTCTTGTCGCAGTGCTGCTACATCATCATGGACGAAGCAGATCGTATGATTGACCTGGGTTTTGAGGATTCGGTGAACAAGATTCTCGATGCTCTGCCAGTGACGAACGAGAAGCCAGACACGGACGATGCTGAAAACGCAGCGATGATGAAGAGGTACCTTGGCGGCAGAGACAAGTACAGACAAACCATGATGTACACGGCCACGATGCCGCCGCTGGTTGAGAAAATCGCAAGAAAGTACCTGCGACGCCCTGCCATTGTCACGATCGGTAACGCGGGCGAGGCCGTCGAAACAGTCGAGCAGAGAGTGGAGTTTGTGTCCGGAGAAGACAAGCGCAAGAAGCGCCTGCAGGAAATCCTGCGCTCGGGAGACTTTGCTCCACCCATCATCGTATTCGTCAACATCAAGCGGAACTGCGACGCTGTGGCGCGAGACGTCAAGCAGATGGGTTACTCAGCGGTAACACTGCACGGAAGCAAGACCCAGGAACAGAGAGAAGCGGCACTGGCGTCCGTCCGAAACGGTCAAACAGACGTGCTGGTTGCCACGGACTTGGCCGGAAGAGGTATCGATGTGCCGGACGTATCGCTCGTCATCAACTTCAACATGGCGACCAGCATCGAGAGCTACACGCATCGTATCGGTCGTACGGGTCGCGCGGGCAAGAGCGGTGTCGCCATTACGTTTTTGGGCAACGAGGACGCGGATTTATTGTACGACCTCAAGCAGATGCTTTCCAAGAGCTCGATCTCGAGGGTACCCGAGGAGCTGCGTCGGCACGAGGCCGCACAGTCGAAGCCCACCAGAGGACACAAGAGGGCAGGTGGTGGTGGAGAGGAGTCGTCAGGCAAGGGGGGTCAGTGGGGCGCCTAATGTGTGGTTATGGATGATGGTAGCACGGCGAGTGGATGAGGGGACTGGGCGACGGCAAATGGACGCAAAGAGCGGAAAAGATCTTGTCTCAGAGATTATCGTGATTAATAGATTATCGTGATAATCTCTCTATGTCCGAGCCAAAAGCGTTCGGCACCTCGGGGCTTGTGGCGGGGCATCAGCTGCTCCCTGCCAATTGTGCCTGACAGCGGGGAAGGATTCGGGGTTTCCAAGGCTAGCTCCCGCCGACCAAGTCGACACAACCCCACCACTGGTCACTTTTTCCAGGTCTGATGTCAGGGCCGGGGCGTTCTAGGCGCATAGCACCTCTGCAAAAAGAGTCGGATATACAAAGAGGTAGACATGGAATCAGAAGAAAAATTGCTGGGTATGTTGAAGAGAATTTTCTGCAACCCAAACCTCCTCCTGCCTGCTGCTGCGCCCAAATCTCCACCGTTCCGGTTTCTCACCGTTCCTTTCACATGGTTGTCAATATAAATCCTCGGAGGGCGCCTGCCACGAGAAATGATCGTCTTGGGTTGACAATTATTTCCCTCTCGTTCGCCTCCTAGCGTGAGCGTTTTTTCCCGTTCAACAGACAACGCAGTGACTCCAGACGCTAAGCCCGCCCCGGTATCGGTGGGCTCCTCTCATTCGCGCGCTCGACACAGACACACGGAGGGAGCGCAAAAGGAAAAGAAAAAAAAAAAGGACATTCCGAGTGACCGACACTCTGTACGGCCACTTTCGCTCTTGCCCCGCGCATCCATCCTATGGTCATCCCACCTCCCTGATTCAACTCAGCACGAGGGGGAGCAGTGAGGACAGTGCTGAATAGACTTCTATTCATCCGTCCTGCACTTGCTCCTTTCTGGAAACAACCTGTTACACTGTTTGCCTGCGGCCGCAGCAAGCTTGGTGAGCGATATCTGCTGAGCGGCAACTCGGCCAGCCCACAGGCGCAAGCTAGGTAGCAAGCGACAAGCAAGCAGCAAACAGCAAACAGCAAACATCTTCCCCTTTTTCTCCCTTTCCACCGACCTTTGTCGCCGTATTACTGCCAAGGCGTTGTGGCCCGTCACCCTTTTAGTCCCACCGTCGAAGGCGTTTTCCAGAAGCTCAGGTAGCTTTCCACATCATTCTTCGTCCGATTGCCAACATGATGGACACAGCTGGAGCAGCCATGGAAATCCCCCACCATGACGCACCGGTCTCGCTGAAGAAAAGCCGCACCGCGGCGTTGGAGGCGGTTGAAGACATTGTCTACGGATCGGTAAGTCGCACATCCTACACCTGGAGCTTAGGGATTGCTTTTCTGACGAGGGCGTTGTACAGGTCGCCGGTGTTGTCGGCAAATACATCGAATACCCTTTCGACACGGTCAAAGTCCGACTTCAATCCCAGCCCGACAACCAGCCCCTCCGCTACAAGGGCCCGCTTGACTGCTTCCGCCAATCGATCAAGGCGGAGGGCGTCCTCGGGCTCTACCGCGGCATCAGCGCCCCGCTCGTCGGCGCCGCCCTCGAGAACAGCAGCTTGTTCTTCTTCGAACGCATCGGTCGCTCCGTCGTATACTCCTCCGGCATCGTCTCGAAGGGCCAGGACCTCTCGCTCGGCGCGCTGTGGTTCACCGGCGCCTTCTCCGGCTTCTTCACGTCGTACGTCCTGACGCCCGTCGAGCTCGTCAAGTGCAAGATCCAGGCCCCCGCGAGGGCGGACGGCTCTGCGCCGCCGCAGCTGCGCCCGCTCGCCGTCATCCGCGACATCTACAGACACAACGGCCTTAGAGGCTTCTGGGTCGGCCAGACGGGCACGCTGATCCGCGAGTCAGGCGGGTGCGCCGCGTGGTTTGGCAGCAAGGAGACGGTGACCAGGTTGTTCTACCACCTCAACAGCCGGGCCGCCAAGAGCAAGTCGGAGAAGGAAGCCCTCGCGGCGAAGCCGCTGCCGCTGTGGCAGCAGGCGCTGGCGGGCGCTTCGGGTGGTGTGTCGTATAACTTCCTCTTCTTCCCCGCCGACACCATCAAGTCGCGCATGCAGACGGCGGCCATCGGCGATGCGACGCGGAACCGCACGTTCTTGCAAGAAGGCGTGGCGGTGTGGCAGCATTACGGTCTGAGGGGCTTGTACAGAGGCTGCGGCATCACCTGCTTGCGGTCTGCTCCCAGCTCGGCCTTCATTTTCATGGTTTTTGACGGCCTCAAGCAACGATTCCCTTTGCAGTAGAGGGCCTTGTTTTTGCGTTTTGATATCCTAGACTTCGGGCACGTGGAAACGGTTGCTTTATTTACAAAAAGGCATTTTAGAGGCGTAAAGGAACAGCTTAGGCTGATGGTATATATACACATATATGAGTGGTGGTCAGTGACTCCTGTGAGACAGTGGGAGGTAGATGTGAGCGTGGATATCAACTTTTTTTGGGCTGGATTGTTGGTTTTCTAAAAACAAACTAGGAACATGCTTAGACGACGAATAGAACGCCTTTTAGACATTTCACAGGTTGGTACGAGTATCAGCACAGCCTTGACCCAATCGACTTTACTGCTTCTTGCCGGCGGCGGCTTTCTCCTCGGCACCCTTCAGATCCCAGTTGTTGAGGTATCCAGCACCAGCACAGAGGTAGGTCGCGAAGCCGAGCCAGCCGAGGTAGGGGACGAGCAAGCCTCCGGCGACGCGGTCAACGGAACCCCAGAGGTAGGTCAGGTACGAGTTGACACCGAGGAGGGCGACGATGTCGACGGTGGCCTCGATGGGGCGCTTCCAGACGAAGAAGAGAGGCATCCAGATGAGGTTGAGGCCGAGCTGGATGGTGTAGAGCGTCGCGCCCTGCTTGGTCATGTTGATCTGCTCAATCGTGGAGAACGGGGAGAGGCCGTTGTGGATGGCGCGGTAGGCGGCGTAACCCATCATGCTGTTTGACATTCGTGTTAGATGGTTGGCGGTCAAAATGAGATCGGGATGGGATGTTGTTGACTTACCCGTAAAGGAGAGTCCATACGGGGCCGAAGACGTACGGCGGTGGGCGCAGGGGCGGGTTCTTGATGGCGGCGTATGTCTTTTGGGTTTCCTTGGCTGTGGTGATCGTGTTAGCCTGTGTTCGGTTCTGCGACGGGATGAGGAAGGGCTCACGTCGCGACGAGTAGCCGACGGCCGTTCCCAGAGCTATGGGGAGCAGGATCGAGGCCGCGGCATTCTCGAATATCTGGTGGGGCAGCGTCAGGGCGGGGATGAAGGTTGTCATTGTTGCGATCGTTGATCTCTTATATCTTCAATTGCAGAATCTTGGCGACAAAGTGTCAGTAAAAGCCTCAGGAGAGTTCGTGGTGTTTTGTTTTATAGCGTGTGTTGACGTGGACTCTTGTTCGTCTGGAACATGCGATGGTAATGTGCCTCGGGGCGGGTCCCAGTCCGACCTGCGAGATGTGATGGATAGCTCTACAGAGCTATGACGCAATGCACTGACCTCTGACGGGCAATTGGCACTTGTCGCGACGTTCAGATTCACTTGAATGGGAGGAGTCGGGTGTTGGAGGGAAATACTGGCTGTAAAAAACTTACGATTCAACAGGTGATTGGCAATTCTCGAAAGAAGACTGGCTGGGCGAGAATGCGACAGCTCTCTTTTTAATCGGGCAGATGGGGTCTCCGTTCCTCAGATGGGCATGTTCATGTTGCTACAGGGGTGAAGCTCTGGAGATCGCTGGGGATCGGCCACTGCTGCGCAGCTCAATTACGGGCATCTCAGGTCGAACTGACCCACGGGCGGCGGCTGGCAGCTGTGATGAGCTGAACCGCTATGTGAGGTCGGACGCAAACTGCCGACAGCCTTGCGAGAGACCATCGCGACTTCCTCCTGCTCGGTGCGAATTCCAGTGCCTCTGGTCTTTTTCAATTCTGGCAAACTCCTTCCACAACCAAACCTGAAGACGGAACAATCACCAAACTCATGCGGAAACGCGAGGTATGCACTTAAACAGTATACCAACCTATCCGGGTATCCCGGCAAACTCGCGCTAAGCCCCGTTGGTACCGGTGGATCTCTCCAGCCGACTCTTTGTTCGTGTCTCGTCGCCTTCCATCGCGGCCGCAGTCAGCCTTCCGATCCCCATCTTTACTTCGTGCATCCCAAGGTCTCGCTTTGGATTACAACAACTTCACGCTTCATCGTCGAGGCATACGCCCTCGCAACCGAAATAGTTCGTTCTTCCCTTTCTTTCTGCATCATCTTTACTCGCTGCACCCATTGTCCCTCCTCCATCCTCTCGATCCGAGTCCCCCAAAATACAATTACTCCTGTCTTCCCTCCCCAACAACCACCATTCAATCTGTTTCCCACCCGGCTCCCTGCCCTCCGTTTGTCAATCCATATGATCAAGCCGGCCTCACTTGGCGCCTTACTTTCTTCTTCCGTTTGCTCCGTTGCTCCTATCAGAGACGAGCCGTTTTTTCCTCAATCTTTGCCGTCTGGCAATTGCACCACTTTTTACTGCTGCTACCCTCCCGAATTCTCAATTCTCTCTTTCTCTTGTCGCCCCGTTTTCCCACTTGAAAACCGTACCTTCCTGCAAGAATGATTTCTCTAACCGCAATCGCGTCGCCAAACAATAGGCTTCCTCTTTTTCTCCCTCTCACCTCTTCCGATCGAGCAAACGGGCGGCGACACATGAGAAGCGACCGCGCCACTACCCGACGCGATACTTAATCTGGGCTGAAGGGCTGCCAATTCCCCAACCTTAACAAAGAACGGCAGAGGCCATCCATTCTTGTTTTGTTCGCGACGACTCAGACTCGGCAAAGCAAAGATGGACTCTTACTCCTCTCACCGCGACTCCTCCGCGCGCTCGCCGGGCGACAGGACGTGGAGCAGTCGCGACGAGCCACGAAAAGAGGAACGTGGCGACACATTCTATCGCGGCAGATCTCCTGGTGCGTAACTTATCTTGTCAATTGAGCCGCCACGGCGATGGCGCCTGTCGTCATGAGATTTCATCTTGTGCAGGTCTGTGCATTTACTTACATCTTTCCTCAGGCCACGATCGCCGTGATAGACGTCGCTCTCGATCTCCCGCACCCGTCGATCGATACGAGCCTCGAGGTCGCGGTCGCGACGAATACACAAGCGGACGCGACAGAGACGACCGTCGAGGAAACAGAGATGACCGGGATAGGCGCATGGGATCTCCCCCGGCCAACATCGATCGATACGTTCCAGGACAAGACAGCGGTCCTACTCCATTGACCGTCAACCCTCTCGCGGATCCGGTTAAGCTCCCTTACCAAGTGGGCTTTTCGTACTTTGGAGAATGGTGGAGGATGAATGAGAAGATCAAGGAGGAGAAGGAACGCCAGCGTACTGGTCGCCGTCGCGAGCCTGAACGCGTTCGAGGTCCCCGCGAGGCCCAAGAAGAGCGCGAGAAGGAGAAGGCAAAGATCCAAGTTGCTTATGACGCCTACAAAGAAGAGCTTCAGGCCAAGATGGCACGCACTTTCGTTGCAGAGCACAAGAAAGAGCAGTGGTTCCGCGAGCGCTACGTCCCTGAGATCCGCGACGGCTTCAGGTCACAGCTTAACGAGTTCCGCCGAGGCACGTACGGTCAGTGGGAGCAGGATCTCGAATCGGGAACCTTTGACGAGTTCTCCTTAGAGGGCCTGCCCAAGAGTGAGAGCAACGGCGTTGGTGGCATAGTCGAGAAGGAGGAGGGTGAGGCGACGGCAGCCAACGAGATTTTGGGTGTCGGAGACCTTGTCCCCGCCAATGGCGCAGACATTAGGGATGAGAACCTGTATCAGCCAACCCTTCTTATCAAGACCATCGCACCCCATGTTAGCCGGCAAAACCTCGAGACCTTCTGCAAGGAGCATCTTGGAGAGGACGAAGGGGGCTTCAAGTGGCTTTCACTGTCAGATCCGAACCCCAGCAAGCGGTACCATCGCATTGGATGGGTCATGCTGCATCCGTCTTCAGAGGTCGCCCCGACAGTCGTTGACCGCGCGGATCCCAAGGATGAAGACGAGGACATGCCTTTGAAGTCGCCCGCTGTCGTGTCTACGGCTGACAAGGCCTTGGACGCTATCAACGGCAAGACTGTCAAGGACGAGGTTAGAGGCGACTTCGTCTGCCACGTTGGTGTACACAACCCACCCACTCACCCTCGAAAGAAGGCGTTGTGGGATCTCTTCTCCGCACCCGAGCGAATTGAAAAAGATTTGGGCCTCGTCCAGCGCCTCATCAACAAATTCGAGGAGGACTTTGGCTCAGATTTCAACGCTGTGCTCAAGATTGAAGAGAGAGTCGACGATCTCAAGAATGCGGGACGTCTTCAGCCTGTTGTCAGCGCTACCAAGAAGCCAAAGGCCAAGCGCGAGCGTGATCTCGATGTCGACGACGGCATGGAAGACGGCGAAGACGGTGCCATTGATGAGGATGAGGAGGAGGGCGCTGTGGATGAGGACGAGACTGACGACGAGGATCTGCTTGTCAAGAAGAAGCAATTGGATCTCATGATTGAGTATCTCAGGCGTGTCTTCAACTTCTGCTTCTTCTGCGTTTTTGAGAGTGACTCTATCCATGAGCTCACCCGCAAGTGTCCTGGTGGTCACTTGCGTCGTCCCAGAAGCACTCTCGGCTCTGCAGCAAAGGCTGTAGCGCGTGCAAGCGCCAGTGGAGAACCGTTCCCTGGCAAGAAGCGCAGTGAGATTGAAGAGGAAGGCGAGGCGGCTGATACCGACAAGAAGTTCCGCAGTGCCACGGGTAAGGCGGAACAGCAGCTGCTCCGCGCATACAACTGGGTCAAGACTTTCGAGGACAAGATCACCCAAATCCTCGAGCCCGAATCTAGTGATCTTCGCAAGCTCGGAGGACGGCCGGTGGAGGATGCTATCAGCGAGGAGCTCCTCAAGTACGTCAAGCAGGAAGACGAGCACAAGTGGAGGTGCAGGGTTCCAGAGTGCATCAAGCTGTTCAAGGAGGAACACTTCTGGCGCAAGCATGTTGAGAAGCGTCACGGCGACTGGCTCGAAAGTATTGAGCAAGAGGTTAGTAATCCTGTTTCTGTTGTTACGTTCCCGTACGGTAAGCTAACAAACCGCAGTTCCGTCTCATCAATGCCTACGTGATGGACCCGTCTCACATTGCTCCGTCAAGGACGGACGCCAACTCCAATGGTCACTTCCCGCCTTCCAACGGCCAGCCTGCCACTGGAACTCCCAGGGGCTTCAACCTGCAAAACTTCACCATGAATGGCATGATGCCAATTCCGGGCTTCCCAATGCCTCCTGGTGGTTTTGGCCAGTTCATGGGCGGAGGGCATCCGGGAGCGCAAGCCGGCTGGAACGCCGGCGGTGATGAGCGCGGTGGCCCCGGTCCCATTCGCCGTGGAGGCATGGGTGGTGGTCGTGGCAACTACCGAAGCGGCCCCTACGATCGTCGTCCCAACCCTCGCTGGGATGGCGGCATGGGCGGAAGAGGCCGCCCCAGCGGTGGAAAATGGGGAGATGGCGCGGCCGGAGGTGCTGCCGTTGGCCCTCGCGAGGCCACTCAGGGACGTAGTCTCAAGAGCTACGAAGATCTCGACCACGTTGCAGGCGGTGGCGGTGGAGAGCTGAATTATTAGGGCATGGATCGTTCCCAACGTCTCGGCCGTCTACAGGTTAAGATTGAGAACTCTGGGACTTGACTTTGAGGGGCGTTACCATTCTAGCAGCGGGTAGATGACTTGCAGTTGAAGGGGCACGAGAGGCTTTTGTGCTCTACCCACAAAGCTGACCCCGTTGCTTCTTTGCACCATTGGGCATCAGTGCCATGTACTTTGTAAAAATACGCAGAAAAATAGGGAATAGTTAGGGACTGGGAATATGATATTTCCTTTACTTTGTCTGGGTCTTTGTTGGTGACCTGGTTCTTGACCCCCCAGGTCTGCTTTCTTCTCATCGTTGTGAGATTGGATTGCGTTGCCACATCAACTGAAAGAGAGCAAGATGGACTTTTGTGTTTGTTGGTAATTAGAGAACGATAAGAAAGAACGATGAGACCATTGCGTCTTGTTTGCAGGCAACCTCATGGACGAGCAGCCCAGATGAGCCAGCCGCCTGTTCAAAACTTTCTGTTCAAACCCGTACTGATTTACTCACGCCTCGAAGCAGTCTGCAAAGGGAGTTGGAATGTTATATCAAAAGAGGAGCTGCTTCTGATGGTGGCGCCTTCCATCTCACTCCCTCCCCCTCCCTCCTCCTTCCTGCCTTCTACTTCCGCTCCTTCCCCCCCAGTTTTCCGAGATCCACCGATCTGCTTCACTTACAACTTCTCCCCCAAGATGATGGAAGGAAAATACGGTTTTATCTATATACTGTTGTAAAGAATTCATATCAGCAGCAATACTTCGAGCTTACTTGAGAGATCGGGGAGGAGGGTATTTAGCAAAAATAAAAAGAGGTCAAAAAAAAAACCGAAAAAAAAACCCAAAAAGTTCAGGTTCGAACCGTCGGTTCGAACCCTATGAAAAGCAGCACTTTGGCCGCTTTTACCACTGGGTTAGGCTAACCCCTCGCCCATCGGGCTGGTTGGATGCGTCCCATCCTAGGCACGTCTGCCTGGCAGTGGTGGCCGCACTTGCTCTTATATAGGTTACTCGCGTGCTGAGGTGAAGCAGGCAGGAGCCCGTGGACAAGGAGGTATGGATAAAGAGGTAGGTAGGTGCCTTACTTTGGCGTTGATACTCTCCTACGGTATATCTCGACAGTGTACACCAAAATACTGAGTATTCTGCTGCGGGTTGATTCAAGATTACTGCAGGATGATGACGACGTGTTGTTTTCCGCGTTCATTTATAGAACTCCCTCATGATCGGAATATTGGAAATGATGCATTACAAAGTCAAGCAGCAGCAGTTTATTAAATATCGTAATGTGCCCCCCTGTACTCCGTCCATCTTATGCCAACCTAGCCGTGTATGCTGATATCATCATGGTCATAACGTCGTGAACAACACCGGGCTTACAATACGTCTCGTGTCCAACCGGGACTCCAAGCCATCCGACCCTCCTAGAAGTAGGAACGTTCAGCTAATCCAACAAACAAAAAGCATCAACCAATGAACTCCGTGCAAAGAAGAGGTTCCCACGCTTGTCCCGTCACCCAAACCCTCTCCATCAATCTTCTAGCCTTATGTACCTGTACCGTCATGTTAGCGACGCCGAGCGCGAGAGCTTGTCACATACCTGGGTCATCCCGTTACTCTCCACGCTCCTGAATCTCCCCAGGATCCGTGTCCGCTGGCCCTCGTCCAGCGTGTTACACCCGGCAGTGAACATGGGAAACAGAAACCCCGTCTCTGCAGTCCCCCCGGATCGGATGTACTCCATACACGAGAAGATCCTCTGTACGGGGCCCTGCACGTCCGCGTGAGCGGACAGCTTGCCGAACACCCTGCTGTGCAAGTGGACGAGCCCGGCCAAGTGGAAAGCCTCATTCATGAGCACCATCTCCTGCCTGTCCCTGGCCTCGACGTTTTGCACATGCCTGCAGGGGCGAGAAGGCTGTGCCATGCTTTCCCTCAACTCGCTCTCGAGCTGCCGGGCCAGGCGGACGCAGTCTGGAGAAGGATTCCATCCGAGTCTCGTCTGCCTGTCAGGCCCGATGCGCTGCATGTCGCAGTGTCGTGCCAGTTCGGACACACGCGCCAGGAGCTGGACGCACCTGTTCGTGAAACCCATGATGCAGTCTATCTCGTACTGATCATCAACGTCAGTGAAGGTTGCGTACTCGAGCACCCAGGATCTGGACGGCTCGTTCGCTGGCGCTCCGCCGCTGAGACTGCCCAGGACGTCTAGATACGCGAACCAACTCCACAGAAAGGAGCAGACGCGTTCTTCGTCGGGATCGTAGGAGGTGCGACGGAGATCGGCCAGCCGCCTCTGCATAAGATCCCGAGCGAGGTTCAGGTGCGTCTGCCAGGGTATCTCGTAGCCGAATGCCGTGGGCGAAATGATCTCCAGGGAGGCGAGCATGATTGCGGTGGCTAGACTGGTGTTCGAGATAATTTGTTCTCTATCTCCCAGGGCACGCCGCAGAGCGGGAAAGATGTCTTGGACCCAGAGTGCTATTCTCATCTCGGGCTCCCTCTGTCGAAGAAGTCTTGCTCGGTGGGAAGCTGCAAAGTCATGAGTTGAAGTTGGGGCAAAGTCTCAGGTGCGTTTGCTTACCGGAATATGCCAATAAGAGGCTGAGAAGATGATCATTACGGACTGCCATCTGGGGAAGAATTGTACGGAAAGGATTGGACTTTGGATCATCGTAAGGCACAAGAACTAAGATCATTAGTATGAAGCTCTTGAGTAAAGAAATGCAAAGCTCACTCTTCGCCGTATGATTCAGGAAATGATGCTGCGGACGTCAATTAATTACATGTTACCCCGGCAGATCTCAGCAAACGTACGAAGTACTACGAACATGTTAGTGCGGATCCGTTCGCTCTGGAATAGAACGATATGACTAACTAGGATGTTCATGGGATTATCCCGAAGCCTTCAATACGTTAGTCTCTCGACTGCGTTCCATTACAACCAGCCCAGAACTTACTTCGAGGGCAAAGGCTCAATGCTTCGAGGTATCCATATCGATATTGGCCGCTCATAATATCCTCCTGTTATACCGGGTATGGCGCTGTGCTGGATATTGGCGTTGAAATGCTGAAGCGAAGAGGCGCTGCCATAGTTGCTATTTAAGACGCTCGATCCTTTCGAACCGATTGGACCAGTGCGTGAAATGGCACCCGCATCGTTGTTCTGGTTGATATCAGCATCTTGAATCCCAAGGTCATAGCCATAGAAAATGGCATCGTCCGGTGCTTCTGCATCGGATCTTGTATCAGTCAAAGGGGGGCCGAATGTGTGTTGTACTTCTTTCTTGGGACGATGGGGTAATTCAGGAGACCTAGACAGCAGGTAGTTCACTGACAGTCTGCTGCTCTCGGGGGATGCCGATGCCGGCGACGGGAGCGCGAGGATTGGTGTTCTTGGCTCGTCTTCCGACTTCATATGCGAAGACAAAGGCGTCAACGGGGTGGTTTGAGGCGCAGAGTATGTGCCGGAGCGGGGACGGCATGCCGGAGGGCTGGCGCTGATGAGTGATGCCGGAGATGCAAGAAGCGTGGGCTGACGATAGGCCTTGGAGTCACTTGATTCGGCAAAGGACTTAGATCTCTTGTGCGGCCTCTGTGATGATGGACTTGCGGTTGCTGAAGGACTTCGACGGAGCTGGGAGGCAGATGAGAAACTGTCAATGACATGTTTGGGAATGGTGGGTGATGGAGCAGATGTCTGGTCTTGAGGTGGTGTCGCATAGAAGGAGCCAGCCCCAATGACGGTGTTGTCTTCGGCATGCGTGTCCGAAGGCTCTTGCTTCCTCTTTGTGGGTTGGATACTTCCTGGCGCCGTTTGTACTCGTCGTGCTATGGGTTTTGGCAAGATCTTTGCGGGTGGATCATTGATTGAAAACGTATGAGTGAATGATGGTTGCTGTATTTGCGTCGTCGCGTTCTGTTGCTGTGAGGACTGGCCGGGTTGACTAGAGGTCCCAAACGACTCGGATCTTTTCGTTCGACGCCCTTCCCAGTTCAGCCGAACACTGTAGTCGCATACTTCGCCTGTCTTTTGGCAACTAGTTTGGAAGATCATGTTAGCCCATGTTTGTTCAAGTCGAAAGCTCAGGTATACATCGCCAGTCTCCAAGGGATTGTGTAAGTGAACGGGTGAGGGCCAAGGGTGAATGATTCATATAATTGTTCTCAGTAGGCTGTCACAAAGCCATCCAACAAAAAGTCCGTCCTATCAAGCTACGTACAATTCGGAATGTGAATAGTATAAGAGATGATTTTGAGCTCTTAATATACAGAGACTGAGAGTGCGAGCCATGGTATCCACATGATGGAAGAGCACTTTCCAAATAATAAGAACGGTAAACTTACTTTAGACATGTTGGATGTTCCTCGCCACACTTAACCTTGCGACCTTTGCAGGGCCTGCGGTCGTGTAAGCAGCTACAAACAACATCCAGAGCTGGACGCAACGTCTTTGACTCCGTACAGCAAACTCACCAACATCCGTTCCGACTTCGCCTTTTCGGTTCTGGCGCCCCTGGCTTCTTCGGGCGCGGCATGCTACAACACGGGGGTCCTGACCCCGATCTGAAAATGACAGCCTGGGCGAGCCGGGGGAAATGGCGGGGTCGAAGGAGGATGATTGGTCGGGTGTGATATGTACGCAGGACGTGCAGCGCGGGTACGCAGTGCAATGTTTGTGTGTCTATGCAATCTCGACTGCGGCGAAGTTGTGAGTTGTCTTCTACTCTTGACGACGTCTATCGCGAGGACTGGACGACGATAGGTGATGTTGAAAACAACATCAGTTTCATACAATGACCGAGAAGAAGGGAGCATTGCGTCCCAAAGCTCGTCCTTAAGTAAAGCCATTGGCCGACGAGATCGGGCCCGAATTGGGTTGCGGTGATGCAGCGCCGATTGCGGGATTGTAAGCGATCCAATGCTGTCCTCTTTCATCCACGTGAGCAACAGCCTCACTAAGTTGGGTGGACTCGAGTTGATATGCGGCCGCATCGTGAAGCTCATTTGACTAGGCGCCGCCTCGGCGGACTTGCGGGGATACTGCATGATTGCATTGCTTTTTCTCGGGGGCGCATGTTAGACGCCCATGAGACCTGCTCGACCCCCTCTGAGCATGCCTCGTCGAACCACATATTTAAGACCATCATCTCTGATTCCTACTATGTAACCATTTTGCCTCGGTATCTGTCGTCACTGTCTGTCCGATGGTGTTGGTCTCACTCTCCTGACGCTGTTCTTTCCTGCTCTAACGGTATACATGACCAGCAACCGATGGCGGTAGGGATGCGTTGAGAGCACTAGAAGAATCATCAACAGCACCGATAAGAACAGCCAGGCACGAAAGACAATAACAACGGGGGAGACACTCGAGCGCTGTGGCTGAGGGGGTGTTCAAGAGTCTCTTACACGAGGGGTGTCAACCAAGCGGCCCCCATTTCACCCAATCCGTGCGTGGGGGTATCCGGGGAATAGCGTGTTTTCTTTCATTTCATGAGGCGCCGTCTGGCGGCTCTCCGCTGCGTTACCGCCCTGGAGCCTATACAATGTCGATGTTCAGAATCTTGATGTCTTCCTCGGGCTTTTCCTTGTACGTCCGCACGTTCTCGATCTTGTGGATGACGTCCAGGCCTTGCGTGGCACGTCCGAAAATTGTATGCTTGCCATCCAGCCAAGGCTTCATGGCACCTCTACGTCAGTGAAGTACATTCAAGGAGGCTGGGCTTCCACTCACCGTCTTTTCTGTGGTAATAAAGAACTGACTGCCATTGGTGTTTGGGCCTGCATTAGCCATGCTGACAGTGTATGGCTTGTCGTGCTTCAGGCTGCTGAACTCGTCCTCGAATTCCTTCCCCCATATGCTCTCGCCGCCGGTACCGTCGCCGAGGGGATCTCCACACTGAATCATGAACTTCCTGATAACGCGATGGAAGATCGTGTTGTTGTAATAGCCCTTCTTCGAGTGGGTGACGAAGTTCTCAACGGCCTTCGGTGCGGCATCAGGGAAGAGGCGGATATGAATGTCGCCGTAAGTAGTATGAATCACTGCTGCAGTTCCAGTCTCTGCCTTCTTGGCCTCTGCAGCCTTCTTTTGACCGAGCATGGTAGGTTTCTCATTCTGCACATCTCTGACCGACTTGGAGATGTCCTCGTCATTGGTGAACATGTAGAATCGCACCTTGTTCACCCCTGTCGCGATCAGAATAGGGTCTCTTGACTCAGACTCCTGTAGTAGGGGGTTGCTAGAGGCACCCATCTCCACCGTGGTAATGCCTTTCTTCTGTGGCTGACCTTGGTATATCGCCAAGTTGACAGCTCTGAAGTTCTCATCTTTGCCGTAGACCTTGACTACCTGGTTGGTGTAAGTATTGAGCACCTTAATGCCGGCGATGGAGCCGTAGAGGATGAAGTTTCCGGATTCGTCGAAGATGACATTTGCTTTGTGCATGTATGCTGGCGAGTCGATCTCCCGCTCGACAGCAAATCTGCGACCAAACTCTACGGGATCCAGCTTTTGAAGCGCAGATCCAGCTTGCTGCATCTCCTCAATCACCTGCAGAGACTCATCATACGTCCTGTAAAGCTTGCCCGATGCGAAGTCAAAAATCCGGATCTTTCTGTCCGGTTGTGAGAAAGCCGCGAATTGCTTGCCTGTCGGTGAGATGGTGATTGACGTTGGAACCGATTTTGCCTTTTTGAACTCGAACAAATTGGTAGACGCTTTGAACTCGAAGACATTGTCCGGCTTCTCATAGTCTCCGCTCGGCCGCCAGTATTCCAACATACCCTTGTCATCGGCAGAGATCACGCAATCGTAGGCGCTATTGAAAGCCATGATAGAGACTGGGCTCCTGTGCAATGACTTAATAGTGTGAATGGGATCTTGCCTTTCGCCTCTCCCGTCGAAGATGTGTATGCTGGAGTTGGCGTCCTCGGAAACGGCAAGCAAGGGAAGCGAAGCACCCCTGTTGTGTACCCAGCATATGCAGCGAGGGACGAACTTGAGCTTCACCATAGCCAACAGGTCAAATGTAATGACATCGAAAATCTTTACTGTCTCATCCGCTCCAGCCGTAGCAAAGCTTCTGCCGTCCTGGCTCACCGAGACAGACTTGATCTCGCCGTTGTGTGCCTTGAATTCTTTGACGAACTCGATGCCCTCCGCCACCTTCTTCCAGAACTTGACAACCCCATCGGTCGAAGAGGTGATGATGAAGTCGGTTAAAGGCGTGACAGTCACAAAAGACAGCTGCTCCTTGTGCATCAATGACTTAGAGTATCGAACAGACTTAGGCAGGGCGGCGACGTAGAGCTTCTCATAGGGGAGGATTCGGCGCTTCTTCTTTGGGGCGGCCGCGCTGGGGAGCTGAGGTCCCATGTCGTCGTCCGAGGAGCTGTCTGTCAAGATATAGTTAGCATATGTGTTCCTAAGCTCCAACCATCATTCTATACCGGGCATTGTAGCTGTCGAACTGGAGGCTCAACGCTCGTCTCCATCCCCGTCCTCTTGTCTTGACACTTACCATCATCTTGTCCAGCAAAGTCCTCGTGCGTCCTTTTGTTCGATTTCGAATCGTCGTCTGCCATTGTGTCGGAGTACGTGGATAGTTGGCCTCGTCGTCTGAATATTCGAGCAAGCTCGTGATGTAAGGCTGGAAAGTGAGTTCTGGGAAGCTTTTGCTGTATCCAATCAGATAGTAATTGGAAAGCGCTAGTGCAGCCTTGCACCGCAGTGTTTCCCCAGCTAAGTAGCTCCACCGGAGGCTTATTCATAAGGCAACGGCCCCTGGGCAACTGACAGCCCCTGGAGCACATGCCGATTGGAGTGCACGATGAAGTGGATCGCTTGTGATCAGGGACCACCGCTCTGGCGGGCTCCAGGCTCCATCAGTGACCTCATGACGAAGCCTGCCTGCCGAAAGCACCGGGAAGTTGTAAGAAGCCGCGGTCCCGTCACTTTGACGATATATCGCATGCTGCCTTGATTGGTCGTATAAAACTCCGCCGGAATCTAGAAAAAGCTTCGAAAATTATGTCTTCAATGCTCCTCTCCTCAAGACAAGGTTCGTCTCAAAATACAAAAACCAGTGGCTCGGACGTGATCCTCCCTGTGCCCTCCCTTTGAACCTCTCATTTCTTCGAAAGACCCGCCGCCTTGGACCTGCCATCCCTTCACAGCAACTTACACCAAAACAAACACGAATCGCGTCAGATCAAGACCAATTGAGGATCGAATCGGACAAAATGGCTAAACATCATATTCAACGGCTCAACTCGCCTTCCAGAACACTATCCTTGGTGCTTCACACTGCCGGCCTCTGCTCGTTCTTCGCTTCGTTCCAGTTTCTGAACACGCTCACTCATGATATTTCTATGGGCTTCGGAGGGAATTACCAGCATCTCACCAACATCGGATTGATTCTTTCCGCCGTCACTTTTGCGACTGGTCTCTTGGCCGACATCACTCTCAGCACTAAATTGTTTGCCGTCAAGAACGCGCTTTCGACCACGGCCGCACCTCTCGAGGTTCTCATCAGCATCTTGTACTGGGGAATCCGGGCCATCGACGAGCGCCTTCTGATCCCCGAGGGCTTCGAGCTTCACTGGCTGCCTGATGTCGGCTTCCACCTGGTTCCGGCTGTCGTCCTGACACTCGATCTGATCTTCTTCAGCCCGCCATGGACCATCCGCGCTTACTCGGCCATGGCCGTCAGCATGGTTTTCGCTTTCTTGTACTGGGGCTGGGTTGAGCTGTGCTTCAGCAAAAACGGAATGTAAGCACGGAGACGTCCGAGTGAGGTGAAATGCAGACGGTTAACGAGTGTCGCAGGTACCCCTACCCCATTTTCGCAATCCTGAACACTGCGCAGAGAGTCGGCCTGTTTACTTTCTCGGCCATGCTCATGACGGCCAGCTCAAGTTTCCTGAAGCTCGTCTATGGACGCTTCAACGGTTACGAGCAAATGGAGAAGGAAGCTTTCAAGCCCCTGAAGAAGACGCTGTAGGTGGGGTTCGTGGTGTTGGTATTAGTGTTGGGCATAGGTATTGTACGAATACGCTTTTTGTATGATTGAACGAGAATGACAGCGAGATCGGCCAGGGTAGAGTTGCGAGGTAATTAGATTGGATGTCGCTAGAAAGAGTATAGAATGAGAATGAAACGCCATGTGCTATGAGCACATCTCCCCGATAGGTTGGATGCATGGGATGAGTTGAGATGCATCCAGGTGAACTTGCACTGAGTGCCGTTTGCTCCGGGCCTCGCACCGCCTGCAGAAGCCCGGTCTTCGGTGGTGTCGGGGAGGTCTTCCAGGCGGTGAGACCCAGTGTGTGGCGCCATTCGCAGTGTTCCGGACGGTTGAATTGTTCCACAGTGGCACGTCACACTTAGAGAGTCAGTGAGAACAATGTGAAGGAGGGCGACAAGGATGCCCCTCAATAGTGGCGAGTTGCAGGTCGACCAACTTTTTTTTCGAGCCGTCCTCGGCGGGGTACCGCCGGTGGGCAAGGGGGCATACTGCAGGGGACGAATGAGTCTTCGCCCATTGCTGATACCCGGACCTTATTCCTCGAAGCTCCTACCTGCTCGTACCTTTCTTCTCGACACAACCTCCGAGGGGCAGAAAAAAGTTTAATTCTTCCCTATTCACTTCTCTACTACGAGCGCATCTTGTCGCAAGTTCAACCTCACCCCTAAGTTGTTGTTTTCTAGCTGAGCGTCTGTGTTACTTCTCTTCCCCGCAGTCACCATGTCTGTAAGTCGGCGCCTCTCGCTCCCCTGTTTGCGCCTACCTCTGACTCACCTTTCACCACAGGCCTTCTACATTGAGAACAAGAATGTTGGCAACAAGGCCGAGAGTGAAGATTGGAGAAGTACGAAGCCAATTGATAACTTATGGTATGTTTTAGAAGGCTAATTGGCGCTGCAGTTCGCGGATACAACCCTCTGACTCCTCCCGGTCTGCTCCAACACGAGATCGCCCAAACTCCCAAGTCGAAGCAAACCGTGATCGAGGGTCGCGAGGAGGCTGCCGCTATTGTCAATGGAACCGACGAGAAGGGCAGGCTTTTGGTCATTATTGGCCCCTGTTCTATCCATGACCCCAAGGCCGCCCTCGAGTACTGCGACATGCTCATCGAGGCAAAGAAGAAGCACAAGGACGAGCTGCTCATCGTGATGCGCTCTTACCTGGAGAAGCCGCGCACAACTGTTGGGTGGAAGGGTCTGATTAATGACCCTGATATCGACAACAGCTTCAAGATCAACAAGGGTCTGCGTCTGTCGAGGCAGCTGTTTGTCGACTTGACGGACAAGGGCATGCCTATTGCTAGCGAGATGCTTGATACTATCTCTCCCCAGTTCCTTGCTGATCTGCTGTCTGTTGGCGCAGTCGGTGCGAGAACCACGGAGAGTCAACTGCACCGCGAGCTTGCCAGTGGTCTCAGTTTCCCCGTCGGCTTCAAGAACGGTACCGATGGCTCGCTCGGCGTCGCGATCGACGCCATTGGCGCCGTGAGACACCCTCACCACTTCCTCTCCGTCACCAAGCCTGGTGTCGTCGCCATTGTTGGTACCGTCGGCAATGAGGACTGCTTCGTTATCCTGAGAGGTGGCACTAAGGGCACCAACTACGATGCCAAGAGCATTACTGAAGCAAAGGCTGCCCTGGAGAAGGCCGGTCTGCCCCAGAGACTGATGGTCGACTGCAGCCACGGCAACTCCCTGAAGAACCACAAGAACCAGCCCAAGGTTGCTGGCGAGCTTGCTGACCAGATTTCCAAGGGCGAGACCGCCATTATGGGAGTCATGATTGAGAGCAACATCAACGAGGGTCAGTATTCTCCGATGCGATGTATCCGATTCACAATCTAACACCTTACAGGCAACCAAAAGGTTCCCAAGGAGGGTCCGAGTGCTCTGAAGTACGGCGTCAGCATCACGGACGCGTGCATCCACTGGGACGACACCGTCTCAGTCCTCGATGACCTCGCCAACGCGGTCAAGCAGCGCCGCGAGGTTCTCAGCAGAAATGGACATGCCTGAGAGAGAGAAGCTTTCTGATTTTATAGCATCGCGAAGTTCGACTAGGTTAAAGGGGGCTGTGCATATACCATGAACTCGCCCGCCATTGGTTTCGGCGGGCACTACATAAGCCTGCGGGCTAGAGATTAAAAGTTTGCGTCTTTTTCTTTTTCTGAAATAAAACGGCGGTTGATACCCAGAAAATATGTTGTCCCCTTGCACTGCAAACTGTAACCGTGTGAGGGATCGTCAAGTAGCATAAATGTTCGTCCAATGTGGTTGCATCACGATGCAGGTCCGTTGGCTCAAACCAATCAAGTGGAGCATATTTCTCAGGAAAGATGCATGACGACAGGTCGGCGGTGCTATTAAGGGCGATCGGAGCTGACGGGCAACACCGGGTAAGAGGAAGCAGGCGAAAAGTGGCCGGAACGGAACATGTCATCGGCCGACAACGCCAGCCAATCAGAGCGTTCCCATACCTAAGGCACTCGAAAACTGCCTCAAGCGATTTTCTCCTGCCTCGACTACCCGTATCATAGAAACGACCTCCGTCACGAGAGGACCAACCACCCATTGCCCCATCATTTTGTTCGCGGCTGTCTCTGTAGCTGCGGATACAGCTCGCCCATCATGTTGGCAAGGTCCTGCTTGCGCTCAGCGCGCACCTTCACAAATGGCGCCCTCACCATTTCTAAGGTACGCACATGAGCTGATCACCAAGTCCAATTTCCCGAGGCAATCCGACCTACCGCCATTGGACACCCCGGAGCCGCCTCAATTGGCATTCGGAGGTCACCAAGAAGACTCGGACCCAAGACTGACAATGTTTGATACAGCGTGCGGCCTCTACTTCCACCGGTGCTGGTGCCGAAGCCTCCCACTCCAAATTGAACATCTCCGCCATCGCGTCGACGTCTCTCGCCCTGGGCTCGATGGCCTGGTACTACCACCTTTACGGACCTTCCGCGAACGCTGCCACGCCTGCTGAGGAGGGGTGAGTTTTCTCCGGTCGACTGGGATTGTTGCGGGGTGGAATTGTTCGGATGCCGAGATCCCTTTGATATGAGGCATAATCGACGAACGCACCGGAGCAACCCAGCAACAGGAACACCGAGCTGACTATCAATGCCAGTCTGCACTCCACCCACTACCCTTGGGTTCACGAGCAATGGTTCAGGACCTTCGACCACCAGGCGTAAGAAATCCCGCTTTCTGGCCACCTGGTGACTATGACGCTCACATTGTTGCAGTCTCCGCCGTGGTTTCCAGGTCTACCGTGAGGTCTGCGCCTCTTGCCACTCCCTCAGCCGTGTCCCCTACCGTGCTCTGGTCGGTACCGTCCTGACCGTCGACGAGGCCAAGGCCATGGCCGAGGAGAACGAGTACCCCGGTGAGCCCAACGACCAGGGCGACATCGAAATGCGCCCCGGAAAGCTGTCCGACTACATCCCCGACCCCTACAAGAACGAGGAGGCTGCCCGTTTCGCCAACAACGGTGCTCTCCCTCCCGATCTGTCTCTGATCATTAAGGCCCGTCACGGCGGCTGCGACTACATCTTCAGCTTGCTCACCGGTTACCCCGAGGAGCCCCCCGCCGGTGCCGTTGTCGCCCCCGGCATGAACTTCAACCCCTACTTCCCCGGTACCGGTATCGCCATGGCCCGTGTCCTCTACGACGGCCTCGTCGACTACGAGGACGAGACCCCCGCTTCTACCTCCCAGATGGCCAAGGACGTCGTCGAGTTCCTCAACTGGGCTGCCGAGCCCGAGATGGACGACCGCAAGCGCATGGGTATGAAGGTTCTCGTCGTCTCGGCCTCTCTCTGGGCCATTTCCGTCTGGGTCAAGAAGTACAAGTGGGCCTGGCTCAAGTCGAGGAAGCTCGCGTACGACCCCCCCAAGGAGACCAAGGTCCGCCACTAAATTACGGAAACTTTTGGTTGTCTCTGTGTATGTTATACTAGGCTCTCTAAAACAGCTCCTTTGTTCGTGGAGGCGGCAGAGACGAGATTCATCGTTGGGAGCAAATGGGGGAGCGATAGAGTGTAAATCAGATGGTCCTTTTTTCATACCTGATTTCTTGATAATGACAAGTCTTCTATGTCTTTCACGTGTTTATGAAATGCTTCGTGCCTCATTCAATCAAGCGGCTTTGTGACAAAACCTAATTCATAGAGGCTAACCAAAGAAACGACTTGTCCCTTCCAGTATATAGGGCGAGTCGAGATTATCATACTGACCAAATTCTTTGACGGAGTCACAAGTAGCAAACTGTCGTTCTGTCGAGACGGCAAACAATGACCACCTCATCTGCAGACTCACCTCGGCGAATCCATGACCGAGACGGAGTCAATCTACAAAGGGCAGAATGCAACGTCGGAGGCACCTAACAAATGGCTTTTGTTGGCCAGTCACAACGTTTCGTCCGAATTGCTTTCAAGACCCCTAATTCGCAGAAAGTTCCAGGACTTCGTCCAAAACCCCTCATGGTTCTGGGTTCACAACGGCTTTCGTGAGGGGGACGAACAAGAAGTGCAATGAAATGGAGGCTGGGGTGGGCTAGTAGCACAGTGTAAGCTCTAGAGTCAATTGGAGCCTGGAGGGCGATGATAAAGGCTTCAGTGGGTCCGGTCACTCGTCTCCGGGGCAAGCAGAAGCTCCTCTTCGAAACAGCGCCAACAGAACAGCGGATTTTCCAGCGGCCGGCGCGGTTTCCGAACACTTGGACAGAGCGCTGTGAGTCCGCTGACAGCAGCCGGTACCACCTTTGCCTCTCTGAGCTGAAATCCACTACGACTCCCACCAGGCAAATCGGGCAGGCTCGAAAGCTCCGCGCCGTGCCTGGCCACCCTCATTTACCACTCGGCGTGCTGCCCACCTATGTTGACTGCCTGCAGGAGGAGGTAGCAACCAACTCGGAAAGAGAATCACACCTTTCCCATCATCACCATACTCTCTCCTCTCTTTACTTCTTCCCTTCTCCTCCTTTTTCCTTCTTGAGACCAAAAACCTAGGTCTTCTCTCGCCCTTATCTTCCCTTCCGAGAGTCCTCCATCGCACATCAGAATTCACGAGCCAAAAGACAACCACGAACGTCACCATTTCGCCTCCTCCCCTCAACAACTGGGCCTCACCTTGATAACCGTCCTAAAACACACCACATGCCGTCCGTCGCCGAGGAGCAGCCCCGGCTGACGATGCCCGGCCGGAAGCGCAGACGAGACAACGACGTGAACGACCTGCAGATACAGGGCCCCTTGTACGAGAAACTCGCTCAGTACTCGGCTGCCGCCGTCGCCTCGACGAACTGGAACGCTGACGCCGGCGTTTTTGGCAGGCCCATCCAGCAGCAGCTGCACCACCAACAACCGAACTTCTTTCCCCAGTACCCCAGCAATGGCCTCATTTTCCAACACGGCGGTCTCGAGGGTAACCAGCAGCACACAAACCTCGACGCCGTCCCGAGGAAGATAGCGCCCCTCCCAGGCGCCAAGAGACAGCGTATGTTCGATGAAGAGGAGGATAACGGCCCATGGGGAGCAGACTCGACAACATCGCCGCAGAGACAACGGCGAAGCAGCAAATCTCCTTCAGCCCGTGTGCTGCAAGATCAGACCGACGCGGGAAACAGACCAAAGACGCCGTCGTTGAGCCCCTGCCATATCTGCCATCGCCGGCCTACCAAGAAATCGGACCTCGACTCCTTTGCGGACTGCCAGGGCTGCGGCCAACGGACGTGTTACGTGTGCATCAGACAGTGCAAAGGCTGGAACAGAGACGGACGGCCCAGCGAAGGAGATGAACCGGAGCGGGAGGACGATCTCTCGAGATCTTTCCACATGGACGATGTCGATGACGAGCGACAACGACAGAAAAGCGAGGAGCACGACGTCGGACGGGCCAAGAGGCAGGACGGTTGGACAGGGGGCGGACACAGGACCATGATCTGCAGCCGATGCTGTATCGAGAGCGGCACCGAGGGCGAGCCTGTCTGCCTTGGATGCCTCTCGCGGATGGAGTCTGTTTAGGGCCCAAGGAGGAACGGGTTTCTTTCATGTTCACACAATTCATACGGGTTTCTTATTATCATGGGTTAAGCACGACAACACCAGCCGTCGTCGACACGGACTGGAGTACAGTACCCACAGGCGCGCGGCGCTTTGCTAATGAAGGCATGCATTCACAACCCTGGCACGGGGGACTTTTTGGGCACTGCTGAAGCAGAATATTTTGGGAAATCAATGTCGTGGTGGAAAGGAAGGAAGGGCCAGTATCATCAGTAGTTAGGAGCGAGGACAAGAAATCCTCGCTAAGAATGGGAGTCAGAAACCCCATAGGTAAATGTAATTCCACGACTCAAATGTCAAACCCAAGCCAAAGGCAGTCTAGCCGTATCTTATTTTGGTGATTTCAAGCTGTCGTAGTTCGCTCCCATATCGACCGGCAGCCCGCCTATGTCTACTCTTACGACGCAAAAGCGGTGCTTACCTTGACCTCTACTGATGCTAACTAAGGCTTCCAATACCTCATTGCCATTCAGCAATTCAAGTGCGGAGATTCCCACACTGCTCGCTGTTCTACTATAATGCCTACTGGCATGGGTCAGAAGTGCTATCAGTACCTTTTATAGACTGCTTCTGTTATTGGGTAGATGCGAGATTCGCAGGCCATGCCAGGCACCAGCATTCTTACTTGGTATTGCCCTCGCCGAAGACTTTCAATAGTCATGATCATATCATTCTCGAGACTGTTTACATTTTGATAACGGCGCATGGAAAGCATGATCTATTTCTGTCGAGCAAGGCATCCCGCCCCTCTAGACCTTCCCCGGTCCCAAGCCTATTCTTACAGCCTGAAAAGACGCGACTAACTCCGTGCCCCTTCTCCTTGAATTCCTTAGTTGTATTGCATGTAACTGGCGGTAGAGTTGAACTTGAGGTTGGCCTTGATGACCTTGTCGACGGCGCTGAGGAAGTCCTTCTCCGTGGCCACCTTTCTGCGGGCACGAATGGCGAACATACCAGCCTCTGTGCACACACTGCGAAGCTCGGCACCCGTGGCGTTGGGGCAGAGACGAGAGATGAGCTCCCAACGGATGTCGCGCTCCACGGACATGCTCTTGGCGTGGATACGCAGGATGTTGGCGCGACCCTCGAGGTCGGGCAGGGAGAACTCGATCTTACGATCGATACGACCAGGTCTCATCAAGGCGGGGTCGAGGGTAGAAGGTCTGTTGGTGGCGAACATGACCTTGATGTTTCCACGAGCGTCGAAACCGTCGAGTTGCGTGATCAGTTCCAGCATAGTTCTCTGGACCTCGTTATCTCCACCGGCACCGTCGTCGAAACGAGCTCCACCAATGGCGTCGATTTCGTCGAAGAAGATAATGCAGGCCTTCTTCGTCCGCGCCATCTCGAACAGCTCGCGCACCATTCTCGCTCCCTCACCGACGTACTTCTGAACCAGCTCACTGCCAATGACACGAATGAAGGTGGCATCCGTTCTGTTGGCGACGGCTCGCGCGCACAGGGTCTTTCCAGTACCGGGGGGTCCATACAGCAGAGCACCCTTCGGGGGGTCGATACCGAGGTTGACGAAGCGTTCCGGCGACAGGAGGGGCATCTCGACGACCTCGCGCAGCTTCTCGACCTGCTCCTTCGATCCACCAACATCTCCGTATGTAACGTCGGGCTTCTCCTCGACCGTCATCATCGTAACACTGGCGTCGATCTTAGGGGGGAGAGGCAGGAGGATCTGGTATTTGTTCCGATCGACACCGACTCGCATGCCCTCCTCGATATCCGTCGGGGACACTCTCTCGCCGAGCTGGACGACAAACTTGGCGATTTGCTTGACGTTAATGACATATTTGCTCTTAGAGTCATCTTTCTCGTCGGGGATAATCTTTGTACACCGCGCAACCTGAAGCGGCTGTTCCTCTGACATTCGTTGACGGTCGGCTGCGACGTCCCAGAGATGGGGAGGGGCAAGACCCGTGTCGGATTCCTAGTCGAGTCAGTCCATGATTCATCAGCGATAGGTTTTAGGAGCTACCTTGACTCCAATCTTCTCATCCACACTTGTTTGCTTCTCCTTGATCTGTTGCTCGAGCTTCTTGATGGCAGCGCCGTAAGGCGCGGCGCCGTAGGTCTTCAGCACCTGGATATCTCTGGGTATCGTCAGTTGGTGGTGACATGCGTTTGGTAGCCAGTGAGACAACGCACTCATCGGTCAATGGTGTGATTTTCTTCTCCTCAACCTCGTCGTCTGCGTAGGTCTTCTGGTACTTCTCCCAGTTCTGGCCGGTAGCGGAAGGCTAACGATGCCCTGGTTAGCACCTGTCACCGGGACGAAGCTGTCAGGGCCATACCATGATGGGGGGTGAGGACTAGGCGTCCTGCGGCCGGAATTTCTGTAGAGAGGTCTTGGGGGTTTTCCTAATTACTATGGCGATTCGGCGTAAATTCGTAAGGTTCTCGAGTGATCGCGTCGGTCGTCAAGGAGCGTGCAGTATTTGGGTGGGTTGGAGATGGTGATGGAAGACGGTTCCGTAATCCAGGTTGCCTTGAGCTCCAAAGCACGGACCACAGCTGCGAGGCTGCTGTGGAGCTAGGCCGGTTGGGGGAAAATGCAAACAGAGGTACCGGGGCAGGAACAACCTGCCGCCCGCTAAAAAATATCCCACCGCTGGGGGGGTGGGTTGCTACCTAAGAGAAAGTGAGCGATCGCAAAAGAAGGCGACAAGCACTGAGCGGGACAGGACCAAGACGATATCGATATCTCTCCCCGCCGAGCTCCGCTAGCTTTTCCGACCTCGAACTTTTCGAAAACAAGCACAACACAAGCAGAAACCACCAAAATGGCCACAACTGCACCTGCCCCCGCCACGGGCGGTAACCAGGCTGCCTTCAAGGTACGGCGGGATGGATACCGGTGACGAAGCTTCGAGAGCTCTTACTAACGTGTCTTCAGGACAAGGAGAAGCCCGTCGCCGTCCGCTCTTCCAACATCGTTGCTGCCAGAGGTGAGCAATGCGATACCGCTCCGAGCTTCACGAAGCAGAAGCTGACTTCCTACCTTCCCTAGCCGTCGCCGATGCTATCCGAACCTCCTTGGGCCCTCGAGGCATGGACAAGATGATCCGCAGTGGAAAGGGCGAGACGATTATCACCAACGACGGAAACACTATGCTCAAGAGCATGTCGGTCATGCACCCCACAGCGAAGATGTTGGTCAACCTTTCGGCGGCGCAAGATGTGGAGGCAGGAGATGGCACAACATCAGTCGTTGTCATCTGCGGTAGCTTGCTGGGAGCTGCGGATCGCCTTCTTTCAAAAGGAATCCACCCCTCCGTGATCTCGGAGTCTTTCCAAAGAGCTGCGGCGGCTGCCGTCGAGGTCCTCCACGACATGTCACAACCCATTTCCCTCACCGATACCGCTTCCCTGCTCCAGGCCGCGAACACCTCCCTCTCCTCGAAGATTGTGTCGCAATACTCGAACATCCTTGGTCCCATGGCCGTCAACTCCGTTGTCAAGACCATTGACCTTAAGACAGCCGACAACGTCGACTTGAAGAACATCAGAATAATTAAGAAGGTCGGCGGGACCATTGAGGACAGTGAGCTTGTGGACGGCTTGGTTTTGACCCAGCCCGTTCTCAAGGGTGCTGGAGGACCTGCGAGAATTGAGAAGGCCAAGATCGGTCTCATTCAATTCCAGCTCAGCCCTCCTAAGCCTGATGTAAGTTGCCCCTGAACAACCCCTATTCTGCAGATGCTGACCAATCCAGATGGAAAACACCATTCAGGTCAACGACTACAGACAGATGGACAAGATCGTGAAGGAGGAGCGTCTTTACCTTCTTAACATGGTCAAGAAGATCAAGAAGGCGAAGTGCAACGTTCTGTTCATTCAGAAGTCTATTCTCCGTGACGCCGTCAACGATCTGTCCCTTCACTTCCTTGCCAAACTTGGTATCCTTGCCGTCAAGGACATCGAGCGTGACGAGGTTGAGTTCATCTGCAAGTCTACCGGCTGCAAGCCCATTGCCGACATCGACTCTTTCACGGAGGACAAGCTTGGTACCGCCGACCTTGTCGAGGAGGTTCAGTCCAACGGTGCTCGCATGGTGAAGGTGAGCGGTGCTAAGGCTACGGGCAAGACTGTTTCCGTTGTCGTCCGCGGTGCCAACTCCCTCATTCTGGATGAGGCCGAGCGCAGTCTGCACGACGCTCACTGTGTCGTTCGCTGCTTGGTGAAGAAGAAGGCTCTTATCGCCGGTGGTGGTGCTGCTGAGATTGAGATCGCTTCCCAGCTGGCGAAGCAGGCTCGCGCTCTGACCGGCACGGAAGCCATCTGCTGGAAGGCTTTCGCCGATGCTATGGAGGTGGTTCCTACCACGCTGGCTGAGAACGCAGGCCTCAACAGTATCAAGGTTGTGACCGAGCTCCGCCACAGGCACGAGCTGGGCGAGAGGAACGCTGGTGTCAGCATCAAGTCCGGCGGCGTCAACACCAACATCTCCAAGGAGAACGTCCTTCAACCGTTGTTGGTGAGCACCAGCGCCATCGAGCTGGCCGCCGAGACGGTCAAGATGATTCTCAGAATAGACGACATTGCTCTCACCCGATAAAGGGGGTTATGAGTCACGAAATGAAAATAAAGAGTAAAAGGGGATATCCAGGCTTGATGATCATGTAAAATACGGCTACCCTGGTTTGATCACGGTATAGACGTGGGCCTGGGTTGAGGCGTCAAAACTATTAGAGGCTGAGAGCAATTGATCACCAACAGATACCTTGATGACATTTTATGCTCAGAACTTTTTCACGCGGTGGATGTGCATTGCCGGCAATTCGACCGTTGCCAACGGTCGAGCCCGACTATCTATCTTTCGTCCGCGGACTCTCCCTCATCGTTTTCTCATTTTGATCCAAAAAAGGGGTCAATCTCCAGAACTCGGAATGTGCATCCCCCTGACAAGCTCGACGGCGGGAATGCGGAAATCCACCAGGTTAACCACTCGGCTCTCGTCGTGGCTCTGGGCCAAAACACTAATTCCAATGCCAATCTCTCTGGATACCGCGAGCATTTCAGGACTGCTTCTCACTCTCGATGCATTCCGTACTACAGCCCGGCCGGGTCTGCAGTCAATACGTTGTTTAGAAGGTCAGTTCATCCATCACCACACAATGGAGTTTGTCGCCTCACGCTATCCTTCATTTTGATCCAAGACACGAGCTAAAGTGTTTCTCGTTTCGTCGGATACCGGTTGTGATTGGAACGGACTGCACTCCAGTTCTCGGCCCAGCTCAAATTGAGAAGCATGCGAGGCTCGTCACCTCCATCGTGTGCTCGGCGACAGGATGCGTAGTCCTCGTCGCGGAATGCTGACGGTCTCTATCGCGACATTGGCCACCGCTAGCACGCATCCAGCTGCGTTCACTGAGCATAGCTCGCGGGAGCAGAGATTATACTTCAGAAAATCCCCAGAGGATGTGGCACAAATTTGTGAATAGACGTATCTTGTCTCTGAGCAATCTCATGACATTTCCTGCCTTATTGTGTGGCATTATACAAGATGTCAAGCATCGCGGATACATAACACCGGCTTCGGCACCGTCGTAGAGCTTGGAAAGTACGCCTCTCATCTCACTCACCCTCAGTCCTTCTTTTCAGACCCGTACCTTCCAAGTGGTACTTATCGCCGTATTCTTTTCGTATTCTTTTTACGTTTCTAATACTAGTGATAATCGACATCAACATGCGTGCCTCCACACTCGTTCTCGGCGCGGCCTCAGTGGCATCTGTACTCGGTGCTCCCTTGGAGAAGAGGGCCAACTACGACCCTCTCCCCGGTGGTGATGTCGACATTCTCAAGTAAGTCTTTCTCTTTGTGCCAAAATGATAGTTCAAGGCTAACCACGCAAAACTAGCTACGCCTTGATCCTCGAGTATCTCGAGCGCGAGTTCTACAGCCAAGGTCTCCGCAACTACACCGAGGCAGACTTCTGCGAATTCGCCGGCAACGATGGCAGCAGGTTTTACAAGAACCTCCAGAACATCTACGAGGACGAGAAGGTCAGTCCAAATCCCACCCCACCCTCGCAACAACAATCACCGTCGGTCCACGGGGTTGTAAGACGCATCTGATCAGAATCACTAACACCCACCGCCCCAGACCCACGTAGACTTCCTCAAGACAGCCCTCAAGACAGCTGCCGTCCCCGAACCCTCCTTCGACTTCCCCTCCACCACAGCCCAGTCCTTCCTCGCCCTCGCTTCCGTCCTCGAGGGCGTCGGCGTGTCCGCCTACCTCGGCGCCGCGGCCGTCATCGCCGACAAGGCCTACGTCCCCGCCGCCGGCTCCATCCTGACCGTGGAAGCCCGCCACTCCGCCTTCGTCCGCCAGGCCCTCGGCGCCAAGCCCTTCCCCAAGCCCTTCGACACGCCCCTCGACTTCAACCAGGTACACAGCCTGGCCATCCCCTTCATCACGGGCTTCGCGCCCGGCACCCCGGCGTTGCCGTTCAAGGCCTTCCCCAAGCTCGACGTCGGCTTCGTTCAGGGACACGACATGGTCGTCTTCGAGAACGCGTACGCGAAGGCGGTCGCCGCCGGTACTCTCCCGCAGGGCTCCAAGGTTTACGCCGTCTTCTTCAGCGGTTTGGATATCTACTACGAGGAGGTTGTCATCAACGGCAACGACGTGAGTCTACCCTCGAGCTTTTCCGTACCTTGTGTGTGATTCTTGCTGACGTGTTTTGCAGTACGTTGCTACCAACGTCCCTGATGGTTGCGAGGGCCAGGTCTACGTCGTCCTCAGCACGGCCGACGGCGTGAACGCCAAGGTCGCGGACGAGAACACCGTTGCTGGTGTTGGTATCGTCGAGGTCGGTGACTCCAACTACCACTAAGCCTCCGTGGCTATGACGGAGAGATGGTGCGGGGAGCAAGATATATACTTGGAATACTAATGAATCTTTTCTTTTCTTCTGTCTGAGCAATGATTAACTCCCTGCCTCTGTCTCTCTATACCAAAATCATGAAAATGTATAGAGATGAAATCAGCCGTAACATGTAGCTAGGCTGTCTTCTAGTGAGCACTGAGAAATAGTAACGAATTTTGAACGAGCAAGATTGTGAGTGAAACGCGATCGATATGTTGGAATGATCCACCATTACAAATTGGATTTGAGGTCCCCGCCGTAACGGACCTGGCGAAGGATCGATGGCTTCAAGTCCGATACGCTCTTGAACCCAGACAACCCCATGGTCAGATCGAGATCGGCGAGCAGGCCAGCAATAACAGCCTTCGCGCCTTCCTTGCCGGCAATGCCTAGACCGTAGATAGCAGGCCTGCCGACGAAGACAGCCTTGGCTCCCAGGGCAAGCGCCTTCACGATGTCGGCACCAGTTCGGATGCCCGAGTCGAACATGACGGTAAGCTTGTCCCCGACAGCCTCCACGATCTCAGGAAGCATCTCCAGCGAGGCCACGCCGCCGTCCAGCTGTCTTCCGCCGTGGTTGCTCACGATGATGCCCGACGCACCATGCTCGACGGCCAACTTTGCGTCCTCTACACTCAACACTCCTTTGAGAACGATGGGGCCATCCCAGTGCTTCTTCAGCAACGCGAGGTCTTTCCATGTGTGGTGATCACCTGGGAAGGCCTGGCTGATCCAATATCGTGACGCACTAATCACGTTGTCCTCGACCTCATCCCCATCATTCTCCGCCGAGAACTTCTTGCGGAAAACAGGGTCACTGAAGCCCACCGCGTTGCCAGTGCCAGTGATGCTGATCAGCATGTCAGTATATGATGCCTTGAAGAAATGATTGTAGCAAACGATTCGATCGCGAAACTTACAAAGGGAGATAGGCTTTGTTCAAGTCCTCTGGACGCCACGCCAGCGTCACAGTATCGAGCGTTACGACGAGGACCTTGTATCCATTGGCCTTGGCCCTTCTCAGAAGAGAGCCGGTAATATCATCGTCCATGGGCCAGTACAGCTGGAACCAGCGATGAGCGTCACCCAACTCGGACGCAACCTCCTCGATCGTGGAGGTTGCCGCCGTGCTGAGGGTGTACGGCACGCCGAGCTCCGCGCAGGCGGACGCCAGACCGACTTCCTTGTCTTCGTGGAAGATGCCCTGGACACCGATGGGGGCCATCAGCACCGGTGAGTCTGCTGACGTGTTAGAGCTGGGTGGTATTTGTTTGAACCTTGAACTAACCATAAGTCACACCAAAGAGCTCCGTCTTCAGGTCTCGGGGGCTGGTCGGTCTGAGGAAACGAGGAATGATCTTCCACTGTCTGAAGGCGAGACGGTTGGCGTCCATCGTGGAGAGCTCGCCGGCGCCTCCGAAGACGTAACCGAAGCACTCCTTGCCCATCGCCTTCTTGGCCTGCTCCTCCAGGCCGTTCGGGTCCGTCGTCACGATGGGCAGCTGACCGGACATGATGCCGTTCTGGTAGATGCTGACGGCGTAGGAGGAGTACGGGGGGCGGCCTTCGCCGTCGTCGTTTCTATCGGCCATTGCGAGTGATCAAAGCGTGCTATTCTGTGAGATGTGCTGTTTGAGCTTAAGATTTGCCGACAATTGAGAAATGATCTGACGAGAGCGAAGTGAAGTGTTATATTCTTCCAAAATCTCACAGATGCGAGGAGTTTAGAGAGTAAGCTGAATGAGAAAGGACGGTTTAGGTAGGTGTTTTGCGTAGGATTCTTGTCTGAAGAGCTAGAGAGTTGAGACCGAGCTGTCCGATGTACAATGTGCCTCGGCACAGGCTTTCCGTGTAATTCGTCATAGTAACATCAATAGAGGGCGCTACATGATAGCTGCGAAGTAAGATCCCACTGGGGCCGTTTTTCATGGTAGCCTTTTTCGAAGCAAGTTTCCTCCAACAATGCGAATGAATAGATCTACGATATCGTCAATGAAGTTGCAGAGTGTGTCGAAGAGGCACCTAATACAGAAGTATGAACGGTTGAAGACAGCTCTGAGGGATGAATAACACTCTGAATGGAAGATGAGGGTCCCCACAATGTACCCCATTCACAGTGTTCCCTTCAAGACACTGGACCCCTGCCGCCCTGCTGCAGCTCCGCGCTCCAGCGCGACCCCACCATCGAATTGAATTCCACCCCGCGATTCTGGTCCGTCACATCCCACCACCGACTCCTCGACACTGCCGCGTCCAACCGCGAAAAAAGCTGCAAATACCACGATGACATAGCACCCAATCAACCCCAACCCGACAAGATATCGATAAAATGGACATCGACGACATCCTCCGTGAGGTCGACCCCGTCTCGCACTCCATCCCCGCCGAGACACGCGACCTCCAAGCCCTGACGCGCGCCTGGGTAGCAGAGCGCTCCGCCCCAGAACTCCTCGAGTCCGTTCCCCTTCTCCCTCCCCCTAGAACGATCACGACAAAAACCCAGCATTGACACAAGTATAACACACGCAGATGGCCCCCAGACGGCCTCTTCGAGCGCGTCAACGACCGCATTAAGTCCCAGATCGAAAAAGTCGAAGACATGACGGGTGACATGGACCCCAAGACCAACTTCGCCCTCATCGTCATCCAGACCGAGCTCGAGCGCTTCAAGTTCATCGTCCGCTCCTACCTGCGCGCCCGCATCGCCAAGATCGACCGCCACGCCCTGCACTACCTCTCCTCCCCAGCCCTCCGCGCCCGCCTCTCCGAGACCGAGCTCGCCTACGCCACCCGCCACCAGGCCCTCCTGCACAACCACTACCTCTCGTCCTTCCTGTCCTCCTTCCCGCCCGGGCTGCAGAACCTCAACGACACGGCGGGCAACATCAGCATGATCGACGGGCCCGACGTGGACACGGCCGTGTTCATCAGGCTGTTGAGGGACGCGACGGTCGAGGGCAAGGGGACGGATTCGGACGGCAGTGTGGATGGGAAGGCGGGGGATATTTTGATTCTGAGGTGGTCGAGCGCGAAGGTCGTTGTTGACGCGGGGGATGCTGAGCTTGTGTGAGGCTCGGTTAGTGCGACGGCGGATACGGACGATGTCGCCGATGCGGACGCGGACTCTCAGGCGACGACGGGCGGCGGGCAACGCGCCGACGGCACGGCCGGGGCCGGAAGGCTGACTGACCTGACTAGCCCCTGCCCCGCGAAGATGAGCCCCCCTGCGACAGTGGCGTGACGATGACCTCGCCAAGCCCACGTGGTGACCTCGGCTCAGATAAAGGATCCGGCGTCAGGTTACTATTCTGGGGATTGCGATGGAAACGCGGAGACAGGCCCCGCGTGTTCGGAAATGACGGTCGTACGTCTGCCCCGCGTCGGACCTCTCCGACGTCAGGCCGAGCCTCGTCATGTTGCCGGGCTACGGAATCGATCGCAATCAAAGGTGGTCAGATGAAGACATGACCATACTTGCTCCGGTGAGCTGTGCTACCAGGCTGGTAGCACGTAGGCCGAAATTCATCATTTTTGGGTGGGAGGCTCGCGATTGAATTCGCACCACTGGGTGCACGGAGAGTCAGCTAGATCCAAATGATTCAATGAGACATGATTGCAAAAAATTTGAATTGCTCAAAAGATAGTGTCTATATCACTACTCAGCATGGTATTTGGTGGTTGCCCTGCTGATATATCTTTCTCCTTCCTGAATCAAGTTGCTCGCCATGCTTCGCTTGCGAGATGAATCAGAAAATCCCCCAAAAATAAAAAAAAATGCCCCTAAACGCCGGTTGATGCGAGTCAACGGATCTTCGTCCGGACAGCCTATTCCAGTCCCAAATGTCCCAATATTCCCAGTTGTTCAATGGTCCATTGATACCTTCCCAATCCCACCCGTTCCATTCCTAATCCCAAACCATTCCGCTTCGTTTTCTATCAACGAACTGTGCAACTGGCAATTTTTAGGACCTCTTAGAAGGCATAAGCACTTCCCAGACCCAACACACCAGCACCACCGATTCCTCTAGCATCGCTATTGCGGCGACTGCCTGGATTGCTATGGCTACCCGGTACGATGACCATACCCTTGTTGTTCTCCAGCTTCAACAGAACTTGTGAATTACTTCGCTCGAGCTTGCCCTGCTTCCGCAACCTGGCCAGCCCGAAGAGGGCACCGCGAAGTCCAATGTCAAGCCGATTCGGCTCATGAATGCCGAAGAGTCCTGCAGTTGGCGAGGAGAACTGACGCTTGTGCGAAAAAGGCCCGCTCAAGGACGTCATACTCGAGTTTGGCCGCATGTACAGTGACCTCGGGATAGACATCTTTCGGTTTGGACCGAAATAATTGTCGATGACGTCGTCGGCAATGAAAGAAGCTCTTGACGGCGCCCACACAGCTAATGACTTCGACTCGTCGTGGTCGACAGTCTCGACGGCGAGATCGGGGAAGGGCACAGATGGTTCGGAAGGCTCTTCGGAAGGCTCTGAATAGTCCGAGTCTTCAGTCTCTGTCATCAGTGGAGGGGTAGTCGGTTCGCGAGGCTCATCCCTGTCACTGAACGAAGGAGCCGATTCTGATGTCGGCGTGTGAGGAACATCCGACGAGACAGAGGGCGCTTCGTTCAAAACGAGGAAGGATGGGCCTCGATGAACCTCGGAGGAGGGGTCAAGTCTCGGCTCGCAAGGTTCGGTAGAGAACAAAGGAGACTCTTCTGCTTCGGTGGTAGGAAGGGGCTCGGCGCTCTCAGAAGCAAGTGGGGTTGGAGTAGGCTCAACCGTGTTAGGTGAGGACGTACAGGCAACGACCGGAGCGGTCGAGACGCAGTTTGAAGCTGCCTCCTCAACAACCGGTTCGGCCTCCGTCACTTCCACTTCGAGTGGTGTGGAGACAGCTTCCAGTGCGAGAGGCGAAGCTAATCCGGAGATATTAGTCGTATTTGTTGCCGTTGCGGTCTTGTCCATATCGAAGTTGGGAGAAGCCGCAAAGTCGAGGCTAATGGGAGAGTTAAGACCAGTCTCAGCGGCAGTAGCGAAGCTCGAAGGACTGGAGACGATCACTGCTGGAGCGATAGAATCAGCATCGTGATATTCGGCGTCTGAGTCTTCTTCATCTTCCTCGACGATGGTCTCGATGGTGTATTCCAGAAATCCCTCGCAGGGACGGGGAGGCAGTTCCGGCGGTATCTGCGCTTGTTCGGGAGTGACAACAATCATAGGCTCTTCCGTGTATGACTCCTTGGGCTCAAGGTTTGCAGTCGATTGTTCAGCCGAATTCTCCGACTCTTCCTCGTCGACTGGCACGCAACAATACTCCAGCCAACCCTCCAAAGTGGGTTCGTGAGCAGCGACTTCTTGTTGGGATTCGACCAACTTGGAAGATGGCATGTCGTTTGCCAACGTCAACTCTGACTTCTGCAGGTGGGCGTCATCACGTTCGGGTTCGGGAGCATGCTCGGATCCGGCCAACGATCGGCTCTCAGCTTCATATTCGGTTGATACGAGAGACTGCCGCGATACTGAATGGGCGCCCTTTCCAAAAAGGTTGAACTGTCGTGGTCCATTGAAGCGCGTCATTGTCGGGGTAGAATCTCCTAGAACTGAATCCTCAATTAGCTCGCTGTCGGACGTCTCGGAACCCGCAATGTTTGGGTTCGCATCAAAGGGCTGAGGACGACCCGATGATGTTCGCAAGAAGGTGGGCGTAACCAGCAGACTATCGCGGGGCGTACCAATATCGCCGTCGACAAGGCTTGGAGTTGACGAAGAAGATGAACGGTATGTGGATAGTATATCCTCTGATAAGTCGAAAGAAAAACTGCTGCGTTCGTCGAATTGATCCTTCTTTGGTGCTTTAACTGGGGTTTCAGGCTGTTGCGTCTGCCCCACGGGGCCTATGACGCCGTCGGCCATCGTTTCAACCCAAGCACCATCCTGAAGCGTTTCACCTTGTGCCAAAGGTTCGGACGGTTCGTTGGAACTGCCATCGAAAGAATCCGGCACGGGCCCAGTCGGCGTCGGGATCGAGAGCGGACTGCTTGACGGCAAAGCTTCCATTTCAGCAGGGTCATTCGCTGCAGGAACGGGACGCTCGATGACTCGGATATTCTGGGGTTCGGAGTCGGACAACGAGCACGTGTCTTTGACCACCATGGAAATGTCGGATCGGATTCGTTCCTTGAGTTTTGTTAAGAACAAATCCTTCACAGTCTCGGGATCTTCGCCTTGGCGTTGTCCCGTGGCATAGTATGGCGAACGGGCCACGAGAGTTTTGTCCAAAACCAAATGGCCACGCTTGTGAACCATGAGAGTGATACTCATGTCGTTACCGCCAAGGATATCTGCGACTCCAGTCTGAACTCGGTCCAAGATGGCTTTGATTGTCCTCCGAGAGTAGCAGGCGGTTGAGTCGAGACAGATGGCGAAGGGCTTCTCTGCTTTCCAGCCTCGGCCAGATAATTCGTAAACTGTGAGACGAAGGTCGTCCATCTCTGTCAACTCTTTATCAGTATCATCCCGAACTGCGGTGAACGCATGCTCAAGTTGATTAACAAACTGTTGGCAATCCTGTCCATCAGGATCCTGGAAAAGAAGCAGGTTGCTATCGATCTCGCGACGGAGATGTCTGTGGTCCAGGCCTAGCTGATTCCGAATTTGGAAGCTGACATGGACTGCATTCTGCTCGGAGTGGTGGCATTCTTCTAGGAAATCATATCGGTTGCATGACCGATGTTGTCTGTCGAAAGCCATTTTCCTGGAATCCAAAGACCGTTGCATAGCTGTTGATAAAACCCAGGCCATGTCCTCGCCATGTGACAAGGTTAGTGGGGAACTCTGTGTGCTCTGGAGGGTGATGGTGCGTTCCCATTCCCTCTGTCTACGAGACTTGCATCGACTCCGGAAGTGCAGGGTGATCTCGTAGCCGGGGATGAACTCCCAGTTCTGGGTAGCATCGATGAAACGTGACTGTGGGATGTGAAGAAGAGATACTGGGTTGCTCAAAGGCTTGAGGAGCTCCAAATCGCTTCCCGATCGTTCGCGTATCCTGCCGTGTGTCCACCTGAAAGATCTATCGTGAAGCTTCAGGAAAGAGCCGACGATACGGTCAGTGGAACGGGCGACCTCCATTGCGGTCGACTTATCCAGAGGGTATTTTTGATACGATTTGAAGGACTTGGTGGCCCATGGCTCCGGTCCTCCTCTGTAAATCTGATAGATTAGCTCGAACCGCAGAGGCTTGCCATCACCAATCTGGGGAATGGTCTGCTCGAGAGCAGTCGAGTCTCTGCGGGTGAGCAGCTCGTCAGAGCAGTGTGTTAGGCGACGGAGGAGAGCATAACATATTTGATCCGTCGGCGTGAAGTCGTGGGAGGCCTGGTATTGCCTCTCGTATGTGAGGTCGAGTGATGGTTGAAACTTGATCGTGACTTTTACAGATAAGGCGGCTGGTGGTGTCGATTTGGATTTAGAATCGCCGAGTCCGGACGCAGTACGAGGCCGCCCCGGGCTCGAGAGAAGAAACCTCCTCTGAGAACCCGAGGTGCCGGAGTACGACGTTGATGGACGGACGAGGTCAAGTTCGGCCATGGCCGTCAGATGATGTTGAGGTGAAGAAACACCAATGGTTTGGTGTGAATACCGAAGTTGGTTGCCAGTGTCCACCAGACTCAAACCAACTCTCCTTCAGAAGGCGTCCGGGGGAGGGGAGGGACGCCGGGGTATAAAAAAGCGGTTTCGAATGGAGAAAGACAAAAAGTCGTAATGGGGGCCCTAATGCAGGAAGGCTCCATCGAATCATCCATTTAAGTGCAGTAGCACCAAAGGGTGAAGCAAGGTCCAAGAGTTCCAAGACTACCTTAGCTTGATAAGGTAGCCAGAACCAAGGAACACTCGAAGTATCGAAAAAGGGCAGGAGAAACCGCGGGTGCAGACAAGGCGTAAGACAAAGAAACACGGGCACCACCACCGCGGTTGCGGGTCACGCGAGGAATAAGTATGAGATGTTATCGCTACGATTGTGGTGTGGTCGTGACGCGCCGCCACTAAAGGTTGGGCGACCCATGGCATGATTTTGCCCATTACAGCCCAGGACAGGGAAGAGCCGGCCAACCGGAGGAGCCTTCCCTATGGCGCTGAGGAGGCTTTCCCAGTGCAGGACGACCTCAGATTGCCCATCTTACACCTGGTGAGATTAGGTCGGGGTATTCGGGCCATGCCAGGGGAAATAAGGCTGAAAATGGAAGGGAAACAAGAATGTTATGGAAGCATAGCCGCATCGATTGGACGAAGAAGAAAGCGTGAGGCTTCACCAGAAGGTCGATTGCCGTGGTGATTGACTCCCTCCCGTCAGGGACGGCTGGCTGCATTGTGTGGTTGCAGCGAATGGCGATAAGACAACACAACAAGACAACACTCCAGCACACCCATTTGTTCCGTTCTGTAACCTCTCACACCTCTGATGTCCAGATCGAGAAGCCCGAATGGCAACCTAACCGACGTCTTTGCCGAAGGAGTTCCGGATAAGCTGGTATTACTCTGAGAACAAGATGGAAAGCAGTCAGAACTTGGCCTCAAAAGTCCCGCTTGGCCGCGTGCCGAGTATTCCTCGTCCTGCTTCTCAACTCCGCTTCTAATTGCTTGCATCTGCACGCTGTGAGGTGTTTTCCTGCTTCTTGCATGTGCATCGCCGCGATACTGCTTCTTCGCAACGCATGACAGCGCCTAACTGGAGTGACATGGGTCGCAAAAGCGGGCATGGATGGATGGGCGGTAGTCCGTACCGTTTGGGGACAGACGGGCTGTTTTCCTAGTCGTCGGCGTCAGCGACTCAGAGAGCCGATCGACGACTCAGCGCTGTGGTAATTGCCCAAGGGTCAGACGCACGACAGAGGGTCGCGGATGCGGATGGCTAGACTGAACCTGGGCATCGGGAACTCTCGCTAACGCGCTTGAGGAAAGACGGACCCGTCACCAGATCCTGGCATGATCTCCATCAAAACCAGCTGCCAGATGCCGGTCAAGGGTGAGAGAGGAAGACGGCACAGATCGGAGAAGGGCGGCCAGCGGAGGCCGGCGGGCTCGCGGGAGCGAACTTTTCCTGGGTTCGTTTCTCCCTTGGACGGGTGACAGCTGGAGGAGTCATCGAAAAGGCGCCGTTTGGACTTGTCTGGCGGTGATTCATAGCGCCGATAAATGACGAAAGGTCCGGTTCGGGGCGCCCGCCAACACATTCTTCAACCCGTTGGCTGTCATATTCGCCTAGGACGAGTTCGGACGCGAGGGATAACTGCGAGGGGGAAAAGAAAAGGATAGAATGATTGATGTTCAAGCAAAAGGCTTGCTTTGAAGAAAGCCCGTAAATAACTTTGTTTAACCAATAATGCGCCTTGCATGAAGTCTGAAAGAATCAACATGCTCCACTGGTATTGCAGACCACCAATCGGGGTTGTGCATTACATAAGTGAGAGCTCCCCACGTAAAGCAACATCAGAATGAACAGGTGCAACCCCGGAATGCCAAGGGGCCCGTCAAGGACGACACCATCCTTGTCAAATCCACCAACATGTCGTGGTCTGTCCACTCCGACGGGACAGTCCACCCAAGTGGAAATCCGTGGAGCTCCCAGGGGGCATTTTTTTTTTACGAGCTAAGTCTTCGACGCGGAAGTTTTGGCGTCATTCAGTCCAGCCACGCACATTCTCTATGTTCGCCTCATTCCGATTGTCTCGTGCCCGCGCCGCCTCAAATGCTGGACCCCTTCCCGAGCCGATGACAGAGTGGCTACTGTTCCAGCGGCATGCAACCACTTAAGGTAGCTCAGAGATATGTACCCGCCAACCGTCATTCTCGAAATCTCTGTCGCGGACAATTTCGATTCGTGGTGGATCTCGAATGCCTGTGACTTGGGGTCTTAATAACCGTGAGATATATCAACACCTACACGTAGGCGCAAGTGTACGGCGGTATCCCAGTCACGAAGTCTAGCGGTCTGCTAGCCTGCGATTCGAAGAAGAGTCATCAGTGGAATATCCATCCCACTGCAGCTGGGAAAACATCAAACCCTAAACTCTAACATGAGCGCACAGATCAGTTCGTCTCGATCGACTCGTAGACACCGCATCGAAGAAGCTCAAGGCCGAGCTCTCTGCTACTTTGACATTTTGAGGGATGGAATAAGAGGGAGGCGGGAAGAGGTCATAACGACGTCGAACATCTGAGCGTTTCTGGCGTCACTCACACGTCTGAAATGGCGTTCGTCCGGCCCGCAAACGGGCGAAACTCTAACCAACATGCCCGAAGCTGATCAATCGTCATCGATGTCAGCCTCAAAGCATCATCGTTCTAACTTTTTGCTCGAAGATTCCGAGTGATTTGAGTGACTCCGGAGTCCAGACCCGTCGTCTGTTCCGACTCATTCCAGAACGAACATGCTTGCAGTCTCGGATAAGCTGTTCAGCTGGTCTTAGACATGAGACGGTTTACGTTTCTTGATCATTCCTCACTGCGCGGCCACAGCTTGGACCTTTGCTGCAGAAAGTACATCGAGGTCTGGAAGGTGAGCCACCATGGGTATCATGAAGACCCTTTCATGTTCAGCATTTGTGAGTGACAGCAGATGAGAAGAGAATAATTTCATCAAGTGCGACTTGATGTTCACATACACGACATATGCATATCGCTTGCAGATCTCATCTCTATTCGGCTCCTGAGTGCAGGCAGCTTGGCGTAGCTTGATGTGTCGGTGAGCGTAGCTATCAACCAATGCGATCGCTCATTCGCTCTTGCGAAACCACATCAAACTGGCATGTGAACAGGAGTTTGAGACTCGTGAGCAAACCTTCTATCCGACTGGTTAAACTCACATGCATTTAATCCTGCTACAAGACGAATTCAAAGAGAATGCTCAGGAGCGTTGGGGATCAAGATCTCACGAGCTCACCGCTTGAGACCACTCACCATTGGATGTTCTCACCGCTCATAGAAAGACCGCTTAAACTTGGCTATGATCATCTAAAGTAACGACCTCTAGTATGTATCTCTTGTTTTATCGATATTCTCACACACATACTAGGCTCAGAGCTGGGCATGAGCATCCGTCGCTTTTCATTGAAGTCCTCCGATTTCAGCAGTTCTGTCTGGCAAGGCAGGTCATCAAGCATGGAAGGCAGTGTAGAATGAGATTCTCAGAACAGACGAACGTTCTCATGGACGAACTGAGAACCGGGTCATTCCCCAATAGTGTTAAGTGAAATTGGCTTAAGCTGCACCTGAATGCTGATCTATGTACGGGTTAGAATGGCTACCCTTTAAGCCAGACATTGATTTCGCCACGACTGCCGTGAGTTTCAGAGACATGCTTGCTGCCCTGGACACTCTCAAACCTCGTATATTCATCCATGATTCTCCCAACCGCCCTCGCAATGTTGATGCTAGTGGTGCGAGCCTTAGGTTCCTACGTAATTGTCGACTGGTGCCAGAAAGAAGGGACTTATCGTGAATAGTCTTACCAAGTTGTCGAGACACCAATATTCACATCTGCCGATGTGCAGTACACCTCAAACCTCGGAAACTTTGCAAACGTGTTAGCGTCATAACATCTGAACTCCGTTTCACCTGGAGCAGCGATGTACTTGATCCATTTCACAGCGTCAAGAGCCTAGTTGTGGTTTGTCAATTTCATCCATGAAGAGCCATCATGTTGGAGGGGGCTGGGACAGAGGCAAGTCGAAGCTTCCGTAGGCATCGCGCTCGGGATCTAGGGAACAAGTAGCTTGCTTCTGGACAGGACTGCCTTCAGCGGCAGAAGAGTCATTCCAGACCCTTTGGAACTTTTCTCCCAAGACTCAATAGCTCAGGGTTGGCAATAATGCTGCCAATCCACTTCTCAAAAGAGAATGGCTCAACAATGCCACGCTGAAATGAAGCCGCCGCAGCGAAGGTGAGAGAGGCAAGAGCCAGAAGGGATAGAGTACTGATGGCAAACATGATTATTGTGGTTGATGTTGATAATGAGGCTTAGGGTAGCAGCGGTGTTGTTGTTAGTTGAAGACAAAAGAGGGACTTTGATCCTGTCTCTTTAGGTGATTTGCAACAGGATGTGTAGGTAAGTGAGCTTCTATTCCATAATCTATAGTTCATCAGCATATCAAGTCTCGCCTCTCTGTTCCAAAGCTCATGTTGGCCATGTCTAGACAAGCTAGCAACTCACATCGTTCAAGTGCTACAAGTCAGCAATGCGAACCAAACGTACGGTGCACATTGCCTTTTCAGGTAATTAGGGGTCGTCAAGAAAGGCTGCATAAGAGATTGAGACGACTTGGACGTTAAACCCATATATGAAGTCTCACTCCTACTGTGATGGCCAGCTCTCCTGAACACCGTCTTTACAGAAATTGGGACCACCACCTATCCTGCGGCGGATGTCATGTCAAGTCAAGGTTTAGATGAAGCTTGTTCCTTGTATCTGCTTCCTCTTAATAAAACAAGAATGAGGTGATACAATGTTTCTGTTCGCATGGCTATTAAACTACTTTCTCATCAGTTGCTGCTGGTCCTCCAATCAAGCAGGCAAAGCATTTCATCCACATAAGCTTTAGATCTAGTCGTACGTATATCTTAATTCATCTAAACTATTTCTCCAAGCCATCAAAGAAGAATCATCAGACATCTACACAGAGCTATTGTCAATGCAAGCTAATGAGAGGTTATATACACAGACCCTAACTTGATGGCATAGCAATTCTCTCAAATAGAGCCCAAATGTGTTTATTTAGCATTGTATCGTCAAATTCGGCAACCAAGTGTTCAAGTTGTTAAATTTTCTCATCATGAATGAAGGCTCTGTGAGTACTCACGACGATTAACATGCCGGGTAGAAAAGTAGGTAGTCATCGTCAAATACCCTCAGCGGCGCGATCTCGCTACTGATCTGGATTGACTGATTGCCTATAATACTCAACTATTCCGCAATGACTGGTTTACCTTAGACGTATAATAACGTGATATTTGTGAAGAAGTGACCTTGCTATGAAGATTGCAGTCTTTAAAGTGCATCACATCAAGGTCTCATTTTGGTGGGAAATGTGGTAGATGCAGGTAGGAAGATCACTGAAACTTTAATTTTCCCCGCCGTCGGCGACAAACGGCCGAACCGCAGCGGGCTCGCGCTTCCGACCTCTTTGTTCCCGCATCTCAGCCTACCTCTTGGTGCCCAGCCACAGGACAAACAAAAATCGCAAAAGGTTCGTTTGGCGCTCGAGTTCCCCTGCTCTTCCATCAGGGTGCTGAACGAACGGCCAAACATTCCTGCAAACCACTGCAACACCCGCCCGCACGGGGTTTCGGACACCTGGCTCAACGAACCCAACTTCACCTCACCGTACCCGACCGAGGGCAAGTCGCAGACACACGCACACAACACAATCGCTCACGTCTCATTGGCGAAAATTGCATTCTTTTTTCACCATCGCCGAAGATGACTATTAAGAAGGTCACCCGGATGAATGAGGGCGCCCGGTTGGATGCCGGAGACGATCTGGCTGAGCAGCTGGCTCAGATGAAGATCGCACAGGAGAAGCTCAGCAAGCAGCTCGACGGCAAGGTCGCAGAGGGTAGTTCCGCCACCGCCGCCCAGATGAAGCAGCAGCAGGACGACAAGGAGGAGTACGACGCCGAGAGCGACGACCAGGAGCTCTCGGAGCAGCTTGCCACGCTGGTTCTCGGCGATCCCAACCCGGAGAAGAAGAAGCGTAAGAAGCGCCGCGGCAAGAAGAGCAAGAAGAGCGCCGAGCAGAAGGCGGCCGACGAGAAGACGGCCCAGGAGAAGGAGGAGGCCCGGCAGAAGGAGATTGTTGAGATGGCGCAGAAGATGGCCGACGACATCGTCAAGAAGATGGGCGTCCTCAACCTCTACAGGTACCCCAACTCGACGAATACGACCCAGAAGGAGACGGAGACGGCGTCCAGAGAGATGACTACGAAGCAGGCGCTGCCGGTTGAGAAGACTTCTACCAAGGGCAAGAAGAAAATGAACACCGACAAACTGATCGAGGATTGGAACGAGTACTTCGGCGAAGGCGAGCTCGAGGACTGGCGGCGTCTCTGCCGCGACCTCGGTCTACCCGACGATCTGCCCAGCAAGACCAAGTGTCGCGATGTAAGTTGACCCGAACTTTATTTCATTTGTTCTGTACTAAACTCTTGCTTTTAGGCTGTCAAGGGTGTTCACGTCAACATCAGACAGTTCCTTGACGCCCAGCGCAAGCCCGAGGACGTCATCTTCTTCAAGAACGTCTGGAAGCTCGCCAGCTGGACCTTCAACAAGAGACTCAGAGTTCGCCTCGACGCCATTCCCCGCGGCACACCCTTGCGGTCCCTCATGCGTGAGCTTAGTCGCTACTAACGGAAATTCGAGGTCACCTTAGAGGAGCGAACGACTGAACGAACGATGGATGGAAAGGCGTTTTGGGGTATGGATGTGTCTTGGCATTCATGGATTTGAGAATTAGTATCCGGCAGTTGCCTCTTTTTTGCGCCCTGTCTATAACATTGCCTTCCTGTACATTTCCCCCTTAGCTCCTTATCTCCCACATCCTAATCTTGCCAGTGTCGTTACCGACAGCAAGTACATCACTCTGCCTTCCGAACGCAACGCATGTGACCCTGCCCAGTGGCGTCTGCTCTGTAGGCCAATTCCTGTAAACGGTGCAGGTCGGCAGGTGGACCAGACGCAGCGCATCCTTCTTTTCGTAAGAGCCAAACGCCATCAGCTGGCCGTCGGGAGAGAACGTGATCACCGAGATGGGCGTAATGAGCTGCTCGAGGATACGAGTCGGCTCAGGACGCTCCACGAAGCTTGTCTCGCCAGCGGCGGACGTCTTGACGAGTGTTTGGCGGTCGTAGATGTTGGTGATACCGCTGGAGGAACCAATGGCCACCCACCGGTCCTCGCCCAACACCTCGGGGCCCTGGTGACCTCCCAGGCCGATGACGATACCACCCACGCAGCCGTCGTCGCGCCAGATGGCGAGGAACTTGCGCTGAGCCATGCTGTACTCGCCGATAGAGCCATCCTTGCCGAGAATCGCCAGACCCTCGCCGTTTCTCCACCAAACAAAGTCCGCAACACCGTGCCTGCTGTCGAGGCGGGCAGCGGCGATCCACTGTCGGGAGTCGGTGCTGATGATGTTGATGATACCGCCGCCCTTCTTCGTAGACGCGACGAGACCGATGTACCGTCCGCAGGGGCTGAGCTTGAACCTCTCCATGGACTTGTGCTCGAGCCGGTGGCCCTGGATCTGCGACGTCTTCTGCACGTGTCCGGACTCGAGGTTCCAGCTGTGGAAGTACCTGCGGCGGCCGGCGAAGAAGACCTGGTCGCCCGCGGGGTACAGGAACTCGGCCCGGCGCACGTCGACGCCCTTGGCCTGAACGGAGGTGAGCATCGGGTTCGGTGTCGGGTGGGCCGTAGGGTTGAGGTGGTGCAGGTAGAGCACGGACGAGGTGCTGGAGGAGAGAAGGACGGGGTACTTGGGGTGGAAGGAGAGGTTGTTGACGGCGGCCTTGTGGGTATCGGGAATGTCGCGCGTGCGCTGGATGTCGATGGTCTCTGGCCTGAGGCGAGCCCTGGCTGTCGAGTCCCTGCCGGCGAGGCGCTGGACGTCGCGGAGGAACTTCTCGAGAGGCTCGGCGGAGACATCTGAGTCGCTGCCCTCCTCGTCAGAGCTGATGGAGGAATCGGAGGCGGCGGCGGAGGATCTTCTTCTCCTCTTCGCGGGGCGTTCTTCGGATGCTTGCGCCCACTTCGGGAGGGGGTTGAGTCGGAGGTATTGTTGTCGCAGTCTTCTGCTGTACTCGGAGCCGCTGACCACGTCCTCGCCCTCGCTGATTCTCAGTTTCCGTAACCTCGTCGCATTCGCCAGAGAAACGCTCAATCGCTCGTCGTCGCTGTCCTCCCACGCCGGGGCATCTGCGGCCGCCGCAGTGGGCTCCTGCTTGGCACCCTTGCCAGCCTGCGAGCCCTTGGCCGAGGGAGCACCTGTGTCGAGGAAGAAGAGGTCGTGATCGGCGACGTCCTCTAGTGTGGGCTCGTCCTGCTTAACAAGTTGTTGGTTCTGCTCCTTCTCCAATCGTTCGATATCGCCAAGCACATCGTTGCGGAAGAGTTGTTCGCGGAAGTCGGCCTTTCCTCCCAGGACCAATCGCTCGAGCTCCTCCTCGTCTGAATCCTTCTCGTCGAAGACTGGCTTCGGTTTGCGCTGGCGGGGTGTCTCCTCGAGTTCAGACTGCTCGGACTCCGAAGAGGAGACCTCCTCGTCGGAGAATTCTGCGAATGGCTGCTCTTTGGACATTGTCGCGGTGTGGCAGTTCGGCAAGGACGTTTCGGTCTGCAGCGCAGCAAGAAGAATTGGCGGGTCGTAGTGAGGAAGAACGTCCAGAATTTTTTTACTGGGGCTTTCAGCCTTGCATATCTTCAGTCGACCATAATTGGCTTTCATTCCAAGCCACATATGGCTTTCAACCAATGACGGCGTGTAAGAATACGCGGCTGAAAGTGGGGTATATCAAAAAACCCCTCCAGCATGTGGCTTTGCCGACCGGAAGCTTAGACCAGGGTTCGATTCCTCGTCTCATTGGCGATGGTTTCCTCCACGACGTAGATGTAGACAAAATAATCATCAGAGATCATCACTAGCAAACGTCAACACGATGGGTCGTGGCCACCCCGGCTCTCTTTGCACTCGGTTCCGCCGCTCGGAGGATGTCTCGCGAGCTGGGGTGGCAGGGGTTTTGGTTCATCTACCTGTGTATGAAATACACTGTCATCAGCATTGGTCTTTGTTATTCATTTGCTATTTCAAGTGTGCACAGATTACTTCTTCTTATGAATAACAGCGACATACCGGATGGAGAGACGAAGATAATGATGCCGACAATCCTAGATGCAATGTTATCGTTGCCAGACGTTCTTGAAAGCGAGACTGCCGCCACCGCTGCTGTCTACTGCCTGGCCTTCCATTTGCTGTGTAGCTCGCCCACTCCCTCTTGACCAGCTTCTTTTGGCACCTGACAATAGGAAATATATTATATACAAGTCATAGGGGCGATTAAAGTGCTATCCCTGGCGGGAGAACGACTGAGTCCACAGATTAATAATCCCCGGGACACAACCTTCAACCCTTCTCAATGACAGATCTTTTGCCCCCTCCCCCTCTGAAAGGCCTCTGCTTAGGCCTAAAGAACCTTCAAGCGCGAGCCTGTCTCAAAGCTGAGAGCGTGCGCGCCCGACTCAGCGCTGCGCTTAAGCACAGCGCGCTACTTGGCGGCCAACTCAGCCTCTTTACTCAACAACAACATCAATCCCCGATAGTCTAGTGGTGAGGATATCTGCTTGTCATGGAAACACGATTCGCAGGGGACCGGGGTTCAATTCCCCGTCGAGGAGTATACTTTTGCTTTTGTCGTTATGCTGGAATCATTTATCAAATGTTTGTAATTTGACGATGTCTTTTTTGAAGTTGGTTGAAAATCAATTGAGTTGAGAAGAAGTTTGCTTGAGTTCAGAGTTTCAATTGGGCTAAGCCTCAGAAAGTCTGGTTCAGCGGGCCCCCGATGCCTTCTTCAGTGGATCGCCCTTCCGACGACACTCTATCTGCAAGGGCGTGTACCCCGGCCGCGCCCCGGCGAGCTCCGACTTCACCTTATAAAATCCTCCGCAACACCAAGAACGACAATCGGTTTGGAGGCATCTCTACTCAATTGGACTATAATTTCAACATAACAGGCTATTTAACTGCTTCCAGCCAACAATTGACTCATTAGCCAGCATTGACCTTCCCCAACCAAGACCAACCCCGCCATCAGATCACCATCAACGCCGAGGCCCGGCTGAACAGCCACGTTCGTCGATATGATCGTCCCGCGCTCGTCTAGCCGGTTGGCGAGACATGCACTCTCTCAAACTCAGTTTTGCCGCAACTCAAGCCGCATCGCACCAGCGGGTGTATCGTTCGGCCGCCAAAACCAACGGTACATGAGTGCCGCCGCTTATCAGACCCCTGCCGGCCTGAAGGATCTTCTGCGCGTGTCAGATGAAGTCCGCGACGCCGTTGCGACGAACAAACCGGTTGTAGCTCTGGAATCAACAATCTACACCCACGGAGCTTTGGGCAATGACCTCGGCCTTGAGGACATCGTTCGCCAGGGCGGTGGCGTGCCCGCAGTCTGCGGTGTCTTGAACGGCGAGCCCGTGGTTGGTCTCACTGAGGAGGAGGTTGCGGTCATGGTCAACTCTGGAAATGCTAGCAAGGTTTCGAGGAGAGATTTTGCGCATATTGTCGGCTTGGTGAGTTTCTTGAATCAACATCGTTTTTTCCAGCCTGCGGCGTGGTGATTCTTTTCGCTTCATTGTAGCTTACACAAAACACAGGGCCTGACAGGCCGCAAACTCCACGGCGGCACCACCATCGCCGGCACCATGCTCCTCGCCCGCCTGGCCGGCATCCGCGTCTTCGGCACCGGCGGCCTCGGCGGCGTCCACCGCGACGGCGAGAACACCATGGACGTCTCCGCCGACCTCACGGAGCTCGGCCGCACCCGCGTCGCCGTCGTCAGCGCCGGCTGCAAGGGCTTCCTCGACATCCCGCGCACCCTCGAGTTCCTCGAGACCCACGGCGCCTTCGTCGCCACCTTCGCCGACGGCCGCACCGGCAAGGTCGACTTCCCCGCCTTCTGGGCCCGCGAGAGCGGCACCAAGAGCCCCCTCGTCGTCCACACCGAGCGCGAGGCCGCCGCCATGATCCTCGCGCAGGAGAGGCTCAACATCGAGTCCGGCATGCTGTTCGCCAGCCCCATCCCGGAGAAGGACGAGGTGCCCCGCGTGGAGATGGACGTGGTCATCGAGACAGCCGTCAGAGAGGCCAAGGAGAAGGGCTTCACGGGCTCGACTAACACACCGTATATCCTTGGCAGAATCAGGCAGCTCACCGAGGAGAGGAGCACGCTGGCCAACGTGGCGCTGGTGAGGTCGAATGTGGCGCGGGCGACCAAGATTGCGGCCGAGCTGTCGAACATGTTGAAGGAGGGGACGGAATCCGCGTAAGTGAGCTTGCATATCAAACGTACATAGCCTCAGCCAGAAAATAGGTTCTGACTGCGTAGATAGCCCATCAAACAAACAATTCTCCGGATTTGACGCGGCTCCCAAACCCGCGACGAAAGTTCAGACCCCGAAGTCGAGCAAAGCGGACGTTCTTGTCGCGGGATCCGTTGCTGTTGACCTCAGCTGTGACTACCAACCCCTTAACAGCAAAAGTAAAGAAGTCTCTCCTCACATGCATACATCCAACCCGGCCTGTATCAACCAATCCATCGGCGGCGTCGGTCACAACGTCGCTCTCGCTGCGCATAGGGTGAGCAAGGACGTAAGCGTGCGCCTCTGCAGCATGGTCGGAGACGATGTGTAAGTCGCCCACCTCCCTTTCCGTCTCACAATCGTGTTACTAACCGCCCCTTTTCAAGCGCTGGAAAGACTGTCCTCTCCTCCCTCGAATCCTCGGGCCTCGACACGACCTACATCCGCCAGCTCGGCTCCGAGTACCACCACTCGAACCGCACGGCGCAGTACGTGGCCGTCAACGACGCTGAGAAGAACCTCGTCGTCGCCATGGCGGACATGGGCATTTTCGCCAACCACTCGTTCCCGGACTACTGGAAGTCGGCCGTCTCGGGCGCGCGGCCGGGCTGGCTCGTCGTCGACGGCAACTGGAGCCCCAAGGACATCCGGGCGTGGGTGCAGGCCGGGCGGGAGCAGGGGTGCGGCGTGGCCTTCGAGCCCGTGTCGACGGCCAAGTCGGTCGGTCTCTTCCATAAGGAGCACCCGTACCTGGGCGTGTTCCCGGACCCCGGCATCGATCTCGCATCGCCCAACAACTTTGAGCTCTCGGCCATGTACGCCGCCGCGAAGGAGAACGGCTTCTTCGACACGCCGGAGTGGTTCGGGGTCATCGACGCGTTTAACATGCGCGGGGCGCGGGACCGATTTGTGCGGCTTACGTCCGCGGAGATGACGGACGCTGGGATCCCCGTGCAGACGATCCACTTGCTGCCGTATATTCCCACGCTGGTCACGAAGCTGGGGTCCAGGGGAGTTCTGTTGACGACGATTCTGGGGCGGGATGACCCCCGTCTAAAGGACAGGAACGAGGAGAGGTGGCTGCTGACGAGGGCGCCGGTTGACCATCCTACCGTCGGAGGAGTCTACATGCGTCTTTTCCCGCCGGCGGAGAAGGTCCCGCTGGAGGAGATCGTGTCCGTGAACGGCGTGGGAGATACGTTCCTGGGAGTCATGATCGCGGGTCTGGCGAAGGGTGGCAAGGTTGAGAAGTTGATTGACGTTGCGCAGAAGGCGGCGGTGTTGACGCTGAAAAGCCACGAGAGTGTGAGTCCTGATCTGGGACGGTTGGACGAGGCGTTGAAGGCCGCTGTGAGGTCTTAGTTGCTGTGAGCCAGATGTTCTGTTTATACACTGAGGTCCTTGGACGCGTTCAAAATGTATTTGCCCGTCTAATTCAAGGCCATTATAGGCGGTGCTCGCTGTCGATGGAATTGTCGGAAGTTATCCATGTAGACAAACATGAACGAACAGAATTGAACAACGTTCGTGGTAATATTTGCTTGGTTTTATATGTAAAGCCTCCCCAACGCAATGGAGTTAAAAATCTCATATGTCAACGAAGACTGAGGAACAAAATACGCTCTACATAAGTAACTACTTAAACACAAAGTCTAACCACCTTTCTCACAATATCTCGCAGAGATAGTTGGCCCTTTGGCATTCTCATTGCGAGTAATATCTGATTGTTGTAGGGGCGTTGTCACATATTCTGCCGCCTTCGTCGACATCGTATTCGGAGAGTTTGACAGTGCTTAGTATATATCTCCCTAGGCTTCATTACTTTCGTACTACACGTCCGGAGAGATCAATATACACGTCTCAGTGTAAACCTCCCAAATCAAGTCCACGAACGCAACCAGACTAGAGGATTGAGAAGACTAAGCTGGGTTTTGAGCCATACGTACGATAAGTTTTAATTATGATAATAGCTTGAATCGCCTCAAACCGTATGTTGAAGGAACCTCAGTCGACGAATCCCCGCATCGCCATAGCGGAGATATCCACATTGGACAACAATTAGAGTTACACTTTCCCCATCCGAGCGTAACCTCACTCGACATGATATATAATCTTAACCAGCCAATGAAAACCAAATCCGGCTCGTCTGGTCTATTCAATACCGTTCGCGGTGGGCTGCTCCCCGACGAGCACGGTGCTCTCCTCCGTCTTCTCCTGGTGCTGCTCCTTGTCGGCGTAGTACTTCTCAACGTCCTTCACGACTTGCCTGCCGGCGAAGTTCTTCATCAGCTTCTTCCCGTCGCACCGCATGTGGTGTTGATACCAGTGCGGTAGCGCCCTCAACGCCGGCAGCGTGCTTCCGGTACCAGGCAGAATGACCTGCCCGCTGGTGCCCTCGAGCACCTTCTTCACGATCGCCTCCGCCACAGTCTCGGGCTCCAGCGCGGGGATCAGGAACTGCAGGCCTTGCTCGTATCCCGTGAACAGCGGCGTCTTGGTGTAGCCTTGGTTGACGATGACGGTGCGGATGCGCGGCGCATTGTATGTGGTCACAAGTTCTGCCGAGAGGCCCTCGTGGAAGGCCATGGCGGCGGCCTTGGAGGCGCCGTAGTCGACCATAGAGGGCACCGTCAGCCAGGCGGCGTAGGAGGCGATGGTGACGACCATGCCATGGTTCTTCTCGACCATGTGCGGGAGGAACTCCTTGACGATCCAGTAGTGGGCGAGCGTGTTGACGTCAAAAGTGAACCGGACATCGCGCTCGGTAGCATCGAGGACGGTTTTGCCGCGGGCGACACCGGCGTTATTGATGAGGATCGTCGGGTTTCCGACACGGTCGCGGATATCTCGCGCGACAGCGGCCAGCTTGTCGGTTGAGGTGATATCGCACTTGAAGTAGTGGACATTTGATGCTGTTCAATGTCAGTGTCAGGCGACTGCGCAATGCGAAGACGGGGCTCTAAAGAACGTGGTTGAGGGAAAAGCTTACCCGCAGTGAAGGTCATCTCTTGGATGTCCAGCACCACAACGGTGATGCCACGCTCAGCGAGCAGCTGCACGACGTGTCCTCCGATACCGCCAGCGCCGCCGGTTACGAGGACGATCTCCTTGGACCAGTTGTAGCGGTCAGAGACCCAGTTGTTTATGGAGCGCGCCGACAACCAGTTGTTCGCCCACCGCGCGACGGAAAGCCATGCTAACGTCTTGAGGTTTGAAAAGGCTGTCGGGTGCAGGATCGTGAGGTCACCACCCTTCTTAGTGTAGCGGGCCAGGAGCAGCAACGGCAGTATGAGGGCAGGGTTGAGGGCGGTGCGGCCGATGAGGCGGAAGATGGGGTCCGCGACGAAGCCCTCGCGAGGGAGCTGGCCCTGGTGCATCGGCATTGTGAGGTCTGCGGTGTTTACAACGCGTACAGTGTTCCACGAGGGTGAGTTGGCGCCGATAGGGAGACTTGTGCAACCGGTCTTCTTAAGTATAAAAGAGAGCCGAAAGCGAGGAGGTGTGGTTGAAGGCTGCCCGTGCAATTGAAATCGGATGGCAGCTCAGGGGCGGAACGAAGCTTGGCGAGAGTTGGGAGCAACAACTGTAAACCGGCCCAACTTCTTCGCGAATTCAACCTTTTTCGTTGAAGCTTCCCCAAGTGCGAGCTACAACGTTATCAAGTTTCGAGAACGACGTTGGAAAAGCGAAGAGAGACGCGAACCAGGCCCAACATCGCACCACCGAACCGGCATGCGACCCCATACTTAAGGAAGTTTCAACGACTGGGGAAACGGCAGCCGGTCTGCCAAATACCAAGACGAGCAAGGGTCGTGGAGAGCTCGAGGCAAGGTAGTTGATCCCTAGCAACAGCTGCCGCTGCTGATCCATGTGCTGTGCCTTCCTCATGGCCCAGTATTTTGCAGCTGTAATGCGCAGCCGAGGTTTAGTGCACCCGGCTCAAAGTGCGGGGAATCCGGGGGGAATGGATGCAATCGTTGCAATTGACTGGCGCCTGGGATGCGAAGGCCGCGTAGGGCGCGATCTGATAGGACAGTTCCATCAGCGGGTGAAATGTTGCGGTAAGAGAGAGCCAGGCCATGAATTGAGTGTGGTCGGTGTGGGTGGGAGGTTTGCGCGCATGTGAGGCGGGTGCGCATTGCCATTTTTGGAGAGCAGTTCGTCGGGCGGGTGAAGGTGCCACGGCATGGCCATGGACACCGCGGAAGGCCACCGAGCCGGGAGGAGGAGGAGTGGGCCCGGGAATGAGTTTCCTACTGCGTAATAGACTAGGCATGTTGATCGCGGGTGGGATTGATTTGTGATAGTTGAGACTGAAATTCCTTTCTTTTCTTTTCCAAAAAGTAACAACCCTGAAGACTCGTCAGAGCTTAAATATGGTTTTTCTAGAAGGGGAATCCTGAGCGCCCATTGAAAATATGGGTGCGAAACACTGTCGTCGACGAATACGAGCGACTTCTTCGGCTCGATTAAGAAATAACTGTGTAACTGTACACCACTTCGTCCCGGGTATCATGAATGCAAATGTGAAAAAGAAAACCGTCTGATCCGCCGTCTCAACTACAGCATTACCGCAGCTCCGATGCTCAACAAGCACAACCAGTGCGCGCCGTCCCTCCAACTGAGGGTGCTCCCGGCCCCGAGCCCGTCGCCGGGGGTGGCCTCGGGCTTGGTACCGCTGAGTCCGTCGTCGTTGCCGTTGCCGGACTTGACCTCAATCTGCGTCGAGTCGCCCGGGGCAAAGAGCACACCAACAGAGTTTGCGGCCGTGGCGTTGATCTCCTGCTCGCTGAGGAGAGGGTTGTTCAGCACATCGCAGGAAGGGCGCGAGTCTTTCTTCGAGATGCTGTTGGTGACTGAGATGGGAACATCGAAAATTGTGTAATGATCTTCGTTGTTGAGGCGGAAGTTTTGGCGGATGGAGATCTGTAAAACGTCTTAGCCCGTGGCAATGGCGACTCGAGCTTGCTTCTCACGTTATAGGCACCGCGGTCGCTGCCTGTCGACGATGGCTGCCCATCGCCAACAAGGCAGTCAGGCCAGATCCAGTTAACATGCTTCACCGTGCTGCCGGGCTCCTGGAACATGATGTCGCCCAAGCTAGCGTTGTTGGCCGATGCCGTGCCGTTGGTGATGGTAAAGTTACGACCGGTGGTGTAACTGTACAGGAACATGGTTACGTTGAAGATCTTTGTCGGGCTGTCCGATGCATATGGCGGCAACGGCATCTTGCCGTTCGTCGACACGTCTAACGCGACATGGAGGTTGTCTGGCTTGGGTCAATACTGTAACGTTCTCCTTCCGCGACGTCTTGATGGCTTACCTCCTCCGAGAGGTGTACCGGGCTGTGGGGCATCGAGAATGACTAGACCAGGCGTGAAGATCTGGCCGTTGGCAATCGTGAAGTTTTGGGCCGAGCCGGAGACCGCGAAAAGAGACAGCAGCGCCGCTGCATACGAAGAAGAGGAAACCATCCTGAGGAGGAACGATGTGGCGCTGCGTCGCAGCTGACTGGTGAGAACAGAACTGTGAGTCGCACAGAAGATCGGAAGAAATGCACAGGAAGTTTCGGACGGACGGGCTGCAGTTGGTATTTAGGCCACCTGAAGCATCCAAGACTCTGAGCTGAACAGGGTCCTGGATTCAGCGGAACGAAAGAAAAAAGTGGGAATGCGGCACTAAATCAGAGGATATTTCGATGCAATCAACTCAGGAAATGAAATGAGGGTTTAGCCACGGCGGAAGATGGACGGGGATATGTAGACTGAGAGGGTGGGAGGACGGAAAAGCAGGGCCAAAACAAAAATCCCAAGAGATTGGGACGTCAGCAGGTAGGCATTGGCTCGTCTAAAAGAGCCAACTCTTGCAGAGGCAAAAAAAAAGTCTGGAACCTCTCATCCGTGCCGTAAACACCTCCTCGCCCGTTGACGGCGGCGATCCGACGTGAGGAACTGCAAATAACCTTGATCTTAAGACCCTCGCAATCATGCCGTGTTCTTCCCGAATGACAGCACCGGGCCAGGCGTTCCATCTCTGCGGGCAACAGCACGATACGCGATGCCCTTTCGTCTGTGCATGACGTGGGTAAGGGCGAGGCGAATGGTCACGAAGGAGAGAAGCAATAACAGCTGGGAATTAAGATGGCAGCCCTGCGGGTGTCGAAGGGTGTGACGCCCTCTTGATGCAGGGCAGGTTTCAGATTGAACAGGCGTAAAGAGGACGGATTCCTGCAGTATCCATTGCGGTGTTTCTCGAGGCGAGTTGGCGAGGTCGACTGGCCGCCCCCGTCCGATGGAAATGAGACGTTAGGAAAGCACGGGCCAACGCTAAATTAAACCAAGGTGTTATTCGGTGCCCTCGGCATCGCTTCCCGCCGCCAAGGAGCTTCCATCCATTCTCGAACAACTACAGTTCAATCTCACAAGACCTCTCGATCTGATAAGGAGGACGTCGAAGTCAGAACTGCCCCCAAAATCAGCATCTTCTGCATCGCATCCGTGAAGTCACGGGTCCCATCTCCTTGGTCTAGTCTGCTTTCGCCTTCGCCTTCGCCTCGGCAAGAAGGTTTTCTTTTGCTTCGAGTCCTGCTACCGCTATGTCTTCGTCGTCAATAAGATGGCTCTTCGCGGTACGACAGACGCCTCAAGGTGCCCTGGCGAGGGGAGCGTCGTAATCAACCAACCAACCGAGGATCAGAGCATCTGCAACCCTTTTGGCAGCGATCCAACTACAAAACTAACCCCGATCCTTCGCGACCATCCGCATCATGATGTTTGCTAACTTAGACAACCACTCGCTGAGCTTTCAGAAAAGATGCCGCGACGCAGAAAGCTTCCGAAAGAGTCGAGTCTCTTTGTCCCCGGCAAGCTTCCGAAGAATGCGTTTGCTCGCATACTGCCGCCCGAACTCGTCCTCGTTGTTCTCAGCTTCCTGCCGACTGAGGCGGTCTTTTCATTCGCTCTGACCTGTCGCTTTTTCTATGCGTCCTTCTTTCCCAATTCACGAACCCTAGACCTCGACTCGAAGACCGCACTTCTCACTCTTCTGGAAAGGGACATACCGAATCTTCTGGTTTGTCATGGCTGCACCATCCTTCTCCATTGGAAGCAACAGGATTTCAACCCGGATCCGGACAGCACCAGTATCGGACATCAGTGCTCGCATGTTGTGCCCGCCACGTTTTTTGCGCCCCTCGGCTACATCAACCGCTTGGAATATGCGAAAGCACGACTGGTCATGAACCGCCATCTGTATGGATCCTCGCATGGGTTGCCTGTGGAGATGCTCAACTGGGACGGTCATGGCAAGTTGTTCTTGGACGGAGACCACTTCAAAGCCGCCACAGCCGCTTGGCGGGCGCGCATCACCGGCGACAGCCGCCATGTGATCTTTGCCAAGATCGACTACACACAGACTTGGCGCGCGCGCATCGTCGACGACGAGCTCTACCTAGCCATATTCCAGACAGCATATCATCCAAGCAGCCAGATCGAAAATATTGAGACGTGCCTCAGACACCGCTTCGGTAGGATCTGCCGCCATGTCACCATATGGAATATGCGCGACCCCCCTCCAAACTGGATCACGATCACACGAGACACGGCTGAGCCACCCCACTTCGCCGCCTACATACACCACAATACGATTCTTTCATGCCCGATATGCTTCACGGACGCCCAAGTAAATACCACATGGTGCAGCATACGCGGGCAGTGGTCTGTACAGATGACCACATGGCGGCAGTTCGGAAAATGTCGCTCGCCCTCCGATCCCAAGTGGAACAGCTTTGTATCGGGGTTCCGGGACTCGTGGGTTCCAAGGGAACGTGGTCATCCGCCGGGAGCCATCAGACATAGATGGAGCAGAGGTGACGAGGTGCTACTGGGCATGGAAGGGGTCTTTCTAGACGCCCCCCTTTCTGGTTATCAAGGTAGTTGATTTTGATGAAATAACTAAATTATCGACCGGTAATAAATGAAATAAATTCTGTGACGATGTCTTGTCCATCTTCGACTCCTACACCTGCCAATTTGACTTAGCTATCATATTGTGAGATTTGACGTAGGTCTCGGAAAGCAACCGCCCTCATCGTCCGTCACCTTATTTTCATTGTCTTCGGCGTTATCTTCATCCTCTTCGACGTACGTATAAGGGCTCGAACCAGTCCCGTGTAAGCAATCCGGGCCGCGAATGGTTGCAGATGCACAATCAGTATAAGACTGTATACATGACAAGCTCTGGCTTGGGATTGCCGACTCAAGCTGGTTAGATTTGTGATAACGAAAGCGGACTCGAAGTTGAGGCTGAACTCGATACGTGCAAGACAATACGAGCAAGCCTAGGTTGACCATCGTTTTGATGAAGTATCGGCGAATAGATTGAACTCGAGAATCAAAATTCATCGTATTGTCAAGTCAAAGGCAAGGCACATAACTCTAACAGAATGCCGACGCCCAAGTCCCTTTCTTGCCAGCCCAATTATCTATCAAAAGACCGCATTCCACATGATCTCATTCATCTCTTCGCCACGCTAAAAAGCTTTTTTCCATTTCCTCCTCTTACACGGCCGCAACTCTTCTGATGCTCCTCCTCGCGCCCTCGCCGCTGATCATGATCAGGCCCTCCATCTCCAACGTACGCATCGTCTCGTTGAAGTCGGCCTGCTCGACCGGCACGCTGGCACCCTCGCCAAGTCTTCTCGCGACCTCGCTCCACCTCACAGTCTGGCCGCCGCTGGTGAGCTCGTCGAGGAGATGGAGAACAGCCTCCTTGATCTCCTCCTTCCTGCGGCGGTCCGCGGAACTCGTGCCCTCAGTCAGCAGACTCATGTCGATACGACCCTGAGAGTCGGTGGCGGCGGTCTTGAGAGCAGAGCGGATGAGGCGGGCGGCTTCCTGGACGTCATGCTTGGTGACGGTCTCGGACAGACGCATCTTGGCGTGGGCCTCGGACAGACGAATCATGGATTCAAGCTGTCTCGTGGTGGCGGTGATACGCTTCTCTGCGGCGCGAACGTCCTGGCCGAGCTTGCGCATTTCGATGTACTGATCGACAAGCTCTTGTGCGGCATCCTGTGCGATGGTAGGGTGGATGTTGGAACGAGCATAGGAGATGTACAAAGTAAGGAACTCGACGGGCTGGAAACGGGTTAGCTTTCTTCAATAACACTGTGATGAGTCAACCTACGAGAATGTCTTCCTTCGTGTGAGCGGAATCAGGCTTGTCCTCCAAGTACAGGGAGAGAAGATGGCGAGCAAGGCGTGAATCGCTCTTCTCATCGACGCGGTCAAGGATGAGGTAGACCAGGTCGAAACGAGACAGCAGTGTAGGAGGAAGGTCGATGTTTTGAGGAACAGGGAGGTCGGGGTTGTAGCGACTGCCGATAGGGTTGGCAGACGCCAGGATACTTGTGCGGGCGTTGAGAGTGGTGATGATACCAGCTTTGGCGACGGATACCGTCTGTTGCTCCATGACTTCGTGCAGAACGGAACGGGTGGCTTCCGACATCTTGTCGAACTCATCGATACAGCAGACACCACCGTCTGAGAGAACGAGAGCACCAGACTCGAGGACGAGCTGGCGCGTCTCAGGGTCTCGTGTGACGTACGCAGTCAAACCGACGGCAGAAGAACCCTTACCGCTGGTGTAAACTCCACGAGGGGCGATCTTGTGCACGTAAGAGAGCAACTGAGACTTCGAAGTAGACGGGTCACCACACAGCAAGACGTTAATGTCTCCTCTGTATCTGGGACTACCACCCTTCGAGAAAGTCTTGTTGGTGCCTCCAAACAGCTGAAGAAGGATACCCTTCTTGACGTCGTCCATCTCGTAGATTGATGGCGCGAGCGAACGAGAGAGCAAGTCGTAGATGTCGCTTCTCGCGGCAGTCTCCTTGATTTGCTCCTCCTCCTCCGGGGTGATCTTGCGAGTCTCCTCGACGTTTTCGTCGCCAGTCTCGCCCTCGTCACCCTCAACACCGAGAGTGCTAGCGTCGACACCCATCCTCTTCTTGTCCACCTTGCCAACGTGCAGAACGTCGACGTACGTCTTGTACACACTCTTGATAGTTCTTTGGCGAGGGTTCACCCGCACAGGGCTGACTCGGAAGATACCGGTGAGCTGGACACGGTCACCTGCCTTGCAGAAATCCACGAGTTCGTTGTACACGCAAACGGAAACAGAATGAGGTGTTTGGCCAGCAGGAACAGCGTCAGGAGTTTCCTGCAACTTGATGACCTGCTTGTCCTCAAATGTGCAACGGTTGTGGACGATCTGCATGGAGTTCTTGGAGGCACATCGCTGTCGGGGGCACTCAGTGGGTTCGCGGATCTTGCCACGGTCAAGACCAACGTTGATGCAGTGCCCGCAGACATTGCAACGGAAGAAAGCCTCCTTCATATCGGGAATGACTGGTGTAGTTCGGATGACCAAACCCTTGACAGCGATAAGACGGTCCATGTCTGAAGGGTTCAGGTCTCGAAGATTTGTGGTCTTTTCAAGACCGTAAGGTCTGACCATGTAAACCGTCTGATGGACCTCGTCTTCCTTCGAAGGTTGACCGTGAGATGCGCGAGGTGTTGGGGCATCTGAAGGTGTATCAGGGTGGTCTGAGCTGGGGAAAGCAGGCTCAGAGCTCAGGGCCGTGTTGCTTCGTCTAGAGACATCACCGGCACCGTTCTGAGAAGCCCGTTGCCTCGCATCCTCGGCTCTAGCCAATTCACTCATCAAATCGTGCACAGACTGATCCATGACGGGAATGATCTCTTGGGGATAAGCTTGGATGTGATGCCAAAGCATGCGAGTAGGCGGGTAGGTACTCAGGTCGGCGACGTTGAGGGTCATTCTGGTGGTACCCAGAAGAAGCATGGTCTCGAGAGCTTCCCAGTACGGCTTGGATTCGGCGTCAGGGGCGGCTCGAACTTCTGCTTCAGACCACCCATCTCTGTAGTACTGATACTTCTTTGTGAAATTCCTCACAAAATCCTTGAAGGCCGCGAAGGTATCGTCGAGCGAAACCGTCGTACCCCAGATAGTGCTTTGCTGTTCAGAAGAGCCTGGTGCATCAGAGCCGGGTGCATCTGAGGTGACTCTACCGGAGGGGTCCAAGACAATGCGTCGGCGCGGGGTGCTGAGACCCTCAGAGTGAATGTCACCTCTTCGTGAACGAGCGCGATCAGAGACGAAGAGACCGCTGGCATCGCTGCGCAAGTCTGATTGTGGCGGTCTTGGTGCTGAGCGGCCGGGACTAGAACTGGGATCGTATCGGATGGGCGAAGAGTCTTTGATTGATGTCAGTATCAACACTTGTTCTCAGGCTTCGCATATTCATACCTCTCGCCATTCCACTGGCACGCGGGGTCCTGTCACCGTCACCGGTTGACTGGGTGTCAATGTCTTGACGCAGCGGTGAGCTAGGAGGCGGGCCGACATTGGTGTTCTGGCTGCTGCTACCGCCCCGCAGAGGGGAAGAAACATCGCCATTGGCAGGCGCATTGCGACGACTGCTAGCCGATTGCGCAGGAGAAGACTCGTAAAAAAGAGGGCTCGATGCGAGTTGCGAGCGGCGGGTTGTGCGAGGGGTTTCGGCCGGGCGCTGCTGCTCTTCCGCAGGCGCGGGGCTGCTTCGGCCGGCATCTGGGTTATTTCTCGTGGACCGGCGGGGAGTGCTGCCGGCCGTCGAGCTTCTCGTCGACCTTTTCGTGGGCGAAGACATCTTTTCTGAGTTGTTGATGACTTCACGTCGTTGTCTTTGCGGAGAATTGTGTCGACGTAGGAGGCGGATGCGGGATGCGACAAAAGAAGTGCGTTGCTGGGCAGAAGGGAGATGTGGAGAGCACTCCCCTAAAATTGAACAGAGGTGGGTTGAAAGGCAATTTACGCGCTTTCGCGTTCTGGAAAGAAAGGGGCGCGTTTTCGCGTAAAGAGGTGGTCCGTGCATGTGCGTATCGCAGCTGCCAGGGTGGCCTCCACTCCGCGATCCCTGCTATCCGGCCATCGGCGAAACCACCCACCGACTTGTACCGATTCTGGGCTGCTGAGGTGGTCAATTGCATCCCGTTAGAGCTCCTTACAAGGCACCGTGGACTTACAGCTTCGCGATACAACAAGTCCTCCAACAAAAGCGCATTCCCAGCGCAAAACACCACAGACGAAACCGCCAAGATGGCTCCCGGAATGTCCCTTTTCTCGGTCAATGCGATCCTCATCCTCAGCACAGAGGACGGATCGCGGTTATTCTCCAAGTACTACACCGCACCCCACCACGGCCCCTCGGCGACACAGAAGGACGGTATGCGCTCGTACTCTTGAAGCTGGCCTCGACCTTGGGACTGACAGATAGCTTTCAAACAGGAGTCGCCTCTCCGAGCAACCCCTACCCCGATGTCAAGTCCCAAAAGGCCTTCGAGAAGGGCCTCCTCGACAAGACGGCCAAGCAGACCGGCGATATCATCCTCTACGACAACCGTATCGTTCTGTACAAGATGGAGTCGGACGTCATGATGTACGTCGTCGGCGGTGTTGATGAGAACGAGGTGCTGCTGTATAACGTCATTCTGGCCCTGAGGGACTCTCTTCACCTGCTCTTCAAGTAAGTTCACAGCTCTTTCCCTAGCTCCAGAGCTTCCCTTCGTCTAACAAACCCCTGCAGGCAATCTGTCGACAAGCGCACAATCGTCGAGAACTACGACCTCGTTTCCCTCGCCATCGACGAGATCGTCGACGACGGCATCATCCTGGAGACCGACCCCACCATCATCGTGCAACGAGTTAGTAAGGCACCGGCGCAGGATGTGGACCTCCGTCGTATCGATCTCAGCGAACAGGGTGTCAACAACCTCGCCCAACTGGGCAAGTCGAAACTGGCGGACTGGCTGCGACAAGGATTGTAAAGGGGTTGTGTAAGAGAGAAAAGGAGTCGGCGACACGAGAACAGACGGGTTGCACATGGGAGTTTTATGGTGGCTTCTAAAGGGAACGCATCATTAAAAGTACAGTCCCGTTGAGGGATGGTCATGACGAATGCTCAAATTTATGCCTAAATTCTATTTGCTTTTCCCCAGCCCCGTCTATGCCCGAATTTCGGAGGCAGCCTTGCGGAGCCTGTTCATTACCGCCTCTGCAATGTCGTTTCTGTCGTCGATACCATCTACGAAGATGACGCTGGCGCCCCTTCTATCCAAATCTCTGAGCGCCGAAAATAAGCCCTGCGCGATCCCTCTAATATCGTCTCCCAAGTCGATGTCAAGCACCGTAGCCATAGGCCTGTCCTCGGCATCTTGAAGCTCGCCTTCTTGGACTTCGTACGTCGCTTCATCCCTCGCGTTCGCCTCCGCAGCACCGTCTACGTGGACCTTGGAAACCTGGAGCGCACCGTGGTGCAAGCCTCCAGCAATCTTCCACCTCCTCGTCCGGATGATTCCTATCCTGACAGAAGCCGCACCGTCGCCGTTTACCGCCGTGGCATCTCCATTCTGTTGGAGCAGCGCCTTGTGCAGATCCTCCGCCACGATGCCCTCGGCACCCGCTGGGCAAGCATACTCGTAGAGCACAACCTTCGCCTTGGGGCTGTAGTGCTTGTACTTCATACCCGGTGCCCGCGGCGCCGACTTCCCCGTCTCGCTCTCGTCCTTGTACCCCTTGACAACGCCCTCCCATCCAGGACAGCTTCGCAGCTCCTCCATACTAACTCCTCCCGGCCTCAACACCACCGGCGGGTCACAAAGACCATCCACGACTGTGCTCTCCACGCCGACTTGGCACGCTCCGCCGTCTAGAATAAGCTCAATGCGGCCCTCTAGGTCGTGGAAGACGTGCTGCGCGGTAGTCGGCGAAGGCTTAGTGGACGCATTCGCTGAAGGCGCAGCCAGAGGGACGTTCGCTAGCTTGATGAGCGTCAACGCCAAAGGCGATGAGGGCATCCTCACACCGAAGCTCGTCAACCCCGCCGTGACTTCAGGCGCGAGCTTGCTCGGCGAAGGGTTCTTGAGAAGAATCGTCAGGGGTCCGGGCCAGAACTTCTCAATGAGCGGTTTGTAAATCTCAGGAATCGGGTCCTTGGCAGCATCGCCGTTCGTCTCGCGTGATCGCAGCAGACCTCTGAGCATGTCGAGATCGCAGACGTGGGATATCAGCGGGTTGTCCGAAGGCCGGCCCTTGGCCGAGTAGATGCCCTTTACAGCATCGCTCCTGGTGGCGTCGGCGCCCAGGCCGTAAACCGTCTCGGTTGGGAAGGCCACGGGCGTGGCCTCGGTGCGCATGTACTCTGCCGCATCACGGAGGGCAGTTATTGAGTGGCCTGAAGCGGAGGAGCTAATCTGCCAGGTGCTGAGTCTCTCAGGCCCCGTGTTGTTCGTGAAGCTACCCAGCCCTTGGGCGTCTACTTTGACGATGCGGGTCTGCATGGTGAATTGTTGTGTCGAGAGAAGTCGTATGTGTGTGCGGCCAAAAGTCGATATTTCTGTCGCGAGATGGCGACTTATACGATGAGTGAGAGCCAATGTGAAAGGCTTGAGATATCGTGAGAACTCAAAAGTCAATTTCAGAAGAAAATTAGAGTTGGCAGAGAAAGAGGGTCCGGGGTAGATATCTCCGATGCTGAAGAAGGATCTAGATCGTCGTCATTGGGATAAAATGGGTATCAAAAAGAGAGTATTGTGTGGATGCGAAAGATTATCAGTTGAGTCATATCAAAAAAATCTTTCTTGGACGTGAGACTTAGTGCAATCGAGGTGAGCGGTTGTGGCGGCGATAATTCCGAATCCAGCCCGGCGGTCGGGGTTTGCCTGCCAAGCCCACTGAGAGAACGCTGAGGTCACACACTGCAACCGCTGAGGTCCCCTCCCGCTGATCGGGGTTTAGTGGAACCGGTGATGTGGTTTCGGTGGAGATTGGCTTCCTTCAGGTGCTGCGCCGTTCCCGTCCCACATGTCGGCGTGCCGGCCGAAAAACCGGCGTACCACCGGCCGGCAACAACGCGGTTCCTAGCCGTACCAAAAGCATGAGGCGAGGGATGAAGCCGAACGAACGGATTTGTTTGGCTTACTTCAATCCTACAAGACTGTCGCGTCATTTCCGATGTCCCTCCTAAAGATCGATGACATCTGAGTGCCGTGCAAGACTCAAGTCTACAAGGATCCGTTTGTCCAACGGGACCAGAAAACTGAGGACCTCTAAACTCGGACATACTTCATAACAATATCGTAGCATTTTTTAATGGTTCTTCGTCTACGACATCTACCTTTCCCGGCAGATGTCTCATGATCCGCGCGCTCTGGAAAACATGTCATCTCTCATAGTCGTCCCTTCAAACTTTTCTGTATTCCAACCGTCGCTCGGGGAAGGCCTCGCTCTCCGTATTTCCTTTCCCCAATCCTCTCTAGCTCTGTCATGCTCTACGCTCTCTCGTCGTGAGCTGTCTAGCCCGCCGCCTCTCATCCTCAGTGAGCACCCAGATCATGCCGTCCTCATCCTCGTCGTCCGCCGCGGAGATCTCCTCCCACTCTTCCTCCTCCATGTTTGCCACCATCAGAATCTGCGACACGCGCGCAAATAGCTCCCTGACGCCGTAGTTGCCTTTGGAGACCGTACTGATGACGCTGGAGAAATCGCGCTCCATGCGGATGACGCCGTACGCGTTGGCTCTGGCGTCCCAGACCCTTCGCTCGAGAACGCGCGCGAGGTATCGCGCCGTGAGATCATGCAGCGTTGTGAAGGTGTGCGGCGTCATGAGGCGCGCGATGGGCTTCATGAGGAGATCCCAGCCGTGCTCAAAGCGGCGGGAGACCTGGTCGAGCACCTCTTCCTCGTCTTCGTCATTCTGCTCAGCGTACTCCGCAAGCTCTTCTTCCGAGAGGGAGTAATCTATGTCGCGGAATGTTTCCAGTAGCACGGGGCGCAGTCGCGGCTGAACTACTTGCTTGAAGAGGACCTGGATGCCTTCGTTGAGGAGCTCGGTCGTCTTCGTGGTGAACGAGCTGTGCAGAGTGTTCAGGGCGGACGTTGCAAAAGTGACGTCCTTGTCGAAAGGGAAAGAGTCCTTCAGTGATGGCTCGTGAGAGTCCCCATTCGCCTTCGTCGGGTCGTTGGCGCTGCCCACGTTGCTCGTTATAATGCGGCCAAGGTACTCATTGGCCGTGTCAAGACTGTTGATCAGGACAATGAATTGGATGATTCTGTCCTCTGGCGGGAAACCACCCTGCACAATGGGCTTGGGGTAGGACTCATCGCGCATCTTTCGTTGGATCATGCCGATGAAATCAGAGCTGAGAACTCGTTGAATTGTGGGAACAACAGACGCGATAATATCCCTCTGTGATGTTGATGTTGACTTTTGTATAACAGCGCTGACGACGTACATGACATCGTCGACGGCGGAAATGATGAATGGCTGGTTGGTATCGATCTGCTTGCTCATGCTGAGAGACAGGTTGCTTGCAGGAGACTCATCTAGCTGGAAGGCCTTCTCGACCGATCTCCTGAAGAAGAAGGTCATCATGGTATTATATGGGAATGTTAGCTTGTCTGAAATCTTGCGTCTGAGATTCGACTTGATAACTACGTCCGGCATGGAAAGCGGAGCGTCTTCAGGAACAGAAGGCTCCTATGAATTTCGTTAGCAGGCATGAGCGCAATTAAGGATGACAGTAACCTACCCGTGTTTTTCCTGCTAAAAAGCGGGAGTATAATGTCCAACGTCCTAACATAACGGCGATCTCGCTGAGAATACCGTCGACCTCCCTCATGTTGACGCCTTCGTCCTCGCTGGCAGGTTGGTTTGCGCCTGCGCCCATTGCAGGGGAGTTGACCCGCGGCGTCCCGCCTCTTTGCGGAGGCAAGAAGCTCTGCACCAGGAATGAGAAGGGATAACTCTTGACGTCCTTTAGTCGGCGGTCAACATCTCGCTCGTCGCTCCATGAGTCGAGGATGATACCACCCTGCACGTCGGCTTCTTGCTGCAGCCGCTCGATGACGCGGACCATCTTCCCAGAACCGTAGTGTAGTTCGACGAGACCTCCATGTCCATCAACAATGCGCGCGATGTGATCGAACAACCTTGTAAGGGCGTTGGCGTAGAAGAAGCCTTCTTTCCTGGCCTGCACACCGGGTCCTTCTTTCAGAACAGACCTTGCCGTGCCGGCCACGCCTTGACAAACATACCGCCCGTACACATCGAGACCGACATCACCCCTCCCAATCAACGGGAAAAGCTTGAAGAACCTCGTGACCTTGGCACCGTCACCTTCCTTGGTTGCCTTCTCGAACTCCCTGAGGAACAGCCCACACAAGCTCTCCTTGGCGTTTTCGAGTGTTACCCAAGGCGGGTCGGGTACCTCGACAGACGGCACAATACTCGATGCGAACTTGCCCTTCGTAATGTCCTCGGGTACTTGCGCAGCGCGCGCGAGATACGCCGCGGCGGCCTCCCAGTCCTGTGGGGCGCCCATACTGCCGACGACGCCCTGAACGCAAGCCTTGAGCTCGACGACCTGCTTGACGACCTCGAGCGTATCCTCGACGCGGCTCTTCTCCAAGTCCAGCTCTTTGACCTTATTACTCAGCCGCCCCGCCGTGTCTGCCGCCGTGGAGAGCATGTCGTTACCGATGGACCGCGCAGCGATGACCTGGCCACCGAGCCCCGCGCGCAGCAGGTCGAGGCGGCCCAGCTCGCGGGCGAGGTCGGCCTGGGAACCGAGGAGGGCATCGAGACGGCTCGTGATGGTGGATTCGCGGGCGTGGAGGGCGTCTAAGGCGGCGCGCACCTCGGCGACGCTCGAAGCGGCGTAGATAGAGGTAGTGTTGGAGCTACTGCCAGGTCGGGCAGCTGCGGCGACGTGTGCTGCGCTGTCGGCGGCATTGTCGCTGTCCGCGCGATGGGAGGAGACGCCATTCGTGAGGTTTGACATTGGCGCGAGCTGGCTAGGAGGTGCATAGCTACCTGAGCCTGCCAGCAGAGGTAGGGTGGGTGTAATTTGGACCGTGGGATGGTTGAGGTCGAGGTGAAGCTGTAGGTGCTAGCTGGCCCGAATTGCAAGGTAGCACTCTCGGTGAACCCTGCACACCGATAAGCGAGCCAGGTGTAGGCGCAGGGAGGAAGGCAGACAAGGATTGGGCTGATGTGCAAACTGGCAAGTTGAAAATGAAATCCCAAAGCGACATAGATTGGAAATTCAATGTGGTTTTTGGATAGGCCGTTAATTATTTACCGTAATCAAAGTTTACATATATGCTTAGGCCGTTGACAAGCACAAGTCGCCTGGGCTGTTTCTTCTTACACGAACGATGCTCCCACCTCTACACTGCCTGACTGTATCCACCGGCCAGCCTCCGTCTGGCATATTTCCAGTATTTTCTAAATTCATCCGCCCAAAACACCGTGCTGCAAAGCATCAATAGGCCGATTAGATCGAAGAGACCCAACGCTTCTGTTTGGAAGACTTCTTGTAACCAGGGGAAGTATATAACGAGCAACTGGCCCAGGATACTGAGCGAGACCGCCCAGTTGAAAAGTGTATTTGAGAAAAGTCCAACCTCGCCTCGCAGAATCGATTTTGACTCCGAGCGGCAAGCCAAGGCATTGAACATGTCGAAAAATACGAAGCAGGTGAATGTCATCGTTGTATCACGACGGTTCACCTCTCCATCCGCGAGCATCTCACGGCTGTAGATGAGCATAGTGCCTATCATGATGATAGATGCCGAAGTGAGGACCCGATATAGCACAGCTTTCGTGAGAACTGCGTCGTTTCGCTTGCGAGGTGGACGGTTCATGACGTCGGCGTCTACTGCTTCCACGCCAAGTGATTGAGCGGGAGGTCCATCCATGATGATGTCTGAGATTTGTTAGTCTGATCCAATGGATACCTTAGAGAAGAAAGCTTACTGATCCAGAGAATCTGCATGGCATTCAGGGGTGATTTGAAGCCAAGCAGAGTGCAAAAGAAGACCAAAGACAGACCAGCAGCACTTGTGCTGAGTTGGAAAGTCAAGAAGTTTTGGATGTTGTTAAAGATACCCTTGCCCTCCTCGATCGCGCGGAGGATAGTCGAAAAATCATCATCTGTCAGAATCATATCCGCAGCCTCTTTTGCGACGTCAGTTCCGTGTAAACCCATGGAAATGCCGATGTCGGCCCGCTTCAACGCAGGGGCATCATTCACACCATCGCCAGTCATGGCGACGATATCGCCTCGGGCCTGGAAAGCACGAATGATCTTGAGCTTATGGTCAGGATTGGTGCGAGCAAAAATCGTCGTGTGCTGGATCGCGTGAGACAGCTCCTCCTCAGACATCGCATCAACGTCCTCCCCCCTCAGGACGGGGCGTACGGCGCCCTGGCTGGAGGTGTGCTCACTCGGCTTTGCAATTGGCATGCCAAGTTGTCTGCCAATCGCTACTGCGGTTGTCTCAGCGTCTCCGGTGATCATGACAACCCTGACGCCTCCGCGAAGCAACTTTCTGATCGAGCGGCCAACTCCTGGCCTGGGCGGATCACTCATACCAACCAACCCAGCAAAAGTGAGTCCTCGATATGTGTCATCCTGTTGAGGACGAGGGCTCCCGGGGGTGCTGCTACGGGTAGTCGGCGCCAATGTCGATCTACCCTTAGAAGATCTCGACACGGCACCACTGGCGAAAGCAAGCACTCGAAGACCCTTCGCGGCCATGGCCTCTGCCGCTTGAATGGCTTCGTCGCGACGCGCGGAATCGAGAACGATTTCTCGCCCATCGCGGGTGAGATACGTGTCGCATGCGTCGAGGACCCTGTCGATTGCACCTTTCATGTATGCGAATTCCTTAGAATCGGTTCCAATAGTGACGCCCATCCATTTACGTTCGGAACTGAAAGGGGTCTCGCTGAGGCGCGGACCAATAGACTCGCGAACGTCATGCTCTTTGAATCTGTCCAAGAGATCAAGCATAGCTACGTCCGTAGGCTGTCCGCACCAGCGCGTAAAGGTCGAAGCAAAGTCAGCTCCCTGAGTTGACGAAAGCACGGCCCTGGCTGCTGCGCCATTCTCGGTGTATTGCTGGGCGAGACGGCCATTGTTTGCGATGTTTCCAATTCGTAAAATGCGCAGAGTAGCAGAATCAGGCTTGGTCTCCGTAGCTTCGTCGTCAGAGTCAACATCAATGGCATCGTTGGCGCCGAAGTACCACATCTTGGCAGTAGTCATATGGTTCATCGTGAGAGTTCCTGAGAGATGTCAGCAAAGTCACTCATGAGACAGCATGCGTCTTACCTGTCTTGTCGGTGCATACGACATTCACCGAGCCCAGAGTCTCTACTTTAGGCATCCTACGCACAATGGCATTGTGGCGGGCCATTCTATGAACGCCGAGGGCCAGGGTAACAGTCACGATGATTGGTAGGCCTTCTGGGATGGCTGCAACAGCAAGAGAGATCGAAATAGTAAAGATCTCCAGCAGTTTCTTGCCCTGCAACCAGCCCACCAGCGAAATCATCCCAATAATGACGAAAGACACCTTGCTCAGCTGAGAGCCAAGGTCATCCATGGATAACTGGAGGGGCGAACGGGGGCTTTCGGTGCCAGAAACGCTCGTCGCAATGGTTCCGAAATTCGTGTTTCCACCTGTTGCGAACACAATTCCCTGGCCGTGACCGGACCTCACCAAGGTCCCCATCCAAGCAATGTTGTTCTCGCTGTTCCCACTAGCATCCATGCTGTCAGACAACGCAGACGGGCTCGGGAGTTGAAGCGAGTTCGCGCCGTACGCTGGCGAGAGTATGCCGCGGGTTTTTGGCTCTGCGGTGATTCTCACTGGCTCGTTCTCGCCAGTCAAATTGGACTCGTCGATGGTCAAGTCCGCGGCCTTGGTAACACGAATATCGGCTGGGATACGGTCGCCCGTAGTGAAGTATACCAGGTCTCCCGGAACCAGTTGCGAGGCCATAACCTTCGACGATGTCGCCTCGAGCATTTCTTCTCCCGGCGTGCTTGATGCGACCGACTCATCTCCATCCATCGGGGGCTTCGGTGGCCAAGTAGGGGTTCGGGCACTGCCTGGTGGCTTGTTGGTAGCTGATCGAACCAGGTGGGCGTGGTTCGGGACCAAATGACTGAGTGCTTCTATCGACTTTTCCGACCTGTATTCCTGCACGAAACCAACCGTGACCACAATAGTAACCGCTACGGTGATGCTGACTGCATCGTCCATGTTGCCCAGGAAGATGGAAGCTCCAGCTGACACCAGGAGGAGCATGATGAGGGGTTCCTGGAACTGTTTGATGAATCGCAACCAGAGCGGTTCTGGTGGTTCATGAGGAATTTCGTTCGTTCCCCAATCGCGCAGTCGATTCAAGGCTTCGGCGGCTGAGAGACCGTGGGTAAGAGAGGTTTGGAGCCGGCTAGCGGCTTCTGCTGCCGTTATGAAGGAGAACTCGTCGGCAACGCTCTGCGGACCACCATTATTAGCTGAATGCAGCGAAACTATAGGATTTCAAGGGTATGCTCCATACTCGTGACTGAGCGGACGTCGTCCGAAAGTGTCCCGGCCTCTCTTGCGATCGTTCCGCCTCGAGAGGCTCCATCGACAAACTGGTCGTGCCTGGCGCCTTTGCGGCCAGGGGGAGCAGGTATTCGCCATCATCGTCGGAGGCTTTCCGCTTGTGCCACGGCCACTGCATCTCTGCGAATGGCAGGCAAAGTACGTCGATCACGACCTTTCAGTGATTGTAGGACGCCCAAATACCGATCATTTGTCACGGGGCCGAGCGAAAAGGGGACATGCGCCAAGGTGGGACAAGTCGTCGTCGGGTCGGGGGAAACGGTCTCGTTCGGAGGACAGAGAGCCCTTTGTCGGCAAGGTATCAATTGGAGAGAGCTTGGTCCGAAGACATAGTTTCGTGGGCGCTGTTGACAGGTAAAGGAGACCGGATGTCGTGGTAGAAATTGAGAAAACGTATGCCTTTCTGCCAGGGTAGCAAATGCTAGGCCTAGAAATCTGAGGTGGTCCCCAGGTACAGGGCCACAGGGCGTGTGCGAGCGCGTCTCTGGGGCGGGTCCGTGGTTATTGGACAGGGGAGCCCTGGAACGAGGACTCGGGAGCGAAGTCGCCGCTCCGCAGGTTCCAGTGGAGAGACACCCGACTGTAGTACCATCCATCGCAATAAGCATTTGATGCCGTGTTCGGACGTCAGACAAGTGCATCATATGCCGGTAACGTGCCTGTCTCGTGGCTGCAGCACATTGTAGAGTCGTCATTACAATTCGGGAGTCTATATCTAGGTGCGTTAGGGTATTTGCTACGCCCTATACTGACTAGCGAGATCTCTCCTACCGCTGGGAAGTGCGCGGATGACTGTAAGTTGTGCAAACAAGTAAAGTTGTACTCCGATGTGTTGGAAGTCTCCAACCTATTTTTACCAGGATTTCTGAGGGCAACCAAGCAAGGTTATCTCACAATTTGGACGAGCTCTTCCGACCAAATCGGGTTAGCGCTGTTGCTGCCGTAACCCAGGCTCAGCAAACGTCCCGTCTAGAGCGTGAATTTACGTCTTATCTATGACCTGGAATAGTTTCGCGGTGGCTCTATTCGTAACACTTGAGTCTACTGAGATGTTTATGAAAAGAAGAATCTAATAACTATTGGACTTCCTTCGACATATTAACGAAGCCGCCCGTTTGAGGGTTTGGATAGTAGCGCTCTGTCTCCTTGAAACCCAGTGATCTGTACAGCGCGATTGCAGCCTTCATTGAATCGAGAGTGTCCAACAGTGCCTCGTGGTATCCTTGTTCTCGAGCAAGTCGAAGAACTTCCGTGACTAATTTCTTCGCGATATTTCTCCCTCGTGCTGACGGATACACATACAGCCTCTTCAATTCGCAGTATTTTATGTCGGGTGCCCGGTTGATTCTGAATTCGGGTTGAAGCTCGATCGGTCTCATGGCAATGCAGCCAAGCACTTCGTCTGTGGCTAGATCGCGTGCCAACAGCAAAGCACCTTTTGGGGGCGCGTATTTTCCGGGCAAGGTGCTCAACTCGGTAGCAAAGTCTTGAAAGGTCAAATCCAGGTCCAGCCATTGGGCATATGCGCTGAAACAGTCTGAGATGGACTTAAGGTCCTCTGGAGAAGCGGCGGACCGGATGTAGAAGTTTGGTTTAGAGGAAAATGACATGACTTGGGTTTGGGATGTGGCAGCCGACTCGGTGATGGGTAGCAGTGCGCTTTGAGGTGATAGGCGTTGAACATCTGGCATCAGCTTCCCACGACAATGGTTCTTCATTCATGACAATAAATAGTATCCTGACCCTCGTGTCACTTACAGCGTCCTCGGGGGTTGCGATTAGTTGCCGAAAATGACTCAAAAAGGGCAATTCGTCCCGCGGTGTTGTGTACCTCATCAGAAGCGGTCAGTCGGGGCAAAACACAGTCGCCGCGTGTAAGTACACTTCCTCGTCGTCTCGATCTTCCGGTCGTTTTCTAAGTCCCCGAAAAACGAAGAGAACCTGAAAATCCATGCCAACATCCAGAAGTATCGTTTGTTACTCAGCCAAGTGAATCTCTTGGGAACAGGTCACCTCACCATGTCTGCGGGGCCAGTGAACAAAACGGTGCCCATATTGGGAAAGACGAAGTTTGTTGCGTGAGTAATCATCTACAGCTCAGGGTTAGTGCTTTGGAATAACAAACCAAAAAGATGCCGAAAATGTCATGCGAGAAAAGTTAAGTGCCCAGGTGGCCAACCCTGTAAAACTTGCGTGCAGTTGGATTGTCCGTCCGAGTGTGTCTATCCTAAGCGTGATAGGCAGATCAGAGTTAGTGAAAGGTGCGCAAGAACTTTCCTCTAAGTGGTTTTCAAACAGTCTCACTGATGCTGCTTCAAGTCACATCAACTCTATACTCCAACAAAACCAAGCATTACGAGCGCGTCTTCAGTCCATCCAAAACACAGAGGACGCCTCGAAGACACAGCACCGTTCGCCTCCTCGGGAGAACGGTTCCTCACAGCAAGAAGAACCAAGTCACAATCCGCTCCTCGGTGATACTCCTTGGTTTGTTCACCTGCCATCGTTCAATGTCCCTTTACGTGTTGGCGAGGGAGCAGATACCGCTTTCGCAACGCGGTTTCGTCAGGCTATCTCGCCGCATGCGAGGCATCCTCCACGCCTACAGTATCCGAATGAAGCCTTGATAATGTCCTTTTCCGAAATGGCAATTCAACCGAGTTCAACTCAAGCGCGTTTTCTAGTCCAGGCAGCGTTGGCCAGCATTGATCAGTCTTACCATATAGTGCGAAAGAGCTCGGTTTGGGCTCTGCTAGACCGCTTCCTTGAGGCGCCAATGAAGCTAGATTTGCTAGCGAAGTGTAAGATATACGCACTCTTTGCCTTGGGTGAGCTCTATTCAAGTCATTACAAAGCTCCAGAGAACAACCTCCCTGGACTTGCGTACTTTGGTATTGCTTTCAAAGCTCACGGCTATCTTCTCGAACGTCCATGCGTGGACAGTATTGAAACCACCTTGCTATTAGTAAGGCCCCATATCTCCCACGGATTGGTACATAGCTGAATGTCCAATTACTTAGTCTATTTACTCTGTTTGCATTAACAGATGGCATTCGGCATACTTCCTAGCCAACTCCGCCATTCGCCATTGTGCCAACATGGGCCTGCATTTCAACATACCGGAAGCCCACCTCCCAGACAAGGCAGCTAGAGAGCATCTGTGTCGACTGTGGTGGACTTCATACGTTCTTGAGCACACTTGTGCTGTCAATAGCTGGCAACTGATCCTGATTCAAGAGGACGAGATACTGGTCGACCTCCCTTCTAACGCACGCCTTTCTGATGCACAGAAGTCTGATTTCACAGACGCTGCTTGTATCTGTGCAACGATAAAGCTCGCGAGGCTGTCCCGGAGCATAGTCAATGACATTTATGGAAGAGGAAAGCATAGCGCATCTTTCTTGACCCGAGTCCAAAGAGGACTAAGGGACCTCAAGGAATGGTTCAAAACTCTGCCTGATCACCTAAAATTCAACTCAGAAGAGGGAAGCCTTTGGCCTGAACGTTTCAAGACATTGCACTTGCTATTCAACCAGGTAAGTGGGAGAAAATCACTACAAATGTGTCGTTGTGACGTCTAATAGAGTCAGTGCATGATACTCACGACTCGGCCACTTCTACTTCATTTGGTTCGATCACATGGGAAATCCAAACCTACAGAGACACCGAGTGCTTCCAGCCAAATACAGGTGGTCATTTATACCCTGGTGCAAGCGTGTGTTCGATCTGCCCGCCAGTCGTATGCCATTTTGACCGAATCATGGATTTCTGGGTCATTCAAACCCTTCGACTACACACGCACTCAGTATCTCTTTTCGGCAGCCACCATACTTGCGATTTCTGGCTTTCTAGATGGCATTGACGGTTCAAGAGACCGTGACGACTTTGACATGGCCTTCAAGTTGATGCAAGACCTCGTAAAGTCCGGAAGCGTTGCGGCTGCTGAGTTTCATCAGCACCTAGAGGCAATCAAGGTCGACATTCGCAATCACTCTGCAGAGAATAGAATGTCGGAAACCAGAAATGACCAAAGGCCCGAAGACTCACAGCCTACGACTGAGCAGCCGACGGCAGACTCGGGTTCTTCAGAGCCATGCCTGCATGTGGCAACGGAGGCCGCGGCGGCCGACATGGTTCTCGATGGGCCGTTCTTTGATGCTTTCCTGCAACGAGGTCAGCCAGATGCCGAAGATTTCAGCCTCTTGGATGGATGTCAGTCGGAAGATCTGTATTGGCCTTTATTTGACACCTCGTTGACGTAGCCGCTGGGAACTGTCCCAAGTACGATCTCAGCTTGGTTATACCAGCTCAATATAGCAAAGAAAATTTCAACGAAGGATCCTATTCATGTTGTACATGAGTAGAGTGTGTCCATTTGCAATGCTCTCGTTAACTCACACTCGTGATAACAGGGCAGCTTTGTGTGTGCTTCGTCAGAACGTGTTGAACGTCATTGAAGAAGCCACAGAATTTTCACCTCTCTATGTGTCGGTTGTGCCTCAAGGTGGGAATCCGCAGTTTGCAAAGACGTCTCGAGCTTGATCGTACAATTCCCAGTAGAAATCTTGATTTGTAGTTTCTATGTATGAGATACTAGACTGAGTGAAAGATTGGGAGTAAAATTTGCCTTGACGTTCTTAGATTGAGAGGTATCCTAATTGGCTGTGAAAAGAATGTTGGCTTACGCTTATTAAGTGGGCGGTTGTTCTTCCCTTTCTATGGCGATAAGCTGGTCCTTAAGGCGCTGGGAATAAAACATCTTCTTTCTGCTAGGAAGTAGACTCCGATCTAGTGGCACCTTGTGTAAGTTGATAGGATATAGTTGCCGTGTTATTGGCCCTGGATAGAACGTATCTCCCTTGGTTGTTGAATCCCCTGGGGAAGTCTAATAGCAGTTTAAAAATGGCTTTGCCCGTTTTCTATTTCACCCCATCCAGGTGAGATGCAGCAACATGAACTCCAGGGTGAAGGTAAGGGGAAGTCCAGACTCGAGTCCACAAGGTTTCTTGGACACACGGACTCGGAGCTGCAGGCAAGGTACATGGGCTTGCACAGCGGGCCTGTGGGAGGCATGTTACCTTACCTGACGGTAATAAGGTACCTGACGGTAAGGTCTCCGTACCTTGCTGAATGCACGGGGCAACGGCCTCCCTCAAATCAGCTTCCGGTTTGGTGTTCCTGACCGAGCTTAGCTAAGCTTGGCCCCACTGATCCGTACCTGCCGCCGGTTCCGACATGGTCGTCGGGACAGCAGATGGATGATTCAACAGTGGAGCAACGGCCACACGTGATGTGGCTGGTGCCACCAAATTCTGCGCGGACCAATCCCTGCCCCATATCCCAGCCCCGTCATTTTGCGTCCACTGGGCACCGGCGACGAGAAGACCACCGTACCTTGACTCCCCCCTCCTACTCATTTCCTCCATCTCCCTCATCGCCGCACATCGCGCTTTTGCACCCATCGCTATCGCTTCACTTGCGGTTTTCGTCCTTCGCGATCCAGACGATTTGCTTCATGTCGCCGCGACTCACATTTTGCGCGTGCTAGACTCGACTCCGACCGCTATATACCCTACGCGACCGATTTTGCACAATAACGCGTCCTCTTGTTTACCAGAGCAAGCTTCCATCCCCCCCTCCAACATTGGCGCGTGTCGCTATATAATACCTCAAGAGCAATAGCTTCTACTCTTTGCTCCTTTCACCTACCCATTCGCAACATAACGATATCGAGCCGCCGCCATGTTCTATTCGGACGCGCTCCTCGGCAAGAGCGGGCCTCTAGTCCGCGTCTGGCTCTCTGCCAACCTCGAGCGCAAGCTCTCCAAAACGCACATCCTGCAGTCCAACTTGCCCGACAGTGTAGAGGCAATCATCACACCTGGCCAGGCCCCGATGGCCCTTCGTCTCAGCGGTCAACTGCTGCTTGGTGTCGTCAGAATTTACAACCGCAAAGCTCGCTACCTGTTGGAGGACTGCAATGAGGCTTCCATGAAGATTAAGATGGTATGCCCCGCCCTTCGCGTCGTAGATGACGCGCTTACTAACGTGTACAGGCTTTCCGCTCAAGCGATAACCATGATATCCCCGCCGCAAACTTGTACGCCAACAACCGCGAAGCGCTGCTGCTGCCTGACAAGATCACTCCACTCGACAACCTCGATCTGCCCCCGCCTCCCGATGCTGCCTGGCTCTTGTCGCAAATGGACGATGTGACGGCCACACCTGTGGGTCGCAAGGGCCGTGTCAGCAACCGCGATATCAACTTGCAGGAGGACTTCAACAACAGTCAGTTCCTTAACCAGGCGGATAATCTCGACGATGAGCTGGAGTTGGCTCCGATGGAGGATCTTGACTTGGAGCTCGACTTTGGCATGGACGTTGACGAGCCTATTGGCCGGATGGACACCACTATCGAAATGGGAAGAGAAGCGCCTCTTGCTCGCTCTGTCGAGGATGACATGTTCAGCGAGCTCGACATCATGCCTCGCGGAAAGGACCAGCCCGAGCGCGAAGCATCCTTGGGATTGGACCTTAACTTCGGCGACGACAATGTCCGCATTGCTGACGAGGAGGGCGATATCCAAATGGGCGACGACAACGAATTCCAGTTCCCGATCGCCGATCAGTCAGTCGTTCCTGGCGCTCCTCTCGAGATGGGACGCGCACGTATCTCTGAATCCCCGCTCTCAGAGATCGACCCGGAATTTGCAAGGGAAGTCGAGGAAGAGTACTCCCGTATCCAGCACACCGATCTCTACGAGCCAGACGAAGACCAGGATCAGTCTGTTGTTCGACACCCCCAACGCGCCAAGAAGAGGAAGGTACTTCTGCCCGATGAGCAGACCATGCTCTCCAGCACTCACATCAAAGACCAACAAGCCAACCACGCGAACATCTTGAGAGCGCAGTCATTCTTGCCCAAGGATCCCTTTGTTCTCGCCTTGATGGAAATGCAGAAAAACGGCGGCTTTGTTAGTAACATTATGCTCGAGGGACGCGGAGTCAACTGGGCGCCTGAGTTGAGGGGCATGCTTTCGCTCGAGGCCGTTAGCCGATCTAGCGAGTTGAAGAGAAAGCGGGACAGCGGTATCGCGGATGTCGAGAGCGACCAGGGCGTCTTGTCCAAGTCACCACGCATCGACGTCGAGGAGGAAGATGCATTTGCTGTTGAGGACGCCGGCCTCGGCAACCAGAGTATTGCTGCTGACGGCACTATTATGGAGATCCCGGCCGACGAGGAGGGCATGGGCTTCGGAGGAGACGACGACACCGCTAGACCCGTCTCGCGCGAGGCGAGCCCCATGCCAAACTTCGACGACACAGTTGCTCCCAATGTCCACCCTCAAGACAGCGGACCGGTTTCTCTTGGCACCAAGCATGCCGTTCACGTGCTCAGGGATATTTTCGGACCCGACGCGGAGCACGATGCCGATAAGCGAAAGAAGAGCGCTGTTGTCTTCCAAGACTTGCTGCCAGAGAAGAGAACGACAAAGGCAGACGCGACGAAGATGTTCTTTGAGTGCCTCGTACTCGCGACCAAGGACGCCATCAAGGTTGAACAAGGCGAGAACCTCGGCGCACCTATCAAGGTCCGCGCAAAGCGCGGTCTCTGGGGTGCTTGGGCCGAGCGTGAAGCTGGCGGTGAGATCGCAGAGGAGGAGGAGGCCAACCAGCCTGAGCCAGCTGCTGTCAGTGCACCTGCCGTGGCTGTGGAGGCATAGATGCCAGTCGCTTGTTTTGACGAAGATATTCCGATTGATGCATAGCTATTGGGTCGGTGTCTTGGCATGTAAAGTATATCATTCTTTCTGTCTGTTGGACTACGTTGGGGGTCGGTCCTGGAAATGGTACCCGGCCAAGTGGCGTTTGGAGTAACCGGAGGCTGGAGAGATACCAGATGCTGTTGCGGCCTGGAGGGGAAAAGCTTGATTTGGGTTCCAGAGCCGCGTCTCTTTGTTTGAGTTTTTTTTGGAGGTTTAATGTCGTTTTCTGGGCTTTGCGCGTTGCTAGTATAGCCGTTTTGAGGCCACAGGCCTGGAAGGATACCGCAGTACTTGTTCGCTGTTCTTCACCGTCAATGAAGCTAGACATTTCCTACCAACTTCATCCACTCTGCACTTGACTTGTGACATGACCTAATACCGTAAGTTCAAAATGACCGGCATGCTAATGGAAGAGTATGATCCTTGGCTTTCGGGATCATCACCTACTTACCGAACATTCCGCCAGCGACACCTTCACAAACATATCCTCAACGCCCTGATGCCGAACTCGCAAACAATACATAACCAAGGCTAAGGCCCCGGATGTTTGCGGTAGCCTCCTCTTCCCCACCTCAAATTCACTCCCGCGTGCCTCGACACGCTGTATTTTAAGAAGCCGTGGAGTGGACAGACGCGGAGAATCCTGGTTGAACATGCAGCCCAACCCTACCTCTGCATATAGGATCTGGATGCGTTGGGCAAGATCAGCCACTCGCAAAAGGATATCCTGCAGGACGCTCACCACATCTCTCCTCACACCTCATGTGACTCCACGAGAACCCCAAGTTTTCCCCGGAATCGGTTTCCTGCAACATAACTGGTCAAAGAGATGCCGGCATCTTGCGCCTTCGGCATCATATAAGACAGGTGTTGTGGCCAGTGATGGACTTCCCACGTTCTGTCTGCGGTCATTTCTTATTCATGGCAACCGACGCACGGTAGCTTTTACTCCAGAGCCGTCATAGCTATTTCGGAGCACGCACAACATGGGGTTCGCAGCCGCCACAGGGACAAACGATCCCCCGGAAGTCCGCAACTGGACTATCCATTACATAGCCCTGGTTGCTTCTATGGCAGCCCTTTCAAGTCAGTGGTGTTTCCTTACTGCTACGACGTCTACAGACTCACACAAAATCTAGTGGGCTATGACACCGCCGTCATTGGTGGCACCATGTCCCTTGACTCCTTCGTCAGCCACTTCGGCATCGACAACATGACCTCCTCGGAGCGCGACAACTCCCAAGCCAACATCGCCTCCATGTTCCAAGTCGGCGCCTTCTTCGGCGCCCTGCTGACATTCCCAGTCGCCGAGAAATACGGCCGCAAAAAGGCCATCATGACCGCGGCCCTCATCTTCTGCGTAGGCGGCGCCATGATGTCCGGCGCGAACGGCATGTTGGAGCTCATCTATGCCGGGCGGGCGATCGGCGGCCTCGGCATCGGCATGGCGACGATGACGGTCCCGGTATACATCGCGGAGACCTCACCTCCAAGCATCCGCGGGCGTCTCGTGGGCATCTTCGAGATCTTCTCCCAGGGGGGCGGGATGCTCGGTTTCTGGATCAACTACGCCACGGACCGAACTATCGATGTTCGGAATAGATCTCAGTGGATCGTGCCGTTGACGCTTCAACTCCTTCCGGCTGTGATGCTCTTCATCGGCATCATCTTCTGCCCGGAGTCGCCGCGCTGGCTCGCTCGAGGAGATAACTTCGAGGCCGCGGAGAAGGTTCTGGTGCATATCCGCGGTCTTCCCGCCGATCATCCGTATGTCCAGAACGAGATGAGTGAGATTCGGCAGCAGGTCGAGGAGCGGAGCACGATGAGGCTCAGCAAGAGACAGCAAATCCAGAAGCTGTTGGCGCCGGGCACCAGAAACCGGGTCGCGGTCGGGGCGTTCCTCATGTTTCTGCAGAGTTACACGGGAGTTAACATTATGACGTACTATAGCCCGCGTGAGTCCACCTGTTCTACACATCGACACATGACTGACTGGATTCAACACAGGCATCTTTGAGACTCTAGGCATCGTAGGTACCAGCAACAAGTTATTCTCCACGGGTATTTACGGCGTTGCCAAGATGCTCGGAATGATCTTGTTCGCGGTGTGGGTAGTCGAGAAGGTCGGTCGTCGCGGCGGTCTCCTCTGGGGATCGCTCCTGGGCAGTCTGCCACTCTGGTATGTTGGTGGCTACGTGATGGTCGCCGACCCGTCCGCCAATGCAACGGAGGGCAACATCCAGCTGAGTGGATGGGGTTACCTCGCGATGGTCTGTATATATCTGCATTCCTTCATCATCTGCGCCACGATCCAAGGAATCACCTGGACATACGCCGCGGAAATCTTCCCCTTGGATATCAGAATGGCTTGCGTCGCGATATCGACGGCGAGCACGTGGCTGGGATCGTTCGTGGTCGCGAGGGCCACGCCGTTCATGATAACGGACCTTGGCTACGGGACGTACTTCATGTTTGCTGGGTTTTTGATTGGCATCGGTGTTTGGTCTTTCTTCTGCGTCCCCGAGACGAAAGGTTGGTCCTTGCCTTGGGCCTCGAGCAATATTGATTCTTCGATACTAACTCTTTCGGTCCAGGGATCTCTCTTGAGGAGATGGATGCTCTGTTTTCGAGGCCTACTCATATCGTTGTCTGGTCACAGCTTCGTGGTCGACCAACCCTCGCCAGGGACAACGCTTCAATTGCTGGGTCCATGGGCAAGGGAGGGGCGAAGGTCGAGACCGTAGCTTAGAGTGTAGCTCGCTGTGGTGAGTTGAAGGATCTATCAGGGACATATTTCGACCGAAAATCTAGGGAGATAAATCCTGTAATGAGACAAATGATTCTGGTTGTCTTTAGATGCTGTCTCCGTCTATCGGCCCCACTGCGCCGACGTGCATTCCGGTCGGCATTTGTCCATATCGGCCCCGCTCCGATTTGGTCTCCGATCCGTAGCACGACGGAAGGGGCAAGTGCCGATATATCCGTTTGAGATGCCCGACGAGGTGCTTACTTCAAGAATAATCGCTAGCCTGATTACCTTGCTTGAAAGACAAGAGCGTCATTCAAGCGCTTATCTGCACCGTCAGCAGCTGATGTGGAAAACTGGAGGCCGGCGAGTCCTCGGCGTGGACCTCAGCATCGAATCAACCTGTGATGGCTGGTACATCCTAGGCTCTTGCGCATTAGCAGATAAGAAAGTCCGAATTGCCAAATTATTTTACTTTCTCAATTTCAACCTGGATTCTTGGTAATATGAATCTCAATTCTGACTGTGTTTTTGATAGCACGTAGCTACATATATAAACTCGGTAAAGTTTTTCAACCCCTCTCAGCTCAGGATCTCTCAATAGTTTTCCACCGAGAAAAATTCTTCATCGTCGCAATTGTACGCTCGAAAGTCTACAATGACCATCCGATCGCGCTTTTGCGAACCGATTCCCGCCTCTTCTCTTCCAACATGGGTATTCGGCTCAGCGTCCGGCCCGATATCGAACCCCCATAAGCCGGTCTTCATCGATGCCGACCGACCAAAATCCCATTCGCTGTCCACCGCAGAGTTCAGGCTGCTTTCCAAAAAAATCGCGTTGGGACTTATCAGCGATGGCCTTGTCTCAGAAGACAGGGTACTGGTATTTTCAGGGAACAACATCATCTACCCGAGCCTGTTTCTCGGCGTGCTGATGGCCGGCGGCATCTACACCGGAGCCAGCCCACATTTCACAGCTCGCGAGCTCTTGCATCAGCTCCAGGATTCCGCCGCCAAGTATATCTTCGTCGCCCCAGAGAGGCTTCCTATTGCGATAGAAGCTGCTTCGACCATTCCGGGGTTCCCCTTGAGTCAAATCTTCATCTTCGGCGCTGACGACTACAGCGCCGTTCCGCAGTTCGCATCTTTGGGAGATGCGCACGGCAATGGTCCCAGACATTGGACTGAACTTACGTTCGGCAACGAAATAGAGGCCAGAACTTGGGATTGGGTTGAGCCGAAAGACCCTTCATCGACGACATGCTGTCTGAACTACAGCAGTGGAACTACTGGAGTACCAAAGGGCGTCGAGGTGACGCACAAATCTTACATCGCGAACTGCGTCCAAGTCATACACCTCATGGACAGAGCTCCCAGCGCTAAGGAGTTCCGGAAGCGCGAGAGAGTGTTATGCTTCCTCCCGCTTTACCACGCCTTTGCGCAGACGTACTTCGGCGCCATATTCCCGCGCCTTCGAGTTCCGGTCTACATCATGCCAGCGTACCAGTTCGATAAGATGCTTCAGCACATCGAAGCTTTCCGCATCACAACTCTAGTCGCTGTCCCGCCAGTTCTCGTCAGCATGGCCAAGAATCCAGCCACCAAGAAGCACGACCTTACTTGTCTGGAGAAAATCAGTTGCGGCGCGGCTCCTTTATCGGGTGATGTCATCGAAGAAGTCGAGAAGCTATGCTCGCCTAGGGCTTCAGTGACGCAAGGCTGGGGGATGACAGAGATGACGTGTTACATCACAGACTGGGATGCCAACATCAAAGCAAACAGCGCGGCCGTCGGGGAGCTCATGCCCAACTGCTCTGCGCGGTTGATGCAACTCGACGGCAAAACACCGATCACGAAGCCGTATGAACGCGGCGAACTCTGGGTCACGGGACCGACGGTCATGAAGGGTTACTGGAGAAACCAAAAGGCGACGCATGAGACGGTACACGTGGATGCTGATGGGACTAGGTGGATGAAGACGGGCGATGTTGGCTTTGTCGACCGATACGAGCCAGGGGCGATCTTCCACATTGTTGATCGAATTAAGGAGTTGATCAAGGTTAAGGGTATCCAGGTCGCGCCAGCCGAGCTGGAGGCTATCCTGTTGGAGAATGTGAATGTTGCGGATGCTGCGGTTGTCGGAGTTACGATCAACGGACAGGAGCTGCCTCGCGCTTACATCGTGAAATCTGCCGGCTCCGTTGTTACCGAGAAAGAGATTGCCGAATGGATGGAAGGTAAATTTGCGAGGCATAAGCATCTTACAGGCGGTGTTTCTTTCGTCGAGGCAATACCTAAAAATCCCGTGAGTAGCTTGCCACGTATTTAGTATTCGGCACTTTTGACGAAGCATGCTGACCATCTTCCTCTCAGTCTGGAAAGATCCTGCGCAGGGCCCTGAGGGAAAATGCTCAAAGAGAAGTCGGCGATAGGAAACCTTTCCAGTCGAAGATTGCTTGAAAGTGTTCATTTGATGGTCTCTTCGTGGAGCGAACGCCCTGTTATTCACCCAACTCGAGGCGAGGCAACAACTACAAATTAGTATTGAAATGGAGCATCAACGTCGATCTCGGAGGGGAGGAACAATAAAACGAAAGAATCTCGACGTATACTTCAATAAACTCCTGTGGCAGCATCGACTCATTGTCTACAAAATAGCCACAGCCCCTGGTGGACTCGCAACCCCTCCAGGAACGGCCAACGGCACACTGACAAACATGAAAGACCACCTTTGTTCTTGTTTGCATCTTGAAGCCAACTCTTCCAAGTCGAAACTCTCTCCAATCGGCATTCCCCATCCGCTAAGGAAAACTTCGTGCATGCTCACGCCCCACGGCTTCGGGCTCGGCCACGCTTCGTAGGCAACGGTGTCAGATGCCACAGCGGCAAACGCATTATCCCAGTGCCAACGAACTGCCTCCTCGCTCGCCTCCACCCCGCAACTAGAGCGGACTTTCCGATGTGGCAATGCGGCCTGTTCCTCCAGAGGGAGGGCTCTGTAGGACTGAAGCCACCCGGTGCGGACGAGAAGGATGTCACCGGGTTGGAACTGAACTTTCTGTGCAGCTGCTACGGCCTCCAGCTCGGACAGGGGAATGCCGTGAGCTGAAAAGGGATCGATGCTGATGTTTTGCTCAGTAGCCCAGGAGAACCAATCCAAAAGTACTCCACGTCCAGTGATAGTCTTTTGAGCTATGTCTATGAGATGTAAGTAAGAGTTTTGTTTCCTCGGGGTAACTTGAACTGCTGTTTCTCTCGGGGACTTACTATGCACTCCGAGTTTCGAATTCGCGTTCGAGCCAGAAATATCATCTTGTGTCACGCCGTTGTAATATTGAAGGGTTTCTTGGTAGGGATAATGCCGGAGGCCATCCCAATGACTTGATCCTTGAGTGTTCATGTCTAACTACAGGGGCAGGTTAGCTCGGTAATTGTCCGCGATTGCCCGAAAAGAGCACAAGATACCTCGTCGTCGTTCGCGTGGCCCTTTGCAATGAGTTTATGAGAACATGGCTTTCTAACAGGGTTCATGGGCTGTATGAAGGCGTTCAACGGGAGACTGACAAGCACGTCGATAAGCTCAATGTATCCCGAGTAAAGAACGCTTACAACCGGCGACCTACTTGAGCGGTATTGTCTCTCCGTGAATCACACCTGACGCAGCACTCTTGATCGAAGATGAGTTGAGAATATTCAAAGTCCCCAACTCATCATCGCCTCCCCATAAGCCCCACGCGGATGCTTTGGGGTCGCCCTGGCGAAGAGGCAGAGCATCAAAGCTAGGCCGCGAGCCTTTTCTCAGCAATGTTGTACTTCCCATATTGTCGTGAGTGAAATCAATGATAAGATTTGAAACCTCAAGCTTTGAGTGAATTGAAGAATCTCCATGAAGATTGCAGCCCGGAGAGGTAATTGAGTTCCGCTGTCACAAGTTCCGTGGCAATCCCGGCGTTTGCCCCGACGCTAAATACCGATCCGGCCCCACATTCGCGGCATCTTCGTGATGACATACCGAATACTCCAGTGAGTAATATGAGGCGTCAGGCGATACTTGATTCGAAGACGCGCTCATGTCAGTCACTATGCAACCACGAAATATTCGTGTTAAGTTGGTCCGAAAACCCCGGTCACCACAATGTTTGACAAGGATGCCGAAACGTCAAGATGCCGAAGCTTTGTCAATCCCGCTAGAACTAGACCCGTCATGCTACTTGACAGCTACTTCCATCAAGCGCTTTATTCATTGAAGTTCCTCAGTTTGAGGAAGTGATTGCCACACCATCCCTGATCCTGAGAAGTTTGAGAGGCCAGCAACTCCCCAGGGGAAGGCATCGGGGTGGAAACCGGCGCCGGTATCTAGATCGCCAGTCCATATAGCGTCGGACGAATTGAAGAACGCATTTTCGACAATATCCATAGGCTCAGCCGCTGACGAAGATTGTGCGTCGTTTCCGCCCACGTACTGGCCTACAGATGTCTCGAAAGACCCAGATCCTCCAACCTGCTCTTGCCCTTCTCTACCGCTGCCCGCGGTCGTTGTCCTCGGCTGTCGGCGCTGCGGCTGCGTGAGAGAAGCCCTTGTAGGATTCCCGCTGGAAATATCTGCGACTTTGGGCTGTCCTGTGCTTAGAAGCCTGCGAATGGTGTCGAGACTCCTTCCACTTCCAGGGGTGTGGGATGCCTCCTTCTGCAGGATTCTAAATGCAGCCGCAAGTCGGGCTGCCGCATCTTCTCTGGACTGCTGTGTCGAGGCGCTTTTCAACTCCTCGGTCTCAACCGTAGCGGCTGTATAGATACAGTAGCTTACTTGATACGTCATTAGCCGATGAGGGAACGTTCGTGAATACAATGAGTGAATTGCGTGTATCCTTTTCGAATGCTCAATGCAAGTTCTGAGGCTTTTCTCCTTAAGTTCCTTGTTAGAGGAACTAAGATACGGTCTTCTGAGAAGGATATGAAGTGCGTGGTAGAGGAGACTGTTGAACTGTCAGTTTCAGAAGCCAAGGGTTCTCTACACTCCTACTTACTTGAGCGACACGATATGAGGCGGATGGCTTTGTTCCGAATTCGAGAGTCCATCAATTTTCAAAGCACCCGGTAAGTCTTCATACCATTGGCGGACCCTGCCATCAAGTTCATCGATCTGTGAGGTGAACTCTTCGTTCTTCGTCACGCTGGAGAAGAGAAGCATCATGTCCGTCGTGACTTCATGGAGGCTACAAAAAGCACAGAACGTTGATGTTGTCCATGAAGGCGAAGCAATGAAGCTCTCGGAAACCTCAGTAGCGTGTACAGGTTTCCAGAGACGCTGGTCGTCAACCTTATCCAGAATATCCTGCGCCGGATATGGACGCCTTGTCAAAGACGGTGGACGCCCAAGAGCTAGGCTCAAAGTTTTGTCCCATATGTAGGCAGAATTGTAAAGTCGTTTTCGGGTCTCGACTTCAGCCGGAGTCCACCGTTCTAGCTTGGAAAGCTTCGAAATATCCAGGTGAAGCCCAACATCTTTCATCATTCGAATAGCCATGCCAGTGTAAAGCCAGCCCTCGGAGCTCTTCCCCATGGCACATTGTCGTCCACCAAGTATCAAGAGTCCTTGTATCGTAGGAATAGCAGGCTTCTTTGCTGCCATCTCCTCTAAAAGTAACTCCCGAGCACGGGCAATGAAGTGCTCCCCCTTTCCTACACCGGACAGATTCGATGTTGGTTCGGGCAGATGCCTGGCTGCAAGTCCGAAGATGCATAGAAGCAGGAAGTCAGAACAGTATGGCCCTCCCAAAGCAAGGTCCATCATCAGAATTGGTCGATAGACGCAGCTGTGGAGTGGGTGCAACCACGACCAATAAATGTCAAGCAGAGCCATGCCGGTGGTTGCGTCCACTCCTGTCCCGTCCATGCCTGGTTTGGCAGCGATGAGAGGTAGCCAGACGGAATCCATCAGCGCGTACTGGGACTGCAAGGTTTCGATCTGGCCTCGTCTCGGATCACTCTCCTCTGCGAGGTTGTCTTCTTCCAAGGAGCCCGCATGAAAGCGACTGGTTGGACCATTGTAAATCACTGCGCCGTCCTCGCCAATGCCGACTTGGAACCATAACGAACCCTCGACTTCAGTATTGGCGTTAGCCAGAGGCCGAGCACCACTACCGTTGGACTGGCCATGACTGCCAACAGATGTCGCGTTTGTCTGTGGGGTGTAAGATGACTCGGGTCCTTGAACAGGGTCAGGAGATCTCGTGCCATCGTTATCAGGGTTTCTTGTCGAAGCTTCTAGGCTCCGAATCCGGGCATTGGCCTCCCGGAGACGAGCCTCTGTCGAGATTTGTGCTGGCCAGATGCACTCCTCGCCCGATCGACGACATCCTACGCAGACTGGCCGGTGTCCGCTGCACTTGACTTTCCGAGACTTGCAACTGGAACATGCAAAACCATAACGGCGTGCTTTCCGAGTCGCCGAAGTTGATGGTCCGGAATTCGAGTGACTCGGTGCCTCGGCCTGGATCCCGCCGCCGTCTCCGCGGGTGCTTGGTGTCGTCATTTACACTGCAGCTGCGGGGAAGTCTTCGGTTTTCTAGAGATCGGAATTTTCGAGATTCAAAAAGTAATGGTAGCAAAAGCTTACTGGCCTGACAAGTTGTTGTCGGAATCATGACTGAAATTGAAGTCCAGGACAGCTAGACTTTGGCGGAATCTGCGGGGTTGTAGCCGAGATGCCGGTTACCCCGCGAACTTCTGCCCCTAACCCTGAGCCAAGAACTCTGCGCCGGCATTTGTTCAAATGTCACCAATATGAAAGCCTGTTTGGCTGGTCGCGCCGTTCAATTCAGTCTGGTGCGTGTCTTCTCAAGTGGAACAGTCAACCGTCTAACGGTCTTGTCCTCTCCACCTACAATCTCTTGGGTCTTGGCTGATGACTTAGGGTGGAAACGTTTACAATGTGTATTTATCGTAGAAGAGATTGCTATAAGTAGAAGTTATATCTAGCTCAGCGGAAGTTGACGGAGAATTAAGCGAGCCACACTCAACAGCAACTCCTAGTCTATCTCTTCTTGGCGAGAACGATGATTTTGTCCTCCGATATCTTGGTCTTCGTTACCTTTGTCGCCTCATTTTGGCGCTGTATTGCCAAAACTCCTTTTGCGGAGGCGGCGAGCATCCCAGCAACTCGTTTCAGGCCTAGGAACGAACCCATTGTTTTTGAGGTGCCGGTTAGTTTGAGAAACGTTTTCCCGGCTGTGAACTTCAACCGCAACGTCACGACCACTTGGTGGGATACCGAAGTTCTCGATGGTCATCCAACAGAAGAAGCCTTCAAGGTCACAGAGGCTATGAAGAAGGCTTCATTCGTCGTTCTGGATAAGGACATGTACCAGGTACTGGCATGCCGTGGCGCGTCTTTATGACTCTGGTTGACTCTTGAACAGATTCTGAAAAGGGACGAAGGAGCAGGTTTTACTGCCGTGGAGACAATCTTCGACTTTCCTCCTGGCCCTTCGTTCGCTCAACGAATTGTGCATGATGGAACGGTTTTCTCCCCAGAGTGTAACTGCATATTTTTTGCCGAGTTGCATCCACCAAAGCCGGGATTCTCAGCTGCTGCGATTCCGTGGGTCTGGCGTGTAAATCTCAACAACACTTTGCCCCTTACTGAGAAGGTGTATCCTTCGCCGCAACTCACAGTTCCGAACGGCGCATACTACCACAATGGCAGTGTTTATTGGGCCCAGGAAGGCAACTTCACAAGTCCTGGTGGGCTAGTCCGGATGGATCCCGTCACTCTGAAAACAGAGGTGGTCCTGAACAATTTCCTTGGACACCGCTTCAACAGTCCTAACGATGTTGTCATTACGAAGGATGGAGTGGCTTACTTCACAGATGGCTATTACGGATTTGACAACTTCAATGATACTTTGAAGCCCGAATTAGCCAACGGTGTATGGAGATGGGACGCCAAGACGGGTGACTTGAGAATGGTCGCAGGTGCCGCCGGTGGTCCATTCACCAATCCCAATGGTGTAGCCCTGAACATTGAAGAAGACAAGCTCTACGTCACCAACCGCGGTAACACGTCGTCAAACCCTGCGGGAGGTCGGACGATCTATGAGTTTCAACTTCACCAGTCAGGAATCCCCTTACGCGGGGGCGATGTTTTTACATACGCTGATTCGGGATTTCCGGATGGAGTCAAGCTGGACAGAGACGGACGGGTTTACGGCGGTGTCACAGGCGGGGTCAGTGTTTTCGACGCCGATGGCAAGCAGCTCGGAATTATCAAGGTCGAGGAAGGCGATGTCGCTGTGAACATGCAGTGGGTGAACGATTGGCTGTACATAGCTGGCAGAGACCACCTGTACCGGGTCAGGTTGAACACAGGTGGCGTTCAGTCATTTTAGATAGTTTGGCGAAGTGACTGCCGATAACTCTCTCGTTCTCGCCGTCTTTACCCGCAGGATCTCACTTTACTATGCATCGATTTAAAGTTGATAACCTAATACTACCACAAGTATACCGATGCTGACAAGAATGATGTAAACGATAATGAGTACTCGATATTTGCAGAATGGATGTGATTTTGCTCGCCCCTATTTATATCAATATGTTAAGATACCAGCAAGACACTTAGTCTAGGATGCCGCAAGATTGCATGAAAAAGTTTGTTACGTTACAACTCAGACAAATACATCACTTTCGTCTCATTACAATTTCCTGGCGGGTTAGGGCGCTGTTGAGTGATCTGCGAAGTTAAGTTATTTCCCAGTTTCTTCAGGCCTTCATAAATAGTTGGTTATGCTTCGAAAAAGACGTTGAACTCTGTATTTCTCCAGACTGCCATCTTAGGTACACCTGAGTAGACTTAAGAAAAAAAGCTGCACTTCGATGCAACATTGAGAGTCTATCAACGTCCAGTACCATACACGATTCAAGCGTAACAACTTCCAATGCTGCGCCCGAGAGAAACTCCTATCCCCAAGATGTACTAAAATTCAAGACGACTTCTGTATACTTGGAATTCGATAAAACTCTGGGAGATTGACTCGGAAATTCAAGGGACGAAGCGATACATAGGATGATCATCGCCCTTGTCCACGACCTCAGCCGGAACAAAGTCCAAGTCACTCTTGCCATGTTTCTCGTCTCGCTTTCTGTTCTGGAATCTCAAGCACAAGCTCAGAATGGCAGCCAGAGCTGCGGCAGCGAACAGAATCCCAGCGCAAATCCACATCCCCTTGGAATACCACGGCTGTTCCGTCTTGGGAAAAAGGCGTGCTCCTAAAATAGGACCACACTGGCCTACCATGCCGAAGATGGCGAGTCCGGCTCCGCGCTTGGAAGCCGAACCTTGGTTGTCCGTCACCCACGTAAATGTGAGGGCTACCGCCGGAAAGACGCCGGCGCAGACGAGAAACGTCGCGAAGTAGCGGACCCCGGTGGTATGTACGGTTGCAAGAAGAACGTAACCAGCGGCCCCAGCACAGCAGAAGAAGACGATGAAAATCCCACGGGACCGGAATCGATCGGAGACAAAACTTGCCGTGACGCAAACCACATAGGCGGCTAGGTAAGGACAAGCCGAGAAGCCTTGTGCGTGCAGTGATGTGTATCCCATGGCTTGAAGAATCGTCGGTAGATACGCAGGCAAAGAACCAAATGCGGTATTGAGACAGAAGATGATCAGAGCCTGCAAGTAGTTCTTATAGTCGTAGAAAGCTGCGAAAACCTGCTTCAGGTTGAGCTTGCCTTCTCTCTTCTCGCCTCGCCCTTTGAAAGCGCGGTGGCTAATGATCTCGTTTTGTCGGGGTGAAAGAAATCGGCACTCAGAGGGTGAGGCAGGAAGGTAGAAGTATGCGACGATGGCGAGAAGAATGGTGGGAGCACCCTCTGCAAATGCAACTCGTTAGGAGATGAAGTAAAGTGATGTTAAGGATGAAGGTTCAACTTACCCACAAGGAAGAGCAATCTCCAGTTCTCAATGGATACCTTCGCGCTGACGATTCCGTATGCAAGTGCAGACGCAAAGCAGCTTGCAAGGGGAGAAAATGATATGAACAGGCCGTACCGAAGTCCCATTTCACCTCGGTGATAGAAGAAAGTCATGTAAAGCGCAACGGCCGGCACGAAACCAGCTTCGAATGCTCCAACTGCGAATAATGGGCTTATCAGCTTCGGTTTGAACATGAAGTTCGTCAAGCTTCAATATCTTACCAAGAAAACGCAATACCATAACACCTGCGAAATTGTGCGTTGCGGCCTGAAGCATGCTCATGGAACCCCAACCGATTGCCATCATTGCTGTCCAGAGTGGCAGTGAGACAAAAGTCCAGACGAGAATAAGCTGCGCAACAGTTAATAGCCAGAACGAATTCGAAGCCGGCATGATCTTACCCAGTGAAACAGAATGTAGCCAATGTAGAGGATCGTAACGACCCATGAATAGTCTTCCGAAGTTATCCCCCATTCTTTGCCCATTCCAGCCGTATAAGCGTTCCCAACATTGCCTCGATCAATGTAAGACACAAGATACAACGATCCAAGTCTGTATGCTGAAGGTCAGTCAATGTTTCCATGGTGTGCAGAAGAGATTTTGGCTTACAGGGGAATCAGGTTCCAGTCGAGCTTTCTCAGAGCTTGACCTTCCTCTTCTTTTGTCCATGTAGGCGCAGTGTTGTCTCCGAAGTTCTTGGGGTCGTCGGCTGAATCGTTTTCCTCGACATGGAACGTCTGGCGACCGTCGTTGTCTTCGACATGGGCATGGCATTGTTCGTTGCTGTTCTCCTCCTCCTTGTGATGTGAAGGCATCATTTTGGGAGAAGTAAACTTGCAGTTTCCGGCTTTTGAGGGGGAGATCGATACTTTGAGTGAAGAGAACAATTTGGAACTGAGGAAGAGACATCAAGTTGACAACCATCCCGAAGCCAGTTCCTTGAGTCCAACTTTATCTTTACTGAATAGGCCACCGGAAACTCGGCCTAAAGGAGTCTGAACTGGCAGTCAATATTTGGATGATCCTAGCACAACACAAGAGACCCCACGGGGAAGCTCTGCTTGGCTGACCCAAACAAAGTGGCACTAAGTTACCCAGCAAGGATGCCCGCGGGGACTGCAAAGTTGCTTGAGCTCCAGTTTGATTTGTCTCGGAATTAATGCCGACCACGATCAGACCAAGAACCTCGACTCTCCGCAGACTTAGGTTCTTCCCCAGATTTCGGCCGAACGGGATGGAGTGTTTTCAGTCTTGAACTTCCAAATGATACGAGACACCGGTATTCTCACGATCTACTTACGTCCATCCCAATGCTTGATTTGTCAGATGTTCCTTAGGCATCGGTTTGCACAAGAGGTACCGGTGAACATGAGGATTGTTACGATAGGCCAACTCGAGCCATATGGCGGTGGAGTATTCAATTGTCATCGAGGGGTTGAAAGGCTGAGAGCCTTTCATGACGCATATCTACGAAATTGGGAGGTAGCAGCATATTCGCACATCCGTCTCAAACATTCAGATTTTTACATGTATACCAAATCGGAGACTTCATAATACCCCAAGACCAAGTTGAAAGGTTGTCTACTGCACGTCTAGTCTTGCTAAGTGTTCAACTATATTTGTCAACGTCCATGTGTTCTTGCCATTGTTTTCCGTCAGTCTCACGCCGTCGTCAATCATGATTTTGCTGTGATATTTGTCCTCAGATTATGTGATAACGTTCAGTGTGTGCGTTTAACAGCATGGACGCGCTGCATTGATTATGATGATATCCGACAAAGCAGTTGTTACTCGTGATTCGTGACAAATGACCTACGAATACAGGACGAATCAGGAATTCGATTGGACATTATGGGCTGAGATACAACACACAACTGACATGCAACAATCATGTCGAAGATACCGAAGTGCGATGTGCGGAGATGCCGACATGAACCCCGCGCCACGGAATCTAATACCGAAACCCCAACTCCGGGGTAAGGGAAGGGGAATGGGGAGCTGAATGCCGCAGCACCGCACTGGACCGACGTCGGATGTAATTGAAGTGGAAGATCTGCAGAAAGCGGCCTCACGTTATCTCTTTTGATGAATAACTGTTTCCTTGGGAAAGATCGTGGCCGAAATCGATATCTACGTTCAATGAGAACTGAATCCAGGAGCGGCCTAATAAAACAAACTCACCTGCCACACGACCACATCTACTGCATGCGTTTCTGCCATCATTAGGCTACGTCACAACCGCAAAGATGTCAGGAACCACTCCCACGATGAACGGGTCTCACCAATCCATTGAGGAATTCACAATCCTTACGCCGAATGCCATGCTTGGCTATGGCTATGAATCGGACCACTTTTGGTACGGAATCACCAAGTACAAGCCAGCTGCCATCATTGTCGACAGTGGTTCAACCGATGGCGGCCCTTACAAGCTCGGTATGGGAAAGATGACCTGCGGACGAGGATCATATATTCGAGATCTTGAGCCAATTCTAGCAGCATGCTTTCACCACAAGATCAAGGTTCTCATCGGGTCCGCTGGGGGTGACGGCAGTAACAAGCACGTTGCCGAGATGCTGAATCTGGTGGAAGAGCTTGCCGAGAAGAACGGCTACTCCTTCAACGTAGCCACGATCCAGGCCGGTATGGATCGCCAATGGATCAAGTCGAGAATATCGCAGAACCGCGTCGGCCCTTGCGGCCCGGTTGAAGAATTGTTGCCGGATGTGGTAGATGGCGCAGTAGATGTTGTCGCTCAGATGGGATCTGAACCGTAAGTCTTGTCCCAAGATAAAAGCCGATTGCTCGGGACTAATGATTTAAATCAAAGGTACTTGGAAGCCTTGAAAGGCAATCCTGATATCATCATTGGTGGCCGATCGTATGACCCGGCACCTTTTGCTGCTTTCTCTATCGCTAGAGGGGTCCTTCCCGACGTCGCTTGGCATATGGGAAAGATCATGGAATGCGGCGGCATCTGCGCCGTTCCCAAAGGTCGATCCATGATCGCAACTCTGAGAAGAGACTCCTTTGATCTTACTCCACTATCTCCTGCCGAGAGATGCACTCCTCTATCGGTCGCTGCGCATACCCTCTACGAGAAAACGCGTCCTGACCGTCTGCCCGGACCTGGAGGCATCCTCAACCTCGACGGAGCCAAGTACGAGCAAGTCACTCCTAAGACGTGTCGTGTATCGGGCGCCAAGTTCGAGAGAACGCCTTATCAAGTCAAGTTGGAAGGCGTTACCCATCTCGGTTATCGCACCATCTTCATCGGCGGCATTCGCGACCCAATTCTTATCGACCAGATCGATGCCTTCCTGGAGCGAGTTCGCGTGTACTCTCAGAACCTGTTTCCGGAGCTGGATAAGACGGAACAGTGCCGACTGTTGTACCATGTCTATGGCAAGAACGGTGTGATGGGCCCTTTGGAACCGGTTCAAGCTCGGCCACACGAGATTGCTGTGCTTGGAGAGGTTGTTGCACCAACTTCCGAGCTGTCTCATACGATTGCAAACAACGTTCGTGCCTCTATCTTGCACTTCGCCTACCCCGACCAAGTTGCAACCACTGGCAACTTTGCCAGTCCTCTTTCACCGCATGAGCAGGATGCGGGAGCTGTTTTCAAGTTCAGTCTTTATCATCTTGTGGACTTGGACAACGGTGAAGAATCTTCAATCTTTCCAGTTCAGAACCATGCCATCGACTTTGCGGCATCGTCTACCAAGCCCTTGGAACAGTTAAAACCCGAGACCTTCGATAGGATCGACAACGGCAAACTCGCACCCTTGACGTCGAAGATTGTCCCTATGAACGAGGCTCCTCTCAGCCAAGTTGCCCGAATCATCCGATCGAAAAATTCGGGTCCATTTGAGATGACTTTCGACGTCATGTTCGACGATCCGGCTGTCTATAGCCGCGTGAAGGAAGCCAATGTCTTCACGAACGAGACCATCAAAGCTCTCTATCGCGTTACCGACGAAGACATCTTGACCAACATGTACTTTGACCCCGCCCTTGCTTGGAAGTGCACCATTAAACGGCCATGGGCTCAAGGTAGCGTCGGAGAGCGCGATACTCTGGGAACCCAGCAACATGCGCCGCTTCTTGCCATTCGCATCCCTGCAGCCAACTCTACACGCCAACCGCACGTCAATGGTGTTTCTTCCATAAGCAATCTGGACACCAAGTCAAAGGAAAGCTTCACGGCTCAAGACGTTGTTCAGGACATCTGGAGCAGGTTGGACCTTCCCCTCGAGGCTCTCAGCTCAGTCAACCTCGAGAACGATGGGTTACCAACTTTGCCTTCATCTTATAAGCTTGGGGTACTCGCCCAGAGCACCATCGCCTTGTCCGCCCTCGCGGCAGCTCAGATTCATGCTCTTCGCAATGGCATTTCTGTTCCTAAGATTGATGTTCCCTTGGCGCATGCAACCATCGAGTTCAAGTCTGAGAGACTCTACATCTTGAATGGAAAGCCAACTCCCTCTCCGTGGGGACCTATCGGAGGTTTACATGAGACCTCTGACGGCCACGTCAGAGTCCATGATTCCTTTCCAAACCACCACGATGGCATCCTCCAGCTGGTAGGCTTACCACTTGAATCTACCAGACAGCAACTCTCAGACAAGATCGCCGACTGGGCAAGCATCGATCTCGAGACCGCCGCAACAGTGGAAGGCAACCTAGCTACGTATGCCTTGAGAACGTATCGCCAGTGGGACGCCCTTCCCCAGTCTAGGGCCATCAGCGATTTCCCCATTGACGTCAACCAACTGTCTCCGGAGGGTCCTAAGGCATTTCCTTCAAGGATAGCGAGTGGCAACTCCAAGTGTCTCCAAGGCCTTCGTGTGGTAGAGATGAGCCGCGTGATTGCCGCCCCTTTGTGCGGCAAAACGCTCGCGGCCCATGGTGCGGATATTATCTGGGTCACCTCACCCAACCTCCCAGACCTTCCAACCATGGACCGTGACTTCGGCCGTGGCAAGCGGACTGTCCAGCTCGACATCCACAAAACCTCCGACAAAGTACGCCTGATTGAGTTGATAAGAACGGCAGACGTGTTCATTCAGGGTTTCCGTCCTGGCAGTCTCGCCGCTTACGGACTCTCGCCTGAGGAGGTCATCAAAATCAACCCTTCTATCATCATTGCCAATATGTCAGCATTCGGACCTCGAGGACCCTGGTCCGGCCGAAGAGGTTATGACTCTCTGGTGCAGACTTGCTCAGGAATGAACGTCTCTGAAGCCGAGCACGCTGGAAAGGGGGAAGCGGCGCGACCAACTCCATGCCAGGCACTTGATCATGCTGGGGGTTATCTGCTTGCAACTGGAGTTCTCGTAGCTCTGTACAAACGGGCAACTCAAGGCGGTTCTTGGAAGGTCGACGTGTCTCTTGCTGGCGTAATGAAGTACCTTCGGAGTTTGGGCCAGTACGAGGGCGATTCTGGCTTCGACAGCAAAGACTACGAGAAGCCGGATGATGTACCGAAGGAGTACTTCGAGACAAGAGAGACGGGTTTCGGTTCTATGACAGCCATTAAACACAGCGCGCATGTGGAGGGGGTTGAAGTTGGTTGGGATATTATGCCGAAGCCTTTGGGTTCAGATTCCCCTGAATGGATTTAAACTAGTTTCCTGTTTTTCGTACCTAGATCTTTGCAATGTAGTTGACACAGAATTCACGTACTCGCCAGTTCACTTGCCTTAAGTGCACATACGAATGATCGAGTAGTTTCTGTAGTGAGTTCAAAGATTGTCCAAGATCTTGTCATCTCCGCAATTGCTTTTCTCCTCAGACGTCATTACCTGCTCATTTTTAAACTATGCCGATCAGAAGAAGAAGAGCATATAGTAATGGCCGTGGCCGAGGCCGCAAAAACCGCGTCTTGTCTCCTCAGCCTGGAGAGACGTCTTGCACTTCTTGCACTGCCCGTCAAGGCAGCCGACCACGACTTCACTTCGTCTCAACTCATCACTCAGTTTCGTTCTAATCTTGAATTCAAGCAGAGATGGAAATGAAACATGACCCATCCTGTCTGTATATTTCCACGAGGTTATTGCCGAAAACAAGGCGACCTCGGCGCTGCACAGGCACGCCGAGCCCGCACGCATCGGCCTCCCGCGCGGAAACATCCATGATTCAGGTATTCTGCCGAATAGTCTCCAAGTTGAGTCGTTGCGGTCGGCATAGGAGCCGGAAATACGACCCGCTCACTTGGGACCGATGAGCGACTGATTCACGCGGCCCACGCACATCTCCCGCTGCGGGGTGTGTGTCCCAGATCCCAAGTCCGGACAAGCTTTCGAGGATCGACCGTTGAAGCGTGCCATTTTCCGTCCCCGCGTCCGTGTGTGCTCGATGATGAGTTGGCATTTCATCTTCGAGATGAACAACCGCCGACGCTTCCGAGCGTTACTTACAAGACATCCCCTACTGAGCAGATTATTACCGTCGTGTTAATGATTCTTATCCGTTCGTAGCTCAAGGCCTTCCTTGTGAATACACGGCTTTCGAGGGGAAGTAAAACCGGACTTGTTGGTCTCAGGAGCTGAGCCCTTGATGTTGGAGTGGTGGTCTTTCGGAGGTTCCATGACGCGCGTATTGTGTACCCTAACCCGGACGATGCGAAGTTGAGCCGCTGTGCTACCTCACGCCCGTCTTCTCGCGCCCGTATCGGCCGTTTTGCACACACTGCTGACCGTCTAGTTAAGGTTCATGCTCTGGGCCGCGCGGCGGCTCCGTGGGGTTCTCGGAGTATAATTTGACAGGGTCTTCCTGGCTCCCTCCCGCACGACGGCCTGCTCACGCGGTTGGCCCATTAGTTCGGATCTCTCACAGCTCATAGTCTTCGCTTTCGCAGTTTGAAAGGCATGGCCGCAACAGCTATGTGGCCTGTCCGTTCGGCGCGGCTCCGGTAACTCCTCGCAGTCTCGGAGCTGAGGGTTCTTGATGCGGAGATTGATCTATCGTTTCTGCCCGACGACTTCAATGATCAAACGGATCAATCAGGAAGTTTTCAGATACTATAAGCTTCAAATTTGCATTTCGCCTCGAAGACGCCCACATTCCGTTAAGGACTTGTCAGAAAGAAGGTTCTCTTCCCTTTTTTGTTAGTTGGTTGAAGAACAAGTCTAGATTACTCGCATTAGTTCAAAGTTTGAGCCGTTTGAGAGTACGTTAAAAGGCATAATTCAGCCTCATCTGGCGACAGGACCTAAATTCTCGTATCATATGCACTTCACTGGGTGACCACGGTAGCACGCCCGTCCATCTGATGCGCGTATGTTGGTGGAAATTCCGAGGTTTGATTCACACCATCTTCATCAATATCACAAACAAGCTTGTTCGTGTAGCTTTCGAAAATTGATCAGACCAGGTACGGCGGTTGTAACTTTGAGGCAGTTACGTCCGTGTAGCTCTCACGATGCAGGCATCCATCACTGCCGGTCTTGCTTGCCGGTTGTTTCTGATAGTCAAGACTGAACAATTCGGCAGTCTCGGCCCTCCAGGATTATTGTCATGAAACCATCACTGTGCACTTTCTGTCTTCTCCAGAGTCCCACAGCTTGTTCTAGCGTCTCGATACTCGGAACAGCTTGGACCAGTTCTTGAGTCGAAATGAGCAAGTTTCTCAACAAACAGCTCCGTCCGCGCCCTAGGGGACCCGGGGGGGCTCTCCGACTTCAAGCAAAGCTTTTGAAGGTGCCGGCTTTTACACAAGCAGAGTTTCTGCCAAAACCACAAGGATCCATCGTGGAGAGGCGGGGCCGGGTGCGCGGGGTGGCGGGCGACGTCCGAGTCCGAAGCGGCCGTTCCTGTCACCCTTGACACTTTCCTGACAACGACCTTCCCCTCCTGGGACACCGCCCACGACGTGTGACTCAGGAGGTGTGCCGACTGTTCCAAGGAGTTGGTTCGAGATGCCAAGGATGTCGCATTGAGATGTCATCGATGAACGACGTTTTTGGAAGTCTTGGATGAAAGGCAACTTCGGACTGAAGAGGGGTGTTGCGAGTTACGACGGACTTACGCGGCTATCATGGCGAAGCTGCCGTGCGGACGGCCCTTTACGGCGGTAGGTAAGTCATGTACCTCCGGATATCCAGATGCGTCCTGTGCTTCGCTTGCGAGGGTAATTTGGATTCCAAGACACGTTTACAAGATGGCATCTGGTCTGTTGATCATCATTAGTGAGTTGTTGACTGTGACAACTGAAAGTGAACCGAAAGAACTCTGTAAGCTGGAAGTATGGATAGACATGGGAGGTAATAGGATCTGGAGGGAATAGTGCCTTCTTCGGGTTAAACTCTTGGGCTCAAGTTGTCCGCAAGCTCATCGTCCGAATACGAAATGGTCTCAAAAACAAGGCGGAACAGTCCTCACTGCCTCCACGCTCTCCTCCGCGTTGCGCTACCAGATAAGCATAACACCAAACGCACTAAAACCCGTAAGGGCCCGAGTAGTAAACAGAACAAGTTTACCTCCTTGGCGCCGCAGGGCCTCCTCGGCAGTGCGGGTGAAGTCTAATCGGCAAAAGTGCCCGACGCCCTTCCCGTCCCTGCTCGGGGTGGTCCCTGGTTCACACGCATTCCCGTCTGGAGCTCCCATCCCTACCGATCGACGACGCATGAACGTCGCCTTGCCTTGGGCATCGAGCCTCTAGCAAGTACGTCTTCGTGACTTTTGACTTCCATGATACGACCTGCAGACCACAGTCCGTCTCAAAGTCTAACGGGCACTTTTCCTGTTCCTATCAAGGAATGAGGGAAAATGGCCGGCTGCATGATGCAGAGAGACTTACGCAAGTCATCGCGGGTAACGAGTTTGGGACGAGAAGTTCAGACAAAGCGGTGCCTGCTTTTACTATATAAGAGTCGTTGTTGTCCTCGTCAACCAGACAATGTTCATCAGCTCTCATCTACTCATCACACTACAAGATAACTCATCTCATCTACATCCAACAATACCACCTCAATTACTTCATCAAACCAAACCACACAAACCACCCCAAACCACCAACCAAACAACCAAAATGCGCTTCTCCGCCACCGTCATCATCGCCGCCCTCGCCGCCACCGTCGCCGGCCTGCCCGTGAGCAGCCCAGCCGACATCAGCCCGGCCTTCGCCTCGGCCCTCAAAGAAGGCGTCGTCGTCGAGGAAGCCAATGTCGTCGAGACCAGAGCCAACACCCCCGCGGACGTCAAGAAGCACGACGACAACCACGCCAAGAAGGCCGCGAACAACTGCGGCCAGGGCTGCGAGGACTCGCTCAAGTCATTCCACTCCCAGGCCTCCAAGGACTCGAAGGCGTCCAAGGCGTCCAAGGCCTCGCAGGCCTCCAAGGACTCCAAGGCGTCCAAGGCGTCTCAGGCCTCGAAGAACTCCCAGAACTCCAAGAACTCCAAGCCTCGCGATGTCGCGAACCTTGAGGAGGAGATGGAGGAGTAGAGGTGGCGGGCAGTTTGGTAGACGGAGCGAATTGACTTAGACGGAGACTGCGGCGAGATACATAAGAACGATCAGTATATATTATGATATGAGACAGTAAATAAAGGAGCGTTATGGAAGACGAAACAAAAAAGAAATACTCGTTGTACTCGTTGTGAAGCTCAGTATTGCAGTGTTGGTTTTCGCTCTAGCACGCTCTGCTGTAACTCTACCCACCTCATCCCATTGACCAATCTCAATGCCACTCTAATCTGCAGTCCGCGTATCCTTCTCCAATCGAAATCCTCTCTTAATCCCAAAAGAACCTCAATCTGACGTGAGCGAACCAAAGCTTCGGGACCTTTAGATATCAGAACGGTGCCGAAATAGTGTTGCTTAACCGACCTTACCAATTAAACAGCCGCCGATCGCCACAAAGCTTGTCCTCCATAGCCAGCCCTTCATCCATCGTTCCCTCACGCTGAGATTGTTGACCAATTGGGGAGGTAAGATACATCATGGACTTTTCGTAAGCTCAATTCGATAGTTACAAAATGGCAATGTATCGCTGAGAAGGCTACCGGTGTACGTGGCACACAGTGGGATAAATGGGTACAAAGGAAGCGAAGGAATGCAGTTCCCCTCCCCATGTCTAAGTATCTCTAAGGGGGATGGTGGCCGTGTCTTACATGCCCCTCATGCCCCTCTCCTGCGGCGCCAGAACTGGACGACATCTCGAGGCGCTAGAGGTAGACTCTCTATATAATGACCTAGTGAACTTCATATGTTCATATTATCTTGGCGTGAACTTGAACTTCAAGACAGATCAAACCCATCTTACAGTCGCACCAGCTTCAGCTAGCTACAGACATCACAAACCATGCCCGTCCTCAAACCAGCGTCAGAATGGGGCCACTGCATCCCCCCCGAGTCCAACTACGGCATCACGACCTACGCCCCGGGCTGGGACTCGGCCATCAAGTTCCGCGAGGGTGACCAGGCTCTTATGGCGCGCGTCGTACACATATACCCGCGCTTCGGTCCGTTCCGGACAGTCAGCGAGGTGAGTTCCATTTCCCAGCCGGTTCCCTCACTCCACGATGTCCGTCCATCTCCGGCACGAGCACCCTCGCCGAGAAACGTAAAACTCACACACACATCCTCACAGACCCTCATGGCCATCTGCGCCAAACTATTCACCGCCCAAGGCCTCGGCGCCCTCTACTTCACATCCCCGGAAGCCCTCGCCGCCGTCCGCGCCCACGCCACCCACCCGAACCGCAAAGACCACGTCCTGACCCCGGACCAACTCGCCTACCGCTGCGTCGACATCGCCGGCGTCCGCATCTACCTCGTCACCTACCCCCTCCCAAAAACCCCCGGCGTCATCGGTGCCTGGCAGAACCCGGGCGTCGGCGTCTCCATCCGCCTCGCCGAGCACCTCCAGGCCAACCTCGACGCCCTGACGGAGGTGGACTTCCCCGCGGGCTCATCGCAGCCGCCGCCGACGAGCTACCTCCCCGAGGGCGACGCCCACCCCAGGCTCAGGGAGCGCGTCGCCGGCCTGCTGCGCTGCGCCGCCGTGGACCCGGGGAAGGTGGCGGTGCGGAGCGGGGACGTGTTCCTGTACATGACGGGCATGGCGGCCATCTTCGGGGCCCACCGGGCGCTGTTGCGGTACCGGCCCGGCGCGGTGGTCATCCTGGGCATCGCGTTCCACAGCACCATCCACTACCTCCAGGACGCCTCTCCGCACGGCTACAAGCACTTTGGGCGCGTCGACGAGGACGGGTTGGACGTTTTCGAGGCGTGGCTGGACGAGAGGGCTGCCGCCGGCGAGGACGTGAGCTATGTTATTACCGAGTTCCCGAGTAACCCGCTACTGGCGAGCATCGATATCGTCCGTCTGAAGACGCTCGTGAGTATTCCTCAACTTCAAACGGTAGAGCTCCAGGAACTGACCTACCCTAGTCCGTGAAGCACAACTTCGTCTTCATCATCGACGACACCGTCGGCTCCTTCGCCAACATCGACGTCCTCGCCCACTCCGACATCCTCATATCGTCCCTCACCAAGTCCTTCTCGGGCTACGCGAACGTCATGGGCGGCAGCGTCGTCCTCAACCCGCTATCGCCGCACTACGGCGCCCTCTCCCCGCTCTGGACCTCGACCTTCCACAACGAGCTCTACACCGGCGACGCGGACGTCCTCCTCTCCAACTCGGAGGACTACCTCGCCCGGACGGCGATCCTCAACCGCAACGCCGCGGCCATGACGTCCCACCTCGAGTCCCTGACCAAAGACCCCTCCTCGCCCGTCACCAGGGTGCTCTACCCGCCGCTGCTCCCAGACTACCCCCTCTACAAGCGCTTCCTCCGCCGGTCTACCCCCGAGCTGGAGGAGCCCGGTGCGGGATGCCTGTTCAGCGTGGACTTCGAGTCGCTCGAAACGGCGCGGGCCTTCTACAACCGGCTGGCCTTCTACCCCGGCCCGCACCTCGGCGCGCACCGCACGCTCAGCTTCTGCTATAACACGCTCGCGTTCGGCAAGGACGCCGACGAGGCCGCGTACCACCGCACGCACGGCATCCTGGAGGAATCGGTGCGGATCTCGGCAGGGCTGGAGGATGTGCAGGACCTGCTGGATACGCTAGACGACGCTCTCGCCGTTGCGAACGCGGCGAAGGAGGAGTCCGCCAAGGGGCCGAGGACGGTTGAGGCCGCGGCGGGGACGGGTGTTGCTGCGTGAGAGTCAGACCTGGTTGCGCTGTCACCTCTTTTCTAACGTAGCGTAGTTAGCTTGAATATCCTTTCGGCCGAGATCGATTTGTCGCGGATGGAATGTTCCGAAATGTTCTAGCCATCTGAGAGACAGTGTCTCTGGTTGTGTTAGCGCCTGCCATTCCAAGGCCATGCACAGGGGGGAAGTGACAATGTGATGGCAATAAAGGAGTCCAAATTGAAACAGTCATGTGTACTTGGCATGACCGCGGCTTGTTGTTGAACTGCCTCGTGAGAATCTGGTTGGAATAATCCGTTTGGTTTCAGGGTAACTTTCAGAGTGTGAAGTGAGGTTTGACACAAAAATAAGGCCTTGATTGTGCCAACTGGCGGTCGCGCATCGTGTGCTGCATCCAACGCCAGTTGTATTGCTCGTGGTAGCACGATAGTGTTTGATAATTAAAGCAACGCTGCATGATAGATACGAAATATAAGCCATATCCATATTGTTACAACCCGAAGAGACCATCTAGCCCCGTACCTATACATGTTCTAGCCTCGATCTTCTTTCAAGGGTTACATTACTCCTTGGGGAAGAGTTCCGCCGAGATGTCCTTCCTCTGGTGGTTGGACCTGCTCGAGCTGCTTCCAATCACTGTCGGCGCGTCGCCGTCGAAGTCAGGGTCGTACTCCGCGTCGTCTGCGTTCTTTGCCTTCTTCAATTTCAAACTCGCACGATCATCCGCGTCGGCCTCTTCATCGCTCTCGTCCCTGTCATCGTACGGGCTTACTCCGCTGTGCCTGGAGCTCCACTCGGGGTCTTCGTCGGGCACGCGCTCGTGCTCGGTCTGGGGCTGCTTGATGAAGGAGTCGATGATGTAATACTGCAGCGCATTCATAATGAGCGGGAAGAACATCATGACGAAGAAGATCTGCAGTTGCTCGTTGCCCTCGGTCCATCGCAAGGCCCAGTCGCCGACACGCGAGATCCACGGCAACAGGAGGAAGATGATGAGAACACAGAGCTTCATGCCAAACAGGCCGCAGAAGTAGATGGTAGACTGCTTCAACCACCACCAGGCGTTTGGTGGTGTGCCATAGTGGCCGGACTTTATCGATTCGGCGGGCTTGCCCATCGGTGTGTAGGCCGCGAGACCGGTGAGGATTCGGAGGAGCACGATGAGGATGGGAATGCCGATCGTTGTCTAGGACACACGTTAGTCGTATGCAATAGTACGCAGGGAGCAGAGCACTCACATCGATTGCGAGATTGAGCAGGTAAAACGAGCAAGGATTCGGCGTGTAGTCCTCGTCGCGCGTGACCAACCTCCGCACGTTGGTCGTCGTCGCGGGATCCAGCGTGACGGAGAAGCGACCTGACGTCAACATGGACATGAAGACGTTGGCGATGTGCACCAGAACCGAGCCAAACACCTGCTTCGATACGTCAAAGAACCAGATCTTGACAGGACGCTGCGGTCGTTCCCTCCACCGCTTGTATACCAAGGACAAAAGCGCAAGGCCACCGAGGGCGGCCTGGACGATGAGGGCAAAGGAGCCGAGAAGGCTGCACTCGCCGTTGCCGCCAGATTCGCCTCCTTCCTTCATGGTAGCGGTCGCAGTCGCGGCGGCGGCGGATGAGACAACAGTGGCGACGATACCAGCGAGGGTATCTGCTGCTGCCGGGTTCGTGATGGGAATCATGGTGGATGTTGCTGCAGCAGCTACGGCGGCGGCGAGTGTTGTTGATGTTGGCAGCGCATCTTCGGCGCCAGTCGCTATTGCGTAGGGCGGTGGGGGGGCCATTGGAGTGGCCGATCCGGGGAATAAGTACGACTAAGGGAGGGCGAGACGCGGTCTGTCTTTGTGACGTCTTTGACGAGGGAGGGGCGAGATGCGGCGTCGGAATGTGGATGACGTTTTGGGGAATCGGGGTGGTGGGCGGTCTCTCTTTTGGGGTCGGGTGAGAGGTTTGGCTGACTAGCTGCGAGACACAAGCATGCAGGTCGAAAGACGGACACCGCTCGAGGTAATGGTAGAAGACCGAAGACGAAGACGGACGGACGGGGGAGGAAGAGAAGAAAAAGAAAGGAACAAGAAACGCGCTTGCAGGCCGTTGCAAACACACACTTTCAGGAGGGGCGGTTGTTCAAAGAAGAAAAAGGGAGAAACAAGCGTGGTAGAAAAGGGTTTAGAATAAGGTGAAGAATAAGCGGTTAGGCAGAAGAGATGAGGAAAAGAAACAAGGCACTTTTTAGGTACGGACGCCAAAAAGGTGATGATCCACGAGATGGATCAAGTGGAAGGCTGTCACGAGGCGGAGTAGTAAAAGTGACATGCAAGCACGGACTTTTAGGTGAGGGAGGTGCAAGTTACAAATACACGAACTGCGGCGGTGGCAGGACTTGGAACTGGCTTTTTCTTTCGAGGGGGCCCAAGGTCAGTGCAGCCAGCAGGTAAGAAGACAGGCAGCTAAAATAACGGAAGTCTATTCGCGAGTTGGAGCATGGGAGGCCGAGCTTCCCTGGGGATTGTCCGCGATTGCCAATGTCGGGTCGCGATTGCGGTGGTCTGGCACCCCGAGTCGACAGGTCATCGAGCCATCAGCAACATCAGCGAACATCAGCGTAAAACACACAAGGGCATTTGGGTGGGATTGGGATTGGGGGAGAAAAGGACCTTGGGACCCTCCGCCCCCCCGTTTGACTTTGTTGATGGACTCCCAGTTGGCTCCCAGTTGGCTCCAGGTTCTGACACAAGCTTACTTCTGATTGGGCTTAGCGTCCCCGCATTGGACGGACCTGGCTTGCCGCGAAGATTCGGCTCCAAGCGAGAGCGATACGATAGATGATAGGGGGGGCATTTCTAGGTAGGTATGGCGCTAGGAAAAGGCTCCCAAGAGAGGTCGGGGGACTTTATTTCGCTGTGGAGCAGCACCGATGTATTTCACGATGCACCGGAAGAAAAGAAGCGCGGAACAAACGAGGAAATAGGGGACCCGCGGACACCTTTTTCTAACGGGGATCCAAGACCGCCGAGCCACCGAAACCACTTTCCGGGCAGGAGAAGGCAACAAAACACCACCATCGCACCACGGAGGCGCAGCGGCCAATGTCCGTCCAATCTCGTCCGCACGCGAAGGTTTGAACCCGTTGATCTGACAGTCCCGCACTAAACAGATTTACGACGGGCACAGATCTTTCCCTGTGATCTTTACCTTAATACCCCCTAGCTGCTCTGCTACTCGTCGCGATGCGAACTTCATACATGACCCATCTAACCCCGTCACAGCATCGCATCCACCGCCGGCGCGTAGGTAAGTCGATGTTCGGCGGCTTGGGAATTACTTAATAGTCGTACTCTGTAATTACATCCTTAGGTAACGGCAGACTAAGTGAAACACATGACAAGAAATCGACCCGCCGAGAGACACACTACTGCTCGGCACCTTTGAGTCGAACAATCAATCCAGATACCCGACCCGAATTCTTTAACCTCAGTTCCCCCGTCTCACCTCTACTGTCCGCACCGCACGACTCGTCGGCTATCAATAGCAACGTCCCTCCCAACCCAGCAACATCTTCCTCTATTGTCTCAGTGCCCAGCCCGTCGGCCGTCTCGTGTCTCTTAGCGCCGCTGACGAGAGCCTCCCTCAGGGTCCAGTCCCGAAGCCCTGGTTGTCCCGGTGTCTGGGTTTGTCAACTCAGCCGTCTGCGTGGAAGCTGCATGGAACGTTGACTTGGGCTCCCGCATTGCGATCGTGTGTTACATTACATCTCACAATCTGCCGACTAAACCCGTCGTGGCTCTCATTGTCCATTGCGGTGGAATGGGCGGGCATGTCCTAGGGGAAGGTCTAGCCAGAGCGGAATGTTGTTCAATGTTCCAGCCTATTCGTCCATTTCCAAGAGAGGAATGAGAAGAACGAGGTAAATCGCCGTCTAAATGACATATGATGCAAATAAAAAACGCAACAAGCTCGCTTTTCCCATATCGAAGGACCTCGCGGTTCATGAGCTACTGCGTGTACGTCGTCCATATCCTGTGGCAACCCAAAATCGTTCAAGAAACCTTACGCCTAAGCAATCACCAGCTTGTCCAAAGCAACCCTGGCCATCTCTATGATTTTCAAGCAATTCCGGTCCTCCTTGCTGTCGCTCTTGTTTTCCGGCACCATCAGACTGTACTGCGTATGGAGCATTGGGTGTGGGTGGCCCGCCGCCACCATTGCGTCCAGTGCATCGTGTCGGTTGTTTGATCTGTCCTCCATCTCTTTAATGGCGTCCCTGAGACCAAAGTGGTGGTACGGCGCCCTCTTTCCCGTCGAATCCTTCCGTTCGAAATCGTATCCGTAGACGTCAATCTTCAGAAGAGCTCTGACCGACTGCCTCCAGATGTCGGGGTCCATCTCGCGGTTATCATATCTTTCGACAGCACCGCATTCATCGTCCCCTCTGCTCATTTCGCCCCAGAGACCACCGTACTCGGCGAATCGGAATGTGATTTTTCGCTTTTCTTGTTTGGCCCGTGTGGCCTCGTCGTCGATTAATTCGAGGATTTTGGCGTACGCATTAGCTGTTGCTGGGAGGATCGTGCCCAGCATCATCATGTTCTGAAATGACTGCATGGGAGGAGGCTTCGAAATATCGGTATTTGCACACAACGGGCAATTGATAACGTCGTGGGCTGTTCGGGAGGCTTGCCTAGCCATGGTCATGGCGATCTTGACGTCGTTCGGAAGTCGTGACAGGGCGTCGAGGGAGAGGAATATCTGGGAAAGACATGAACACGAGATGTTGGCGTACGCCTTAATGATAGTGCCCTCGTTTTCGGGTTCAGAATTCGTGTCATTCGTCTTGGGAGATGATGATTCTGGCGTGCTGTTGTTGATGGTATTGGAAGAATCTGACAATGCGGTGGGTGAGACAGAGAGATTGTCGGGCACTTGCGCCGACAGCAATTCTGTTAAACTTTTACTGATATCTTGAGGCAAGTCCTCGTCAGCAGAGTCACTTTCGTCGAAGTTGATGCCACCTAACAGGTCAACACCCCCAACCCCAAACTGGAAGTCTCCAGTAGGGTACCGTGGCTCGGTGTAAGCCATGGTGTTGAGGCTCGACAGCTCAGGCGGCAGCGTCGAACCCGGCAGCCCGTTCAGGGGAGAGAGCAGGTCAAGGTAGTCCATGTTGAAGTCCTGGTTGAAGAAGGCAGAGAAATCGGTGTCTAAGGTCGGTTGTGTGATGAGTGGCACTTGCGGCAGCTGCTCCTGGCTTTGCGGTTTCGTCGAGGGTTGCCCTGCGGCTTCTTCGACATGTCTACGCTTCCTCGGCCGACCCATCTGCTTCTGAGGCGAGTAGACACATCTCAGACCCTCTCTCATGCACCGCGAACAGCCTTCTGGCTCTTTGGTGCAAGCAAGCTTTCGTGATCCTGGTTGGGCTTGTGAGTTACCGAGCATGGGTTGAAAGCAGGATGCGTCTACTTACGGCACTCATCACACGCGCGATGCTTGACGACACCGTTCGCCGACTTGGACTGGCTACTACTCTGGGGCATGACTGAGAGTGACAAGGATTTAAGGGGATGATAGAGGCTTTGTCGTGATGTGCCTGACTATTTGCGATGGACGAACTATTCCGATTACTCAGAACTTTCCACACTGTCGGGGTGCGGCGTCCGGGAGGGTTATATGTTGATGGAGGGGAATGTGTGTAAGGTGACGACAGCGTTCGGTCTGTGACTCTAGAACGTGGCAGCAACAACGGCGATGGGCCACACGATGATGCCCTGGCTAGTTCGTGGCTTGCCCCTTCAGCTGGTTCTCGGGGTGTTTCTCTACGGCCACGGTCTCCACGAGGTGGAATTGCGAATGGCGACGCCGAAGGGTGTGATGCAGAAGCAATGTAGTGAGCCTGAAGGGACAGGCCGGGGAGAATGCAAGACAAACACGAGCGGGTGTGAGCAGAAAGGGAAAGCTTGTCTGCGGCGGAGGTAGTCGAGTCCAAAGATAGGTAAATGTGGTTGACATGGACTGGACAAGTTTAGGCATGTCTAAGGTTGGTGGCAGCCACGCAGCGCAGCTTACCTTAGCACAGAAGGAGTGGCCGCCTAAGACTAAGACCAACTCAGTGGTACGTCTACCTACGGCAAGGCACCTGGGCCAAGTACACCACAGCAAGCCCCCTTTTGCGTCCTCACCAGCAAAAAGAGTCGTCACTCACTGGCCGAAGAGGGGAAAGGATTCGAGGCGGCGTAAGCATCACCCCGACCTTGCATATTCTGGAGCCCAAATATGATGTATCTTTGCTAGGTGTTTGAGATGGCTCGGTATTGAAATCACTGTGTGGAAGGAGCTTTTCTATCCTGGGTACTCAATGTGCAAGGAACTCACTCACACGACGAATACTCACTCACTCATTCACACCACGCACTCATTCAACATGGGCACTAATCAGGCTTTTTTGTCAGGTCTCAGTCTCTGCTCAACCTGATGAAGCCACAGAAATTGACACCCTCATAAGATAGGGAAAGCTACGAGATCGAGAAGGACGAAGTGTCTTGGCATCATTTGAGGCGGTTTTCGCGGCGGCGTGATTGGCCAAGTTCATCTAATTTACACGCGTTTGAGTCATCGACAGACCAAGATAGCATCACTTACATACTGCATGTGGCCGACATGGATCACCTTTGGACAACGTTGAATGCGTGTCGGGGCGTCCTAGGGGTGTCTGGCATGAGTGAGTTGACAATTGGGATAGAAAGCCATCTCAACCCATCTCGCACCACTTGGGCCCCTTCAGGCATGGTGACATGCTGTATCTTCCGTAAGGCGCCGCCGTCAGGAACCTTACGGGATCGTGGGAGATTCCCATTCATCTCTAAGAGGCGTTTCCTACGTCCACTCTTGCCAAGAATATCCATCTGTCTTGGTGGCTTTGCTAGCTACTGTACGGATAGAATAGTCTCATGCTACGTTGTAGTGTTTTCAGTGTACCTCAGTAAATTGCTTCGGGTTAGCGATGGGACGGCTGAAAGACGCCCTGTAAAGCCCAACACAGGCCATCCCAGCTGCATAAGCTGCCCGCCGGTGCGTGAGGAAATATCCGGAGAATGCACTCGGTGATGCTGGGCATTCAGGTGACTCGACCAGCGACAGCCACCGTGGCGCTGCATCATTCTCACGGCGTCCAGCACTTCTTCGAGAACTGCGATGCTGGGCTGGCTACCAGGTTAAACCGTTCCAAAGTCCAGCCACTGAGAAACCATGCGATTGCAGTGCCCCACTTTTGATTTCGGTCAACCCCGCCAGGCGGTGTGGAACGCGCTCGCACTCGGACGGCAGAAACCTCCACTGGGAAAAAAAAAATTTGGGCAGGCGCAAACCGCCATGCACCTGCATCGCGAAGCTCCAAAAATAGCCCACTCCAAGGCAACCTTTTTCGCTTTCAAACCAACTCAATGGCACGACAAGCGTTAGGAAAGCGGAAGACACCGCAGGCTACGGCCCCTGTCGAGGACGAGCTGACAAATGCAACGTTGGATGGTATCTTGTCTCAGAGCGAGGATGATTCCGACTACGAGGAGTCTTCCGGTGACGAGGTCGAGCTGGACGGCGAGTTGTCGGAAGACGAGGACAATGATGACGAGGAGGACATCCTGAGCGACGATATTCCCTCCGACGCCGAGGACGACCTGTCCGCGAAACTCAAATCATCAAAGCTGAACAAGGACGCCGCCGGAGAGGACGACGACGAGCCCAACTACAGGGTCGTCAAGGACGCCAATGGCAACGACCGCTACGAGTACGATGAGATTGACCCCGTCTACGACTCCGATGACTCCGACGCGCAGGAGCAGACCAATACCATTGGCAACATCCCTCTGTCCTTCTACGACTCCTACCCGCACATCGGCTACGACATCAATGGCAAGAAGATCATGCGCCCGGCTACTGGTGAAGCGCTAGACGCTCTGCTCGAGACCATTGAGATCCCCAAGGGATGGACTGGCTTGACGGACCCCGCGACTGGCAAGCCCCTCAACCTGAGCCAGGATGAGCTTGAACTTCTGCGCCGCGTCCAGATGAACGAGGTTCCCGAGGAGGGCTACGATCCGTACCCCGTAAGTAGCAATTGCGCCTAGACGGTTATCCCCACGACTAACAAGGTAAAGGAAATGGTCCACTGGTTTACCGCCCACGAGGAGAAGATGCCGCTTAGCGCCGCACCCGAACCGAAACGCCGCTTCATCCCTTCCAAGCACGAAGCCAAGAGAGTCGCCAAGCTGGTCAGGGCTATCAAGGAGGGACGCATCCTGCCATACAAGCCTGAGGAAGAGAGGGAGAAGGAGGAGGCCGAGAAGGAAGAGAACTACTACGACATCTGGGCGAACGAGGAGGAGCGCCCACCACACATCATGAACATCCCGGCACCAAAGCTCCCGCCGCCCGGCTACGACCTCAGTTACAACCCCCCTCCTGAGTACCTCCCGACCGAGGCCGAGAGGGAAGAGTGGGAGAAGGCCGATCCCGAGGACAGAGAAAAGGAATACCTCCCCGCCAAGTTTGATTCGCTGCGCAAGGTTCCTGCCTACGGCGAATTCGTCAAGGAGCGCTTCGAGCGCTGTCTCGACCTCTACCTCGCCCCCCGCGTGCGCAAGAACAGGCTCAACATCGATCCTGCATCCCTCCTTCCCAAGCTCCCCCGTCCCGAGGAACTCAGACCTTTCCCCACGTCCAGTCAAACTGTCTTCCGGGGTCATGAAGGCCGTGTGCGGTCGGCCGCCATCAGCCCTGACGGAGAATGGCTCGCAAGCGGTGGTGACGACGGTACCATCCGCCTGTGGCACCTCCGTACCGGCCGCCAGGAGTGGTCCGCCAAGATCAGCCTCGACGAGGCCGTCAACGTCGTCCGTTGGCGCCCGACCAAGGAGACCTTCATCCTCGCCGCCGCCGCCGGAGAGGACATCTTCTTTGCCGTGCCCCCTCGCGGCGCCGACGGCGTCGACAAGGCCAGCCGCGACATCCTCGACGCTGGGTTTGGTTACGCCGCCCAGAACCCCCAGCCCACCGTCGCCGTCACCAAGGAGCAGCCCGGCAAGTGGGCTCGCCCCGGCTCCAAGCTCGAGGCCCTCGGTGTCCTGCTCAAGGCCACCGTCAGATCGACGGTCAAGGTCATCAACTGGCACCGACGTGGCGACTTCCTGAGCACCGTCTCCCCCACAGGCCAACGCAGCGCCGTTGCCATCCACACCCTCTCGAAGCATCTGACTCAGATCCCCTTCAGGAAGCTCCCCGGCCTCGCCCAAACCGCCCAGTTCCACCCCTCGCGCCCCCTCTTCTTCGTCGCCACGCAGCGCATGATCCGCTGCTACGACCTCCAGCGACAGGAGCTCATCAAGGTCATCCAGCCCGGCGCCCGCTGGATCTCCTCCTTCGACGTCCACTCCGGCGGCGACAACATCATCGTCGGCTCCTACGACCGCCGCCTCCTCTGGCACGACCTCGACCTCTCCAACCGCCCCTACAAGACCATGCGCTTCCACGCCGAGGCCATCCGCGCCGTCAAGTTCCACCGCGGCCTGCCCCTCTTCGCCGACGCCTCCGACGACGGCACCCTCCAGGTCTTCCACGGCAAGGTCGTCAGCGACCTCATGGAGAACCCCACCATCGTCCCCGTCAAGATGCTCAAGGGCCACAAGGTCGTCAACAAGCTCGGCGTCCTCGACGTCGACTGGCACCCCTCGGAGCCCTGGTGCGTCAGCGCCGGCGCCGACGGCACCTGTATCCTCTGGACCTAGGGTTGCCCAGTGTATGGAGGATACTTGTATGTTTTTACATAAAAAAAAGACAGCGAGGCGTTTGGAAGAACCAAAAAAAGAAAACAAGAAATCCCACATGGAAGATTCACCCGTTGCTTTTTATTTGCTTTTGCATCATATTAAATATGCCTTGGATTATCCAAAAACTCGTATTATAATGGACGTCGATTTCGCACATACAATGATTTTCATAAACAGTCGTACGTCTCCGGCTCTCCCGGGCCAATCCATCCTCCTCGAGTGACAAGAAAAGGCCGGTACGTTCGTGTTCGTGCCATTGGTTCGTACCCGGATTCATTGGCTACAAGACACTGCCACGTTCCAGAGTCACCTCAGATCGTGAACTCCCTGGTCCAATCACATTGTTCTTTTACCCACTTTCTCACATCTGCCCGACGATGGTAACACCCCCCTCCCTCTCATTTGAGACGTGTGTCTCTCCATGGGCGTGTGCGTGTACCTAAGGTAAGGTAGCTTACGCGAATAGCGGCGTCGCGGACATGATGTCGCCGAGGGGGGTTGTAAGCGACGGGTGCCTAAACGTGGGACCGGGGGATCAGTCATGCCTTCTTCATTACTAAACCTCTCCTCTTCCCCCTCCGCTGCTTGAACTTGACGACGCAGGTTTACTGATGGTGTTACGAAACCTTTGGCGTACCTCTTCGTCACTCTCTCGGCGTTTATGAAGAGTAACAACTACAACATGGCGTCCTTGCGTTGGCTGGTAGGCCGACATATTCAGACAGAATCGGCACCTATGCATTTCACTCGATACGAATCCGAAAATATTGGGGGATATTTGAGGATGGCCTTGTCTTGACTACCTACTTCACAGCATCCTCGGCAGCAGCGAACCTCGACATCCTTCACGTCAACCCCCAGACCCCCTCCCTAAACCTCTCAAAAACACCCAGATCGATCCCGGCAGCCATGGCCTCATACCCGGCCGGGTTGAGATGCAGGTGATCCCCCGTATCAAACTCCACCCTCAACCTCTCCGGCGCCGCGGGGTCCCTGACCATCTCGTCGAAATCGAACACGGCGTCGAACCGCCCGCCCTCCCGAATCCACGCGTTCACCCGCTGCCGCGTCCTCTCCCTCTCCGGGTCCGAGTACGCCTGCCCCTCGCCCGTCAGCGGCGTGATCGTGGCCCCGAACACGGCGATCCCGAAGCGGTGCAGCCGCGTGACGATCTGGTCGTACGCGGCCACGAGCCTGTCGCCGACGGCCTTCTGCGTCGCGGCGTCCGTCGCGGCGGTGCCGATGTCGTTGACGCCGATGAAGACGACCGCGTAGCGGACCCCCGTGTGGGCGATGACGTCGCGGTCGACGCGGCCGAGGGCGTTGGGGCCCAGGCCGTCCGCGAGGACCCTGTTCCCCCCCGCGGCCTGGTTCACGATGGCGACGTCCTGCGTGGAGGACGTGTTCTGGAGGCGTGCGAGGAGGCGGTCGGGCCAGCGGTTGTTCGCGTTCGTGGTCGAGCCGCGGCCGTCGCTGATGGAGTCGCCCACGATGGCGACGGCGGAGGAGCCCTTGGGGACGTAGGACTCGATGGCGCTGATGAGGTACCAGTGGTCGGTGGTGGTGGCGTCGGCCAGGTCCTGGTCGGCGACGTGGTTGCCGTTGACGAGGAACGAGGTGGTCCGGCTGCCGGGGTGGCCCGTGATGCTGTTTGTGGACTGGCCGTTGGCGAGGTATATGGTGACGGAGACGACGGACTGGGCGTCGGCTGCGAGGTCGATGGGGTCGGAGAAGAGGACGGCGCCGTTGGGGACGGTGAAGGCGCCGCCGCCGGAGAAGGTGACGACCTGGAGGGAGTCTGGGTCGATTGCGCTTGTGCCGGCGGTGTTGTTTGCGGTGCGGGCGATTGTGACGGCCGTGATGGGGAGGTCGGAGGCGCCGAAGGCGTTGCTGATCTGTAGGCGGAGGGTCGAGGACGGGAGGGAGAGTTTGACTGTCTGGCGGAGGGATGCGTCGTTGAAGACGCGGCCTGTTTCGTTCTGGGCTGGGGTCAGTTGAGGTTCCGTTCGAGGACGAGGTTGGACTTACGAAGGGCGCGGGAGGGAGGTTAGCTGGCTCGGTGAGTTGAGGCATCGTGCCCCAGACGGTCACCCATTCCCTCTCGTCTCTGGTGGGACAGCGCGGGCGTGCTTGTGCCAAGGGTGAGGCCAGAAGAAGGGCCGCGAGGGCCGTCTTGAGGGAGAACATTGTCACGATGTGAAGTCACTCGGGTCCTGGGAGATCATCACACCAGCCTCAGCTGCGGGAGATGAGCAAGATATATGAACGTAAGTCACGGCTAATCTCATTGCGTCCGATGCCCCTCAATATGTCATGCTTTTCAATTGGCATCATTGCTACCCTCGCCATGTGGGTGCGCGCGATGTTCCGGCAATACGGAATTTATGGGTGAGGATGATTGGGGTTGAACCTAGTCGAAGTTCAGGCTAAATTCAAACTCCGTGGAGATTTGGAGAAAAAAGATGAGTTCATCCCATGCGATACGACGCCGTCCCTGGGTTCGTCCCGCTTTAGGGAATAGTTTCCCCGCATGACGGCGATTCATTGGAGTGTTGATGGCGGAAGATCTGGAGTTGGAGACACCGAAGAGTGGTCCGAGATTAATTAGACTCGGTGACGGGAGAAAATGTAACGGTAGCGAAAGGTGGGATAATGATCGAGGATTGACATTTCGACGTTACGCTAATATGCTCACCAAAGTGAGCACATAGGAGAGCACTAGTACGAAGATTCCAAAAAAGGGAAGGAAAAAAAAGACTCTGTTTGATTTCTCCAAAGTACACACATCCTTCGCATCGCAAACGTGACAAAAAGAAACCCGAGATGATGACAATTCGGGTTACAGGGAAACGAAAAGGAGGAACGCCAACGAACAAGGCCAGGCGTGGTAGTTGACCATGCTGCCTTACAAGTCGAGTTCGCGAAAATCGGCCGGCAGAGAAGTCTCAGCAGCCCAGTCGCCAGCGCCCGTGACGAAAGACTCGGACTCGTGGTTCACCATGCCGTAGTTGTCATCATGGGTTGCAGTCGAGTGACTGACGCGAGAGGGACAGCGGACCTTGATGCTCGCTTTGGAAGAGATATCCTTGACGTCGAAATCACCGGGACACCGGCGACCATGCATCCACTCGTAGATGGTGCGTGCCCCAGATGGCTGGCTTTCCAGATTGTGGATAGTTATGTTGCTCGAAGTCAGCGTGAATGCGCTTCCGGGCAACATCGGCGGTGGGGCGATGCTGGTCGGCTTCCGGTTCATAACGGTGCCGTTAGATCCCGCGCCTTCGGACGGAGGCGGCGAGACGGTGTCGGAGTGGCTGATGAAGACAATATCATCATCATTGCCCACCAGGCTGTCGTGGGCCCCATCTGATGTATTTGGAGCAACACGGCGCTGTGCGATGGAGGGCGAGGATTCGTTCGATATGTTCCACTGAGGACTTCGATGCTCCTGGTAACGGCTGTCGTGCTGGAATTCTCCAGCATGGAAGGGGATGTGGGTATGCTTATGGCCTTCCAGACGTTCCATTGTGAAGTTGTGGGCGTTGGGATCGTTGCGGAGGGGAGGTAGGTATTATCGAATCGCGTGTCTGGCCAGACGTTGAGTGATGCTGGCTGAAGGTCGGTGATGCTGATGGCACAGCTGTGTTAGCCCTCCGCTTGAGCGATGGCAATGGAGAGCCCGGCGGGTGAGACTCACCACAGAACTTTGAGGACGGCTCGGACTGTGCAGGGCGTGTTCTCGGAAGATCAAGTGGAAGGAATGGTGACAAGCTGGTGACTTGCGAGATCACCGACTGTTGGGGGTTGGCTTTCTTTTCAGAGAAGCGCGGGTTGTTGTTGCCGTTCCAGGTCAACTTCTACAATGTCTCTTTCAGATGATATGATGGAGGGGTGAGATATATGAGGAATGATTTTGTATACTGAGGAAGGGAAGCAAAAGCGGAAGGGAAGGGGAGCGGAGGGGAACAGCCGATATATACGGCCGCGGTGGTTTGGTGTGGGTGAGGTGGACTGGCGATGGATGTCGGAACTTGGGGTCACTGAACGTTTTAATGTTTTCACTACCGTCTTATTCCCCTCGTACCTTACCTACCTTACCTCGCAGTGTCTACATCACTTCATCTTCGACTGGCCTAAGCAAGTTAGGTGCAGCAGTGGCAGTACGTAGGCGCATGCATTGCGTCCCGTCTGACGCAGGCGTGGTAGGTAAGGTAGAGGAAAGAGAGGGTCTGGAGGAAGGAGCAAAGACAGTGGAGAGCCAAGACAGGTGGAGGGGGCAGTCTGGGCAGGTGGAGGGGGGGAGGGGCGGGGCGTGGATGCGCAAGGAAGGTACTCAGATTCGTAAAGACACCTCGTTACCTGTCTCTGAGTGTCTCTTTACTCCTTCTGATTTACCTCCATGTCAGGTATCTGCCTTCTTTCCTCAAGCAAGATATGCGAGTGAAATGCTCTACTTGCAGAGGTACGTAGGTATGCACTTTATTCTCTCCTGCCCCAAGTCAACAACCAATGTCTCGTACCAATGTAAGGTACCTTGCATTAGCAGTCCATCCGTTAGGACAGTCAACCGGCCGGCCATCTTGTTCAACAGGAATCCACTCGAGAAGCCCGCGCCTACAAGAGAGACCTACCTGATGTCTGCTTTTCAGACCAACTTGCGAGAGACAAATCCAGAATCGTCCGATGGCTTTCTTGGCACTCTCGGGAAAGGCACATCGGTCGGTGCACCTGGTCTTGCTCTTGCTCGTCCACAGTTTTTGGCCTCAGGTCCAGCATCCTTCCTCCGCCCTCCTACCCTCCCTTCCTCTCACTAATGCTCTTTCCGTCCTTTTCGCCAGCCTCACTTTTCCTCTCGTCACGGCGGTCTTCTCTGGGCAGCACGTCAAGCTCCGCGCATTTGCGCTTGGACGTTCGCTTTTAGGCCATGTGCGTCAACTTTTCTGCGTTTCTCTTCGTGGCACAAGACCACAATCCATGTCGATCGAGTTGACAGGTTACAGTCTCTGTCAGTGAGACATTCCGACGCCGAGACTACTGTCAAAAGAACGACCCGAGTCCCGGCCGTAAGAACCCCTGTTTGTTTCTTCAATGTCAAGAATTCTGACGTACTGTATCGCGACAGCGTGGCTCTGTTGTATGGAGTTCGAGATGCTCACAAATGGGGGTTGAGTTACACCACAAGACGCGCTAAAAAGTACTGGGCCACACTGATCTCCGCACGATGCTATGCGGGTTGATATGTCACCCGCGTCAATCTGGACCCTCAAACAGAATTCTTGGGGCCGGGCAGCATCTTCAATTCGGGCAGCAACCCGTGATATCTCAATTCTATCGCACTTGATATACGTCTATCTCCAAGACTCGGTCTGGTTCTCCTCGCGACACGATCAACCCAAGATGACCCCAAGGGCAGGCCAACGCTGCCCGTGAACCGCCCACGCCCAGATCAGCAACAAAAACCTCGGCTCAGGGATTCGCGAATGACGTCCCTGCCCTTGAGCTTCGCAAGTTTGTGTAACACACCGTCTGTACGAAGTACTTTGGGATCCGGCAACACTGCCAGCCACACGAAAGTACACACCCTCACTCAACACCATCTTCGAGATCGTTCAGTTCATTTTGCGATAGACGTCGGCTTCAGTCTTGTCTCCAGAGAAAAAAACCCAATAAATTGCCCAAATTCAACCGCTCAAATTCAACGACCGGCAAGATTGGCGAGCACGACACCGATATCAACGGCTACACTCGGCGCATCCTTCACCGAAGACATGGCTGTTGTTATCAAAGATAACGAACGGCGCGTGAACGTCTGGACTCGCCTCGCAACGATTCCGCATTCGTCGCTTATCACCTTGAAACACGCCGCCGACTTTTAGCAAGTTGCCAGAGCTGCTGTCACGTTCTGTCATCTTCATCCATTTTGGTGACTCACTTCCGGCCGGAACACTTTCCAATGCCACCAAATGTCTTGACCTCGCCCAGTCCCTAAAGCCGGGCTTGAAAGCCTCTCGACATCGGCCGTTCATCAAATCAGCAGCATCTTGGGCCAGCCAGCAATACCTAGTTGCACTTCAGACGATCTCGTTCGACGGTCAGTGTCAACAACTCTGAAGGTTCGGACTTTTGTCGTGCATCAAAGCCAAATCACGTTCGGAGATCGATCATCTGAACAGGAACGAGCCAGGGTCAGAATCTGGGATGCAGACAAGTGGAATCCCAGTCTCGAACACACGTCACCACGGTCACGGGAACTTCAATGTCGAATCCCAATATCTTTTGCGACAGATGCCCAACACCAACCATTGGCTATCCCTTGCCACAAGCTGTGATAGGATGCCGTATGGTTCTCCCGGTCTTCCTCCGTTGAACGGTCACCCGGCTGGCACGCTGTGCAGATGCACTGCCGGCGACGCCGAACGCAGCGCCAGGGATATGCGACAAGCTAGCTATGCGTGCTGACAGCTCTGAGATCATCGAACATAACAACACATAACACTGCAAAACTATTGAAGACGCATCGAATAACACAGCCACGGGTTCAATGGCTCATCAATGATAGGAAAGATCTTCGACGCAGCTCTCCCGTCACCTGATACAAGAAACACCCGGCCTGCGCCGAAAAACCGGCGGAATGGCTCCCGGGGATCCATAATTCTCGGGCGAAGTGGAAGTCCTGGGAGGAGCATCTGTAACTCCCGCCGTCCAGTGACAACGCAGTTTTGAGGTGTGTAGTATCGCTTGCCCTCGCCGGTCTCAGATGTCGTCAACAAGGAAAGCAGGGTGTCCAGCCAGGAACCTCGAGCATTCGTCGAAAGAGTACGAGCCCGATGGGAATCCAACGCCGCACCCCTGAAATTGATCGAGACACATGATCTGTGTTCCGGGCCGGGAGCGTTCCCCGGGGACGCGCAGAGAACCAAACACACACACACACACACACACACACACACACACAAAAAACAACGCATCTCAAAATCGCGAATTGTCCGTAAACCAAAATAGCTGGGCAAAGCGCCGCGGTCACTCAAGATGGGCGTACTCTCGTGACAGTCGGATCCGCCCTGAGGGAAATACTTCCCCTCCAAGTACCACTCACAGTCCTATCTCACGAGCGATTTTGGAGCCGATCTTCCAAGAAGCCAAGACCTGCGAATATTCATCATAGCAAAGATGCATTTTTGAGCGTCCTCCGGGCTGCAATTCCGCCTTCCTAGTGGTCACTTCTAGAGAATACCCCGACACACGCGAGGCACACTGCCACCATGCTCGTCAGTCCCGTGGCCCCCTTCGAGAAATGTTCTAGCGCCGCGGATCCTCCCCATTCCCCCAGCCCCCAAGCCCCCCGAACCCTGGTCCTAGACCTTGACCTGCATCAAGCTTGAGCTTGCTTCCCCTTCCACTGGATCTGCGCCGCGCATCTGTTATCATTGTGTGTGCCGCTCGTGGAGGTGTGAGGGTGTGCACCTCGTCGACGCAGGACTCCCGCGGAAAGTTGAGATGCCATCCGGACGGTCGACGAGGCTTACGCCCGTTCAGGGGCGACGACAAGGAGGTTATGAGGGATAAACGACATGCAGGAGCTCGTGCGGGGGTTTGTGTGCGCGCGCGGCAAGGCGTTCTTCGAGAACAATTCCATCATCCATGTTCACTGGCCGGTGTCCAAGTTTGGGTTCAGGTAAGGATTCTTGTTTATTCAAGGTCATCCGACTCGTCAACTGGACGCGTCTATCTGTGCGCACGATGAATGCCCCCCGGCTGATGCAGCACGCCGCTTACATGCATCCTCTGGAAGCCCAGCCAAGCTGGACCTCCTGCATACCTCGATACCATCAGTCCTGACCGAGTGTCCAAAACAGGTAACCTTCGAGAGCGTCTATGACCTTCGTCTTTGGCGGTCGGTCTGCCCATGTTCTCCGGGACTCCACGCCTCCAACACGGCGCCATTCCTCGTTATTCCATGTACGCTGAATCTGTCCCGCCCGGGTCTGGTTGGTCATGTCAGTGGATGAGCCACGCCAAGCTGCAGCACTTGGTTGCGATGCGCCTCGAACATCGTGGTCATGATCGTGTACAAGACGACATGCGAGACCTGGCGGCGTGGCTTTGTGTTTGTTTTCCGATCATTGGCTGCGTTTTGCAGCCTGCTTCTCTCTCGACGTCCATCAATATGCCGCACCCATGCTGCTAGCTCTCCGGTCTTTGTCCAGGGTCGCCGCCGCCGCCGTTGACCCCTTCCTCCTGAGCCCACCCGCCTTGAACCTTCGGACTGTTTGATACGACCTGTCCAGCTCGTTTTCGACGGCGCAGCGAATGCGCAACGCGGCGACCGCAGGCCAGACGCTCCGCTCGCCCCTTGAGATCCAATAGTCCAGCGTTTCTCTCGTGGGCGTCTCGAGCAGGCGCACAAAGTCACCGGCGGTCACTTCTGGTACTAGGGTCATGGATGCTCCTGGCACCCGCTCGTCGACGAGGAACCGACGGATGCCAGCAGGCAGAAGATGCAAAGTGTCGAGCTGGCGTAGGCGATGCCTGAGCTCCAGCCCAACCATGCGAACCAAGAAGGCCGTGATCGAAGTCGTGCTGTTACGCGTCTCCATGAGCGAAGGCCCGTGCATGTCGCTCTGCAAGAAAGGGATGAGGTATGGCCGGGCCTGGCTGACTATAAAGTGATTTACGTTGAAGAGCTCGGCGATTCGAAGAAGCGGCGACTCTCGGTCAGAATACGATACGTGAGTCCAATGGCGGAAGTCGATCGTGTTTGCTGGTGCCCATGGCACGATGTTTCCGTGTGCATCTTTGCAGAGCACAGTTGTTTCTCGATGGCCGTATAGGCTGGGTGAGGAGGCATTCGATGCCACTGCCGCAGTCCATATCAGCTGTACAGTGTTAGTTCGGTTCCATGCCAAAGATCGTTATCTTTACTCACAACATTCGGCGCCGTTAGGTAGTTGAGGAGTGTCGGGACGCCACCCTGTCCTGCTGTTGCTACTGTGATATTCAGCACCCTCTTGCTGCGGTTGTACGCTTCTTCGAATGTCAGATCGCCGACGTTGGCCCGTACACACTCCTCTAGTACCTTGACGTCGAGGAAATAGCCCTCGCGAGAGAACCTCTTGATCCGCCTCCAAAGGGTGCTCCACCTCGTAGTGTAGGATTGCTCCTTTTGAGGGCCTTTTTCAGACTTGCCCTTGCCGGAAAAAGCGGACAAGTCGATGCCTTCTCCTTTGAGCACATTTGGTAGTTCTTCCTCGGTGTGAATCGCAACAAGAGCCGCAATCAGAGCGCCCGTAGCAGTCCCAGTGATGATGCGCGGTAGCAGCCCTCGGAGAAACAGCGCTTTCACGACGCCGAGATGGCACACACCGAATATGGCACCGCCCTGTAAGACAAGAGTGCTCCTCCCAAAAGCTTGTCTGGTATCATGGATAAAGTCCAACTTCATCTGGTTCGTCAATCCGATGGGAGCGCCATTGCCTTCGGAGGTCGGCGTAGTCGGCAGATGGGTAATGTCCTCGACCGCCTCGGCGATTTGAGTAATATATTCTTCAATCAGATATTTTGTGCCGGCGAATGACCGGTTATACAGCGTGGGCGAGGTGATGTTGCCCAAGTTCCGGATCAGGCCGGAGCGCAGGAGGTTGACCAGCGCGTGAAGGTTGCCATCCTCCCTCGCTGTGATTAGGGAATTGAGACGCTCGTTGATCAGACGGTAATCGTAGTATTTCGATGTCGGGTTATTCCTCCTGTAGCGGCGCGCGCAGGCGTTAGCATGTGGCTCTGAGACACGAACACCGAATCGAAAAGTGCCTTACCACAAGTCCAATCCCAGCAGGTTGTCGAGGTGTAGGGCGGATTCTTCCCAATCTTCGAAGGCTTCGGCATGGCGGAGGAGCTCCAACCACAATTCGACGGGGGTCTTGCGTGTGTACCAATCGCGGAGTTTCTGCATGTGCGCAACGACGCAGCGAATGTCAGCCGCGGCTTCGTCCCAGGTTACCGGGGGGTTCGGTCGGTCGGCCGGCCGGTCTGCAGCTGCAGGAGCAGCAGCAACATCCGGCCCAAATGAAGTGCGAGGTTCGGCGATTCCCAACATACCTTATTCCAGAACTGCGACACGTCTACGGCTACTTGCCAGAGCGCGACGACTACCCCCATGGTTGCGCGACGGCGACGACTCGGATGGTGCAGACCATGGAGGATCCCAAGCTGGCGGGGGAAAGCAATGCTAATGAGGATACTGAGGACTGATATGCGGTGGTCATGGCATTATGGCATAATGGACGGTTGGAGCGTCGTGAGCGTCGTGTGTCTCTGGCTAGGCGGGTGTCCGCATTCCAATGCCGAGGACAGGTTGGGGGTTGGACGGGAAAGACAGGTGGGTGGTATCGATGGAAATAGGAACAGATAGAGGGAGAGACGATGGGTGGGAGGATGTCTCGCGTTCTCGGAGACTGAAGAAGCAAAGTATGAGTGATCAAGATTAAGAGGAAATCAAGGAGCGTGGAGGACGGGCGTACAACAGACGCTAGGCAAGGCAGACGACGAGCTTCCTCCGATCCACGGTGGTAAAGAAGCCTGTGTGTTCTTTTCGTGTTACCTTACTGATCCACGCGCGACCAGGAGAGTCAGTCACCTCCGGGTTGGCAAGTCAGACCAGCCCGAGAACCTTCCAGGTCGTTACACTTATGACCAGCAGCTGCTCTATGCTCCGTGGTGTGTGGTTTTGGCTGCCGTCGGCTCAAGTAAAAATAAGAGCAGCCAAGGCCATCAATGGACAAGAAGCAGCAGCAGCAGCAGCAGCAGCAAGTACACGTTAGCTCCGGGTTTGCCGTGGCTCCTTCATCCCAGCATTTAAGTCCGTGGTGGTCTGGAGACTCTGGGGAAGCAGACGTCAGGCCCCATTCACGCGCATTGAATTCGCCTGGGGTGGATGGCATCAGGTGCCTCAAGTGTTGCCCATTGCTTCTTTTTGTATGGTGCAGCGCGGTTCCAGCTGTCCACGAGACCTGGTCCCACACTCGCAGCGTCGCGTTGCTTCCCGAGCTGGAAAATTGGGGGTGGGCAGCTCCCTCAGCTGCTTGGCTGCGGTGCGAGTGCCGTCCCATGGTGGTGCTTGGCACTCCAGGTGAGAAGAGGGCACCTGTCCGACATGTGACAATGCCTTTGATTCCTTTCCGCCGTCCACAACCAGCAGTCTCCGATGGCCCATACACAGCGCCGTTCATGTCGCGCTCGACGGAGAAGACCACAACTGACTATCGTTTGTAATTTTACAGTAACGCGATGTTGTGCCGCAAAAACTCGGCCTTCAGATCGAATCACCGAGTTGAGTCGCCGCGAGCCTAATTCCCAACAAAGTGTATCGCGCAGTCAACGGCCTATTTCCGTGACAAAGAGACTCGCCAACTGCAGCACGTGTTCCACCGTTATCGACGCCAGACCAGGTCTAGCCTGATATGGCAGGGTTACTCTCGTCAAACAACCGTCGATGAGCTCATCATTTAGACATCACGGCACTTGATGATTGCCAGTAGTCCTTAGGTGTTCGCACGAGCGTCGCGCACCTCAATTTTGTTCTATGGGTTGCCCGTCTTGCCCATTCCGCGGAATGAAAATCTTGATATTATACAATGCATGGCGAATATTCTGTGTTGTCTCGCCGTGTAAACGCCCTTCAGCTGAAATCCTTTACTCCGAATCGTCGTCGTCGACAACATGACGACGTCTGCCTCTGCCACTCGGCTCCATCATATCGTCCTCGTCGCCATCAGCATCTTCGTCGTCCGACATCTTCTGTCTCTTCTTCGACCGCGGCCTCTCGTCTTCGTCATCGTCGTCCAGAATCTCTTCGTTATCGTCATCCGGGCCTTCGCTGATGTCTTCGTCGCTGCCAACAATGAAGTCGTCCTCCATGTCGTAGTCGTTCTGCCTGTAAGCTCCAGCGGGTGCATCATCGTCAGAGTCGTATTCGGGGCGTCTCCTCTTTTGCTTCGGTGCACCGGCCGCACCCCTCTTGCGAGAGCCTCCGGCGCGGCGTCCACCCTCCAGGTCACCGATGGAGAGACCACCGCCGCGTCCGTAGCCCCGGCTGGCGTCTGTCAACTTGGCGGCCGCGTTTTCGCGACGACGCTGCGCCTTCATGCGTTCCTTCTCTGCCTGCTCCGCCTGCCGCTTTCTGAGCTCCGGGTCCTGAATGGTGTTGATGATCATGTCCTTCTCTTGCGGCTTCTGCGTGACAGTGGCCATGCGCTCTGCAAGAGCCGCAAGCGCATCATCCTGCACTTCCTTGCCTGGGCGCACAATGAACTGGTCGGTGACATGACCCACAAACATGAGGAAGTTACTCGAGTACTCGGCAGCGGCGGCGTAATAGTGGCCGTCTTGCAGATCGGAGTATGGCTGATCCGGGCCGGGAGCCAGCGCCTTGTGCGTCACTTCGAGATGCTCGTCGCCAACTGTGATTGTGACCGACCCGTCGCTCCATCTGTGGATCATGGCATTGCTTTGTAACTTGTTGCCATGTCTGCGAACACGAACATCCATCTTGGGCGTGTCGGCTTTCGCATTCTCGATGTCTTCCTCGGTGGGTTCGAATGTATCGGGGTCGTACAGCGTGGGAATGAATCTCAAGAACTTGGGCACGCGAAGAGATCCGAGCTATGGAAGATCAGCGCACGTCGCGAGCAAGTGAATGGTCGCGTCAGCTCACTCTTTGTTCCTTCGCTTTCGGGGTGCGATGGCGCTGCATTTCAACAGCTTCGATCACTTTGGTCTCGTAATCCGTCGATGTCGGAGCTGCATCAAATCTTTCTCCGTCTTCGCCCGCATCTTGGTCGGATGCGGCGCGTTCACTGCCAGCGCGGCTGCGGTCTTCCTGGACGTCGTCCGCGAGCTCATCGCCAAAGAGGTCATCACCCTCCTCATCCTCGGGGAGCTCAACCAATTCTTCCGAGTCGGACATGATGGTGTTCAGACGCTGGTAGGGTAGTGTTGGAAGTGTGGAATGGGAATGGCGATAGTCGTGAAAATTGTCGTCGCTGATGGTTGTAACGTAGTAGCTTCGTTGCGAAGAGCAAGGCGGCTTGTTGGATCCCTGCTCTGAAAATTTGACCCACTCAATTGACGCGGAAGCTCAGTTTTGTGGCTGGTGAATGTGACACCGCCACAGGCAGCACTCCAACTCCACTCCGGGTTCCGGAGGCAAGAGCGACCGAATTGATGGGAGATCCCCGCTTCGGCACCGACTGCCGTTTGACAGGTTTTGGCAGGTTTATGCCGAAATACTTGGCCTCTGTGGAGTGAAATTGGAACTCCCGGCTACGAGATGGCTACTCCTTTCTTTAGAGGGGATTTTAGGTGATGAAATTCTACACCGTCTGTTTGCCAACCTCCCCTGCACGCCACACGAGGCTGAGAAGGACCCTTATTTCCGCCTAGCGGCAGTCCAATGGCGAAGGGGCGAGGGACCATTGGGACCCAAGGCTGTGGAGGTGAAGACCGTGCACTCGCTTAATGTAACACTTTGAGTCTAGCGTCCCTCATGCTGCTACTCCTGTTTGGATGCAGGAGCGAACGTAGTCCGAAGAAGCTCACCTTCAACCGCCCCTTTTCAGCTTAACCCTTTCTCCTTGCTTGATATCCGACCACTTTTCGATTGTCAAACGGTCTGAATTTTGAATCGTCAGCCCGGAGAACCTATCCCCCAGCCCCTACTGCGTACTGCCCTCCAAGGAGGTGTGCCGGTCGACCCAGCCATATAACCCCCTCCGCCTCCCCCTCACCGCGGTACCTTCCTTCTACCATGTCGAACCTCTTCTCAGGAATGTGAGTTACTTTCAGCTTTGTTCGATTGCTTTTCTTCTGCTTTTGCTTTTTGCTCATCCTTGTCTGTCTCCCCCCGATCCCAAACGTCTTTTTCCATTTTGTATCTTGAAGATCGCTCTGTCAGGGAGGGTGTCATGGCGGCTGCACAGCAGACAGCTGTGAAGTTGGCTCCTCGGCTAGTGCCGCAGCCCGCAGCCGTTACTTGGTACATGCAACCGGCCCGGCCCCGAGACATGGGGTGCATCTCAATCTGAGGACAGTCCGAGGTTGTCAACATGTAGAGGCGCTTTGCATCTCATGTTTGACTTCGTCAGTCCTTTTGATAGATGTTGCCACAACTCGGTTGTGTTAGACAGCAACCTGTCCCCTGCGCTGCGATTGCGGGGTGAGTTGGACTGTCGCGCCCCAGAGCCTCAGAACGGAACACATACACAAAGACTTCAGTCGAAACTGAGCACTCGGTGTTTGGATCACGATGGCTTCAATGGCCGAATCCAAACACCTGCTGCCTGGTCACTTCATTCCCCGGTACTCTGATTGAGGGATGCGGGAATGGTGACACAAAGATTCGAAACCAAGTTCGACACCGTCATCGCCACGGCCTCGATGCACAATATACAACTTGAGGCACCGTTATGGAATCACCGGCCTCGGAGGAAATGATGGACGACACATCGAATCTCGACCAGCACAGTTGTGTCGCCACGGAATTTCGAGACACGACATCTCCACATCAGTCAACATCAGAGCTTTTGGCCAACTCACCCTGATCAGAGAGGTTTCATGAGTCTCTGACCGCCTCCTCGACCCCGCTTTGTCAACACATCAACTTGGCGGCTTCGAATTCCATCATTATTTCCATGGATCAGAGCAACGGCAAAACACTCGACTTCACTTCCAACTAGGCCAGGTCAGAATTCTGGCTACTTCCCGAATCTGTCATATTCAAACTGTCTCTTGGCCAAAGAAATCTTCATCAACTGCGGCGTCGTCAGACACCTGGCTTGCTCGATGCTTCTGGTCGCTCCTGGTCTCAGACATCCCTAGATTGTCAACAACCCCCTGTGGGCTCCTGCTATGCCTTGCCTCAGGCAAACCCTCTCGATTTGAACAGTCTGGGGTATTGTAACCCACTCGTAGCGGGCCTAGTGGCCGCTGTTACTACCAGACACGACTGTTTTCTTTGCATTACTATGTTTACTTTCAGTATCAAGTTTCATCAACTAACCAAACATGAACAGCAACGCCCGCTTTCGGGGTGCCGCCGCTAAACCGCCTGGACAGAACAAGTCCCCTACGTCTTCTACCGCTGGCCAGCCTTCATCGCCGACTGTACCGCACGCCCCTCAGAGTCAAGCTCCCGTCAAGGCGCCAAGTGTCCCGCCTCTGCCCAACTCTCCTTCTCTTGCGCAGACGATTGGTATGGACGATCAGGGCGGTATGGCTAACGGCGACGATCTCCTCAACTCCTACCACCTGCCTCGGCCCATGCCGATCTGGCTCAACACCAACTATGGCAAGCACATCGTCAAGGGCAACTTCATGACCTTGAGTGCGAGACCCAAGACGGTCGAGCAGGGCGAGTGGATTGCTCACCAAGGTATGCGATGCCCTTTGTTCCTAGAGCCTGTGTCATTCTAACCCAGCCATAGTCGTCGAGCATTATAGAAATTTGTGGAACTTTGTCCGTGTTCTCCACGAGAAGGAAGAGGATGGCACGACTATCTGCAACGCGACAACCTGTCCCAGAATGTCTGCCGGAGTGTGAGTTGCCCGAACACGCTCACTGTCATTCATGGCCTAATACGTCTGCAGTAACCACTCTTTCACTTGGTTGAACAGCCGCCGAGAGCCCGTCGAACTTCCCGCTTATGAATACATGACTCTTATGCAGAGATGGATCTCGGGCAAGATCGACGACACCAACATCTTCCCTACGGATCACTCCGGCGTCTCCTACGCGCACAACCCTGCCATCACCACAACGCCGCTCTCCCAGCTTACGAACCCGGGCGAGCCCGACTGGATCGGCAAGCGCTCTGGCTTCCCCCAGAACTTCATCGACGTGTGCCAGACCATCTTCCGTCAGATGTTCCGCGTCTACTCTCACCTCTACTGGGCCCACTTTGTCGAGCCTTTCTACCACCTCAACTTGGAGAAGTCTCTCAACAGTTGCTTCAGTCACTTCATCCTCACCGCCACCGCGTTGGACATGCTCAAGCCCCACGAGCTCGAGCCCATGCAGCCCCTCATCGACCTCTGGGCTGCCAACGGCACCTTCCCTCCCGAATCAAAGGCGTATGAGTACGCCAATCTCAGAGCCGGCGAGCGCCTCATGCAGTTGGCTGGCGGTTCCTAAATGCGTGCGGGGGAGCATGGGAACAGGCACGGTCTGCCAGGGCAATAGTACTGGAGTCTTGGTCCGGTTTTGAGTATTTCGAGCACCTCTCTTGACATCGAAATCCGACGACTTGCCGTTCTCGCACTGCGGAGCCCTGCCACATAGACTGGGAAGGGGTCCACGTTCAGGACTACAACAACAAAGATATACTTACACAAACACGCATTGCATTTGCTGCAGCAGAGGGCTGTATGTTGGAGTTTCGGATTTCGCTACACGGCCAGGCAGGCAACTTTGTCACTCAGTCACGAGGGACTCAGACAGACAGACGCACAGAGGATGGTAAGACGTCTCACATGAAGTGCTTTTTGGAAGGGGGAGGAGGGGGGTGAAAGACTGTAGACGAGAATATCTATCCAGAGGCAAATCCACGCACTTAAGAAGGCTCGTTGGTCTCGACGATGATCGGTGATGTCATGAGGTATGTGATGTTGTCTGTCGACACATCGGGCTCTGAGTCTGAAAAGACAATACGAAGTCACAATACTCGATCAATTTCGTCAGATAGATCGACAGAACTGACCCAGCCTGTACAACTAATTCATGCTACGAAGTCTTCCAGACGTAACGCAGACGTTATCATGTAACTTTTCAAGCGACTCGTCCACTTTTCTCGCCAATGTCAAGCTTCAGCACAACTTTCTCGTCACGCACGTCTAGCTTGCCAACGCCTGCAAATGTCTTTTCTTGCAACACTCTCAGCTCACTGTGTTCCGACCCAAACTTGATATCTTTCGGTTCAACTGCCTATCATCAGTCCTCGCCTAAACTTGTCTTACAGCAGGAGGCCAAAAGAACTTGCGCGACAACACTGCAGAACCCCCTTCCCTCCCGAAAGGAACAGTAAACGCGAGAAAATAGGAGAATCAAAAACAAGATAACTCACTCGACTGTGCAGAGCTAACCGCACGGCCACTCAATATCGCCATTACCTCATCTGATTTTGAAACGTCAAAGTTGCAGCTGAACTGGATGACAGCGCCGATGCGGGTTTTCTGGTCTATCATCGTGCTCGAGACCTCAAGGCACATTTTCTTATTCTTTGGGCCGAAGCGGATGTCAGACCCAGGGAGGAGAACGGCATGAACCTTCGGCGAGTATTGCGGGTGTGCGTCCGGGTGTGAGATAAGCAAACCGGACGTCATGCGTAGAGGGGACGAAGTATCAAGTTGGATCTGTGATAGGAAGGCCGGTTTTGTCAGTTCTCTGTAGTCAATGCGGCGGTGGGATGGGTAACTGCATTGTGTATACATTCTATAGTTGGGGATGCAAATAGAACAATGACAATGCTATATGGTGGGAGCATTGCTTAGGGCATATGTGTATGACAGTGTCCAGGAAAGCTTGCGTGGGTGCTCTGGATTGGGTTTGCGGGAGAAAGAAGAAGAAAAAGGGATTGGGAGGTAGGCTGGACGTACTTCGAGGGTGAATGCCAACTGAAGGTTGAGTGTGCTGGCCATCTTGTAATGCCTTCCCCTACTGGTCAAGAGTACAGATGAGTCCTATGATAGCTATAAAGCAAGGCTTTCAGCGTAATTGATATCGGATTGCGAAGACCGCATAGGGACGCGTGTTTTCTGATGTAGCAAGTAAATAATGAAATCGCCGCGGAAACAGCTAGACCCTGTCTCTTGTAGCTTATCATCCTTCTCACCTAGTTCTACGGCTGAAGATATAGTCGCGGAATTTACGAGTGAGGGGTTCGCCCATCCGCAGCCTCCAATGCTGACGGCCGAGGCTCGGGTGAAGCAAGTGGCTGCAGAACATCATGCATGAAGTACAACATACGGAAAGCCGAAGAGAGAAACGAGGACCGATCAACGCCTTGTCAGAGTTGATCTATTGGTCGCCTCATCTTCGGCGTGTGATTGTGTTGTTACGTTGGGCATGCGGCTGGCCTGATCGAGAATCCAAGAAGCGCTGCATTTACCCGCGCGGTTGAAAAGCTTCAGATCCTCCTTGGCACGATTTGTGAGGCGAGCTGTAGAGAAAGCGTCCAGATCTGGGCCTGCTCTAAGATGTACCATACCACATTTGCAAGAATTAACAACGTTAGTGTTTCCCGTAGAGTATACGGCGACTGCGCTCAAACATAGGAGGTTATAATGGAACATACAAACAACATCGGCAGGGAAGACGCATGGATCATGATTCTCAGGTTATCAGCCTGTTCTTCTTGTATGTGTAAGTAACCATTATAGCTACTCGAGTAACCTCATTCCTGCCAGATGTTCTGTATCGATAACAATCAGTGATGTAATCAGATATACCTCCTCTTTGGGCTCTACGAGTCTGATAAGACAAACCGAAATCACAATGCATGACCAAGAAAATCTCAACATACATTGATGGAAACAACCCGAAAGCTTCCCTGTCCAACTTATGCCGCGACTTCACTGATCTTATACTCCACCACAGTCGGCTTCCCTTCCTCAAGGACAAACCGTCCAGACCCGACATAGATCTTATTCTGCAACTCCCTCAGCGTCTCGTGCCCCGACTCGAACTTAACCTGCGTGACTACCACCCGCCGTCAGCTCCCCATCAAACAAGCGACCAATTCAAGCAAAGACACGGGGAAAGAGTTAAAAAACAACTCACAAGCATCCCCAAACCCCGTCGTGGCCGCCCCCTCAAGCCCCTTCAACACCGCCCCTGCCGGGCCCGAGACGTCAATGACGCCCGTGTAATCGAACCGGATCACCGCCCCTGACCCCCCTTTATCCTTTAACGCGCTCGAGACCTCGAGCCGCGCGTGCCGGCCGTCCGGGTCGAAGCGGAGGTAGTCGGACCCGTGGAGGAAGACGGCGTCGACGCGGAGCGGGTACGTGGGCTCCGAGACGAGGGAGCCGGAGTCCGGGAGGAAGGGCGCGTGGAGCTGCGAGGGGCCGTGGGCGAGGGTGCCGATGGGGGAGGGGGTGCCGAGGTGGACCTGGCCGCGGGGTGGTCAGTCAGTCAGTGGTCGTAAGGGGAGTATGATTTTCGTGGAAGTGATTGGGGAGGTTTTCCATGGGAGCTTTGAATTGGGTTTTGTTGGATGGAGGGTTGGACGTACTCGGACGGTGAAGGCCGGGATGAGCTTGGGGAAGTCTGACATGCTGGAATATCCCGTTCTAACCGGTCCGGAATTCAGATCGGTTCTTCTGTTGAAGTTTCTCGGTATGAAGATATCGGATTGCGATTACCGATAGGATGTATGTACCTTACGTACAATACAGGTGTGTCTTCAGATGTGGTGGTTACGGGATATCCTCGCGGCAAAAGAGTCAGATCGATCACTTACGTGATGTGATGGTTTCCTGCACCTCGTCTACCCTTTCCCCTCACCTGCTTCTGCTGGCTGACAGGATGACCTGCAGATGGAAAGGTGAGGGGGTTTCTCTCACCTGCAGATGCCTACGGCCGAAGCTTGGGCGAGGTAGGTGGCTGCAGGAGATGTGCATGAACTATGACTTACAGAAAGCTGGATAATACTCGAAGGTCGGTAAACGCCATCTACTGGGTATATTGTCGTTGCTATAGAAGTGTGCGAATTTGATGCACCGTCTGGTCTGCTTAACAATCGACGCATTCACCCCGCGTGATCGTAAACCTTGAGATCCTCCTACATGAAACTGGCGATATGAGCTGCAGAGAGGGGAGTACCGCGTATGCAGGTCCAGTCCTACTTTCACAAAACCAACACCGGCACGCAACCCGTCCACCGCACAGATCATCATCTCCTCCATGGACTCAGTCTGCTCCCCGTGAATGTGTAAGCAACACCACACCTACTCCAACAACCGTCCTGATACCGATCAGCCTAATCAGACGAAGGCTGCATTCTCAAACGTCCCGCCCTCCCGCCGTCGAGAGCTCCGATCCCAAAGCACCCAATGACAACCTCGAGCCCCAACCGCGCCATCTCCAAGAATTACCAAAGCTCCAAATGGACATGAACTCAATGCCGGCACGGCCGGTGAGAACTGGTGGGATCAAAGTCAGCAACCAGAAACTCTGACCGGAGACGGCTTCCGTGAACCGGGGGTGCCTGCTTGTTAACATATCACTGTCTTCTTTCGCCACTGGTTCATGATAGAGTTGCACCTTTTTTTTCGATGTTGGGGAGAGTGAACGGAAGTATACGATGGAGGGGGGAGAAGACGAAAAACTCTGAAATATCCGAACTCGTCTTATGACAGACAAGGAGGTGGTGGTGTTCTTTCCCCTCCCGCCAAAGTCTATATGCGAGACTCTATTCAAGTAAACGAGAACATCTGAGGAGATGGAGCAGATATGCTTTTCCGCACTACACCCACGCCAAGACCGACGAGAACAAGCCGAGAAGAAGTCTATTCCCAAGTTCGTGTTACTAATCTTGCTTCCTGGAAGACACTTTTCTTCACTTGCAAACAATATCGGGACCTCCCTTGGACTGATAATCCGAGAGGGAACACACACGCACACACGCTTCCAAAGTACCGGTCCCCCCCGCCCGTCACAGTCATCCGACCCGGCGGCCGGTCCTCCGGCGTCACACGACCGAAAAGAACGGCGGACCCGGAGGTGTAATTGATTTTCGAATCTCGTATACACTGATAATCGTCCTGTAGCAAATCGTAAAGAACGAGTACGCCGATGCGTTTGGAAATCCTATCCAAGGGTTGGGGGTCGGGGTGGTCAAACGGGGGCGCACGTGAACGACTTTGCACGACGAGGCCGCCAGGTCTTTGCGAGTAGGCATCCCTTAAGCGTCGATTCACGCCGGATGACCCCGTGCTTGCATTGTTCTGCGTAGGGAACGTGTCGATTCGTGAGAGCCGTGGAGAGACGAGAGTACATAGTTTCCCGCCAACTTCTAATCGAGTTCAACGTGCAGGAATTCAGTGAGGTGATGTTCAACCAAGAACTCGTCGAGCAGCACCTTCACCAACATCAGATCGTGGTATGGTCCAATAAAGTCCACCACGGCCAGCGTCTAACCCCTCTTCTCCTTCTGATATTCGGGCGGAATGGACGAAAAGACGCCCAGACAGCCGGCAAAACCTTCCCCTCAGCATCAAACTTCAGCGCAAGGAACTCTGAGAGCACACCTCTTATTGTAGCATAGAATATGTGCCCGAACTCACAAAAACGATTATGAGTTACGTAGGTAAGAATGAATACGCAAGTAGAGGGGGGCAATGCAAGCCTGACTTTCACTTCCATCGTCAGAACAGAGGCCGATGTCCAACCTTGATCAAAGCCATTGCGGAACATCATCTGAAGAGCCCTCGCTCTCTCCATTCGCATGCCTTTCTACTTTCAGATCTGATGTAATCCGTGGCAGCGGCGAAGGATCCCGTCTCGGTACACCTCCCCTCGACACTCCGCTTTGGTAAACGGGAAGGGAAAGCTCTCCTACACCACGACATCAGAAGGACTGACGGGTGAAGGAATGTTCGAGGCTCACGTCAACAAGCTGTTCCTTGCACCGCCCGATACACTGACAGCAAGCACGCCATCACGCCCCGCGAACTGGACTACGGCCAAGGGTTCCGATTACAAAGTCCCCCAAAACTCAAATCATCACACGAAACGAGGACAGCCCGACGACGTGGACGCGCCGATCCGATGTTGCCGTGCTTACACGTGCCTGGGACTCTCTTCATCCTGCCCCCAAGTTGGAAACACGTACTATGGTAGTCAGCTTATGCCTCGCAGCTCGTGCCATTGTTTGAGAAGAAGCATGGCTGGCCGGGATATCGCAGTCATCCAAGACCACCAACATCCAAAATCCGATCCGTTAACCCGTATATGGATATCGGGCTCGGAGAAGATCGACCTTCGGCATCCATTGATGTTCTCCGTCCGTTGTATCGCATCATTCTGACAGACGTTGTCCCTCTCCAACGCATCGCCGATACCTTCTCGCAGCTTCTATCAGAACTGACGGTGAAGAGGTGACTAATACGCATCTGGTGCAGCCGCAGCCGCAGCCGCAGCCGCAGCCAAGCACCGAGGCTCGATGCGTGTATGTACCTTAAATTTTAGAATCGTCGACCGCCTCACCCGAGAGACTTTCGTGACGTCTTGAAGTCTCAGTCGTATGAGCGGTGGATATGTCCATCGCCTCTCTGCAGTCCGTAAATTGACGATCAGGGTACTCTGTATCCCGGATACTAGTGCCCGCGGCGCGGCTTGCGTAGGCGACAGCACAAGCTCCGTTTCAGAATATCCGTCAAACACGCATACGAGTGGCCCGGAGCTGGACCAAGGACCCGATCTGTTTTTAACTTGGTACCAAGACGTCAAGCGGGAAGGCAGGGGGTCCGGATTCGGAAACGCGGGCCAGAGGGAAGGCGAGGGAGGCAAAGGGAAGGACGAAATCCCTGAGCCTCTTCACCGCCAACCTGGGATGAGGCGTCTGGCTGGCGCAAGAGGACGGAAATGTGGGACCATCGAGAAGCAACTCTGCCCAACTCTGGACAGGGAAGGATGAGTCAACTCTCCAACATCCAGAGACTGGAGAGTAGCATCTCAGCGATCGGGGCTGGGAAAGGAAGACGATGGAAGTGGCTGGTCGCGGTTTGTTTGCCGGCTGATCTTGACGACAATCAGAGGTTTGCCCTAATAATCCGAAACCCAGCTCCCTGTATTGCTTTACCAGGATATGACGACAAAGAAAGCTCATGAGCCCTTGGTATCTCGCGAATTGGTGACTCGCCGAATTGGAGGATTTGATGACTCCCGCGTGATTCGACCTACTGTTGTCTCGACGATTTGACGATTCTGCAACGCGCCTACCGCGTTCTGCAGCTGACCGTGGCATGCGCATGGGCCGAGGTGCCAATTGAACGTCGGATTGTCGTGGCACAGGATCTTGATCTCCGGGGTCCATTTGGGGGCCGCGATAACGCATGCGCAGCTGCGATGCGCCTTAAGGTTTCCGCCCGCGTATGTGGAGGTTTGCTGAGAAGTGACGAGTGATGGGTTGACAAGATCCTTTGGCGGAGACCGCGCTCCCTCCCTTCGTGATGTCTGGTCGATTGATAGGACGCGCCGACAGGCTCCGGCGCCCAGAAGGCAGAGTTTTCACTCCAAGAGTCATTGCTCTGGAGACTGAAGTTTTTTCGTCCTTTTCGAGATTTGCCCTTCAGACGGGATGATAGCCGTAGGTGGATTGGGGTGATGCACGATGTCCGTTCACCGCCATGGAGGCGTAGATTTTGTGGACGGGGAAAGGTTCCGGCGACTTACGGAATCCACCGGTCTCAGTCACCTTGTTTGCGAGAGAGCGGGAACCCTGGGTGTGTGCATGAATGGGAATCTGGAACCGAATGATCCAAGCTCCCAAAAGATTCAACGTCGGAGAGAGAGCTCTCGTCGAAGCTCCATGTAGAAGGCCGTACCGTGCGCGCATCGGTTGTGCTGCTGTTTTGGCAGGGAGATGCTGAATGAGGGGAGAGACCCAGACGGACCCAGACGGACCCAGGGCTCTGGATGACGTCGGAAGAGTGAAACGGAAGCTGTGGATCGCGGTATCGCATCATGAGCTCGCGGCGGGGGTTCGGCTCCATCGCTTGAAGTTCAATCTCCGACTTCAAAGCTGGGAAAACAAGGGAGAATGTCTGAGTGTAGGTCCGGAGTGGATCCCGGGGATGAGAAGCTTAAGCTGCCGGCGGGGGACTCACCGACAAAACGGACTGGAACGACCGTCATGTCATTAAGTGATCAATCGTTCCAGCCGCCGCGATCATCGAAGAGGCCGCGTAGGTTTTTGGATATCTTGGTCTCTCGCAACATCGGCCGCAGACCTGAACTGGGAACCCTTTCCTCGGAAAATGATTTGAGACCGGGGATCCTCACCGGGATGCTAATTCGGAAGAGACAGTCTTGGATCTAGCCATAACGTCCAGGGAACAGGGGTCACTTGAACTTCAGATGCCCCGCTGGGGTCAGCCCTGTCAGGATAGTGCCTCTAGAGTGGCTGAACGAGATATTTCTTCTCATCTTCAGCCATTGACCTTGTTGGAAATTGGACGATTTTCTCGGGAGAACAGGTCGAGAATGGTTGTTGAACGACCGGATTTGTGCGAATTTTTGCTTTGCGACCACCGGATCCCTGGGCATCGCGAG